GGGGAGTGGCTCATACGCGAAGTCGCGGACCTTGACGCCCGGCAGCCTTTGCCCTCTCCATGCAGGGGCCGCCATCTTCACTCACGTCGTCAATGATCTCTGTGAGCGCGGGTGAGGGGGGACAAGCATCAGGTCTGTCGGTGTCGCGTTTGACGGGAGGAAACAGGATGGGCAAGCGGAGTGAGCGGAATGGCGCGTCGCGTTCGAGTGGGTCCATACCCCATAAGAAGGGTCCTTTGCGAAGATCACTCCTCTTGCGCTTGAGGGGGTGCGCGTCGTACGCGACTGATAGGACTGGTAGGTGGATTTGAGGGGGACCTGTCAAGCTGTATCCTGACAAAGACATGGTGCTTGTTGCGTAAAAGACCCGTTCGATGGGTTGGTTGTGGTGGTGGTGAAGGTGGTGGAGGTGGTGGTACGTGCAAAGGCGGGGAGAGGACAATATTGTCCTGATATTGTTCCACTGGCATTCCCACGCCTCCCCCGGGCCCGATGTTCTTACATAATTGCTGCATCGGGCGCCCGGCCTCTATGTTGTTGAGTGAGCGAGGTAGGTTTAAATTGGGCGTCAGGCATATCGTACATCCTCCAAACACTGGTCGGAGTTACAGCGCGCAGAGGACTGTGTAGGTATAACGGGCGAATTTTCTCGAGCTCTACTCACCTGCATTGCGGTACATCAAATCAGAATACGCTAAACATCATGTTCAGTGAGTACATGGCTCACCTGTTCAATTCAATGCGCGCGCTCACTGGCAGGCTCACCACTTCCCCAGTCACCGGAACATCCACTGTTCTGGGACGCGCCCTCACCGAGCTCGTCCTTGCGGTTGGCGAAATCGTCGTCGCTACCGCCCACCGCACTGGCCCGCTCGACGATCTGAAGGCGAAGAATCACTCCGACCGCCTCTTCATGCTCAAGCTCGACGTCACCAACTCCGACGAGATCGGCGAGGCGTTCACGCAGGTGAAGGCCGCGTTCGGCCAGCTCGACATCGTGGTGAACAACGCGGCGTGGAGCACGTTCGGCGAGGCCGAGTCAGCGCATGAGGCAGACGCGCGCGCAATGCTCGATATGAGCTTCTGGGGTGCCGCGAACGTTTTGCGCGCCGCGGTTGAGTTGTTCAACGATGTGAACGCGCGTGGAGCTGGAGGATGGCTGATCCAGATCCTGCCTGTCGGCGGGTTCGTCTGACTGCCCGGTCTAGGCTACCACAGCGCCTCCAAGTCCGGTATGCGCTCGTACTTTGTCTGCGTTCCCCGCGCTCAGGCAGGCAAAGGCCATCTTCCTTGCCCTCTGACGGTGACACCGCGAACACGTCCATTTCTACCACAGCGACTACACGGCACGTATATAGGTTGCAGCTCCGAGTGAACGTGATTTACGACAGGGAGCAAGCACTGATAATCAACGTTGAAGTCTCGAGCTTCGCAGAATAACCGCACTGTAGTCACCGTGTAGTGCTTTCTTTCGACGGCTTCCTGGGGGAATTCACTCTCAGGAATGTACCGTTCATGTAATGCCATTTCGTGTCCATCAAATCAGCCCAAACCCACACAAGAATCCACGTCAATTTGATCCACGCCTAAGTTCTGGTAAACCTGTGCGCCAGGTACGCCCCCACCCACGCGTTGTAAATCGGATGAATTCCCGCATGTATCACATATGTCATATCTTCATAGCTAATTGTACCATACCACTATAACTAGTACTGTTGCATCATGATCCTCCTCAGCCCCAATTCATCGTGATAGGCCGCTCTCTGGTCGTATATAGGCAGAACATACTCTTCACGATCAACCCATTGACGACTCTCCTCAAACAACCCCCTATCACTGTCGCTATCACTAAGCTCATTGTCCAAGTCCCGGTCCCGTGACTCCAATATCTCCATCGGATAACATGACTTCACAGTGATGCAACGCAGACGTTTCAGTTTGCGTTCCTCCTCGGACAACTCCCAGTTTTCTTCCAAATCTGTGTCGTCATTATCTTCATCATACTGGAACGAGAGGCGTCTCAGAATTGTGTCGAATGGGCTCTCCCACGCCCGCTGCCGCCGTATGCGCCCGATGAGGCGATACGCCGAGTCCCTGGTGACTCGGCATTCTGCATCGCAGATGGACAGGATCTTGAGCTTGGGACAGATGAGATCCATCCTGCGAGAGATTGTTTCGAGAGCCGGGATGAGTGAGGTGGACGATCCAGCACTGCTGACCTGAAGCCTGGTGAGCGATGGCAACCGCCACAGCAGGGCTTCCCAATCGGAGTAGGAGAGCACTCCTCGGTCCGTGAGGTCTCCCTGGATATCCAGAGCCTTCACCGGAAAGTCGCGCTGGGATCCGCAGAAGAGGGTGTTAAAATCCTTTATCGCTACCCCCAGGTAGGGCTGCCAGTCCCCGAAGGCCGGCGAGTGTGTTTCGAGCTGCAGCGTCAACCCGGCCACGGTCGTATTGCTCGCGTTGGCATCGAAGGGGTCTTCCTCGAAGTCATCAGCTTGGATGTCAGCCGGGTTGCGGGCTCTACCGAAGCGGATATGAATCTGCGCCTTGCCGTCACTCTGGGTGTCGATCTTGCAGCGAAGAGGGGCAGCCGTGGGGAAGAGGCGCTTCAGATGGAAGGGCCGGGGCAGCAGAGCTTGGAAAGCACCGTGGGTCGCTCTTGGGTTCAGCATCGTCGATCCACAGACAGAGATTGATATGTTCTTCCGGAGTTTGAGGGACGATAGGAACCCCGATATTACTCCGGACTCGTCGGCAAGGAACAACTTGCGGAGCTTGGGCATCTCGACCTCACGGTCGGCGGTACGCCCGGTGGGATTGGGTAGGAGCGTGCTGGAGACGAAGTGGTTCAGAAGGCGGAGTTCCTCAAGGGCGTGGCAGCTCTCGAGGACGTCGAGGAAACCGTCGGAAGACATCCGTGGGCCGTCGTGGACGCATCCGCGCAGGTCTAGGCACGTCAGTCTCGAGACTGCTCTGACATCCCAGGCAAACGAGGCACATGTGATACGAAGAATGCGCAACGATGGCAGGGACGATTCCGTGATATCCATCGGGACGCGTTGAACGGTGTGCTCGAGGCGTTGTGCCTTCCTAGGTATGACCAGCTCTTTCAGCAGTCTGAGAGGCGTCCCGGAAGTGAGGAGGGGGAGAAACCATTGGCATGAGATGTTGCGAGGATGAGAGCGTGTGGAGGTGCGCCGGATGTTTTCATCGAAGGGAGGAAGATGAAGCGCCCGCAAACGTGAGACATGCGGGAGGAGCATTGGTATGGCCTTTTCAGCCATGTCGAGGTTGTAGAAGAAGAGTTCGAGGGGCACTTGGCGCGAACGCATGAGGGCGAGGGCGAGCGACTCCAGGCTTGCCCTTGTACACCAGTGGGACCTCTGCCACAGGAGGGGGGTGGATATTATCAGCTCGCGCCAGAAACGGCACACGAGCATGAGATCCTGCCACGACGGTGACATTCCCAGCATAGTAGGTCGCTGGTAGTCCCTATAGAACACGAAGATCTGGACCAGCACCTCTATGGGGAGGGACCCGATTGCTGGACCGCTGTGCCGGCGCATTGAATGCATAGACTAGAACGAACAACTATATCAGCAGAGCGAAGGGCGTGAGTATTAGCGGAGCAAGACATACTGTAACCTTATATCGCGAGGCGTTGGTATTGAAAGGCTGAGTCGAGTCGTTGGGCAAGGTTCTCAAATGGCGCGCCTTGATGTTCGGCAAGAGGACGGGGTGAGGAGGAGAGAAGACGAGAGCAAGAACTCGGGCCACGAGAGCTTATATATGTCCAACCGAGCCAGATCCATGCGTACATTAGCGTGCACCAGTATTGCAATCGAAGCGCGAGGTAGGCTCGGTCCAAGCAATGGTCCAAGCGCAAGCCTCGAGATCTAGACTTCTGTAGATGTGCGACCCAACGACGAGTGCCTGATCTCGCAGGTACCTGGTACCAGGGTGTTCGACCCATTGGACTTGAAGAGCTCCGAGACTCGCTGCGGACATAGCAATACCTTTCCTTGAGGGCTGAGTGGCGGACGGCTCGGCCACGACATAGTGAAACAATGGCCCCAGCCCACGGTGCCGGTTGCGCTGGGCGGCCATGAGGGCAAGTTGACGAAGGTGTGGCCCCTGCACTAGTATGTTATCTCTGGACAAAGCTGCTTCAGCTCGCTCAGGTACATGCCCACCCCCTCCTCATAGTGCTCAGTCCATCGGTGCCAACTTGAAGTGCGCACGCCAATCTTGAACTCGTGGAGCTGCGGACACGGCGGCGCGCGGGGGTCGTCATTGTCTCCGTCGGCGCCCGCCTGCCCTCTCGTGTGCGCGACCATCGGTGTGCGTTTGAGCACATTCTCCATAGTAAGCATGCCTTTCTTTCTAGGATATTCGAAGGTACTCGCCGTTTTTGCGGCGCTCAAAAACATAGTTCATTTGGCGGCCTGTATATAGAACCGCCTTCGATTTGCAGCCTGTGGTCAGATACGTGTTAGAGAATGCCACAGGCTGCCGTAGGATTGTAATGTGAGACGACGCAGCGCAAGTATCGGACCAGGGACTCTCAATCCGACTTACCCGCATTCTCACTATTTTAACCGGGCGTTCTCCTAGTTTGATAGTCTGCAATTAGGCTCGCGAAGACATTCCATGCAGATGCGAAGGATAATCGTTGAGAGGAAGGGACTCGGAGAGGGCCGAGGCCGGTGCGTAGAGCCCCCACCGCTGTGGGAACGCTGAGTTTGAACCTGTTCCAAATCAGGACGCGTCGTGACGCGGTCACGTGACCGAAACTGGAGCAGAAAGTCGCGTCGCGTCTCACTCGAGCATCCCTCCAGCGTCGCCCTCCTCCGAAACCCTGTGCCCTGTGCTTCCTGCTCCATATATAAGGTCACTGGCTCCCTTTAATCGCCTCTTGACGTCCCTCTTTCTCGAACCACCATCTGCCCTCTCCCCCGCCCTCCTTGCTGCACTACAGTCACCCTCACCGAGCTCCCCTCAAGATCAACGCCTCCCGCATTCGCACCGCTCTTCTCGGAGACCAGTAAAATGCAGGGGCTACCTTGAAAGCCACTACCGGTAAGTCTTAGCATGTAAGTTCGAGCTGGTCAATTTTCACCCGCATATATGCGCATATATTGACTTTTTTCTGCCCTCCGAGTCGCTTGGGCCGAGCTACGTGAGATATTTTGCGCGTGCTAACTCGTTCTGGCACACGGCAATTGCTCTTCTCTCGCACGCGCACAGGGGCATTCTGCTCTCGCGCCTCTGGATCGTGCATACATCACTCTTTCGTACGTACTCTTCTGCATTTTGTGACATTCTACAAAGATTGCATCGCGTGCGCTCATGTGGCATGTTACCTCTCCGCGCACGGGGCTCTCGAGAGCTCAACGGAACCTCGCGCGAAGTGATCCAGCATAATCGAGACTTGCGCGCGACGTTCTGCGTCGTGACATGTCATGCCGCCCTCTCTGCCGACTACCATGGGTCCTACACGTCATTTAGCAAGACTTCACGAAGTCTATGGCACGACGCTAATGACGCAACATTATCAAGAACTACCGCTAAAGGATCGCCACCTCGTTGATCAGAACTCATGAGCAGTCGATCAGCAGCGCTCAAACTGCGCAAGTATGCAGTCTATCCTGCACTATAAGATATGTCCGGACAAAGCTCCTCCAACTCGCTCAAGTAAATCCGCATCTCCTCCGCAAACCCGTCTCCGTCGTCTTCAGTTTCCATGTACAGCTCCACCCGGTCCAGCCGCGCCGCCCCAAAATGCGCCCGTCGGTGCAGCACCGCGACCAGGAGCTCGATGTCCCCGCGCACGTAGTCCGCGTACTGCACCGACAGCTTCGTGAGCTTGTCGCACGGCGGCGGCCAGGGCCCGGCCAAGTCCGGATCGCCGAGGTCCAGTATCGGCGTGTCCTTGAGCGCGCGGAAGAGCGGCCGGACGGGCCCGCGCCCGATGACCTCGAGCGTGCGCAACTTCGTGAGCTGGTGCAGCAGGTTCGCCCAGTCCATGTATTCCGGGGCGTTGTCGATGAACCCGTTGATGGTGAGCTCCTCGATGGGCAGGCTGTCGAAGAGCGCGTGGAAGCCCCGGAGGCCGTGCGGCAGGTAGGCGTCCCATTCCCGCACGTCGGGGTTATTGAGCTCGAGGCGCAGCTTCGCGCCGTCGGACGTCCACACGCTGATCTCGGCCGACTCGCACATTACGCGGATATTGCCGTGTGTAGGAACGGTGGTAGGGAAGAAACGGTCCTTCAGCCCTTTATACGACACCAGGTCGCTGAACGCGTTGTGTTGCAGCTGGGCGATGAGGTGCCCAGCAACGGGGAGCCACCCGGTGATGGAGACGAAAGCCTTTGGCGGAAACGTGAGGCACGACAGCAGCCACTTCGTAACCCGTGGACTGTCTGCGAGGACGAGCTTGCGGAGCCGGGGGAGGTGGAGAGTCCGGGTAGGATCGGCCGTCCCGGCGTTGATGGCGCCACGCGCAAGGGTGTTGAAGACGAATTTGTCCAGCAAACGGAGGTCTTCGAGAGATTCGCAGCGCTCCAGGACGTCGAGAAACTGGTCGCATGACGGGCCGTCATCGTCAGCTGTGCCGGAAACGCAGGCGCGGAGGTCCAAAGTCGTCAGCTTTGAAAGGACGTCCGCGTTCCATACGAAGGAGACGCATGCGAGGCGAAGAACCCGAAGGGAGGGGAGCTGCGACGTCGATATAATGAGAGGTGGGCGATTGAAGCGACCCGTATGGTCTACATGGTCCACGGAGATCATGAGCTCCTCGAGAACCGGCATCACCCCAGCCAGGAGCGGCAGGAACGGGGTCACATCCGGACTGGCGTTGTGATCCCAGCGGTCGGAGCCTGCGGGCCTCTGGTCAAGCGGAGGCAAGATGAGCGTGCGCAGACGTCGTGTGTGGGGGAGGATCAAGGGGAGTGCAGCGCGCGCCGCGTCCAGGTTGTGGAAGAAGAGCTCGAGCCTAGGTGTGTCGCGTGAGCGGACCAGCGCGAGCTCGAGCCATTTGAGGGTGCTCTCCGAGTACACATCGACCGACTGCCACAGAGATGGGGAGGCGAGCGCAATCTCGCGCCAGAGGCGGCAGACGAGCATCAGAGCGGTCCACCGGGCTCCGTCTCCACAATGGATTGGGCCGGTGCCATAACGTTCTTCCTCAAGCCGTAGCCAACGGTGTGCATGTTCGGACAGAGGGTACTTGGACACCTGTTTGTAGAGCAAGAATATATGCGTGAGGAGTTCATCGGGCAATTTCTGTATGGAAATTGTGTTGCCCCACGGCGTAGGATCTGAACTGGCGTGCTAGCCAACCACGAGACATCTCAGCAGTGGGCTATAGACGCAGAGTGCTCAGTAACCTAGAATGACTTACTTGCATGATGGCCTTCTTCTTTGCCATGTGTACCCTTCGATACTCAGTGAGCTTGTGTGAGCTTGAACGTCGTAGTCAACGTTACTGGTTGAAGTTGATGTCGAGGCTTCCCAGCTGGTGGCCTGGCAACAGCCGCTCACGCGTGTCCCGGTACCCGCCAGTCGCCACGAAAAGTAATACAATGTACAACTTGTACAAACTTGACTCGGCGCAAGCTCTGATGTTCCTCTTTTATACACACATTGAATGATATTTATTCCTAACCCCAGTTCCTTCTCGTTAATCTTGGGCCAATGGTGGGCCATCAGAGGTCACAAGTAATGGAGTCAATACCTACCGCAGGCAATGACGCCGGCGTCCAACTCGTCTCGCTCGCTCGTCGTCGAGAAGTGCGCCTTTCACTGTACAGTTGTATTATGACAATATCGGGTGTGATGCTGCTTGAGTGACTATTCGTACAACCAAACCCAACTTACGCTCTCCCAAACCCTCCCTACTCGCAACATGCCCCTCCAGTCGTGGCATCGGTCGAATCCGGGAAGGCCGGACGACTCTTCGAGTCGTTCGCCCCGGGCACGTCCATGCTCGGGTTCGCGGTGAAGAAATTTGTCGGCCTGAACACAAGGCGCAGGTGCTCGGCGGGCATCACCGGCCAGTCCTCCGGTCTCGGGATGTGCGTGATGCCTGTCCACACAAACAGATCAGTCGACGCCCCCGAACGCGGAAACGCAACGCCCACGTACCCATCGTGATGTACACCAGCAGGTCCTCCTCCAGCAGGCTCTCGTCGCCCTTCGCCCAATACGGCAGCGAGTCCTCAGGCGACTCGCGCGTCTGCGGAACGTACTTGCCCGACGGCCACATGCGCCCGCCCTTCGGGCCCTCGACGTCGCGCACGACCCATAGCTGCTTGCGCGCAAACGCCGCGCGCTTCGCGACGACGCTGCCCTCGAGCGCCATCAGCGGCGCCGCCGCGCCCTTGCCCATGATCGTGTACCCCGCGTTGCGCTTCGACGCCGCGTGCACCTTCTTCGGGTTCACGATCGCCCACCGCCGGTCCGTGCCGTAGTCGTAGTCGCGCGCGCCGTCGGCCGCGCGCGCGATGGGCGTGCCGCGCGCGATGAACGCGTTGCCGACGTGGTTTGCCGCGGAGCCGGTTGGGGCGTTCGGGAGGGGCAGGATGTCGGTCTCGACGACGGAGTTCTGCAGGCCGTCGACCATGGGGTCGACACGCATCGAGAAGATGTGTTGGTGGTAGTGCGCGTGGATGCCGGGCGCGAGCGTGGTGCCGAAGGGGCCGTTCGGCTCGTCTTCGCCCTGCGCGTACACTTGTAGGATGCCCGTGAGGCGGATCTCGACCTCGATGTTGCCGTCCTGGTAGAACATGTAGTTGAAGATGTACTCTGTGCCGGATCGTCAGTACGCGCGCAGATGAGGTAGTCCAAGTGAGGAGGCTTACCGTAGTTCGCGAGCGTGCAGATCTGTTGGATCACGAGACGACGGCTGCGGACAGCCTGAGCACGGCCGCCGACACGGAAGTCGGTGTGCTTCCAAAGCAAGCCGGCGTCCTCTTCGTGGATGCAGATGACGTTCTTCACGCTGACTGCTGAGCCGTCATGTGCGACATATGCACCAGGCTAGAGCGAAGGTGAGGCCGATATTCTGGCAAGAGCTCGGCGGACATACCAGGTAGTGGATCTGGCCGAGGCAGTCGCACCCGAGCGTGAGCTCGTTCGCCATGGTACCCATACCGTACTCTCCGCTATGTTGCAGTTCAGTAAAGATGGTAGGATCGGTGGGCGGGGATGCTTACACATCGAACGCGTGTTTCCGAGGATGAGGGTGTTCGGGCGCGCCGTAGGGAACGACCATCTCCGACAAGGAAAGGCGGTAGAAGATCGGCCGGACGGTCCCGTCGTCGTTATACGTGATCGTCGACAGCGCGATGCCCTCGCGATGGTGGAATGCTGCAACATAGTCAGCACATGCACATCCGACCAGTACGAATCACACTGACCGACGTGCATCTTCCACTTCTGCCACTCGAGAACGTTGCCGTCCATCTTGAAGCTCACGCCCTCGGGCTGTACGACGTGCAGCGGCTTGATGTCGTCGCGGTACTTGAATCCCTCCTTTTGCGCGAGGAGATCGGGCAGGAAATCGTGTGACTCCTTGGGAGGGGGCACGCGCTTCCGGTTCGCCGACTTGAAGGAGTCCTCGGACAACGGCGGGGGCGCAGTGGTCGACGCGGTGCTGTCCACAGACACTCCGGCGCTCTCGAAGAGCGAGGTCTCGCCCTTCGGCTTATATGAAGGCGGGAAGTCGATGTAGATGACCTTCTTGGTTATCGAGTCGACGACAGGGATGAAGTCCTGCGGGAGGGGTCAGAAGTGTCCCCGCTGTCAAACAATGGAACACTCACAAGAGGATGTGCGTACAAGTTCTCGTGACGCGACCATCTCGCGAACATGAGAGCCTGCTGGATGCGCTTATTTGAGGGGAAGCGCTCATCGAAGCCAATGGCCCAGCCATCGGCGTGCAGCTGATCGGGCGTGACGCCTATGGAGTTGTTCAACACATCATTCATGTCGCACGCAGAGGGGAGCATCGTGAGATGGTGAACGTACCAACTTCTGCCGCGAGCTTGATGACGCGCTCGTCCGCCCTGATGATCTCCTCGCACATGAGCAGCTCCTCGACGGAGATCTGAGGCTGGACATCCTCGGGGAGCTTGTCCAGAGAGTCAACGGTCCAATCTTGACCGTGCAAGGAGACGACGATGTTGTACGCAGCGCTACGTCAAGGTGAGCAGACGAGATAAGATAAGCGTGGATGGGCGTATTCACCCAGTCACGGCATCGACGAACTGCGACGGGTAATCAGCACCACCGATCGTAGATGAGGTATATTCGCGACTCACATCTGCTTCGGCCTTGCGCACGATCTCACTCGCGGGTTCAGGCTTCTCGCCGCTGAGGAGTGGGATGCCGAGGTAGGCGAGCACGGCTTTCTTCGGCGGAGGCAGGAGAGAGCTCGTAATGAACCTAACCGCCTTGATCTCTGTCTTCTCCGCGACGTACCGGCGGACGCTGTGCGATACAGCGACGATCTGCGAGATCAAGATCAGCCCCCCGATGCGGCAGATCTGTATCGCGCGTCCTACGCACCTCCTCAGGAGTTAGGGGGTCTAACGGATGCTTAAACGCAGGGACTTTGAGAGGGCCCTCGGAGGTCTTGACCTCGGTCGCGGTGCTGGGTGCAGTGAGGGGTACAGACATTGGAGGATGATCGCCGTAGATGAAGATGAAGGGGTGGGAGAGAGGCTAATGACTGTGAGCGCCTGATCACCGAAGGCATTTATACGGAGGCGCCTCTCGCGGGCGTGCTATCGGACGGAGCACGCAACGGAGGTCCGCCCTTCTGGGGGCACAGATAGAAGAGTCCGGCTGCGGGGGATGGATTCACGATATCTGCTTCGCCGATAAACGTTGGTGGCAGTCCAATCATCCCGCGCAGCAGTCCTTCATATTCGCGGATGTGGCGCTGCGATGCATGGCCAGCATCTCCAGCATTAGCCGGAGGTGTCTCGAGCGTACCGCTGCAGCGCATATCCTTTAGAACGGGAAATTCACCTGCGTGGTGAGTACGCCACAGATCGAGTCTTACGTTCCGTGGGAGCACTTCCGACTCATCGCTCGACACATGACATTGCCTCAAACTCCCGGGAGACTGTCGATACGCGCCCGACGTGCGGAGGGATTGCTCTTCAGTATAAGCAGATGTGCGCTGACGTTGGGTTAAGGGAATACACCAAGCAACCATAGGCCTCGCACATGTCGAGAAGACGACGTTCAAAACATGGGATGGGGTTCTCTCACCTGGTCGAAAATCCTGAGATAACCCTGTAGATTAGACGATCATATGTGTGAAGATGATGAGAGCTTTGGAATTAGACATGACGGTTCCAGGAAAACTGGCGGGGGGAGGAGCGGTTCGGTCATTCAGCCCGGCGACTCAGGTACAAGCGGCAATTGCCGGAAGGCTTCAGATACCGGTGGCACGGATTTACACCGACTTGTGAGAGCTCTTATTCGAGGCTTTACTTATTGGGCGCTCAACTACGTTGGACGTTGGACGGCTTCGAGCAGAGTAGAGGGCATAATGTGCATTCTTTACAATATCTCCGTAGTGCTGCTGTAATATATTGTTTCTCTTTACCGAAGTAGGTTGAGAAAATGGGAAGGGACACGATGGAGGGCCCAGCGCTTAGTTGGCGCCACTGAGATATTTGAGCGCCCAACATGTAACTTTCAAGTTCCTCTCGTGCACCATGACCATGTCCGTCTGAATTCCTGATCATTGCCGACTCCCAACTCTCTCAACGGCGTTGATTACCCTGTGCTTGACTAACTGTTATCTGCGTCCTTCAGGCTGCATTTGCGTGGTCTCTGCAGTGGCCCTCCGTACGCTTATCCGAAGCAAATGGAGCGTAGTATTGGTGCATGGCATCTGAGTCGGCGAGGAGATTCGACGAAGTGGGTTTGTGTGCAACATATCCAATGAATGCATTACTGAGGTGCTTATAATGATTAGCTGGAATACTACCCCGCTTCCGAACCCTCTAAGGACCGCACAGCTCCATCCGCCGTATTATGGAGTGCCGGCATTGGAAGCCGTTTCTACGTTCACAACTTCGTCAAACGAAGACGCTCGCGCCGGGCTTCTTTCACGCGCGTCCGAAAACGAGCTGGAGCGCCCGAGTCTCTACGCTCTCCTGAATGCCGGCGCCCGCATCAACAGGCTTCCCGCCGAGCTACTGGTCGAGATCATGACGCAGGTACAGAACACAGACGTCTATGATTGGTATGACGACTGGTACGACGCTCTGCTCGTCTGCCGACACTGGTTCGTCGTCGGCTCGATGGCCGGAAGGCTGTGGAAAAGCCTCAAGGTCAAGCACTGTACCAATCTGCTGCGCACTGGCCTCGCTCGCTCAAGAGATGCAGAGCTTGATTTGAAGATCGTATGCCACGACCACCAACGGTTCCTCGACACCATCAGGCTCATCGCACTCCACATCCCCCGTCTGGGAAGCCTCTCAATATACCACATGCAGGACAAGAATGTTCCCGCTTTCGCCAGCTTCATGGAGAGCGCCATGCCTGCGCTGCATCGAGTTCGTGTGGAAGCTTTACCACGTGGCAATGCTGAGAAGCTTGTTCTCGACTTCCCCCCAGAACGATTCCCTCGACTGGAGGCCATTCACATCCGCCGCATCCACACGTTCGGCAACCTGGCTGTCGTCTCGCAGCTGCGGTTCATCAATATCACCGCTGGCTTTGGCAGTAAACCGGATCTCACCGCCGCGACCTTCCTGAATGCCCTGCGCTGCATGGAAAACGTTGAAGAACTCATCTTGACCGACGTGAAGGTGTGCGACCTCGGCAGATGGGGACCGCCTGCATGCTGGGACAGGGTCGCATTGAGCAAACTGCGCAAGCTTGTCGTCCAAATGGAAGGATCACTCATCAAGCAGATGCTTTTCGTTGTTGTCATTCCCGCCGACGCCATCGTCCATCTCAAGATCATTCTCGTGGACGAGGATCTAGTGGGCACCACGGCGAGCATTGCAGCGGCCCTCCCTCAGGACAGTCCACGGTGTCTACCCATCCTCAGCCGCATTATCAAAGGACATATCGTCATATCCACCTCCTATCACTACGTTTGCGGATTCATCGCACCGACGTCGAGCACGCGCGGACTTGGCGATATAGCTCTCCAACTCAAACCCTCTCACACATTCGCCGAAGACGCGACTGCCGGCCCCAACGACCTCGTCGACGTCTTCCGCGGTGCCCCGCTGGAGTCGCTTACTATCGAGGCTCCCCCTGCGTTGGCCGTGCGGACGGACTGGCGGAACCTGTTCGCGCTCTATCCGACGCTGCGCCGCCTGAACCTTACTGTGCACGATGACCAGTGGGGGCCACGAACGCCCGTAGATGTGATCCTGTTGGCGCTCGATCCTGGAGACGGCACACGCTTGGACGCAGGACCTCACGCAGACCTCGTCCTCTGTCCGGAGCTGCGCTGCCTGTGCCTCAACGGGCTGTGGATGGACTCGCGGGAGATCGTGCAGATGGTTGCGACGTGCTTGAGAAACCGCCGGCTGCTGCTGCCGGGGAGGCCAGACGGGCGTGTTCTCGACCAGCTCGTGTTGCGCTTGAAGGATCGCATCCCGACGGGCTATCTCAAGGAGGCGTTCGACAAACATGTTGCGCCATTCGTCGGTGTTCTGAAATACCCCTCGCCTGCTAATATTTTATAGTTACCCCGTGCTATATCGAATACACTTATAATTTCACGAGGAAAGCGTGCTGACTGTGGTATGCATGGACACGTGCGAAAGCAAGAGAAGTTCTGCATCACATCGGTTAGGTACTCGTGCTCAGTAGTTGGACTGCGCTTACGAGTACATTTATTACATACATTTGCAAAGATTAGGGTGTCAGGACGTGGCATCTCGAATTCTATCGGGAGTGAAGTAACGTGTTGCGGACATTCCAGAGGACAGGACGAAGGAATAGGTGTGGTTCATGAGGCAGGATATCGATAAAATGAGGTCGCAGCCGGCGCCGGAGGCATGCAGCTGGTACGAGCCGTCGTCGGGGCTCGCGCAGACCGTGACGGGCGTGGCGCTCTTGAGTGCGGGATGGACGGCCGAGCGTTCGTTCACATTGGGTAAGAGACGTCTAAGGCGAGTGGGAAGACCTTCGGGATTCATTGCGTCGGCCTCACCCCCGATCCGGATATGCGCAGTAGAGGATAGGCGTATGAATGATGAGACATATCCTGTAGTCGATAAACCGCGGAGAGTATGCTTGACAGTCTAAATGTGGGAAAACGTGTTCAGAGGTCGGTGGGGTGGCAAAGTTGGGGCACGGGCGGACGGCCCTCGAGATCATGACGCACCAGTACTAACATCGAATGAAGGTCCAGATCATGACGCACCAGTACTAACATCGAATGAAGGTCGTTGCCTCCGAGTTAGAGTCCGTATCGTCGCCGTATAAATCACTACGCGCGATCCAGCACAACGGCATCCCATTTTGAGGCCCCACTGGCGAGAGGGAGAGGGACTTCAACACCCGAAAAGACTCGAACAGGTGGTCCCAAATATCGGCTGGGGCGTTCTCCTCGATGCCGGTGATGGAAAGATGCCCATTGTACGAAGTGGCGTCGAATATGTCGAGTAAGTCTGCCATGCCGTGCTCGAGGCCCATGGAGTCGTCTTCCAAGGCCTCAGCACTTGTATAGAAGATGGACAGCGATAGTGATGATTTATGAGCACCGTCGAATGCATCTAGCGTGAAGGGAATAACGCAAGGGAGATGTATGTTACTGTTAAAGAGCTGAGGAGCGGAGCAAATGCCGCACGATGGGCGGTCGGAGGTAGAAAGCCGGAAAGCGAGCCACCTAGAAGGCCTTCCCCCTCCTCGTCTCCGGTTGCGCAAGACAAGTCAATTTTGGCGTTGGTCGAGAGACACAGATGTGATACGAACATCGAGATGATGGGGACACTCTTCTCCGCGATGTGGAGGAGAACGAGCGAGGCTAATTTGATCGGTTTCCTGGACGAATCCGAGGGGGAACGGAAATCGCCGATGAGCCCACGAAGAAAGTTGTGTAGAAATAACTCTTCAAGGCGGGAACTCGACGCTAGAGCATGGAGAAACTCGTCCACCCGAAAGGCCTCGCGGCATGTGGAGATCGAGAGGGAGCGTAGATGGGACAGGAGTTGGAGATCCACAGGGTGACACACGCATTCCAAAGAAAGTCGTTGAACATGTGGATGGCGTTGGTGAGAGAGGTGGAGCTCGGAAGCTTCAGGGAGAGGTGCCTTGAACTCTACGGTCTCGAGGGCGGGCATATCGAAGTCGAATATCGGGCAAAGGTTGGAAGGTGTTTCCGACCAGGGGAGGTAGGGCACGGTCAGGGAACGTATGCGAGCCGCGTGAGGAGATATGGTCGTTTGGAAATCCTCAAGGGAAAGGTCCCTTGACGCGTGATGGAAAGTGATGTCGAGGGTCGCCTGAACGGAACGAGTGAGGCATAGCGCCAGCCAGCGTGTATTCGTATGAACGTCGATCGTGCGCCACAACGAGGGCGACCCGCAGACAACTTCGTCCCAATGACGACAGACAAGCCTCAGCCTTTTCCAGGCTGAGGTGAGCGTACCTCTATTCCAGCTGTACTCGATGAAGATCTCAACAAGAAGCTCCGCAGGAAGTCGACTGAGAGGTTGGTACGTGTTCCAGAGTGAGGCCAACGCGGAATCCTGCTTGTCCAGAATAGCCCGCTGTGCGGTGATGGCCGCTCGTTGATTAGAGATTCGCAAGAGCTCGGCACTCATTGATGGGCTGCGTGCCATCATATCCATAGCTGAGTATGGGCTTGTCTCTCCTCGAGTCCCCTGACCAGGCAGACGATGTAGTGATCCGCGAGTGGGAGCGGCACTATGTCGATAACGCTACGCAACGATATACATAACAGTCAGACAAATTCGGATCGTATCACTGCATACTTACTGCGCTATGGTGGACTTCCAGCTGCCACGAACTCGCTCACGACTAGACGGACGGATAGAGGCACAATGATGCTCAGACTATCTAGTGATGGTAGCGGTATGATGCAAAGAATATAAGACATGCTACTTACTTACTTCTTAATCAAGGTTCAATCTCCGAAGATTGAGTAGTTAACCCTAGTGTGATTCCTGCGCCTTGTGCATCTGACTCGGAGTCGGGCGCATCCTCACTGATACGTGCCGTGTCATTCCCTGTCATTCCTCCACCAACTCGGCTAGGACTCCACTGCGAGATAGAGAGCATTCGTACGCTTCGAGCATCGTCGGCGAGAGTTTACACGGTTGTGGTCTCACAAAGACTCCGGTTGATCCGCGTGGAATTCTTATGAAGCTTCACGGTACTAGTACATGGTGAGTAGCATTGACTACTACTAAGCGCAAATGCCCTACTCAACTCAACAAGCCCGTGTAATGATCAACGTCTTCCACGACGTCAAAAAGCGAAGCACGGATTTCGCTGCTCGACTATGGTACAATGTGGTCGCCGTCTGTCGCTCCTGGGGCGCCGTCGCTACTTCTACGCCTCTGCTTTGGAACGATATCCATGTTGACCGACATGTGAACGCCGCACTCTTCCAGGCGCTCCTCGAAAGATGCCATCCCATCTCCACCAAACCCATGTTCTATCTTGTACTCACGCGAACCGACCTCTCGCGCGTGCATGTCCTCCGAGTGGACTCCACGCCTTGTTCGCAGGCCGACTTAGTCGCGGATCTCTTGAATAAAAGCATGTATTCGAGCAGCTCCCGGTCTTGCTTAACCCCTCCTTGAACGAAGATGAAGACGAGGCGAGCGACAAGCGCTTGCCGATGTGTCCTGCATCTTCCTTCTTGCACATCGTGTATCTTCAAGCTACTAGTTGCGGTGCGCTCTTTTCAGTCAGCTTACCACTAAAACACTTCATTCTCTTCTGGCTCTACGCGAGGTGATTTTAATCAACTCTAGCAGCCGGGATGCCGCTGTCACCAATAGTACTGATAAGTAATATACCTGTCGGCGAAAGTACGTGTGACCGAAGCATGCCCGAGTGAGAGAGCAACCTCACGTAGTCCATGTTATAGGGATACACCCAAGCGATAGCATCCGGACTGCACTTAACGGCACTCCACCGCATGCTCAGCGATACCAGAATGCTTCGGGCATGCTGAACAATGCCGAGTTCTTTCTGCGAGGCCTCCGCTGCCAGTGACAGCGGCGAGTATACGGCGTACGTGTATCCTTTTCAGATCCTATATAAGTGCATCTTTGTGAGTGCTTCCGCCGCATTATCCAACTTATCCGTTACTCACCATGTCTGCACAGACCACTCAGAAGCTCATCCTAGTCATCGGTGCCACAGGCGCTCAAGGCCTCGCCGTGATAGATGGCCTGCTCAAGCCCGCCGCCGATGGGTCTCCGTCGCCCTACGCCATCCGTGCGTTGACGCGCAACGCCACAAGTCTCCGCGCCCAGGAACTTGCGCGACGGGGCGCGGAGATCTTCGAAGGTGTGTTGCGCCTGGGAACTCGGACTGCCAAACATGGCTCACGATCCCACAGGCAGCACAGACGATCTGTCCAGTGTCTTCAACGCCCTGGAGGGCGTGTATGGCGCGTTCGTGAACACCGACAGCTTCACTATCGGCGAGCAGAAGGAGATCTTTACCGGGATACGCATCTTCGAGCTCGCGAAGCAGACCGGGACACTGAAGCACTACGTATGGAGCGGCCTCGACTACTCTTTCAAGGTATCGTTTCGTCTGTGCTACAAAAGGGGATTGCCATACTAACGTCTGCGGCGTACACAGAAAGGAGGGTATAACCCCATGTACCGTTGCGAGCACCATGACGCGAAGGCGCGGGTCGGTGACTGGATGCGCGCGCAGCCGTCCGTCGTGAGCGACAGCGATATGTCCTGGAGTATTCTCACCACGATGGCATACATGGAAATGCTCAATCTCGTAAGCCACCCCTACACGACCATCAAGTAGCGCATACTCATCCAGTCGCAGCCTATGTTCGGGCCGCTCAACAAGCGCGCCGACGGGACCTACGTCTTCGCCTCGCCCATTGGCACGGGGCACGTCCCGATGATCACGCTCGCCGACATCGGCTTCTTCGCGCGCCATATCTTCGACCACCGCGCTGACACGTCCGCGCGCGAGCTCGAGGTCGGGTCCGACTGGGTCGACTGGCCGTACCTAGTCTCCACGTTTACTAAGGTCACCGGCAAGCCCGCGGTCTTCCTCCCGCTCGCGCTCGAGGAGTGGTTCGCGCTCTGGAACCAGGAGGACATCAACAGACCGGTCGCGAACGAGCGGGGCGCGCCGGACGGCTCGACGACGTGGAAGGAGAACTTCACATGCTGGTGGGCGCAGTACCGCGACGACGTCATCAAGAGAGACTTTGATGCGCTGCGGAAGGTGAACCCGGAGGGACACAACCTGGAGAGCTGGATGAGGGAGGTCGGGTATACTGGGGACATGGGCTGGGCCCTGCTCAAGAACGCCGAGGACGGGAAGTCACCGCGCCTCGACCTGGAGCGCATCAAGAAGCTGTAGTCGCGTCTCGCTCGGCTGGCTATGTATGTATTGGATTGGATTTGCTTGGCCATCGTGTAGATCCCGCAGTTTCGCTTTTACACACCGTTTGAACCTGATATGATGGAAGCTGCAGCCTCGGACAGTCGGACAGATCCGCGTGTGACAACACCGAGAAGCAATCCATCCCAACAAACGAAACAATCCCGGTGACAATGTACAAACAACTACTATGTAATGAGTGACAACGAACGACATGTACGTACGCGCAGCGCGCGGCACCAACTCGCTAACCTATGCTATGCGCAGGAATTGGTGAAAAGAACGGGCTCGACGTAACTATGGCTGACTAACTGGTAACAGAACAACGCGGGTGCATTAGGTATTACAACCGAACCAACCGACCAACATACTCGCACAAGTAACCTCCCCCCTCTCAAAGATCGAGTCCAGACGGCCGCGCCACCGTGTGAGCGCAGCCGCCGGTGAATGTCATGCAGTCTAACTAGCAAATGTGGATAGTGGATAATCCGGTGCCTAGGGGGAAGCTTACAACGCGATGCCGACGCCTTTCGCCGACCGCAACGACGTCGTGCTCGGCATGCGCAACATCGATGGCCGCCCCGCTGGCACAGCCGATCCACCTCCGCTCAGTGCCCTCGCAGCCACCGGGGGAACCGGCGATGCTGGAGAGCTGCCCGCGGTCCGGTACACCATGCCGGTGCCCGTCCGTGGCTTCAACTTCGGTGTTGTTGCACCTCCGGCGCCCGCAGACGAACTGCGCGCGACGGGGCCCGACCTGCTCGGAGACCGCGCGGGCCCGCTGAAGGGAAAGGGAACCCCGTCCTGCGGCGGGGCGCTCATGATCCCAGTCTGGACAGGGCGCATCGCCGAGGGCGGGCGCAGACTCCCCAGGGATGGTTTCTGGCGGAGCGACCCGGACGACCCGAGAGACGCACGCTGGACGGAAGGAGTGCTCGCAGAAGCAGAGTGTGGCACCCGCGTGGAGCCCGACGGGTCTGTGGCACGTCGAAGGTTTCCCGCGGACTGCGGCAAGCGCAAGGGGCGAGGGACACCCGGCCTCGGGGTCGAGGTGGGGGAGAATGAGGAGAGCGCAGGAGATGGGGCGGAGGTAGTCGACGGTGTCGCGGACGTGAGCAGGTACAGATCTGGGGTCATGTCTGGGGCGCCAGCGAGGTCGAGCCGCGCGGGCACCTTCTTGCCCATAGACCCCGCACGTCCGCGCACAGGCAGGTCGTCAGGCGTGATGGGCATCGGGAGACTCGCGCTGGAGGACGTCGAGGGCGTATTGAATCCGACCTCGTCGCCTTCGTGGATGTAGCCCAGGGCATGCATCGAGAGCGGGGTAGGCTCTTGACCGCGCCGGGTTGTAGAGCCAGCGGGCGCAGAGCGATGTGACGTGACTGACGCGCGAGACTGTGTGCGCGACAGGGCGGAGGCAGAGGACGCGCTCGAGACGGAACTGCTCGTACTTGTCCGCCAGTCGTTTCCCCGACCAGGCATGGAGCGCGGCTTCTGCCACGAGGTAGGCGGGAGCGAGCGCGGCACCTTCGGGAGGACGCCGAACTCGTCCATACGACTCGTGGGCGTGTGTCCGCTATACGAGTGTGATAGCGAGTTGGAAGTGTTTCGGAGGGACGAACTCGATGCGGCGCGCTTCTTCAAAGAGCGCGACGAAATTTGTCGAATGAGCGGGGAGGGCGCGTCTTCATCCTCACTGCGTAGCTCATGAGCGACGCGGACAGGGTGAATAGCTGAGCAACACCCACCTATCACTCCAACCTAGGCCGGTGGTAAGACCGATACCGCCAGCCAGCAGTCTGCCGTCGCGATGTCGCACGCGGCGCTTAACGGTATCGCGTTCATCCTTGAACAGCCCAGACTTCGTCATCACCGAACCCACTGAACGCGATCATGCTCAGTTACGATCAAAGGCGGGATCGGGTGCAGTGCACGTACCTGTAGACGCAACACTGAAGACGCTGCCTGGCCGGTCGCCCGGCAGCGGTGTTGTGCCCCGAGAACCCTGCACCAGTTTCGAATTCGGTGACAACAGGCCATCCTTCACCATCAGGTCGCTATAGAGAGTGTGCCTATCAGTGACAACCCTTCCCAGATAATCAAACGAAAGAAACGTACGGTAGAGGGGTGTGCAGATCCAGACTTGAGTCCGAATCGCTCCCGTCCCCATCCAACTCCTTCTCCAAGCGCGCCTCCTCATCCCCGTCAAACATCTCATACGGCGTGCCTGTCTGGTCGATCGGCACGCCGTAATCAGACACGAATGAGTCCTCGTCCCACACCTCCCCGTCATGCGCATGTGCGGCGCCCGAAGCCATCGCCGTTTGCTCGTACGCGAGCTCGCTAGCTTCCTCCCTCTCTGGACGCGAGCGCGCCCTCGCTAGGCGCACCTGACTGGTGCTCGCCGCGCTCGTGCGACGTGAGGCCGCCTCAGGCACGCCTTCGCTCACGCGCCGTTTCAGGCTGCGCACAGAGCGCGACGTTGAGCGCGAGCGCAGCCCGGAGCCGACCGACGACTTCCGTCCCGGCCGCGGTGTTGTTGCGAGGATCTCGTCGATGTCCGGGCTGTTCGTGCGACGCTGCGCTGGGGGTGGTGGCGGCGGAGGAAATCGTGGGGGTGGGGGTGGCTGTGAGGGTGGCAGAGGAGGCAGTTCCTTCTCTGCAGGCCAGGGTACGCGGGAGCTGCTGCTGGGTGCGGAATGTCGCGGTCTCGGGGTTGCTGATGGACCGGCTGATGGGCCGGCGCGGTCCTCTTCTGGACGGGTGTGACCCTGGCGGGCTTCGATGGACGAGAAGGACGTGCGCGGTTCAGGCTCACCGTCAGGCTCGAGGCGCGCCTGTCGCGAAAGAGAGGGCGCAATACCGACGTCCAGCACCTTCTCATCGTCGCTCAGGTGGTCGGGTAGCGGCGAGTTCAGAGAGATCTCATCGAGCGACATCCGTGTCAGATCTGCGGCGTCTTCTTCGGCGATACGGGGCTGGATCACCGGTGATCTGTCTATGTTGTATCGCGGGATGGGTACCCCGAGAGAACTCGTGGAGGGGTAAGAGCGGAGCGAGCGGGAGGAGTCGTAGGGGGTGACGCTAGTAGATGGTGAGAGAGAGGGCATGCTGGTAGATGGTGATGGCATGCTACTGCCGCTGCCGATGCTGGCAACGGTGAGGACGGAATCGCGTTGTGAGTAGCGACTGGAGGTGGACGCGAGAGACATTTTGGAGCTGCGTCTCGAGCGGGCCGCGGTGATAAACATGAGGGTCTCATGTTCAGTAATGGGGGATGGGCCGGGGACAGGTGGGAGCGGGGATGATGGAGGCCCGGAGAGCGGTTGTCTCGTCGCAGGTGACGGGATGGGTGAAACGAATGGCGAGTGTGCGGGAGGTAGAGGCGAACCAGGCGAACCGGAAAGCAGAGGGGAGGGAGGAATGAATGATGGCGGAACGGGGAACGACTCGAGCAGGAGCGGAACGGTGTCGCGTTTGTCGCGCATCCGCGTTTCAGTTGTAGATGTGGAAGCCATGATAGAGTTGGCTGTCGATCAGTGTGTATCAGTGACATATTCGTTGGGAACATCATACGCAGTAAATGGAAGTAAGGAATGTTTGAATGGCTGTCAGATACCACTCAACGACGAGCAGCGACAGCCGCTGCAGACTGCGATAAAGACGCCGCCACCGAGCTGCTCATCGCCGCACGCCCCGTCCCACGCTGCGTTCTGCTTCGACAAGCGTACGAACGAAGCGACGGGCCTTCTCGACTTGCACAAAAGACAAGGCATGCACGAAAGCCATACAAAGTTGCGACACTTACGTAGCTGCCCGATCGAATGTTTCCCCTCTATCCGCGCGCGTTTATTTGCGATGTAGTATAAAGGGCGAGCTGGGAGGGCTGCGGTCCGGATATGGCGTGTGCACGTCCTGTACGTGTTCGAAGGGACCGTCCAGGGCCTCGTCGAGGGAGAAGGCGGGAAGAGACGTACTAGAGGGTGGGCGAGGGTATTTGGGGGTATCGTTGTAAATTTCAGGAAGCGAGCCTTGCCAGAACGGGGTATCCAATTGTCTTCAACCGCCCATATGGCGTCTGCGCGCTCCGGGCCTGTCGCTGAGCCGTCCGAGAAGGAAAATGAGATGAGAGGAGGAAAGAGGGAGCAGGAAGGGGTGGTGGGCGAGCTCACCGGCGCATCGGTGGTCGAAGAGTCGCGGTAAGCGAGCGGCCATGTTCCCATCCAGCGCTTCGGCATCCCCCACGTTGGTTGTGTTTTCACATCACCTTCCGGCCCAATCACCAAGACTACCGCCCAAACATATCCACGAACATATCCTGTTCTCGCAGGCTCGCACGCCGCTCGAGCCGCCATGCTGGCAGGGTTGCCCTGCGGAAGAACCAGCGCTGCCATGCAAACGAGTGCGGTGGCGTGCGCGCGGTGCGCGCGATCAAATTCTTGACAGTGTATAGGTGCGTTAAGCTGCTCAATTGCTGTATATAGTCTCCTAGTGCCTCTCTCGTCGCCACCTCCTTCTCCTCTGCCGTACGTCCGTGGCAGAGCGGGGGAATGGGGGCGGGAGGATCGCGCTTTGTGGCGCCCTCAGGCTCGGTGCTGCCGGCGGTGATACGGCTAGTGGCCTTCGCACCGTACCTGATGCGCCCTCGCTGCTCGCTAGCGACGCTGCACCGCATGCGCGTAGCGTTCGAAGGCTGTCGAGACTCGAGTCGAGGAGGGCGGACGAACATGCATCCGACCGTGCATGCTCGGTCATCTTTGCAAGTCCGCGATACGCGCGCTCATGGAAGACAGATAATTATGGACGGTCGCGCAGCGTCATAGTATATGAAAGCGGACCGTTCCACTCCAACGCCTTCATCGCGGGTAGTCAGGGTCATCGAGTGCTGCGCGCCCACTAGTTCCCATGCGGCGAGGCCGAAGCCTCCTGGTGCCCGACGTGCCCCTCCGAAGAAGGCACGCACCATGCCATCCCTGACAACTCTTCGGCTTGACGACCAGGTCGACGTTTCGGAACCATGCGCGGGACTCGCGCCGCCGCCGCACCGACATGCCGCCCCAGGCCTCTGACATGCCCACTACACGTGGACGCACCGTCGGTCCCGAATACTCTCCTGGTCCAGCGGCACGACATGTCGCTCAGGGCGGAAGAAATATTAAGAAACGGGTGAACTAGCTTCGATAGGCTAGGCCGTTTGGTGTCTACGCAACGGTACTTACTCTCTGGACCCCGTCACTCGCTGGGCACGGTCAACTAAGGCCATTCCATCCGCGGACCATGCGTCGCAGCCTTTCTCGCTGTCAGCAACATACGATGCTCGCTGCATTCAATGTGAGTGCATAACACTTGCGACTCCGGGGCCGGTGACTCACATCCCGCCAGGAATCACGGTCGCAGTGTACCGTGTTCTGGTCGGGTTCAAGAGCCCTTCGAAAGAAGCAATTTGTGGACGACGTTAGCCTGATGGCATGTCACCATTTCTACATCCGGTCAGTGATCCATTGATCATCCAGGTAAGTATCCACTGCCGGCGTCCTGTCAATATGCCTATGGATAGAGCCGGTCCCGCGTCGGGCGATCGCTCTCATGGCACATCAAGCATCATGTTCTTTGAGCTGGTTGAATCTTGGCACGCCAAATGCGCTATCCAAACCATTGATCCTAAACACTGTTACGGAACAGATAATGACACTTGTAAGTCATCTATCACTTGTCAACGCTGTATCTATCACGAGCTCTGAAGGAACGGGTAGGACCCAGCTTAGACTCCCACCGCGCGCGAACTATACATCGCAGCGGTTCTGTTATCAGCGATGCAACATGGGCAATTATTGTGAGTGCACAACCGCGACCCTCAGTAGTATCTACGCCTTGTGAATACTGTCAGGAGCACGTACGCATAGGAGGCATGTTCCGGTGGAGCTCGAGAGGGTTCTCAAATGAGTAGCTTGTGACGGACAACCAATGTGGCATTCCAACATTCTTCCGCCCATTGATGTCGCTGTCAATATACCACTGGCTGGGGCCGGTCTCGCGTCGGGCGTTCGATCTCATAACACGGTGTATCGAACATGCCATCGTTGCTCCAATCTCTGCTCTGATTCGATGCGCTGTACGAACCAGACAAGAATGCTCTCGAGGCATCCGCCACCAGTCAACTCTATTCTTCTCTGAATGAACTATGCGCCCCAGACAAAGCCTGGACAAAGATCCTCGCCATGCCGCTCCGCCATACTCTACTCGACGTCCTCACCGTGCTGCTCGCCCGTGCCCTGCTCGACATGTCCGCTGCGCCGCTCGCTCATGTCAATCATTGTCCGTCCAATCCGCAGCGGTGTCGTGTCGTTCAACGTTCACATCCCCGGTCGCTCTGCGGCGCGGCATACGCGAGAACGACACCACGCCAAACAGCGTGCATTGCGCCTCGCGCGTCGGCTTCTCAGACGTGCACAGCAGGCAACCTGAGCTACACTTAAACTGTGACAGTAGTGTGAGTACCCGACGAGCGGTACAGGAGCTGCTGCGGCACGTCATTTTGCGCTCCGGCGCTCGGCGTGCTGAGAATTGGCCGTCGTGCATACTCGGTTAGCTTTGGACATTCACCGACGACGACGCGGGGGATGCGGGGTAGCCCTCAGTGGTAATCTGCGCCATTCACCTTTCACTCTATCTATCAATAGACCCCTGCCAGAGCCCATATGTCAGTGTGCATCACTCGCCGCGCGGGGGATCATGTCACGGAGGAAGTATGTACGTCGTTTCCACGGGGGAGGTAGATGCTACCGTTAATATCCATGCCGCTCGTGACCTTCACTGACCTGGCCAATTTGAGCGGATTGGGGGGAGACACCCAGGTGGGTAGACGTCTCCCGAGATGTAGGTTATGTTTCCGCATGAAAGCCGTAGAGGTTACCGGAATGAAAGGACACCCACGCACCTTGTGAACGGTGGTTTAAGTTGAACGTTGTAAGATAACTTAGACCGACGTCATTGCAGCGTATGGATAGGAATGTGCTTGTTTGGAGCATGAAGAACATCGCGACGTTAGACATTCTGCATGGCTGCTGAACGGCTGTTCTAACCTCTGCCTAGCCGGGATGCAGAGCAGAAAGGCAGCGCCAGTAATGCAGTATGGGTAAGTGAGCATTGAGGACAGATGTTACATCCGTGAGAGATGGACGTCGTGATGGCTTACCCACACCCTGGTATCAGCAGCGTCCGGCGGCATTCCCAAACAGTCGCACAATGGCTATCGGACGGGCGAATAAATGAATGGGCTGATCCCACCGGACGGCAAGTCGCCTTCGCTAAAGTGATACAGCGCGCCCGTCAGGCTCCGTCCACCTCTATCCCGGAAATCCCCCCACACGCACCAGCACCCGTGCATTTTTTGAATTGAGCTTGAAGGTTATGTTACGGCGGCGCAGCGATAACGGTGTGTTGGACACTCATCAGCTGCCCCCCGTCTCCACGCGCGTAATTTAGCCTAGGCACGCCAATATCAGCGTCCGCAAGTCGAAGCCAGCGCGGGTTCCCAGCTACCGCACCCGATACCACGGCCTGCGCGCGTAGCAAGGTATGTGGAGGTCTCCTCGGCATCACTCCATCGCCAACCTTGCACCTCCGCCGTCAGAGCTTGCGCTCCTCCGCCCCGCCATCACCTCCGCGATAATCGATATCTGCACGTCGGCTGCGGAAGCACCACGCTCGGGGAGTCCCCGTTGCCAGTCCATGATGTCAACTGCCCGCTAGCCGTTTGCCCTTAATGTTCACCGCGGCACGGGGCCGTCCACAGCGTACACACGCCAATCCTCGTGAAATACGCCATTCTTACAGCCTCCGAGATCCGGAAAAGTCACTTGGCCACTAGTACCTCCGCGCCCTAGCCGGGCTCACCAGGACATTGCCGGCGTGGCCTTCTGCGCCGCGATTATAGCGATTGCTATCACGCGCGCGTGTCCCCATCGCTGAGTGCTCAAGCGGCTGCATTCGTGCGCCTCAGGCTGGCCGTCTGCCTGACATCACCCCGCACAAAATTAACTTGGCGGCGGCGTACCTGTGTCTGTCAGCTGCCCTCCTTGTCGGAGGCAGCGGTTTCAAATATCGCTGGATAATGAATAATGGACGGTGATGGCTCGCCCGGCGCAGCCGCTTGCAGCTCCGCCAGCACTAGTGCGCATGCGATATACGCACCACCAGTCGCGATATTCCGGGCGAACAATGGCGGATCGACTCGACACTGGGACGCGAGGACTCGGGCCTCCGCCGCCCATTCGGGGGCCGGTAGGCTGCCGACGGTCCGCTGTTTGAGTGTGGTGCGAAGCCCTCGCGTGCGGTTGAGAAGCACGCAGGCGTGGCCCGAAGCGCATTCGGGGCATCTTGACAGCGCAACGCGTGCCGGCTAGGGACGGCGTCGGCGACGACTGCATCTCTGACCTCTGGGTGCGCACGGGGTGGATGCGCGCAGACGTCACGGAGCGCATGGATGCTTCGCGCGTGCCTTGGCCGTGTCTCGAGGGCGTGAACGCGGCGTGGATCTTTTGCATCCGTCTGCGGCGCGCGGTAGCCACACGGCTCGCAAGGCAGAAGGGTGCATCGGGGGAAACCAGCGGAGACGGAGACCTGCGCGGGCACCCCTGCATGCAGCGAAAGTTCCGGCTCCGCTGTGTCGAGCTCCGGGCTCAGGCGACAACACAAAGGCGTACGCCGAAGGGGAAGCGGCGCCTGCGCAGGGACGTTGGAAGTGTGGCTAATGCCCTAGCATTGGCGTGCAGATCTGCGATGTTATCCGATGTTCCTAAAGCGGGCGGGTGGGGCATCGACCGCGCGGCGATACGACCCTGAATGAGAGGCTATCGGACACGATCATCACCCGCACACATATCGATACGCCCTGGGCGAGCACCATCGCCGCCAGCGAGCAGCAGTATCGCCGTTGGGCCCATCCATCACGGCTGATACGACTCGGCGGCGAACCCCGTGCGTGCGCGAGCTTGCCGATGGCGAGAGCCCCGCTAGGCGCGAATCTTGCGAGAAGAGTGCCGGGTCGGCGGGCTCGGAGACAACTGCACCGCACTAAATAAAATGCCAAATTAGCGACGTCGCACCAGACCGATGGGAAGCGGACTCGTACCCTGACCACGGCGCGCAATCGCGAGGTGTGCAGACCACGCCGCAGGCCTGGAGGCGCCTGCAATAGCAGCCCAGCCCGTCGAGAAGCGGCGCCCCGAGTTAGAAATTCAGCTCCGTTGAAGCGAGCGCATCGCCCGCCGTGTGCACGGCCCAGACGTTCTTCTTCGCGCCATGCGGCTTCTCGCCCTCCCTCACGGACGCGTCCGGGGAGTCGGCACCGGCGCTTTCTGGGCCAGTGGCGGATCCGTCCGCGGCACGGAGCGTCGCGCGCACGCCCAGAGTCGCGCAGAGCAGCTTGTAACGCGAGCGGATTTGGCGAAAGAGCTTCGGAATGTCGACCTCGGATGGGCCGCCCGCGGACGGATTGGCGCGCGGGAACTGTGCGAGCAGGTCGAGCAGGTGTCGGGTGTGGTTCATCGCACGCCTGTGCGCGTGTGTGGTCAGCGTGAGTTCTGGGAAGCAGCGGGAGGGCAGAAGGAGGCGATAATGCGACGCGCATGGCGATAGGCTGACATAGGAAAACCGCATGCGGAGTCGCGAACGTTCCGCACAACGAGGATTGCGATATTCGCCTTCCCCGGAGAGCCGTTAGGATGTCCGAGCTATGGATGACCTTTTCATCTGGAGAAGAGTCCGTCGAAAAGGGCGACGAGATTTCGTCCCCTCCTTTATCTGATACTTCTCCTAGCCTTTTCCGCCACAAGCACTTGTCCCGAAAAAGGCTGAGGAGAGGTATCCATCAGACTGTGTTGCTCAGGGACTTTCCAGGGTCCGAGAATATCCCAATGCCAGTTGTGCATACATCCCGTAGGACTCCGCCATTTCAGGGCCCAATGTAAGGCATCTGGGAGGGATGTTAAGGGACCTGTCAAAACACGAAGCCCCGCAGCTCGCGAGCTTCCAAGCAGCCCGTCGCCTGGCGTAGAGCAGGGTGAAAGTGCGCACTCATCCTGGGCGGCCTGGCTCTCGCCGACGGCCTTCCACATCATCGCGAACCCCTCGTAAAAACCAAGCTCCTCCCACATCTCGAAGCCCTTCTCCCGTCCGAGGGCACGCCCCTCTATCAGGCCGTGGATCTGGCCGTGCGCGAAGCCGTCCTTGTATCCCTCCTCGTAAAATCTATGGAGTGAATCAGCGATGTCAGTGTCTGCAATTTCCTGGTCATGCGGGCACCTACGTCTGCTCCACGTTCACTAGCTCCTCAAGATCAAAATCCATTGCAGCGGTTTATCGATCTCGGAGGTGGTTCGTTGCGCGAGGAGTTATGCCTCTGTGGTGTAGGTCCAAGAAACAGGTTTGCAGAGTTCTCTCGAAACGGCAATCCCGTCGGACTTTCAACTTCAGACTCCTACGTGAGCGCCCACAATTAGCCGAAGCGCCCGGTAGCACAAGGCACGCACGAATTCCGGAGAGCTCGATCACTGAGAATTACGGTTCGTTCGTTCGCTGTGTGCAGGGATCATTCTCGTGATAGAACGGCGGAAACAAAGCGCTAGTTCCGCATGTCTTTGACAAGTGTTGAGCAGCATGGAGCAGTAGCATAGCATACGAGAGCTCATGCAGAGGTATCGTACATCCTGCAATATTAGGGTATCTAGCGGAAGCCATAAACGAGTGAAGTGTCCGTGTTCCCAAGCCCTGATACCTGAGCCGTTAAACCTGAGACAGAGGAGACGCGTCAGAATACAAGTCCTAGCGAAGAGACGTCACAGCGAGGGAAGGACTTACCAAGCTAAGCTCAAGGGTCCACACTCGTCGCGCCCACAGCTTGATGACCTTGTCTGGCTCGCCTTGTTCTGCGAGGTCGACCTCGATGCCGTCCCACCAGCACTTGCGCTAAAGAAGGTGTGAACGTTAGGAACACATGTCTCGCACGGAGCGGCGCGTTACGTACCGCGGGTTTCCGCCAGAAGAGCAGCAGTTTCTGCGCGGTCGCCATCTGGTTGTAGTCGACGGACACTTGCCGCTCGCCCGTGGGACCGGCTGCGTGGACAATGCCCGTCTTGAGGAGCACGAGGGCGATGGACGATATGCAACACCGTGACGGCTCCATCGCGCGGTAGCCCCATTCATCGTCGCGGTCGAAGCCACTACACAGTAGCCCCGGGGTGAGCACGACTCATGTGGTACTCCCGGGGCGGGAGGAAGGGAAGGGACGGACCTCATGCATAACATGTCAATCAGGTGCTGCTCCGCGAGGTTATTCTCCTTGTTCACGTTGCGCTGCAGCGCGGTGAAGATGTTCCTTTTGTGGAGGAGGTAATCACCGCACTTCCGCTTGAGGTCGAGCAGCGCGTCGTTCGCGATGCCACGCGCATCCGTTGCCTCCTTGCCCTCCTTTGGCGGGATGGAGAAGTACTCGAGCTCCTCGCGGAGGACGATGATCGCCTGCTTGGTCAAGAGCGGATTCTGCGAAGGTGAGGGCCCAAAATCGGACGTAGGCGAACCTCCATCGAGGAGCTGCTGCTGCGCCGCAAGGAGACCCGGAGAATTGCCTGTGCCATAGAACTCTTCGCGCGCATGTTGGAAGAAGGTGAGGACGAATTCAAAGCAGTCGGGGTCGAACTAATCGCGGCGAGCGCAAGTCAGCACGCACGGCCAGGATCGGAAGAGTGTGGTCACGCACATCAACCCCATACAGCTCCTCGTAGTCATCATTATCTCCTCCATCAGATAACGCGGCGCTTTGACGACTTAGGACGAGCCCGTTTGGAAAGAGGCAGAGCAGGACAGATTCGGGAAGGCTGAGGATGTTCTCTCGGTCAACGGAGAATCGCCTGCCGCGCAGATCGAGGAGGAGGCGTGTCAAGAGCTGGGGCTGGAGGTTCGTCTGCACCGGTGTTTGGGAGACCTGCGTGATAGGGGAGTTTGAGAGGTTCACAGCGGCCATGGCGACAGCAGCAGACGGGTGCGTCGGCGAAGTCGGCAGGAACGTGGGGGTGGTGGTCTTCGTCAACGCGCGCGACGGCGGCGGCGGCGAGGGCGAATACGACCAAAGCTGCGCAAACAAAAGGGGTCGTGGGAAAACAGGGCGAATATTAATTGGGGCGGAGCTTGAACGGAAGCGGCGGCCTTCTCGAGGCTTTCTTTCTCGACTAAATTGTTGCAAGGCCGGAAGCGGACACAAGTTCACAGCTGCGGCACACAAACGTGCTTCTGGCTGGGCATCTGACCGGGCGTTCTTGATACGCAGAAAATTGCGGGCGCAGATGAGAAAGCGGCGCACAACGCACGTCTGGTAGCCTCCCAGGCGCAGCGTGAGTGTAAATGAAGGCGAGATCGGACGATGGACGTTGCATCTGCAGCGAGGTGGGTGCGGGCTGTGCGGCGGCCTAGACTGGGCCGGGCCGTCAGCATCGTTGGTTGAGCGGGCAGATAGAGATCGCGGCCGATAATAGCGTCGGTCGACGACGACGAGGAGGGGCTGCTCGTCGTCGTCGCCGGCGGCGAGGGCACCGCGCGGGGGGTGCCATGAAGCTTTAAACGTTCCGGTGGAACATCGAGGGAGGATCTGCTCCACGTTTCGGGAGGAAGGTTTAGCGACGGATCCGGGAAGGCAAATTGCTCACTATTGGGCTGGCTAGAATAATTAGAAAGTCCGACATTGGGACCTATAACGGTATACAGTTTGCCTTATCATCGTTCTCACCATCCCGCGTCCATGTCGCCCCTCTGGACCGTTCTGTCCTGATTCGCGCGTCTCTCTCCTACGCAGGTCCCGCGAGGGATTCTCGACACCCCGCCCCAGCATGACCTCCCCGCACTCCTTCCCGTTCTCCAACCCCGCCATGCCGGGCGACGCCGTCTCCGTCCTCGTCCTCGTCGAGGACTCCGGCCAGATGGCGGCCAAGTGGCCCGACGTTCGAGACTCGTACCTGCCTATTCTGCTCGAGAACCTACGCACGGCCGACCCATCAGTCCAGGTTCGTTTCCAGCCGCCGCCCCCGCTTTCTCTTCTCATCATCCGCTTGCTGTTCTTCCAGATCGAAGTGCGGTGGCTCACCACCTCCTCGCCTTCGCTAGTAGCCACACACTTCATCCAGGATGCCGCTGAATGCCGTAACCTCCCGGACCTCCCCCTCGGACAAGGCCCCAACACCAAAATCTCCCCCATGGTCATTCACAACGCAATAAAGGTCTGTTCTTTTTATTTCTGCCCATACAGTACGCTCACCTTCCCGCTGCAGATCCTCTCGGCGTCACTCAGAGGCCAAAGTGCCACTCGGCACTTCATTCTTGTTGCAGCCACCGGTCCGCCTACTTCCAGCCCGATGAACGAAGCCACGCCTTCTGGATTCGACCCGTGGGACGACATTGCCCTCGTCCTCAAGCAGGTATGAGGCACCACACGCCGAGAACCGCACGCGCGCTGAGCTGATCGATCCCCGATCAGGAGTACATTCGACTCCATGTCATCCTCAATATCGGCGCCGAGATGCGGACCTATCACGAGCTCTTCAAGAGATCGGTGCGCATCTTCGTGCACACGCCGTGTACCCGCTTCTCAATACAGCTCTTCTAGCTTCAGCTCCAGAGTAACTCAGAAGTTCCTGCGTGGTTCTCATCGGACTCCCGGAAGTACTCGATCCGTCTCTCCGGCAGACCGCAATATGTACGCAGTTCCGGTAGGCATCGCTGGTGTTCCGTCATGCCCTTTCACTTCGATGACGTCTCTTCTTCTGCTCAGTGGCCGCGCCTATCCCGCTAATACCAGCAGGCATCCAACAAGGTCGCTATGGGAACCCCAGTCCTCCCCTCCCGCCATCGACGAAATCCGCTTCGCCGAGTACACCTCCAACGCAGGACTCATCTCCTCCAGCGAGTTCGCCGCCCCATCGGAAGGCAGCCACGTCTCCGAGTGCACCCCGGAACCGAGGACGCGGTTCCGAAACCTCCAACTCGCCTCCCGAATCCGGCGGGGGTGGCCTCGTTTCGTACCTGCAGCAGATGCACGGGCTCACAAAGAAGAAGAGCTACGGTGTGAAGGCCCCGAAGAAGACATATTCGGACATCCACCTGCCCATGGCCGGGCGCCCGATCCTGCCGCGCCTGGAGGTGCCTCAGTCTGACATCTACAGCTACCCGTCGTTCGACAACACGCACGGCCCAGAACCGCGAGTGCTCGTTTCCGACTCGCAGTCGCCGCCTAGCAGACGTCACTCGGACGACCAGCTGCCGCCGACGTCGCTTGTGACGCGCACGGGTAATGACGACCGGCGCGCGCGTCGCTGGGGGCCTTGGCTACCAATCGCACCGCTCGCGTCGTCCACGCCGTCGTCGCCGACCTCGGTGACGTCGCCGGGCACACTTGCTGCTCTGCAGAGCCTCGCGTCGATGACGCCGCGCTTGCCAGACTTCGCGACCAAGGGCCGCGGGCAGCCCCCCTCGGCCATGTCGGCAGAGGCACAAGACCTCTACGCGTCGTATGGACCGGGCTCCGTGGAGACGAATCAGTCCTACTCGGTGCATCCTGCCATGGCGTCGCGTCTTGCGGACAGTCATGCGCCATACCCGGCGTCGCCGCCCCAGGATCCGCAGCTGAACGCCTCGCCGACGTACTTTTACTCACGTGTGCCCGGGGGTGCTCCACAATGGTCCCAGCAGGGCTCCGTCGGCGCCTCGCCCGCGTCGTCCGCCTCGGCCCCCAGCCCGAGCCACACGTCCGCGTCGGGCTTCAGCGACACCTCGCGCCAGTACAGCGACTTCGGGTACGGGAGCTCGCCGCCCACGAGCGCGGCCGTGACCCCCATCTCGGTGACCGCACCCGCGACCGCGCGCATGGCGGACAACTCGGAGGACCAGCCGTTCATTATCACGCCCGAGATCGTCGCGAAGTCAGACGCGGACATGGAGGAGGTGCTCCGCTCCGGGGCGCTCCAGGCGAACATGACGCCCGGAATGTGCGGCGGTGTCGGGGTGCAGCAGCAACACCCCAGCCCGATGTTCGCGTCGAGCGAGTCGCTATCGTCACCCGACCAATACTACTACCCTGCGCTCGCATCGCCGCAGAGCCACGCCGTGCACCAGCAGGATGGCGGCTACCCCGTGTACCACCACCAACACCACCCTCACGACGTCGCACACATGAACGCTGAGCTGTCGCACGCCGACGGCGGCCAGTGGCAATACGGCGGCGGGCAAAACGGGTACATGCCCCCCGTCCAAGACTACATCCCGAACGGACACTGGTACCCCTCATGAAGATGATACCCCGCAAGCCACCCCACTCGTTTCCCCCTTGTCGTTATGCTTTCCGGTCCTCTCGCGGTGCTCTGTATAACGTGTCCCTCTCTTGGTTTTTGGTGTTGGTGTTATTGTATGTGCTCTCCTCCCCCTTGCGTATCTCCTCCTCTCGGTCTCTAGGTATAGGTGCTCGAACGATGGGTCGGTCACGGTACGACACGCCCCCGACGCTCCCGCACCTCTCTTTGCATGTATACCCGCGGTAGATATCTACCCTATTTCGCATCTAGCTGTACACCTCTCTCGGGCGTCGGGGCTGTAGTATGGTACGGGGACTTTGCCGGCTGCTGTAAGCTATGTAGCATAACACTTCCTTTCTTGCGCGACCCTTGCGTGCTCGGTGTGGCCGCACCACCACCCCGGACGCCGGCATTTGGGTTTGCACACACGCCTGTCCCAGCACGAGAGCCGATCGGGAGGATCGCCCGCACGCGGCAACGGGCCCTGGGACGCGCTGTCTGGGAAGGCGCGGAACGCGGCCGTCCTCGCGGCGCGTCCTGCCCATGCACGCCAGCGCGCGCACAGCCCGTGCACCGCGGATATGGCCACCCCGCAGACTAATGCCACAGAGCCCAGACAGCGTGGGCACGCGCACAACGCGTGCCGCGCTGCTTCGTCGGAGGATGCGCGCGCGCGGCCCTTCCGACGCCCAGATCCAGATCCACGCACGCTCGACGTGCGACTGCCATCCGCGCGCCGCTCGCGCTTCGGCCTCGCCGAGATTACCAGACGGAATTCGCATCCCGCGGGGTGCTGGCTGCGGTGCGTGCGGTGCTCCCGAGGCTACTCCATCGGGCGCGCGAGATGGCTGTGCTGGCGAAGAACGTGCTTATATGAACGCCCCGCGCGGAGTCTTCCGCGGGCGGCGGAGGTGTTGGGCGTCGGTCCGCACCTTCTCCGCACAAACGCCTATCTTTATCGTTGCCGTTCGTTCTGACTCGGGCATGGGAATGCACGGCGTCTGATCTGGCGCCGCTAAACAGAGTTTTTCTAAATGAGCGTTAGGAGCCGAGGGGCAGAGGTGGAGTGCAATACATCGGATTCGTGATGCATGAGGAATTGGGACGTTCGCGGACTGCAAATAAGCTGATGGCCACCGACGGGGCTGCAACAGCAACTCAGCATGAGCCTAGCTAGCCAGACGTGTATACTCACGATTTTAGTATACTTGCAGAACTACAACAGGATGGGCGTAGAACAGCAGGGATGCCAATATTCAGATGGGCCGACGCTATAGCAGCCAATAACTTTGCGTCAGAAATAAGGACATGCCAGACAGTAGTAAAGATACTCACCAGTTCCCGGTACGAGGGGTTTATAGTCAGCGGACAGGAAAGTGCTTAGTGCTCATTCACCCCTCCCATCTCTGAACCCCCTTCCGCAGATGTCATCTGGAAGATCTAGTGTATAAGTGAGTATCCTGATAACATAAGCGCACGGAGTAAGAGGTCCTCACCTCTTCATACGGGGAGTTATCGAACAACTTGACCGCGTTGGATGCGAATTCCACCTTATCCGCAAGGTGGGAGAGGACTTCTATGCGCCGCACCTCCCGTTGCTCGAGTTCAGCCTTTTCATCCGCCCCAAGACATCCCGCTGTCCCACAGATGAGGCCGAACCGAAGGACTGCCAAGCGCTGGCCTCGTGCTTCTCTGCGCTCGAGGCATGCTGTGAGGTTCTGCAACAACTTGTCCTCCTCTGGATGGCGCGAGACTAACGCCAGCTCGCGTAAGTTCGGGCATAGCACGTTGCGAGGGCCCTGCAAAGCGGCGACGAGAGTGTAGCGCGGCTGGTGTTCAGACTGGCTAAGTGATCCCCCAATCACAGAGAGACGTTGGATGAGCGGGAAGCGTTTGAGCATATGAATCCAGTCCATCATGGTGATATAGTGTTCCCCTACACAGTTGATGATGAGCTCGACGAGTGGGGCGTCGCCGAAGAGCATTGGAAGGTCCCGCGCGATGTCTGGCACGACGGTGTCTTCAACATGCATAGCAATGGTATCGATCGTGATCTTGTGGGCACCGACTGCGCCGATGACGGTGCACACCCCGTCAGCACGCTGCAGCTCGACGTGCACGCGGTCCACCATGGCGAGAATGGGTAGACATGTCCTGTCTTCGGGAATGCATTCGCTGATTGGGCCGTCCAGCCGGTCTTCCTGTTCGTTTTCGACGACTTTGGTTATTGAAATTTGAACCGTGGGGGGAACATAGAAGGTGTCGAGCACGTATGCAGTGTACCAGTGAGAGTCCACGAGGACGAGAGTTCGCAGGGTTTGGGGGAGTGATATGCGCGGCCCCGGGCCCAGCCGTTCATCGTTGCACCTGTACCGACTAATGAGAAGCTTCTCCAACTTATCGCATCTACGCAAGACGTCGTTCAGCACAGCGAGAGACGCCGCAAGGCCGATACAGTCGCGTAACTCCAGTCGCCTCAGTGACGTGCCAAGGGTGGCAGAGAACCTAAGAACGATCCCGCGTAGAGAGAGATCGACGAGATGGGGTAGTTTCTGTTCCTCGGGGCGCCAAGCGAAAACCTCCTCTTCTTGGGATGCGTCCATGTCGTCATCCTCGTCTCCATCTTCGTTCAAGGACGGGTTAAGCCAGACTGTGAGCTTCTCGAGCGTAGGCATGCTCTCATTCAAGAGATCCGCGACCAGGTCGGCCTCCGAACGAGGCGTGGAGATGAATCGGAGAACACGCACGCGCGAGAGGTGGGCGCGTATGAGCGCAAGGTACACTGCAAGCTTGGTGGAGCTAGCGAACGAAACGGCGATGGGGAAGGGAAGGGATCGTTCGAGGAACGCCTGGAAGAGCACGGCGTTCATGTCGGGGCCAACATGAATATCGTTCCAAAGCAGAGGAGTCGAAGAAGCGATGGCGCGCCAGGAGCGACAGACGGCAGCCACATTGTACCACGGCTGAGTTCCGGATTCTGTGCGTCCCTCTTTGAGGTCGCGGAAGATGTTAATCAGGATCTCGGTGGGTAGGCGGTTAACCGGGCTTGTCGAGTTGAGAAGGGCATTTGCGCTGAGGATCTGGAGCTCGAGAGTATCGCGCTGGGAGACGAGGTGGTCTCGCGCCGCAAGGACGACTTCGCGTGTTGACGAGGTTACTTCTGTGAGCTGGAACGGCGAGAGGCCGTAGTACGGGGCCGTCATCCCGGAATTCACTGCGAGGGTGCAAGGACCATCAATTAGCAGCACATTCTTGACCACGACTGATATTTCGAAAAATCATAGAAGTTTACAATAAGATTTCAGGCTCGGTAGACGACAAAAGTTATCTTTAACGGCAAGGAGGGTATGTTCGGCCGTCGCGAGAATACGGACAAGCCATACCGCCGCCAGTCACCTTTCAGATGGCCGTCACGATGACTCTCACATAGAACAACGGGAGTAGACCTCGAACTAAAGCATAGTAGCTAATCCTACTCACCATGTACTAAATACGAACTTTTCTGGTCTTTCACGCGAAGAATGGTGGTGGAGGGATGTCGCAGCCAAGATGATGAGGGAAGAGGACAAGATTCACATGGCAGAAATGTGGGGCTTTCGGGGATTGAATTTTCATTGAGTTTTGATTGAGTTGGCTACTTATAAGTTACACGCCGGGATGAGCGGTACGTTTTTTATCTTCAAGTCATACCGTACTCACCAATAGTACCACCACAGTATCATTACGGTAGCATCGTTGCGGGTCAGCCCGCTCACATAGTAGAAGACTCCGTGCATCGCCTAAACGAGTTTGCGGCACTGCAGTAGGGTATATATGCATCATATGCCAGTCCGAACATATCCAGTGACTAACTTCACATCATTGCATCGCACTAGCGTCCGACTCGTCACGGTCAACCTACGAATTCCCCCACTCAAACACCCCAGCGGGTCAATATCGCCTACCTAGGAGGAACAACTCCATACCCCGAACCCGGTGGCTATGGACACGATAACGAGCCCGTCTATACGTGCCGAGCTCTTGCGGATTTCCAATCAACGAGCCACCATCGCTGTGCAGCGCGCCGCTCTAGAGAAGCAGGATTGCCAACTGGCCTATCTCTGGAACACGTATCAGCATCCCAATCGACTTCCTGCGGAAGTTTTGGTCGAAGTCTTTACAGCGAGCGCCTTGCGTGGCTACATCCCTACCTCCTCATGGATGAGCCTAAGGCTGGTCTGTCGTCATTGGGACGAAGTCGTCTGTGGGACGCCCTCGTTTTGGCGCACGGTCGACGTCTACAGAAATCAGAACTGGCTGGCGCTGTGCCTCTCTCGTTCCGCTCAAGCGACCCTGGACATCATTTTCCATCCCGCGTCATCGCAGTTTCCCATAGAGGGCCTCCAGACGTCACTTTTCCTTCACGCGGCTCGCATATGCTCCCTAACTGTCCTGCACCGTGTCCCACAGGAAACACTCTCCAACCTCCTCCCGTTGTTCGCCTTCGACATGCCCGTCCTCGAGAACGTCACCTTCGTATCGCCTCTTCCCTGGGCCGCGGAACTTCACTTTTCTCACCAACGCCACCCACATGTTCGACGGTTGTATTTGAACCGTCTATGTTGCCCCGTGGATCTTCAGCTCCTATCCAATTTGTGCTCCCTGACCCTCACTACATGCCGCGACGCCTTCCGGGTGGACGATTTCTTCGACCTTCTAGCGTCAAGCTCCCGCCTCGAGAGCCTACGGCTCGACCACTTTCTTCACGGGCTCATCGGCCGGCTTCGTCCGCTTTCGACCTCCCTCAGGCAAACGATCGCGTTGCCTCGGCTCACCGGCCTCCGTCTCACGGAGAGTGATATGGACATCATATCGACGTTCACATCGTATCTGCGCCTCCCGCCCAGCGCAAGCATCTATCTGTCCTGCTACCCTGAGAGCACTCCAACAGTTGACCCGCTTTCCAACTTCCTACCCCCGATCGCTCATCGCACGTCATTCATGCCACTCCTCAGCTGTTCGACAGTGACCGAGGCCTCTCTCTGGCTCTCCTGTGCGAAATATGCGATGAGGGCGTTGGACACCACGCACGGATCGACGCTCTTCCTGAGCATCCACGAGTCGGCGGGAGAGGTGCTAGAACACGACTCGATGGGCCTTCAGCATGGTGTTTCGGACCTGCTCGACCTTTTGGATTCCGGAGCCGCTCCTCTGACCCGTCTGTCCATTGCCGGCCTCGAAGACAATGCCCCGGTCCGGGCTTGGGGCCAGCTATTCACGTCGTTCCCCGCGCTGGAGTTCCTCACGCTCTCCCCGGCCGGGTCTCGGACGCGCGTGGCGACGTTATGGACCGCGCTTCGTGGTTCCGGTGGAGCCGACGCGGATACGATCGACTCAACGACCGTCATTACATGGCCGCGCCTGTCGCATCTGGAGTTCGGAGACGGCTTTATCATGTCCCCCGCACTCTTTTCCCAAATGCTGGACTGTCTGGAGTGGAGAGAGGAAAGGGGCTCGCGACTGCGGTATCTTCAGCTGGACGACCGCATGCACAGAGACGACGGTCAGCTAGCGAACATCTCGACGGACAATCTCGACATAGCACGGTTGAGAACCCTTGTAGATGAGTTAGCGATGTAAGCGGCCGCGCCTCTTTGGTCGGTGGCCGTAGGCTAGTCCAAACCCGTCTTCTTAGACACGACCTCGAGATAGATTTGTTTGTACTACGGCATTGCAACGCGAGCAATATCACAGAGTTCAGCGGTTTCGACGAGTATTTACTGTCCTCAGCAGATGAGATATGTACACGAGCAGTGCTTAGACACCGCGGGGCACTCCTGCAGCCGTGCTAGCCATTACAACAAGCGCAAAGCATCGATTCGGACCATCTACAGTGTAACACAAGATTGCTCGCATACCATGATATCATAGTCAGTGGTATCGGTTTCGACCCAGACGATGCTACGTAGCTTTTGGCACACCGCGCCCCCGGTACCACACCCCGCCTCGCCCCGCCCGCCCGCACCGACGCACGCCGCCCACCACCTATGGTATACAACAAGTCGATAGCAAAGCATGACCAAGAACGCAAGCACGAGCACGAGCACAATCCCACCCCACCCGCCGCCGCCTACACGATGCCCTTGATGAGCAGCCCCTCCAGCCGACAGTACTCGGGCACGAGCGCCGCGTACGCCATGAACGCGTCCACGTCCGGCTCCGCGACCTTCGCGAGCCCGAGCTGCAGCTCTGCGTCCGACGTCGGCATCGCCGTCACCGGCTGCAGCGCCGAGGGCGTCGAGGTCGCCGCAGCGTCCGCCGGCTGCGCGCCCGCGCTCGGGCTCCCCAGCCCGCCGAGGTCGGGCGTCGTGAACGCGGTCGACGGCGCCTCGCCCAACGTGCTCCCGCTCATGGCCGTGCCGGCCGTCGAGCCCGTCACCGTGCGGATGCGTGACATGTCCGTCTCCGAGAACCCGAGCCCGTACCCGCCGCCGGTACGCTCCATCTCCTCGATCTCCTCCTCTTCCTCCTCCACGAGGATCGTCGACCCGAGCGCGGACCGAGACCCGTGCCCATACGGCGTGCTCGCCCCGCTGCCCGCCGCACTCGGCGCCTTGCTCGTGCTTCCGGGCGCGTTGATGTTGGTGCGCAACGGTGCGCCTCCGGTCGCCGCCCAGCGCTTGCTCAGCAGCCTGCGGATCTCCTCCTCGAAGCCGCCGCGGCCAGTGCCGGCAGGTGTGCCCTTCTCCTTGCCCCAGACCCATCGTGCGACGTATGCGCCTCCGAGGGCGGCACGCGCAGGGAAGCCAGGTGCAGGTGTGTTGCGGTGAGGGATCGCCTGCGCAGCATCGACCTGGGTTGTAGGCATGAGCACTGGCGCGTTGAAGACGTCGCCGGCGAGGTTGGCGATGGACGGGAAGTTAGCCGCCGCGCCAGTAGCGAGGATCCGTGCGGGGAGAGTCGCGTAGTCATAGGGGTCGAATGGAAGACCCATGTTGTTGCTGTTGTTGACACCAGTGGCGCGCTTCTGCGAGGCGCCTGTGATCGGGCTGGGGGTGGCGTTGGCGTTGCGCGCGCGTCCGGCGGCGGCGCCGAAGACGCCAGCGGGGATCGTCCTGGACCAACGGACGCGGAACGAGATGATCTGGCTCTCAAGGAGGCAGCGCGGGTTAGCACGCAGATCGCGGAACTCGTTGACCTTGACGCCGGTCTCGAAACGGTAGATGCCCTTGACGTGGGCGAATGGATAGGTGTCGCCCTGGAGGAGCCAGAAGCTGAAGAGCTTGTCGTCGAGACTACACGCGACGTGTTAGCGTCGTTCGCCGTGCGCATCACATGTGACTTACCCAATTGAACCGCCTGGAGGAACGATAGCGACCAACCGGTCGAACGCACTCCAACTCTTGGTGTACATGTCGCGCACAAGTGCACGCGGAACGTCTGCGTTCCTGATGGCCGCTGTGAATAACGTCCGTGAAGTAGCCCACAACACGGACGTACCTGCTAGTAAGCGTGACGATGTAGCGTTTCTTTTCGCTGGCGTCCTGTGCGGGGTGGGGATAGAGGTTGTACAGGCGGGTAGGGACGAAATTCGCCGCAGGCGCCATCATGACGTCCATGGGTCCGAATGTGAGCACCGCGTCCGAGGGCGAGGGGCATAGTGAGAGGTACGTCGAGAGGTAGTCAGACGTGAATGGCGTGATGATAGCCTCTGCGTGAATCGGTCAGCGCATGACAACAACGTCCTGAAGGACACCAACCGGGGTCAAATCCATAGCGGTCCACCAGGTACCGCGAAATGCTGCCTATCCGCCTGCGCCCGCCGGAGATGTCGACGTCGCCCAGCCATGTCCAGATGCGGTGGCCCTCTTCTCGGTTCCCGCCGACGATCTCCATAACGCCTTCGTCCCAGTGGCTCTGCACGCCCGGCTGAGAGCCAGAATGTACCCACAACCCGGTGGACGACGCCTCCGCCTCGCCCATGCTCGCCAATTGACCCGTCAGCAGGCTGGCGAGGAACGAGCTCGCCATTTGTATGCGGCCAGTGCGCGCCCAGATGTCTGGCCAGGCTTCGCGTACGCGGAGAAGCTGAGCAGCGACGAGGGAGGGGTGCGCGCACGTTCCGACCCGCGCAGACATGAGGTCGGGGCCGCCGAGGGCGGCTTCAAGCGCGAGTGCATGCGTGTGTGCCGAGGTGTCCTGCGCGATGGGAGGATTTTGCAACGAGAATGACTGGGATGTGATCTGCGCGTGTATCGGTAACCTCGGATCGAGCGCTTGCAGTGGGGGCACAGGCGCCTTCCACCAGACCAGAGCTTGCTGAGATATATGAGCAAGTGTCGGAGAGGTGTGGAAACTGAGAAATCCGTCATACCTGGGCTGCACCGCCGATGGCCTTGATCCTGGCCAAGTCATAATTTTTGCTGAGTTTCTCGAGGAGCAGGTCTGCGGAAGAAAGCGGTACGCGATCACACGGCGTGATCGGAGAAATACCAAGCGATCAGCACGAGCGCCAAAAAAGCTTCCGCGAAGGTATAAACATACCGAAACCCTTCAACCACATCTCCACCGGAGTGGTGTATGCATCTCCCGGCGTGGTGAAGATGCCGCCCTGTGTTCTGTCATCGAACGGCTGGTCAGTAAAACATGCGTAGGAGAACGGACGAAATTGCGTAATGGCCGGATAAGAGGGAGGCTAAACGGAATAAGGAGATGCCTGCAAGCGTAGGAACTTCGGAGGGGGCCGAGAATCCTGGCCATAGCTACGCATTGGGTCGCCATTCCCCGCGAGCTAGCGTGATACGAACTCACGGGGAGTTGTTACGGCGACATCCAGACGCCTGCTATCCGCTCCTGGCAATTGGGAGTGCCCGGCCTGGATATGCCATGTGGGAGGTTGAGCCACCGTCCCTGTATAGCGAGAGCATGCGAGGAGGTTTGTGGGTCACCCGTCGTATCTCTAACTCACCAACCTCATGGGTAGATCGAGTCGGTGACTCCTACAGCCGCTTCAGAGTACGCATAAGACACGCATTCCCGCACTCTTGTTTCTGAATGAAGCGGCACGAACAATCGGCACACGCCGGCTGCAGCAGGCTGAACCGGTGAGACTTCCGCTGTGGCCAATCTCGTCCACACAGTTTGCTAGTTTCGCTTCGCAAAAAAGCGGACGTAACGGCGAGTCCTGCAAGCGTTCGTACCCGTAACCGCACAAAAGCCGACCATCGTAACGCAGCAAGATGTGATCGCTGTGGAAGAGCTCCGGGCCTCGCGAAGCAAATTGCATCCACACACCATAGGGCAGGAGTGCCGGCAGTTCAGCGAGGTGGCGCGTCGTAGAAGTCGGTACAAATCTCGCAACGGAGCACGTCGTCCAAGCCGCACAGACTATCCCTTTGATGCACAAGTGACGAGGGAGCGTGTGTACCCTCGCCAATTGCGCACCTGCTCGACCAATCACTGGAAGAACGCGACATACGCAGGAAAGGAAGCGTGTCTTTGAACAAAGTTTCGTCGCAGCACTTGCGGCAGTTGCTACATGCCGCACCCAAAAGTTCTTGGACTGTATATAGAGGGCATTGGTCCACATACCGCTCTATTGTGCACAGACTTCGAGGGGCGACTGCGACGGTCCTCAAGGTCCAGGAACCCTAGCACACGCCGAGCTCGACTGAGGTCTGAAGTCATTCGCGGGGCTTTGTAACATGGCTTTCGGATTCAAGGGATCCTTCGGCTGCGTAACATCCCGCCATAAGTTCCCCGCGAACAGCTTCAGGGCTACCCCACAAATCCTTCACAGCTTAGCCCGCTGCTATCTGCAGATTCCTCGGTGCGCAGATGGCACGGTAACGATTGGACGAAGACACATGCATGGAGACCGCGAGACGTAGCAAAGCGAGAAGGACTCACTGATACTCTTGGATTTCCGTGTCAAAGTCCACCACCTCGACACCGACCAACTCCAGGTTCTCGTCCACTATTGATGCCCTGAGCTGGTCCGTCGCGAGCTCCAAACCCAGGAAGAAAGCGGAGAGTGTCTTGGGGGGCATGTCGGAGTCCTGGTGTGTGAAAGCAGCGTCCCCAGCGAGCCCGGAAGAAAATTTGTCGTAGCGGTCGTGTCGTGGTCGTCGGAAAGAGGGAGCGTTGGCGAAGTTCTCAGCTTCTGCACAACATCACCATCAGAGCCGTATAACAGTTTGTTTGCCGCCTTCCGCGATGCCTCATGTAGGCGTCTATTCCTTTTCAAAGATTACGCCACTGCAAGTCCCGCTTTGGGCATGATTGCTCCTCTATTTAAATTAACCCGGGGACGCTCATATCTTGCGACCTGCGTCGATCAACTATATAGTATATGGAAAGTGTGTGCGTCTGTGTGCGGCAGGTAAGAGTGAGAGGAGTGAGGTTAAGCTTGGGTGTGGGCGGGGGAAATACTGAAAGCTGCAAAAGAATACCCGCCGAAGCTACCACTGGCTAAGTACTTCCTCCTGCTACACTGCGTACGTACTTTGTACTTGTACCACAGTACATAAGGAATACATTCGTCGCATCCAACCGAGGGCGGATTCACTGTCACCCCAACACCAACTCATCGACAAGGCCCCGCAACCTCGGTATGTCGAGAACCTCCTCGGCTGTGTCCGTAACACGACCGTGAACGTCTATGTATGAGACATCTCTCAGCCGAAGGTATTCCAGCCACGAACCCCCTTCCCCTCTCCGTGCAAGGCAATTGAGCATTTCGAGGGAAACTTCCTCGGACACGGGCATACCGCCCTTGAGTTCAAGCCGCGACAGTCCCGGGCACCGAATGGCACTGGTGGCTGAGTCGGGATCCGCGGTGTTGTCATCTCCGAAACCGCCAAGCGCGGTCCAGAACGGCGCCATATTGCATTGCGACTCTTCCGGGGAGAGGGAGAGAGACTCTAGCGTCGAAAACGTCCTGAACAGGTGGTCCCAAACACCGACTGGAGCGTCGTACTCGATGCCGGTAATGGACAGACGCCTCAGCGGGGCGGTGCCGAGGATTTCGACCAAGTCAAAGACACCTTGGTCGAGGCGCATAGGACCGTCTTGCAAATCGCCGCCCGTGTATTCCATGGACAGTGAGATTGACGAGCCATGAACGACGTCGCGTGCCTCTATCTGGAAGCATGAGAAGAGAACAGAGAGGGCGACGTCTGTCACTGTCGAAGAGCTGAGGAGTGGAGCGAACGCCGTGCGCTGGGCGGTTGGAGGTAGAAGGCCGGAAAGTGTTTCACCCAAGAAGTTACCCGCCTTGAAATCGGTATACCCCCGAAGTTCAATCCTCGGGTTGGCCGGGAGACGTAGGTGGGATACGAACATCGATATCATGAGGGCGTTGTTCTCCGCGATTCGGAGGTGGATGAGGTGGCCTAACGTGATCGGCTTCCTGGAAGAAGGCGAGGGGGGACGGAATTCGCCGATAAGCCCAGGAAGGAAGTCGACGAGCAATAGCTCTTCGAGGCGGGAACTTGACGCCAGAGTATCGAGAAACTCGTCCACCCGAAAGGCCTGGCTGCATGTGGAGATTTTCAGGGAGCGCAGATTGGACAAAAGCCGAAGATCTACAGGGCGGTATGCCCGGTGCAGAGAAAGTCGTTGAACGCGTGGATGGCGTCGGTGAGAGAGGTGGAGTTCGGATGTATCAGGGAGAGGTGCTATGAGATCTACCGTCTCAAGGGCGGGCATATCGAAGTCGAACAGAGGGAGGAAGTTGCTAAATGCTTCCTGAGAGACGTTACTGGCATAGGAGGAGCGCACCGTCAGAGAACGTATGCGAGCCGCGTGAAGAAAGAGCGTCGTCTGTAAATCTCTCAAGAGAAGTTCCCTCGGCGCAAGGCGAAAAGTAGGGCCCAGTTGGACGGTGATGTCGAGAGTGGCATCAGCGGAATGAGCGAGGCATAGAGCCAACCAGTGGATGTTTGTGCAAACGTCGATCGTGCGCCACAACGAGGGCGTCCCGCAGGCAACTTCGTCCCAACGACGACAGACAAGCCTCAGGTTCGTCCATGCTAAGGTGACCGCATTTCCATCGCAGGCGTATTCGGTGAAGATATCAACGACGAGTTCCGCAGGAAGTCGGCTGAGAGGCTGATACGTGTTCCAGAGTGAGGCCAACTGGGAATCTTCTTTCTCCAGAGCGGCCTTCTTCGCCGCGATGGCTGCGCGTTGTTCAGAGATTCGCAAGAGCTCGGCTCTTATGGACGGATTGGGCGTCATCGTATCCACAGCTGTCGCTCTCGGGCTACGGCGTTGTTCCTTCTAGGCAGACGATGGTGGGCCAGGTTGATGGCGCTATGCAACGGCAGTAGAGTTAGATATGTTCGGACTATATGGTAGCATGTATGGCATACTAAGGTGAACTTCCGCGATCGCGAATTCGCGCAGACGATGGAGGATGTCTTCCACTAGGCGGAGGGATGAAGAAGGCTCAATGATATTACCCAGCGATGGTGGTACAATGCAGAGCCTGAGTGCAACGTGAGCGACAAGTTACTTGCCTGGTACGTTATCGCGAACTCAATCAGAGTTCAATTTCCGATGAACTAATAGCCCTGAAAAGTAACGGGATTGTCAGGTGGTTTCCAGAGTCATCGCAATGTGCACTTACGTCAATCCACCATAGAAGAGGCTCTTCTTTCCAAATGTCACGTAATCGCAACACCTATACCTATCCATACATGTCCAGACTCACAAGTGCCTATGCAACCCCTGCAAGTATCATTCGATGGGCTGCGCAGACTGAAAGTGCAACACGTCGAAACCTTGCCCGTAGTGCGCGTCCCAATCAAAGTCGCTCTGATGGTTTTCCGCACCAAACGCGATTATGAGCTTCTCACTCTCCTCGCCCCCACGCACGACTGGCCTAGCCTCCTCCCGTGTCTTCCCCTTTGCGCCCTGGCCAAAGATATGCCGCTCGTCGCGCGTCAGATATGTGCCGATGGTGCGGAAGGTGAGGCTGATGCGTTCGCCGAATTTTTCGCGCTCGGGAGCCCGCGCGATGCCGTGCTGCCACCGCGCGTTCGTCCGTAGGCCCATGACAAAGATCGAGTTGTGTGGAAGAGGCACCCGCTGAACACGCCGTTTAGGGGCGTCGGAGTTAGACGTATCCAGGTCGGCGTTCGAGTTCGCGAGCGCGTCCTTCTTGGTGCGAAGCGTCATGATCCTCTGGGCGCCCAAGCTGACGTTGACGATCTTGGAGCCACGAGCGACGTCGACTGTCTTGTCTGAGTGCTCCGAGATGTAGTCTGAGCCGTTTCGGTAGTGTTGAATGAGCGCGTGGTTCACGGGCTCGTTCAGGATCTTCGCGACGTGTCGTCGTATACGCTCAACGGTGGGAGAGAAAGGGAGAAGCGGAGGAGACTCGTCCGCTGGATGGCGATATAAGGGCTGGCTATACACACAAGTATTAGTCTGGATTATGAGACATGCCCCATCGCTTGACGGCATACCTTCCGTCTTCTAGGAGTGTGCCTTCGACAGCCACAAGCCGAGGAACCTCGCCACCTGACGAGAAATCAATGTCTGACTATGAGTCCAACATTGCGCAGTCCTACCTCTGTGCGACATTTTGTTCCACTGCACTTCCTTGAGCAAGTTCTCGAGAGCCGTGTCCGCCAATTCTGGCGGCAGAAAGTCATACAAAACGTAAGTGTCTCCCTCGCCGATGGAGTCTCCGGGGCCGAGGAAAGTCTGTTTGCTGGTCATGTCGCTGCGCTGGTTGTCTTAATGTCAATGGGGTGGTAGTTGTCCACGCGTGAGGGAGCGATGTCGAATGTGTAAGTACGGGTCCGACATGAACGAGACAGAACTCGGCGAGACGAGACAACGATCGCAAGCGCTGGAGCCACGCGAGCACTTTAGATCTCGGCATTCGCCGTTCTCCCCGATCCTGACCATCCCAACCATCCAGTAAGTCTGGGCACCATCTTGTACGACAACCATACCCTTCAAATCGTTCTCTAAGATGGTGTCATGTGAAACACACCAGCGGCAGAAACTAGCTGTGAATATCGGAAGATATCTGGCGGAGGTGAAAATTTACCACTAACTCCGAGTCGTATGTTCGTGGCGCCGCGTTCCCTACTGCGCATAGCCGGGGCAGATCCCCCCGAAGGTACCGTTCACGACTGGGGAATACAAAGCATTCTAGGTGCGCGTGGATTGTATCGCAGGCGAAGATGTCATTGAAACTTTGGCAGTGCGTCTACATCGAACGACGTCCGGTTCACTATGCCAAGTATGCTTTTACGCGTTCTTTCCCCCCGTTCTCCCACTCGTCCCAGCAGAACGACAGCACGACCGAGTCGCGCCCCGCCTTTCCGGAATGCGCGTCTCCTATCCGCCCCGGCCTTCCCTCCACCTTCAGTGTATCCGGAACAACCCACAACCAATTGAGCACCCCCTCCTTTTTGAACCCCATCTTCTCCGCGAGACGCGTCGACGGCGTGTTTCGCGGGTGCGCGCACCACACCACGCGCCTGAACCCGATCCCAGGCAGCGCCGTGCCGGGTAGCTCGAGCTGGTAGCGGAGAAGCAGCCCGACCATGTCCTTCGCGATGTGCGTCCCGCGGAAGTCGGGGAACACGAGCACGTGCGCGGTCTCCGTGACGAGGTTCTTCGGCACGGTGTGGTACATCCCGATGACCGCCGCGAAGCTGCCGCCCCACTCGGGGTGCTCCGCGTCCGGGCGCGTCTTGTCGATGACGGCGAACATCAGGTTGTACGGGTCGCGCCGGACCTCGAGCTCGATCCACGCGAGGAACTCGGGCAGCGTGGCGAAGGTGAACGGGTAGTAGCGGAAGTTCTCCGGGTGGCGGCCGGCCTGCGCCCAGTACGTCTCGCCGTGGACGGAGGGGATGAAGGGCACGAGCTTCGTGCGCTCGTTCTGGAGCGTCTCCTCGTGGATCGGATAGGCGAAGTTGACGTCGTATGGCTCCGGGCCATAGATCTCCTCGGGCAATATGGTCCGTGCGGGCGGAGGTTGGTGGTTGTTCACGTACGCCATGGGGCTGGATGGAGTGCTGAGGTATGTCGTGCAAACTTGAGCTCGCGTCGACCAGTCTTGTACTGCTTTGCAGACATGACTCGGGCTCGGACACTGAGTCATGCTTTTGATCGAGGGTAATGGCGTACTCGGCGTGGAACATGCGCGGGGTTTCTGACTTGGCTGAAATCTGAAATTGAACAAAACGTAAGAGAAGTGCCTAGTATATTCAAAAAGTACCTACTACGGTCAGGCGTTTTCGATCATCATGTTCTTGCGCGCGCGATCGAGTCATGTCGTCGACACCGCCGGATGCCTTTTTGCGATCACGGAGCTCCGCTGCTTCACCTTGCATACGTTCCGCAGCATGGGTATACCGTGACTATGCCTACACGCTCAACTCGGCCGAGCCCATCCTATGTAAGGCGCGGCCGCACATAGATGTCCGATACTAGTCCGAGTGACATGATGCATGAAGAGACCAGTGGACGCCCAAGTCTATGTATCTGCTGACCTTCAGAAAAGTTGACAGGCAGAATGATGGAATCGATGCTGAGAGTCGCAATGGACATGGCGGGTGCGTGAAGGTTCAAATTCAGCGTGAGCAGTAACCAACTGCCGTCTTTCGCATTGAACGACTCCTTACCTTGTACGGCCCTCCTCCTTTACTGCATACGTCCAAGTGTGCATAGCCACCTACACGCAACAGCAGTAGCGGTCGAGAAAAGACAAAGAGCCTCTGGTTCTGCGTCGCAGCATTACACAACTCGCACGGCATCATGACACGAAATCCGATTCAGAGAGTCTCAACGGTGTAGCATAAATTAAGCAGTCGCAGATATGCCAAATTGAATATTGAAGTACTTACATTATAGCATACAATACAACATCCTCTCGACGAACCTACCAAAAATCCCCGGCCTGAAAATCCAGGGCTCCGACAAGCGGCGCCAACCGCTCCGAGAAAGCCAGCCGTTCTTGCTCGAAGGTCACTTCATCGAGGTGATCCGCTAGGCCCAACGCGAGCCTGAGGTCGTCCAGAGCGTGCTCGCCCGGCTTCCCCAGCTTCTGACGGCGGTTCTCCAAGCATGTCGCCGCGGTGTCCAAAAACGTGGCTGATGTCGCCTCCATCCCGTACAGGCGCAAGGACCGCAAGTTCGGACAGAGAACCCTGTCCGCGCTGGAACCTGCGTCCTCCCCTCCGCCGGAGCCTGCGTCCTCCCCCGCGCTGCGAGTTGAGGATGCCGCCGTACTACCAGGGTCCAGGACAGAGAAGATCTCCTTCATGAGGAAAGGGAGATCGTCTTCCATAACACTGAGATCCAGGATGCGCAGGGTTGGGTTCGTCGCGAAGAAATCTTGCCAGTCCACCTGCGAGGCGATTGCGGAGCTGATCTCGAGGGTGATGCTCTCCAACGTCGAGTCGCGGAAGACATCAATGATATCCTCGGGGCCGACGTTCAAGTCGCCGCCCAAGCCGTCGTCGGAAATCTCGAGCGTAAGGTTTAGAGGGGCCGTGTCGATCGACCTCGGCCCAGTGGTTATATACCCTTCAATGGAGTGGATGCCAGAGTACATGACGATGTGCGCCTCGACGATGGTGGTGAGCACGGGTAGAAAGCGCCTGTCCTCAGGAAGAAACGCGTTGATGTTCCCGGTGTTCCCCGCGAGTGTTTCGCCCTGAAACGGGGCGCTCAAAGATACGGTGGCATCGGAGGGAATCGTAATCGCGGAGAGCAACTGTTTGATGAGTGGCCCTTCCGTGTTAGTGACGACGAGCTTCTGCAGTTTGCTCAACACCACACTGTCCATTCCCGCAAAGGGCGATGCGTTGCCGAGGTCGCAGACCCGCACATTATACAGGATAAGCTCCTCCACCTTCTCCAAGCGGCGCAAAGCGTCCAAAAAGGTCGAGGTTTTCAGGGTGGGCGTGCTGCGAAAGCAACCTGTGAAGTGGAGGACCCGCAGCTGCGGGAAGCTGGAGAGATCGCTGAAGATGTAAACGCGCGAGACCATGAGCTCCTCCAGCCGAGGGAAGCGTCGGGGAGGGAAATCGAGTACAAGCTCATCAGCCTGGGGATCGATATAGACAAAGAAGTGACGCAGCGCGGGCATGACACCGTCCATGAACTTGATGAGAGCCGGTACGATCTTGGATGGAACTTTATAGAGCCTGAGACCACGTAGGCGGTGTAGGTGGGGCGCAAGAAGGGGCGCGGCATCTGGGAGGGGGTGGGTGGAAAGACCCATCATATCTATGGTGACCTCTGCGTTTCTCGAGCGCGCTAGACCGGTGCGTAACAGGTTCGTGCTTCTCACGACTATGAGGTTTTTCCAGAGCTTTCCCGCCGTCGAACCAACGACGAACCAGTGCCTGCAGACGCGGAGAATATTGGTCCAGTCAAAGTCACCCGGGCTATCTATCCCCTGGATGTGAACGAAGATCTCGACAAGCAGCTCGATGGGGAGTTGGTTGATGGGAACCCCGGCATTGAGGAGAGCGTACATGCTCTGTAACTCGAGCTCTTTCTCGCGGGTTCGCGCAAGAAGCGCACTGCGTTCGTGTGCATGCACCGCTGTGACCGTGGACATGTGCTCTATCGCCTGAGCCCCGTAGTACGGCGGATGGAGGTGCATAGTCCTCAGGGGGTCCAAGACGGGTGTGGTGTCCGTACTGCACAGTGGCTAAGTAACATATCCACCAGGTATTGGAACGAAGCACTTACTTTACGATTGTCTGTCCGCCAAGCATTCGTCTCCAATCCCGCAGGTTAGCAAGACTTCCCATGGTTTGGAAAGCAGGCAGAGGGAGTGACTATGTGGGATACGGACAAGAGGTCTCGGATCTCAGTGGCGAGGCTGAGGCAGGAAGTAGTCGAGAATCTAGATCGCACAGATCTCAGATCTCGGGGGGTTTGTTTTATCAATTTTGATATAATCATCGTAATCACTCTCACCTAATCAGACTCTTCCTCCCGCCAATGTACATCCTTTCGAGTTGTTTTCACCGCCGCGGCAAAGTCCCCTCTCGCGCAATACTAACAATACAGGATGCGCGCATCGCGTCATGACGTCTCTCAAATTCACTCGTGCGGAGTCGAACCGGCACGAGACCCATATGTGGTGAAGCAGAAAGTCATAAATTAGCCAAATATAACAGGCGGGGGTTGCGAAGTACACATGGCGCCACTGCGAATAGCTACGAGCGCAGAGTTAGGCTGGCGAGTGAGGCGAGCGTCCGTAGGGATATACGTATACATGCGAGTGTGGACGTGCTGGCGCGAAGATGGGAGCACTGGGTGTGTGTGGCAGGGATAGTGTAGCAATAATACAGACAGGGCGCTGTCTATTTGCGCGCGGTATGGTGGTGGTGGGGGTGATCAGACTTGGATCCGATCCCACTGTTTCATGCACGAGTATCCGTCGTAGTCTACAGCGTGCCGTCAGTATGGGTAACGCAAGCAGGTAGGGGGGGAAATGGGACGAACCAAAGTTGCGCTTCGGTTCGCAGTCGCACTTCCCGCGCGCCCACGAACCCTCGCCGCGCGGGCAGTGGATGTACGGGTTGTGCTCGTATCCGATCTCGTCGAAGAAGTGGATCTGGTCCTTGTTCGCAAACAAGGACACTGCGATGCTGTGCACCGGCGCGTCGCCCCAGCGCTACGATCACGAACGGCGGCGTCAGGATGAGGCTCATTGGACGAGCGGGAGAAGAACGCACCTCGTAGTAGAAGCCGCCGGTGCGGTCGAGGTGCTCGAAGAACTTCGTGTACGCCTCGTCGCGCCAGAAGTCCATGCTCGCGATCTCGAAGTTGCTCCAGACTGTGCACGCGTTCAGTCAGCATCTGTCTTCAGGAATGCGAACGAGATATACTCACAGTGGCAGAGGTTATACGAGTCCCCGCCGTCATCGGACATGTACCCCATTGCGTTGTTGGGTGCGATATACTCTGGGTGTTTCTTGGTGAAATCTGCATGCAGCGTAATCACTTGTCAGTAAGTCGATCGAGGTGCATCCTGTAGCTTTAATCCAAACCTTTTACGGTATCCCAGAGCGTGGGGATAGTTGCGCGGAACTCGTACATCGTGATCGTAAAGGCTAGTAGAGGTAGGTGCTCGAGTCAATGCTACACGACCGAAGTATAAGAAGCGGACGTACCATAAGTCTTGTTATGGTCTTCCATGTACAGGAAGGGATCGAAGTCGATATCGCAGTGGAAGTGCACGTCAGGCCTATGTTTCGGTCAGCGCGTACCTCGTGCTCCCAAAACGGAATACGCACTCTACCCGCCAGTACCACTTGTACTGCTGCAGCAGTGGATGCCTGTAGAAGAACTGCAATGCGAACGTCAGATGCGGCTCTCACTAAACTGAAGGCAGAAACGCACCCCGGAGTTGAAGCGGCACATATTCCGATAGGACACGCTCCCGCCGTAGATGATGTTGTCCGCCACCATCTGGTCGCGGCTCGCCTTCGCCTTGTCCTCGTCGACCCAGTCGGGCTGATACCAGTGGTCGTGCGGGATCTGGCCAAAGGACACCTCGCCGTTGATGACATTGCTGATGCGTCTGAGGAAGAAGTTCAGTTAGACCTCTCCGAATTCGAACGGGAAAAACAGCAAATTTGAGAGCAAAGCTGCATCCACGCATGCCACCCATCACGCGGCATGCTTCGTCTAACTGCGCGCGGCGGTGCAAGAAGCACGACGCTGGGGCGCCATCGTGCCATAGCGACAGGGCGCGGCGTGTTGAATATCACGACCTGGCATGCCAGAAGCACCTTTGCATCACATTGACGGTAGGGCATGGTATGAGAGACAGGGCGTGTAGACACCCAATCGCCCTGTACCCGCTGCCTCTCCGTTCAGGTTCGAGCATATGAATCTATCGCAGAGGAAACGGAAACGTTGGCCTGATACTTTGACTGCAGCACTCGTATTGCACTTGCCGTTGTGCGTAATGATACCACGCGACATTGGCTGCAAACATCCAGGAATGCAAACGTGTCTTGCGCGTCTCGCTATGTCTCGCTCTGCACTTCTCATCGGGCGGTGCTGAGACGCCTTACGGAAGCCGGCCTCTCCGCTTTCGCAAGCGCGGGGAAGACGCGCATGAGAGACGCGTGAGGGAGCCGAGTACCGTTCCCCGCGTTCGCAAGATCGGCAGGGGCACACGGGGAGTCCGCACTTGAAGCCCAGATGGGTGGAGAGAGGAAGTAACGGGGACACTCACGTTTTGAATTCGTCCGAGAACGGCTCTTCGTTCAGGAACACCCATGGGTACCCAAACTTCTTGTTGAAGCGGTCCTCGAGCCGGCGCACGCTCCGCACCGCGTCGTTCACGTCGCTGTTCCGCGCGAGCATGAGAATGGACGCATTTGCGCGCCGCGAGATGAAAGAGCCTGGATGCGCCGCGGGAAGGTCGGAGGCGTGGTCGAAGTACTCCGCGGGGACGGGGTCGAGACTGGGCTCGCCCCACGGGAGGTGCGCGGCGATGTTCTTGAAGGACGTCGCGCGGCCATAGTCTTCGTGCGTGAAGCTGAGTATCGAATGCAGACCGATCTGCGATGCGGAGGTCCCACGTCAGCTGCGGACATGAAGGCAAGAGCAAAGACAGGAATACCCACGATAATGAACACCACGAGGAAAAGGTAGCGCGCGGTCGTGGTTGTCTTGAGCATTTCGGTGGCCGTTAGCTAGGGTCGTGGCCGTTGGCTGAGGTCTCCACCGTCAGCACTGCGCGCGAGGAGGAGAGGAGATGGTGGGGGTCAAGAGGAGGGCGCTGCGGAGAGCACTGGCCATTTGGACGATCAGCCGGCGACTGCGCGGTAAGACAGATAGCTCCACCCAAGCGCGCGCGCCCATGCACGACTCTGTCCCCGTTTGGAATTTGTAGTGTTCGTCTCCGAGTTCTTGCTCATTGATTCCCCTGTCTGAGACCGAACCCCCGCGAAGGTCTTCTGTGTGTCAAGTCTCCATCCACACCGGTACCTTTCGTAATATGCTCAGGTACGCGCATCATCGAGCATTGATCGAGATCTTGATCCAACCAACACTCTAATGCGATGCAGCGGCTCGGAGTCGCTGCCGCATCTTGATTCTTGGCTCATTGTCATGCAGCGGTTCTTGCGCGCAAGAGAACGCTTGCGTCTGTCGATAGACGAAGACATTGGCTTCTAACGCCTCGGTTCTCTATGCCATGAGGCGTTCGCTAGCGCCGTCGACGTAACCAGAGCGTCGTGTACCATCGACGTCTCAACATCACCTGTCACTCGCCCGGCGATAGATGCCCTCTGTATCCCATCTTCGCCGAATGGAGACCGGTCACTGGCACCTGAGCGGTGGAGGCTTGACGCCGTGGGTATCAATGGCCAATATCTACGACTTTACATCTGAAAGCTGAGCCAGAGGTAGTCCGGGACGTACACCAATTCTCTCCCAATACATTCCAGCTTGGAGTTCATACATCACGTAGGAAGAGACCCGTGAAGATCAACGGACAAGCTACGGAAGCTCACCTTGATCCGGTGAGTCTCCGCGTTCACCGGGCTTCACCCACCCTTGCGCTCTTTCATAACATCTTTTCAGACCTCAAGGGAAATCGATGAGTAATTATCGCGCGCAAGAGCTTCCCGGTAACTCATGACCACTGCTGTTTTCACTTCACCTTTATTCAAGGAGTTGCTCTCGAGGAGGAAATGTTTCGATCAACCCCGGCAGACCTGAGCCCGACTGCACCGTCTACGTTTCTCAGGCTCAGCATGCTCCGGAATCGCTAGCAGCAGGGAGATGCAGGCTCTGTGCTGCTTGTCCAATCGCCGCCGTTGTGGCACGTCGGAGATGGCATATGTGGGGCGCAGACGCGTGTGGCGCTAACCCTGACTTTCAGCGGTACTACGGTATCATACTGCTCTAGAACTATTGCGCAGCAGTTACTTGTGCTACTGCCTGTGCTACCGCATCCGCGATCGCAAGTCCGCATGCGCTGCCCGTGAGTGATCGGTTAGACTCTTCAGGGAGAAGCAATTAGCGACGTCGATTCCACTCGCGTTCAGGTAGCGGTAGATCCAAGACGAGGCTGATGCAGCACAACTGTACAGGACGGACGTATACCGCTAAGCGATGCCAGTGCTGGACTCCAACACCTCTCCGTCGTCGAGCGGTAGTCCACGTTTGCCGCAGCAGTCCCGTACAAGACCTCCGCGCTTAATGCGGACGATGCTGCGTTCCGAATATGAACCTCCCTCTGCCACAGTGAGCACCCGTTCACATCGCAAGATGTCCGCTCCATCCCTCTGACACATCACTCCCAGACCACGCATATGTGACAAGCCGAGGGTACCAACCACACCTCAGATGCTAGCGGCCGCTGCAGCGCAGCCACCGTCCGTTCGCTGCGGAACCGCGAGGCCACCCTCCGGTGAGTCTGCACGCTCTCTCAGAGATGCGAACGCTGGGCCGCGTATCGTACCGCAGAAACGATCGCTGCCGCAACCAGCGTCGCGCTGGGACGACGCTCCGATCCATGTATCATGCACAATATCTGCAGCAGCGTTGACTACAGCAGCGAGGGCATGTCACGGAACAACATAAAAGCGAGCCTTGGTGCCTCTGGTTCCTTACCGCCCACCTTCCCCTCAGAACCGTTGCTCTATTTCAACACAAGAATCCACAGCCTGTTACGCTTCGACTTCTCCTACACCATGCCGTCCGTACCTCCTGCTCCTCAGCTACCGCAACAGGCCCTCCAGGAGATCTTTTCCTATCCCGACCAGAACCGCCCGCTGGATCCTACCAACAAATTCAGCAATGCCCTCCGGCTCGAATTTTTCGGGAGCAAGATAGCGCTCGCTGTTTACACAAACGTCATACGCGATCTCTGGCCGGGCGCCACCAGGGCCCAGCTCCAGGCGAGTACCCTCCCCAACTGCGCCCCGACTAAGATGATTCGGAGCTAATGTTAATATTTGTGTCACTAGGCCATGACCACTACTGGATTCCAGACCTTCATGGAGCGGACCGCGAATGCATATCAATGGCGCCATCAGGTCAACGGGCCCTATCCACCCAACGTGAACCCGCAGAGCGCGGAGGTGAGCACCGCCACTATGTGCAAGAGGATACCTGTGGTATCTAACGGTCTCCGTAGGAAGCGCATCGGATATTCTACACGTATACGGGTGCTATCTGCGTCCACTACGACTCCGAAGGCTTCGCACGCGTGCAGAATTGGTTCGCGGACCTCAAGTCGGCGGGTCTTTGAGTGTACTCGTGGGTTTCTATACGCTGCTCTGTCCTGTTTGGTTCATGTCCAATTGCTGTTAGGTTCTCTGTTTGCTTCATATGTAGATATAAAACTTGTATGATGGAATTTGTAGTAATGGTGTCATTGAATGGATCTCCCAAACCTGAGCTCCTAAACGGTGATTTGATTATCAGTGCTAATTCTAACTTGAGCCACCGCCAGAGATAGTCATAATTTTACCCATATTGCATGTCTGTCGCGCTTCCGTCTGTGCAAGATGCCAGGGTCAGAAGACTTCTAAGTAAATCACATATACTGGATCACAGCGAAGCATGTTCTAGTGGTAAGTATCTCGATCAAACGTTGAACGGTGACGTTGTACTGGCCATGGAGGTCTTCCAACATTGGTCGAACGGACACGTCGCAGTAAGTTTGCCGTAGCTCGTTGAACGCTTCGAGCTCCCCGAAAAGGAATTCGCTGGTCAAACGATGCCGCGGCAACTTGGGACAATAGTTATTCATTCCGATCAGATTTCTCTGGTGATCACCGTATCATAGGTTGGCCTGAGAGCACAAGGCCCGAACACACAAACAGAGGGCAGCCACCCAATTCAATATGCAACTGTTGCTACTAGCGGAGCGGTGACGTACTGTTGTGCTCTATGTTCTTCACCGTCGTGCTGGAGCTTCCTGTATCCCACGCATCGCAGCGAGCCAAAGCTGGAGTTGTGGACCCTGTCGCGCTCGTCTCCGCATGTTGCTACACATGACGCACCCTGCGAACTATCTCGCGGTGCTGTGCGATCGCTGCAGGAAGGGTCGCCCCACGGAGCACTGCGAACCTGATAGTCGCGTACCGCATTCTCTGCGGCAGGTCTGGCAGACACGGATATAAGTCACCTCTGTGGCCATCGAAGAAGAACATCACCCACCGCCGCTCTTGTTTCTTACTCATCTGCTCACCCCTCGCATATTCAACCGCTACAATATCCTACCCGACCGACATGGCGTTTGTTCCCCCGGCACCCAGGCTCCCCGGAGAAGCGGCTCTTGAAATATTCGTATATCCGGGAAGCATGCCGAACCGCCCACTGGAGGAGACAAACAAATTCAGCGACAGTGGACGCCTCGAGTTCTTGGGCAATCAGATGACCGCCGCTGCCTACACCGATGTGATGGCCCAACGTTGGCCCGCAGCCAGTGGGGAGCAGCTGAAGGTATTATGGATTTGGCTTGAAGGAGGCGCTTCTCCGTGCTGATTGTAACGGCGTTGTTCTGAAGGGCATGGTCGAGAATACTCTCAACGGACTAATGGAGCGCAGCGCCGCTGCGTACCAGTGGACCAATCGGGTGCTTGGGTACCCGCCAGACTTCAATCGTCAGGACCTGGGGGTAAGCACGGCGAACTCGCTATAAGATAGGAGTATCATTGGAGACTGACCGCGGTAATTTGCAGGAGGCGCGCCGGCTGTTTTGCACCTACGCCGGCGCGATCTACGTCGAGCACGGGTATATGGAGCTGAAGGCGTGGATCGCGACCCTGGCCGCACTCAGCTGAAACCTTCGCGGACTGCTTAGTAGAATTCCCGTCGACCCTGCTTACGCTTCTTGCACTTCTAGCTTTGTGACTGTCTGTGTATCCGTGACTGTGTGAATTCTATATGCTTCCCTTGACTGAATATATAGAAACGTACCTTAAGCTTGGGCCGCTCCGCTTCACGTCCCTTCATGACTCCGAAACGCGGCCCCTGCGCATCGATGGGCCCGGGCACGTTGCTTCGGATCGTCTTGCCCTCCCTGTCATACCCCTGAGACGACCAGCGAGCCGCGCGTGTCAATCGCCTAAGCTCGATCACCCACGGGAGTGTGCTGCAGCGGAGTGATTAACCGGGGCTACCGCAGCACACGCAAAACTGCGACCGGACCACATACCAAGCGCGACTGCCGTAGCCCCGACAAACAGCACAAAAGATCTCAGGCGAGTGCACGACGCCCGTTGCTGCGACACATGTACCTCTCGGGCTCTGCGGCACGGGGCGGCGGGGGATATAAGCAGGCCTTGAAGGCCGCGTCCGCCTCCCCTCCCCTCTCGCCTCTCCGCTCTCTCCACCGCTGACAACGCCTACGCACCGGGTCGGACGAGCCGAACAGCCTAACTGACATCGACCTGCACTTACTAGGTGAACGGCGATGGCACAAATCCCGCCCGCGCCGACGCTGCCAGGGGAGGCGCTCATCGAAATCTTCGTCCATCCAGCGGCTTTGCCGCCAGAACGGCCACTGGAAGAGGACAACAAATTCAGTGACGCGAGGCGGCTGGAGTACCTCGGTGGGAAGATGTCGGAGCTGGTTTACATGGACATGCTGAGGGCGCGATGGCCGCGGGCGACGGCGCCGCAGTTGACGGTACGTCTGCGCCACTCCAGTCCTAGATCACCGGCGCGTGCGTATTCTAGGCAGCCTAAGGCTCAAGCCTTCTGTGCAGACATTAGTCAACAGCCGAATCAGAGGGTTGATGGAAAGAACGACCGCTGCGTACAAATGGAGAGACCAGGTCCGCGGATACCCAGATCAATTCGACAGGAATAATCCACAGGTGCAAGCCGCTGTCTCTTCCGCTGCTGCTATGTGTTTCACGCCGCTAAACACAGAATCGCAGGAGGCATATAGACTCTTCCGGACTTTCGCAGGAGCGGTCTTTATCCACCATGGATACACGACACTACGAGATTGGATGGTCGCCCTCGACCCGGTGTGACAGCGGCGGGTCCGCTTTCGGTGGCTCCTGAATGACTTACGATACCAACATGCTATGGCGTACGATACAAGCACGAATGAACGTCAGATCGAACTTATTGCACCGATGGAGGAATGGCTTGCCTATATTGAGGCCGGCGGTGACGGCAGCAGTCACGTAAATGGTCGCAGTCTGCGGCCCCGGGTCGTATTGGTCTGCGACGCAGACGTTCTGCTGCGATACCGGTATAGGCAGCATAGCCACGTCCATCTCGTGATGCCACGAACGAACTGTCGTCCAACGTCCTTGCTTGACTGTTCGATATACGACCGTACTAAGTGTGGTTCAATATCGTGAGGAAGCTTCGACTCACAAGAGTTCGCTGCGTAAGCGGTGATATATGCTGTATGTAGACAGCTCCCTTTCGGTGTTTTTCGCATCGCTGATCAAGCTCTGTAGAGTCTCGATTGGACTCAAAATTCCTGTATTACGCCAGTACTCCTATGTCGCTGCTGATTTCGTAGCTTGAGCATGGATGGCGCAGGCACCGGACATCACGATCAACAATCTGACGCAGTTCCTGACGCAGTTCCGTCCTGGATAGCAATGAGCAGAACGTCCAGATCACGCAGAGCCGGAGGCAGCAGCGCAGACGGACGATGTTTGACGCATGCACACACCTGGTCTGCGACATACGCATGTCAGAGAAGTATCTGCGGGCAGCAGTGAGCCGGAGGATAAATACCACCTTTGCAAGGCTCAGAGCTACTCATCAGCCCCGTTGCATAAACCCCCACAGCCCTCACGCAAGAACAACCCACCTCTCTCCCGCCCAAGTCTCAATACTTCCATGGCTATCCCATCCGCCCCCGAGCTCCCCGGCGAAGCGTACTTAGAAGTCTTCATCCATCCGGACGGCCCCTACCACGTCAACACTGCCGAGCCAGCGAGCAAATTTAGAAACACTCGTGATCTCGAGCGACTCGGACGCACTATGGTCGAAATGGCCTACATGCACATCATGTACTCCAGGTGGCCCAACGTGACAGGCGACCAGCTGAACGTGAGTGCAATTAGCCGTGATAGCAGGCGTACCAGGCGCTGCGAGCTGAAAGACACGTAGACTTTGACCAATGCCACCATTAATGGAGTGATGGAGAGAGCAGTGAGGGCCTACCGCTGGAAGGAGCAGATTCGCGGCTGCCCGCCGCATATCGACCTGATGCAGAGCTCCGAGGTGCGTTCCAGTCCCGGTGGAGTTTTGATGCAAAATTCTTGACGACATTCATCATGCAGGAGGCCTATCGCATCTTCCGCACGTACGCCGGAGCCGTGCACGTCCAGCACGGGTACGACGAGCTGCGAAACTGGATTGAAGCCCTCACGGCGATCTAGAAGAACCGCGATCGCTCTTCGAAGCCATGTATCTCATATCAGTGTCCTCCAAAGCAGTTCCGGAGAATGAGCGAGCTAGAGAGTCGCATGCGTCGTTGTACTAGTAGCAGTAACAAGTTTCTTTTATTTTAGCAAAGTTGCAATTCAAATAAAGTCGGAGCAAGACCACCTTACAGAATTGTGAGTCGGCGAGCAACTTCCTTTACGGAAAACTAGGCTGCAGACAATCGTATATCGTGATGCTCGAGTGCGAACCTGAGACTATGAGAGTTGAGAGAAGGATCCTTCAGCTCAGAATTAACCTTCCTGGAGCGCCGGCGCACAGTCGGCGCCTATACATATGTAATGCGCAGATGGTCCGCTACCGCTCTCACTCCTTTCCCTTCTTCCCACTACGTGTATACACCCACTATTGCAGGGATCTACTGTGCATCTGATTCATCTTGTTCTTATACCCTGCCAACCACTGGAACTTAACTGGAACCGGGGATTGTAGGACGCGCACAGCTTACATCCATCACCTGAGAGACAAGCCGGGACAGCCATGAGTTCCCTAGCGTTTTTGGTCACGGAGCTCCAGGTATGCACATGAATGGTCTTCCAATGGAGTCCTCATTGAATCCTATCAAAAGTCTCTGGCAAGCGAGACCCGGAGGAAACACCCGGATGTCCGTGAGGTACGCTTCTGAATTCAATAAACCCCTGGACACCCTCCCCTGGCCAGCTACCCCACATGTCTCAAACATATCTAGGCAGCGGAGAAGTCTCTTGCAATTCTGCGCTCGTCACCTGAACAAGCGACTGCGAACCTTGCTTCCGGTGAGTCCTCCTGTTTGTATCGGCTCGCGCAGGGGACCTCGGGGCCCGGGTGGTGCAATGGGGCAAACGCGCCTGTAACGTCGACCCACCCACTCCAGGTATATCTCTATTTGGAAACCCTGAGTACTGCTCGAAACCCAATCACAGCGAAACTCATGTCGATAGACCGCTGTGATTTCTTTCCACTCGTAGAGCATGCGGAGTTGGGGACGCACTAGGCCTCACATGGTACGCAACATGAGCGAGCGAGCCGAATGCTCGATGTCCACTCCTTTCGCATTCTTCGCGCGCGTTCTCCGCCCGACTAGAATATCTTGTAAACGGTAGCGTGGCTCCCGCGCTACCCCACTGAGGCAGTGATGTACCGGAAGTCAGGGAAACACATGCGCGAACACTCCTGGGACTACTGGCATATCTTGCTGCCGCTCTGTCAGACACTAATCGCGCTTTTTAGATGGACCGCAGTCAGACGACCTTCTACGCCCAGTGTTCATGGGATGCGCCACCAAGAACGCGAAAGTGGTCGCGATCTCGCTCGGTTCCTTGCAACGCCTGATCGCATTGAAGGCCGTCCCACAGTCTGCAGTACCACTCATCATCAATACCATGGGCGATTGCATAAACCAGGGTGTCGACATTCAGCTACGAATACTGCAGACACTGCTCTCGCTCATAACCAACTTCCCCGCAGTCCACGGACAACTCTTGGGTGATGTAGGTTCTTGAAACACCGCTGGTATCATAGAAGCTGACAGCCGGTTCAGGCATTGCTACTTTGCTTCAGGTTACAGGAGTCCCGAATCGCCGTAGTATCGTCAACGGCCGCCGCCACTCTGCGACAATTAGTGATGTTCGTCGTCGACAAAGTTGTGGACGAGGACCGCCGAGACGAGCTCACGAACGTGGACAAGATCGAAGCCACGCTCCCGAACGGCGCAACGACCAGGCTAGGCCCCTCGGCCCACGACGCTTATGCGGTCTTCGAGGATTTATGCCTGCTCGCAAACTCGGAGACCCCACGCTTCTTGAAGCTAGATTCGCTACGAAAGACGTTCGCATTAGAGCTGATCGAGAGTGTGCTCACGAACTACCACGACCTATTCCGCAAGGTGCGCCCAACTACGTCACGCACGAACTGTATAGACTTCTAACTTATCCTCAGCATCCAGAGCTCCTGCTCCTGCTGCAACACCACTTGTGCCCGCTCGTACATAAGTCGCTCTCCGACAGACCAAACTTCCCTCTCACGCTGCGTTGCACCCGAGTCGTCTTCTTGCTGCTGAAGCAGTTCTCGTCGGAGCTCAAGACCGAGTCCGAGGTCTTCCTCATGTTGCTCATCCGGATCATCGGCGCAGAAAGCAGCGACGCGGATCCTTCCGAAAGCGCACAGGGCCATACCAGCCGACCCCTATGGATGCGCGTACTTGCCATGGAGATCATGCGTGGGTATGTCTGCAGTGGTTCTCGCGCGTGCACGGTCATGTCTCATCACCGCTCTCGATAGTCTGTGTAGCGACGCGGAGCTCATGCGGAACGTCTGGGATCGGTATGACGCGGAAGAGGGCGGCTCGAAAGTGTTCACGTCCTTGATATCGGCGCTCAAGAGGCTCCTCACGGAGCGCCCGCAGCTGCTCGGCGTGTGTCAACAGATGTTTGGCATAGGAGTCTCAACACATCCTTCCAGCGCCAGCACGGAGAGCGTGTACGGGCTCGATGTCAGTGGCCTTTCCGGGATGGTGGCGAGCGCTGCTAGCGCGACGGTGTCAGGAGTTGCTAACATGATGACCACGGAGGCGGGACTAAGCGTCCAGGGTTCAGCCATGAAACTGCAATGGTATGTTCGATCGCCTTAGTATATGTGAGAGGCTCACATAAGTATAGTATCGACCAGTTGGATAAAGCGGACTCGCCACCCATCCCGGAGGCCTACCTCTATTTGTTGGGAGTACAATGCCTCGTTTCTCTTTGCGAGGGCTTCGCCACCTTCACCGCCCCACTGTACAACTCCGTCATGGTACAAAAGCCCCGGTCTGCTGGTGAGCCTGTCATCCGCGCTCCGCCTGCACTGGACCTCTCAAGTCTGCCACCCGACGAGCCCGCGACGAAGCAACTACACACAGTGCACGATATGGTCGAAAGCGGATGGCCTGCGCTCCTCGCCGCGATCTCCTTCTTGATCTCGACGAACCTCTCTGACGAGCTGTTCGTCGACGTGCTTGCGAGTTACCAGGCGCTGACAACGGTGTCCGGCATGCTCGGCCTCACCACGCCGCGCGACGCTTTCTTCACCAGCCTGGCACGCTTGGCGATCCCTGCACGTGTGGTATCGAGCATCGACTCGTACATGCCCATGGAGCCCAGCACACCCCGCACGGCCGCCAGCGCGATCTCAGAGAGCTTTGGGGTGACGCTGCCTGGCGCGAGTACGCAGCCGCCTGGCCTGTCGGAGCGTAACATGGCGTGCCTGAAGGTTCTGGTTTCCAGCGCACTGTTCCTCGCGGGCAGTCTCGGCGACAGCTGGTTCGATATACTCGAGGCGCTGCAGAATGCGGACTACGTCTTAACGATGAAGGGCGCGCGGGCATCGACGAATAAACGCCACACCATCGGACCTGGCGCGGGCAGCCTCCCTCCCTCGCGCAGTGTCTCTACCAGTGGACAGTCTCCCCAAGTTGGTTCCGCTCAGCAGCAGACGGCGCCCCAGTCGAGACACCCTCTCTTGGCTGATCTGGATCCGGAGAGCCTTCAGCACGCCATCCAGAGGTTGTTCGATGCGACGAAGAACCTGGACGACGATGCGTTCCGGGACTTCGTGAAGGCGCTGTGCAAGCTGAGCGCGGCGATGATCGGGATGCAGTCGGAGGGTGCCGAGCTGTCTGCTGGGGTGAACGAGTCGTCCGAGGAGCTGGCCACGAGCGCTGGGCTTTCTCCCCCGGTGGACTCGGCGCATCGCCGACGTGTTAGCGGAATCCACCTGCCCCGTACTCTGGTAAGCAAGGCTCTCTTGGACGGGACGTGGGTATGTTCTCAACCTTGTTCCCAATAGCGCTCTGGAGACTTCGGTGTTAGCAAACTAGGGGGTGTCGCAATGCTCAACATCCACCGCCTCATTTACCGCTCGCCGGACGTCGCATGGGACCCGGTGACCGTCCACCTCCTCTCTGTCATACGGCACCCGCACGCGCCTCCTACTATCCGTACTCAAGCAGCCCGTGTCCTGGATGACATACTGGTGGTCGTTCCCCGGAACATCTCGACTACTGGGGACCTTCAGCCCAAGGTTCAGCGGAGGGTGTTGGACGTTCTCGCGCAGCAGGTTATCCCGGATTCATCAGTCAGCAGCACCACGACGGTTGAGATCAGACGGATGGGTCTTGAGACGCTGCACCAGATCTTGCAGTCCTCTGGGCACACCCTCGTCGTCGGATGGGAGACTATCTTCGAGATGCTCGGCAGTGTGTGCAAGCCCGCAGCCGCTCCCTCAAGAGCGTTGACTCCTACGGCCACACTCTCTCCGCAGCAGGAGCTCGGCAAGAATCGTCCGCCGCCGCTCGGCTACCTCAACGAGAAGGGGTACACATCACTAGTGAAGATCGCTTTCCAGTCGCTCACCCTGGTATGCGACTCCCTGTCGTCACTGTCCCCTGAGCATCTCCGGCTATGCATCAGCACTCTCGGTCAGTTCGGGCGGCAGGCTGACACCAATATCGCTTTGACCGCGGCGGAAAGTCTCCTCTGGGGTGTATCTGACTCGATCCAGGCAAAACGCAGGGAAGAGGACAAGGAGCCCGAGTACAATGCGCTCTGGATGTCTCTCCTGCTAGAGGTGCTGGGTCTGTGCACGGACGCGCGGCCCGAGGTGCGCGTCGGGGCGATTCAAACTCTCTTCCGGACGCTGCAACTGTACGGCGCAACCTTGAGCCTGGACACCTGGGACGAGTGCATCTGGAAGGTCACGTTCCCACTCCTCGACTCTATCACCGCTTCGATGCGACGGAGTTCAGCTGTCGTGCTGCAGGGCGAGACGGCGGAGGCTCCAGACTTGCAATGGGACGAGTCGAAGATCCTAGCGCTGCAGTCAATAGGGTCCATCTTCCAAGACTTCCTGACGATGAAGATCATGCAGCTCGACTCCTTCACGCACGCATGGGAGGTCTTCGTCGGCCATATCAAGGACTCGTGGCTGCACGACAACCGCACTATCACTGCACCTGCCTTGCGTTGCTTGGAGAAGGCGATCAAGTCGTGCTCTGCAGCCGAGGAGCTCAAAGCCCGCACGGCTGAAGCTCTGGAGATAGCCTGGCTTGCATGTGATGAGATGGGTGGTGTCATGCTCGAACAGGGACCTTCGTCGCCCGCAGGGAAGGCATCGGTGGCTGGCAACCCAGACGTCAAGGCCTTGACGCAGGAAAGCCTCATGGCGTACGTGGATGTGATTCGATGCACCCGTAGCGTAGGACGTCAGCTGGAGGATCGCGAGTGGTTGCTGGAGCGTCTAACGCGCCTCATGACAATTCTGAAAGGTCCGTCTAACACCCCCGTTCCCCGAATGCTAAACCTCAACTCGCGCCTAGGTGTCCTCACGTACCCCAGTTCGCCGGACTTCCGACTAGATGTGGATGCGTTAAGTCCAGTTCAGGTAAGCTTCTCTATATCAGCGTCGTGCCTGGCATAATGAAATCCGCTCGACAGAGCGTTGTAATGGAAGCGGTGGATAGCATCGAACTATCTGCGCCCGGCGTCGCCTCGCTCGTTCTGCGCGACCTTTCCGAGTACGCGACTCTTCCCTTCCTCGCGGCCTTCGACATCCCACCCGCTGCTCCATCCTCCACGTCGCGAGCAGGCCGGACCGGCCCCAGCCGCGTGACCTACATCGCGCTGTCCAAGAAGGTCATGCCATTGCTCGTCGAGCTCTTCCTTCGCTTCAAGGAAGATGCCGCCATATACGGAGACGGCACTGTCGAGGCTCTGTTCGCGGTACGTTCTGTCAAACAGGCTGTCGGCGTGTGCCTTACTGACACACCCTCGGAAAGGCATACTCCATACCTATCAAGCTGAAGTACGATTGCCCGGCGCCCTCCAAGTTCGGCAAGGACCAGCCACTGTGGAAGACCGCCACGACGAGTTTCCTGCGCATAGTCAAGGAATGTGGTCTGCACGTGCGGAAACTTCAAAGCGGTGCGTGTTATGAAAGCTGTCGACTAAACTATGACTAAGTGGTTTCATTCCCAGATATCGCGGCCGAGCACGTCGAAGGAATATGGCGCCAGGTGGTCGACACATTCCGTGGCGGTATTCTTGCGGACTGGTCGGTGTCACTGACGTACTCCGGGGAGCCTCGCTGACCATTTCCACGCCTCTCTAGTTCCGCCGCTGAACATTTCCCCCTCGATACTCAAGAAGAAGAAGAGAACTTCGACTTGTCGCTCGTCGCATCCCTCGAAATCGATGTGGTTCCGTACCTCGGAGACCCCTCCGTGCCGGATTACATCGTCTCGCAGCTGGCTCGTGTCCTGCATCAAGGGAGCCAGTTGCGGGTCGCCGATTATGACCTTCCGCCCTCGCCAACTTCCCTGCCTGATGTATCGTCGTCCGGAAAGGCAGCGGAAGACTGGTTTTCGAAAGACTTCGAAAAGCTCGAGACGTTCGGTGACGGGTCCATTGGCATGGGGACGACGGCGCCGGGACGATTCCTCCCTCGAGAGCGTTTCTCGTACTGGTGCTTCGATCTACTCTTCCTTATCTGCTCAGACACTTCACAGGGTAGGAGCATTTACTTTTCGAAGCTGGCAGGACACCGCTGATAGGCGCTTCGGGTGGTCGCCAGACCAGATACCCTCCCGAAGACGGATCGCAGCTCTATCGATACCATCTCTACTGGAACGCTGCCGGATGACACTTGTCAGTTACATTGCGGACGAATCATTGCGCGGAAGCCTCCCATTCCCTAGGTTACTACTTCATTACGAGCTCAACGCGTTAGCATTACTGATGTGACCCTTTGTTCAGAGCTCGCGAGGAAGAACTGCTATACGTACTCCGCAAGCTGCTCGCGTTGAAGCTATGGCCGGGCACTCTCTGGGCAGCGCTATCCGACTCACCCTCGGCATACTGCGTAGAACAGCCCAGTAAGCCTCCTGCCACCTCTCGAACAACACGTAACACTGACTGTTGCGTGTCGCTACCAGATATCGATCAGTCGCTCCCGCCTTCGGACCTCATTGCGGATGCAGTAAAACGCTCGACGAAGGCGCATCTCTTCCATTTCTACCCCATTTTGTGTGAGATCGTGGCCATCCCGCGCAAGACGCCGACAGCGTGGGTCATGTCGGCCGTCCCTCGCGCATCTGCGACATCGAGTGTGGCTTCGCCCAACGACGCCAGGCATGGCATGAGCTTCACGGATGTCGCGAAAGGCAATGCGGACGAGGGACATGCGGTTGAAGTAGACGCGAGGGCCCTGGTGAAGGAATGCCTGAAGGAAGTGGGTCGGGAGTTAGGGGTCGGTCGCTAGGATCTGGAGTTACTTAGTCTGCACGGATGATCGCGCTCTTGAATTGTTGTCTGCCACATCATGTATCTTACATTCTCACTTCGTGTACTAATCTACGCTTCCCTGTATCGTCTCGCTTGTTGACCTAGTGCGGCGGCCCCGGGATCGATGGCACCGGCTCCTTCAGATCGTCCTCGGTCACCCCCATCACCTTGAGCAGCTCCTCCTTCCTGAACAGCCGCGCTGTCTGTATAGCGGTCGGGGTCCCGAGGCGCGGATTGGCCCCGCCTTCCACCAGTACGCGCACGACGTCGTCGTGGCCTTTGAACACGGCGCCGGCGAGCGGCGATTGCCCCTGATCGTTTGTGCGATCCGGGTCCGCGCCCCTCGCCAGCAGCTCTTTGACAAGCTCTGCGTGCCCGTTGTACGCCGCTAGCATGAGCAGCGTGTTCCCTGCAAGAAGAGGTAAGCGAGTTGATCAGCTGCATTGACTATGCAGATCAGTCTGTAGGATAAGATCATACCCTTGTCGTTGGTGAGATTCGGAGGCAGGCCAGCATCGACAGCCTGCAGCAGCAGCTCAGCGTTGTTGTCCCGTGCAGCATCGAATATCCGATGCGCGAAGTCGAGCGTCGCTTGCGGGATGTTCGCCGCCGACAGCTTAGGATCTGCCTTCGATCGGTCAGCACGATCCGGTCGCTGCAAGCCAGCCACGAGAATCTACCATGTCCCGGTGCTATTGAATCGCAATGCTGGGTTTGCACGAGGCACGGTGCGAGATTGCAGAGCGATACGGTGTCCCGATCACGGCTGCGGTAGGAAGGGGGTGCGATGCAATGTCCGCGCAAGCCTGGATGCCGCGAACCTGACGACGCAGAACTCAGAAGGAAGCTACACAGCTTCTCAGGTATCGCCGCCGCCGGCGACCACCAGTGACCACTGGCACGTCTCGCACCGCACCCGAGCCCCTTCACTCCAGGCTCCAACCAGCCGCTGCTTCGAGGTAAGAGGCGAGTTCAAGTAGCGTAGACATATTTATTCCGACATACCCAGACCAGCGCTTATCCGTAAACGGGGCTCGGTGGTCTCGCGCCCGCATTCAACCCCATTTGGAGTGCCACCAACCGGGGGCGCTTCACTCACTCACTACTCGCTCACTCTCGTTCTCGCGTGCGTCGCGCGTCCTCGCGCCTCGCGCATACCAACCGCGCAATGACCTCGCGCCTCGCGCTGCCATACCGCTTGCATGATTCGCTTGTATAGCACCCGCGAACTGGTTTGAATACGAGTTAATGTAAGGAGCGGGGTTTTGCACCTTAGTGTTGACACTCACCCACCCATGTAAAGATCTGAGAGACCTGTCACTCCGGGCCCCCCCTTTCTTTACTCCCTCACAAGAACGACCCAAGTCGAATCTGCCTCTACCTCTACTCTACCATTGCCTCTGCGTCTAAGATTTTTTACTCTTCCTGCTCAAAGGTGCGTCCCTTTGCGTTTCTTGTTATCTTGTCGTATACTTACCTCTGCGCTGTATCCAGCTCTCCCATCCATCGAATCTGCTTCTCTTCCTCTGCATCTAAGTGTCCTTGCTTCTGCTCACAGGTGCGTCCCTTTGCACCTTTGCCATTTCGTCATATATTGACTTCTACGTTTTATCTAGCTCTCCCCTCCGTCGACTCTGCGTCTGCCTCCTCCTCTGTCCCCAAAAGTCTTCTCGTTTCTCGTTTCTCTTCACAAGTAAGCCCCCTTCGCTCTTGTTGATCCCTCCCTTGTTACTGACTATTGGTTTTCTTCTTCTTCCCCCCCTGCTCTCTCGTTGACAGTGTCATTCATCCCTACTCACCCTCTCAACCTCGACAAGGAGTTCATCGCCGCCTGCTTAGCCATCTCGAAGCAGGTCCGGAACCGGTCTCCGATCTCCCCCACTGACACGCTTGTCTCCCCGACTGCCTCATTTTTGGACAAGCTCTCGCTCTCGGACAATGGCGAGAGGATGGCCACGGACGACATCGTCTCCAAGGCGACCCGCCTCACCGACAAGTACCCCAACGCGTACAGCGACTTTTACGGCAGCGGTACTCCCTGTGTCTTCAAGTCTGGCCCTGACTGGCGGGGAAGGCGCCATCGAGAACTGCAATGCTGACGATATGGGTGACGAGGCAGAAGATCAGCCTTTTGGTGGGCGTGAACTAGAAGATGGTTCTACGAGACGGCACAGGATGAGCCTTGGGCACGGCAAGCCAATGGGAGTAGGGAACACGTACGGCTTCGGCTTGTTGTCAGCGCCCTTGTGGTGGGTGAAGGTGATTGACATTGTATGTATTGTACTTAGAACACAGGGACCCTGTCAACACGCGCGTGCCCCAGATACGACACCCCATACAGTCGGCGGTGCATCGCGCAGCGCGCCCGGGCGTCAGCGCGCCTTCGTCGGCGTATCCCCCACTAACACCCGCCCCTGGGACCGCTCGTCTGGTTTACGTGGGCGCCCAAAGCCGCGTGGCTCGCCGGGGCTGCTGCTTGCTGGGGGTGTGGTCGCACCGGGCGTGTCCCATCCTTGAGACCCGGGGGCGCCGAGGAGGAGGACGTCCGGGGAGCTGTTCAGCGTCCACTCGTCCTCCGCGTCTTCCGCTACGTCATCGAGGGCGATCGGTCTGGCGTGGACCCGCGGACGCGCCTTGGTGGGCGTGGCGAAGGCGTCCTCGTCCGCGTCGATATCGATGTCGAGGCTGTCTACGCGCGCCAAGCGAGACTGAGGTTGCCTCTGCGACTGCGTCTGGGACTGTGAAGAGGATCCGCCAAAGAGCGCGGGCAGACGCGTCTGAGTCTTGGCGGGTTGCGGGGCCATTCGCGCCTTCGTCGGGGTCGCCGCGACGAGTACGTTGCCCTGCGCGCTCTTCTCCTTCGCTGCGAGCCCAGACTGTTGAGTCTGGCTCTGCGTGCGCGAGAGCGAAGGGCCGGGGCCGAGGTTGGACGCAGTGCGCGTGAGGTCTCCTCTGCTCTTCGCGCGGTCCTTGCCCTTAAACACGGTGGTCATGCTGACCTCGCGCACGATCGCGCGCCTCCGCAGGCCCCCAGGCGCGGTGCTCACGGAGCGCGACCGCTCGCGCTGCTCCTGCTCGAGCGAGACCGATAACGAGCGCGATCGCGAGCGGTGCGCCGCGTCGTCGTCCTTTGACTTCGCCTTCGACGAGCCAGCAGCAGAAGACGAAGCCGCCGCCTTGAGGCGCTTGCTCGCTGGTTTGGGCGACGCCGGCGGCGAGAGATCGACCGTGTCCGCGTCGGAATGCGCCGCGTCCGGGAAGAGCTTCGAGCGGAAGAGCGCGCAGAGCTCTGGCACTTTCCCCGTGAACCTGCAAACAAAAAGGCGCGCGCCGCAGTCAGCTCACGGCATGGCCTGCGACCATAGAGAAAGGTGCGGAGACGAACAGCGGCTCGACGACGTCCTCGTAGAACGCCTGCATCCAATCGCGCTCGTCCTTGGCCGTGGCGGCGTCTAGGCCGTTCGCCGCGGACTTTGCTGACTGTGCGTGCCCGCGCCCGCGCCCGAGCGTGCTGTCCACGGAGCGCATGAGCTGCCACATCGCGAGCTTGTCCATGTAGCTCTCGAGGCGCTCCTCGAGCGTCTGCGAGGGCGGCTGGGGCGCCTGCGGCTTCCCACGCGCGCGACGCTTGCGTTTCTTAGACTTCGAGGGCGACAGCGGCGGTGGCAGCGGGAGCGAGTGGGTGGGATCTGGAGGGGCGTCCGCCGCCGCCGAGGGGGCGCCGGGGCGTGGCAGGGTGAGAAGGAGGAAATGGAGCAGGATCTGGATCTGGACCCTGTCAAACACACAACAAGGGTGTGAGAGGCCGGGTATTCGTGGCGCGCAACACGTGGGGGACGTACTCGCGCCGCTCCATCCTCTCCAGCCACGCGTGCTTGAGCCGCTCGTCGTGCGCCTCGTCCTCGTCCTGCCCCTCCGGGATGTCGGCATCGCTCGTCTTGTCCTTGTGGTATGCGGACCACATGTACTCTTCCTCCGCGTCCGCGGCGTCGTTTTCCTCGGTGAGCACCTGCGAGATGCGGGTGTGGTACTTCTGGGACGACGCGCGCGAAGTCAATAGGATAGGCTGCAGAAGCGAGTGAAGGGGGTGGGTCATGGGTGTGTCGGAGGTCGAGGCAGATGCATGGGCAACACGCAGCATTGCTGGAAGGAGAAAAGGCAGCGGCATGATTGACTAATGATAATGTGGTTAGCGGCCCGTCCGTAAACACCAGTCGCAAGTAGGAAGCAGACGCTCGCGATGTGAGGACACTATTGTTCATGTCCGGCAATAACTCTGCCTCAGCCCTGACGGCCCAATGTGTAGGATCACCAGAGAGGCTGGAGTTAGAGCGTTGCTCCGACGCCTGTTCAGGCTAGTGCTCCAGGGATTGGCAGGCTCGTCCGTGGAGCTGGTAGCGACCCTCGCTTTTGTCAGACGACTCGTCCAAGCGATACTTTCATTGCCGTCGCAGAAGGACGTATGTTGGCGTTCTTGTACCCATGCACTATCGGCTCCCAGACGCTATATCGCCATTATGAACGGGCGGAAGACTGCCGGGCGGTGAGCGTCCGGCTACCGCCTGAGTTGCTGAGCGTCTGGTGTGGTTAGATCGGCCACCCACCGGATCCAAGACGCGAGGGGAATTATCCTTCGCGTTATGGACCCCGAGTGGGAAGTCCGCCCTCGAGAATGGTCGTCTGACGCCGCTTGAGTACCCCGCACCGCAGAAGCGGTCGTACAACCGCTTGGAACGGGTACACACCCATTTCATAACCGAAAAAGATCGGGACGAGAACGCCGGCCAGGTTCCACCACACATATGATACACATTCATGGATGCCGCGGGCGGTTGCGGGAAGGATATCATGAGGAAAGTCGAGTTCCCAAAACGACGACCTGCCGGCACCCGGGATCCTCGAAGCGGATGCAGGGTCGGCGTCCCGCTGTGGTTACGTAGTCCAGCATAAGACGAACTGCATGGACCCCACATCACATTCACGCGACGCCACGGACGCAGAGCCTCGAGCAACCCTGAAGCGACGAGGTGTCACTGGGACCCTCCCGCGCTCCGTGGCTGCACCGGTACGCGCCGTGTGCGTCCATGCAGTTTGTGCGGGAATATCGGACAGAAGTGCGGGACAGCCTTACCTGCGGTAACCATAGGAATTGGAGGTACGTTCGCAAGACATAATCCTCCGGCGCCTCTGTGGCTGAGTCGGTGTAGGGCAGTTCCTTGCTGAGATTGCGCTCCTGCGTGGCGAGCCACTTTACTGCGGGCGTTGTGGGGAGGCAGTAGACCGGGTGCGCGACGGAGACCATCGGGAGCGACCGCGGCGCGCTTGGCGGGGTCTCGAATGGGGTGGTGGTGGCGGGAGAGAAAGAGGCAAAAGGGCGAAACGCGGCAAACGCGTCCGTGACAGACGCGTACAGCGGTCACGTGACGTGACACTTTCGCGCCTCGGGTTCTGCCGGGCGGTGTGCTTCAAGAACAACGGCCGCTGATTGGCTGGTCGGACGCAGTATACGCTGCTTCGGCCTGAAATGTTGGACACGCGGTTGCGTCGCCGCGAGCTGTAGAAGCACATATTTCAAAGCAGGCGGCTGCTCTGCTCTTGCGGTTGCCCTCCAGCCGCCGCCCCATCATCGCTCGTCGCCATCATGCGGTCGTCTTCTCGTAATAAAACACGCTCATCTGTCCGCGAAGAGCCAGACGAAGGCTCTCGACCGCCCGGGCGTTTGCGCAGAATGGCACAGACGCCTTCACCCGCAGCCATCTTACACAATGTGGTGGTCAACGCAGTCGTACACCTGGCGGGCATCCCGGAGAACCCCTAACGACAGCACGCCCAGATTCACTCCCGTATCTTCTCCGGTGCACCTTCGTCCATTATGCATAATGAACCATAATGAACGACTGCCGTTATAGGTGGACGCAAGTCCGAGGACTGTCATCGGCTTGACGGCACTAATGAACTCCCAGCGTTGAGAAGATGTCGACTGACTCGGCCTCGCGATTAACTTGTGGCGCACAGCGCAACCCGGTTAATCGCCGGACGCTTTCCCTCGCAGTGGACACTTCGGACCTGTGCGGCTTCCTCTTCGTCCCTTCTGTACCTTGCTCATCGGTGTGTCTGTCAGCATCAGTGGGGAAGGCTCCCGGTATATCTGACTATGCCCCCCAATGCTCCCGGGCGACAGCGGGGTCTGTTGCATACCTGACGTTACCGACCTCATAACCAGTGGACGGATCTACGAGAGCCACAGCGCGGCTTCACGGCTGTATCTGAGGACCCGATCCGGCGGGCCCGACCTGTCAAAACAGTGCACGCAAGCGCCGTCAGCTCACAACGCCGGAGCGAAGAAGTCCACAGCCGCGCGACACACTCATGGGCACCCTGTTCGAACCTTGCACCACATTTCCACGTCTCCGCGAGCGGAAGCTCGACTGCCTACTTCATCCAGTGGTTCACCCGCGACCGCCACGTCCTGAACAGACCCCGCGGCGTCGTGCTGCGATCAGGAACAAGGACGTCAATGAGCACTCGGTTCGCTGCGGTGCTCGCCAGCCCTCCACCATGCCTGCCCGTAGCCTCGTGTTTTGGTGGGGGATATGACGACGAGGGAGCGGCAAAGCTGCCTGGGGCGTTCCGGGTTGCTCGCAGCCGCCTCCACGGCTGTCACCCGTCGCCACCGCTCCGGGCGGCAACGGTCGTCGAAGCTTGCGGCGGCGTGCAGGTGCACTCAGCGTCGACGTCGATGACTCGGAACGCGTCTGCGGGCGGGCGTACGTAATTAACTTCAATTGCTTCAATTACTCTCGCGCAGCGTCGATAATGGCCCGTCTTGCGGGGCAAGTGCGCTCGGCCGCAGCGCCGGGGAGGAGGTGTGCACATGGGGCGCAGGCCGTCGAACTCGAAGCGCGGGCGTTGGTTGACCGGCCTGGCCTGGTTGCCCTGCCGTCGCTGATGGTCGATGACGATCGGCAGAGACCACAAATTCAGACGAGTGGTCCTGACGACGCAGGTAAGCGCAGCAGCTCGGGCGGGAGACGCCCGCGGGGCGATCTGCGATAGTATCTCGCGCATCAACAAGCACCAACGATCGAGAAAAGGCAACTCGCCCTCGCGCGCGCGCCGTGACGCTTTCCCCGCATGGTCACACCCGATCGCCCTGCTCCTCGCGTGCGTCCCTGGAGAAACGCAGCTCCTCCTCCTGCACGGCGCGCAGAAAAACCGTCGCGCGCGGGCTCGCGTTCGCGTCCGTCGCGACGCTCGACGGGCCGCCGCCGAAATGCCGTCGTAAACGCGGGTAGCCATCCGAAGATATTAGCGTTACCCGGCCCGTCGGACATCGCGCGCGTCCTCCCTAGTAACAAGCTCTAGACTGCGTTCAAGGTCGACTTCGCACTTGTCGCACGCATTTCCCGCGTCAGAATCTCAGGACCCAGCGACGGGCCCTTGGCACGGGCGTCAGGGCGGCTCGATCGGGACTAGTCTCGCTCCCTTGCGCAACGGCTTCATCGTTTCCCCAGGGTGGTGGCAATATTCTCTCTCGATCGTGACGATAAGTTTCGGTTTCGGCTCTATTTCGTCAAAGGGCTCATCATGGACGCCCGCGCTCGCTCGCTCGTTTCTAAGCTATTTCCACGCGGGAGGGGTTCCAACTCGCGCTCCCCTCTTTCTTCCTGTCCGTGACCGTCTCCGGGTCTGGCAAACCTCCCTCCCCCCCGAACCGATGTGCTGAAGCTCCCTGGGTCTGTCTGTATCATTGCCCCGCCGAAGGCTTGAACCCCCTTCGACGCCGTGTTACTCAATCTGGTTCCTTCTAATTGTCCACGCTCCTAATTAACGCACGCTCCCCCACGGAACTCAACTGTAATCGCTCGCTCGCTCGCTTTCTGTCCCTACGAATATGTCACGCACCCCCGCAGACGTGCCGGCCTCTGCCAGTAATCCGACCGACGAACGGCGGAGCCCTCGCCACCCCCATTCGCCCCACAGACATACTACACTCCCTTCCGACCGCGCAACCCAACCCCTCCACGGAACTTCCTCCACCCCTGGCACCCCTCCTCACCCGCCTCCCGCCTCCTCACCCTCGCGCGTCGAAGCATTCACGGCAGCTGCGCCCACCTCCGACCTGGATTCCGACAGGCACACGTCAGGGCACATAGCTGAGCGCTCAAGCCCTTCCGCATCATCCTCGCAAGGCGACATGGCCGACACCGAGATGGAAGCGGGCCCGAGCAAGACCACCGCATCCGAGTCTGCCCCAGAGGGCCCGCCCCCCAAGAAGAAGCGGACGCGAACGTTGACGACCCCGCATCAGGCGGCTGTCCTGCATGCGCTGCTCGCGCAGGTACGTCTTTCCCCCGCGGCGCTCGATGCCGGGCGCGCAAGGGCTCATGTTCCCGCGCACAGTCCCGGTTCCCCACCACGCAGATGCGCGAGGAGGTCGGACGCTCCATCGGGCTCAGTGCTCGCAAAGTGCAGGTGCGTGCCCCCCGTTGTCCCCGCGACCCCGCCCCGGAATCTCATGTTCGCCCCGGTGCTCGCGTAGATTTGGTTCCAGGTAAGCGACATCACTCACTTCCTCCCGCGCGCCGCGGACGCTGACCCTGTCGCTACCCCCCAGAACCAGCGCCAGAAAGCGCGCCGCCCGCGCGGGCAGCCCGCCACGTCCGCGCCCCTCACACGCCCGCCCCAGTTTGGGCCCTTCACGAACGCGCCGCCGGGCTCCGCCTCGAGCGAGGTCAGCCCGACCACGACCACCGCCCACTCTGGCTCCAGCGCGGAAGGCTTCTTCGCGCGCGGCCCCGCCGGCTTGGAGATGCCGTACGGCGGCGCGACCGCGCCTTCTAGCGCCGTCTCCGAGCGGTTCGCATACGCGCATCGCGATCCGTACTTAGCCGACGACTACCCGAGATCCAGCATCGTCCCAAGCCAGCTCGCAGGCCCCGGCATCCCTGGCTCGAGTCGGCGGCCCCAGTACGCGATGGGCGGCCAGGGCGCAGAGGGCGGCGGGTGGCGGGCGCATGCTCAGGCCCGCATGCAAGGTTTCTCCTCCCGCCCTTCCACCTCCGGCACGGAGACGGCAGAGATGTACAGGACGACGCCTCGTCCGGGGCGTCCTGCAGGGGAGCAAGGTCCTGGACTTCCCCTGTCCCTGCCGTCGGTCATAACGAACATCCCGCGCGGCCATGGCCCCGCGAGCAGCCCCATCGGTGGCTCGTACCCGTCGCTCGCCTCGCTCAGCTCGCTCGAGGCCGGCCCCAGCTCTGGCTCAAGGTTCCCTGGCGCACTCGACGACCGCGCCCGCACGCTCCCGCAGCCCATCGTCGACTTCTCTGCCCCGCGGCAGCCGCTCAACATCCCCCCGCCGTTCACGCTGCAGCCGCAGCCGCAGTGGGATGACCCCGCCTTCTCGCCGTACAACACGCGAAGGCGGTCGCCACCTGCTCTGCCCCATGGCGTCGCACCGCCCTTTGGCGCCCCCTCCCCCACCGCAACCTCTCCCTTCCGCGGCGAGCCCCTGCCCAGCATTTCTACGGTGGTGCCTATGGGCCCCCGCTCCCCTTCCTCTCTACGCAGTCCGCGCTCGCCGACTCCCCGCGCTCGTTTCGACCCCATACGATCTTCTGCAGGCCGTGCGCCGTTACAGCACCCTGCACGACCCGGCTTCCACGAATCCCCCGACGAACACCACACATCTAGTAATCGCTAATGTAAACCTAGCGCCCAAGAGCACGCGCTCGCCCTATTGCCTCCCCGTGTATATTCACGCCCCTCCCCCCACGATCGTTTCTCGACGTCTTCACGACCCCGACCACGTATACTCACGCGTAATTGCGAACTGTACCCTGCCACATAATGCTCCGGAGCGGGCTTAGCCTACCCTTAATCGCGCCCCCTCCCGTACCACACACCTTATACGTAGTATAATTCCCGCTCCCGCCCCGCCCTTCGTTCCCATCGAGGCACCGTCAATCGTTTAGCTCTAGCTCCCTCTCGATACAATACTGCGTCGTATATTCGTCTGTCACTACCACGCGGCTCTCCGCATCTGTAGCGTATGCCCCACCAGGAAGAGTAGTAATAGCTGCTTGATCTAGCTAGCGTACAGCAAACACGCCCCAATTGTACTTAGTCACGTCTCCGCCCGCCGCCCCTTGAGCCTGCTCCGCAGCGCCGACTCCTGCACCGCGAGGTCGCCATCAACCGTCCCTGTCGAGGTCCCGGACGCGTCTCCCGAACCCACCGTGCTCCGCTGAGGCTGAGCAAGAGCAGCCCGCCTGGCGGCCGCAAGCCTCGCGCGGAGCTGTGCCTGGCTACGCAGCTCCGCTTCCTTGCGCTCGGCAATCCGCTCCGCAGGCACGACGTCCGGGGCGGCCTTTGGGGGTGCCCCCTCCGCGGCGCGCGTGCGGTCAGCCCCTCCGAGCGCCATAGGAACAGACGGGCGGCGCGCAGCTGACACTGGGGCCTTCTCAGCGGTGGGAATGTCCGCTGCGTCGCGCTTCTCGGCCGCGAGCTTCTGCAGGAGCAGAGTGCGTGGATCAGCGGATGCGGCGAGCGCGGGCCCTGCGGCACCTAATCCGGGACGACATGGCAGTTAGCCCACGAGAGAAGCAGCTAAAGTGGCAGTGTAGAGTCCGACCTCTGGGTTGAGCAGCGTCCTCCGAGGACATGTGCTCCACGGCACCCACGTCACTGCCCTGCTTTGCATTGTTGGCCGTCGAGGGTTGGCTTCCGGTACCGGGATGCTGCACGGATGGCGGCACACTCGGAGAGGACACGGCTGAATGTTCATCCGCCTTGGCTAGACGAGCTCGTGTGCGTGCCATAATTTCCGGAGCGGATATGCCCTTGCCGCCCTCGTGGACCGGAAGGTGTCCTCGGGCTGCGTCTGGGACCGCATGCGCAACGTGTTGAACGGCTGCAGCGGACGGCGGAGTAGGATCTGACAAGCGTAAGAGCAGAGAAGGCATACCCTCGCCGGATGACGAGGGATCTTCAGGGCGGAGGGCCCCACCACGAGGATTTGATACTGCACTTTGGCGGGCTTGTGACCGAGCCTCTGAGGCTAGCCCGGCGTTCGACGCTTTGTCGCCGTGCTTACTAGGATGCGGACCGCTAGCGCCACCCGAAAGGTATTCTTGTACGGTCTGCCAAGGGTTCCGTCGGACGCGCACGGGCTGCTTGCCTTCCATCGACGGCTTCTGCAACGTTGAAGCTTGAGCATTGTCGTCGCCGCCGGAGGGTAGTACGTGATCGGTGCGTTTAGTCTTATCTGCAGAACCGATAGGAGGTGCGACGCGGGAGACGACGGGGCTTGGCCGGACGTTCTGTATTATTGCGGCGGACAGATCCGCAGAGCGTGGCGGCGTCGATAACGCAGAAGGGGTCATTTCGCTGCCGCCGTTGGCACAAGAGGGGGTCCTATTCTTTGCGTTCCCTAGAATGCCGGCATTAACATTGCCACGAGAGGTCATGTCCTCCTCGCGTGGGCTGTCAGCGCGGCTCCAGCCGTCCGACTGGTCCGCACTATCGTCCGCGCGTTCCTTTCCCTTCCCCTTCCCGTCGTACCTGTTTCTATTGAGGTGAGAGTCTCGCGGCGCCTGCGGAAGGCCATTTCGCGGGGTGGGAACTCCGTCAGACGGAGAGCGATGATTGCTCCTGGACTGTCGACCTTCCGATGGGTTGGGAAGCTGCTCTGTGTCGGGGCGACCGCTCCGAGACGGCCTAGGACTCCTGCGTGCTGTCCCCGCATCTCCATCTCGATGTCTTCGAGAAGAGTGATGGGTGGAGGCAGTGGCGTGATCCTCTCGGTCTAGACGAGGGCGAGAAACAGGACGAGGGCTGCGAAGGCCTGACGGGGAGGCAGACGAAGGCCTGCTCTGCGACCGGAGACGAGTACGCGGCGCTGAGCGTGACCGAGAGCGAGAACGCGATTGCCATCGTCGATTATAGTTTAAGACGTCGGGCGGGGGGACGCCAGCGGGGACGTCGTACTGGTGGGGTTTGGCCTAAGCATGCTGACTGGCAGATGTGAACACAATAAGACAGCCCACCTGCACGTTTCGATCGTATGCCGCAAGATCACGGTAAGGCGACCGAAGATAGCAATAGAGTTCTAATGGAAATGTGCGGCGCGCCCAGTCAGTAATGGAAGGCATGATCACGAGAGCACATCCCACGGCAGACATCCACGGATACTGCACCGAGCAAACGCAAGTCAAAAGGTAACCCTGCGACGACACCACACAAGACTTCGGCACGTCATCGTGTAAGCGAGCATAAAGCTACCCATTATGCCCGGTACAATACTCGGGGAGGCCCGCCGTGTCCATCAGCAACGCCTCACGATGTCTGGTAGCAGCATCGGAGGGTCATCAACAGCCGGGCGTCACAAACTTACCATGTGCGAAGTGCTCTGCATTGTCGTGTTCGTGGCCGCGATCTGCGTCCATATCCAGGAACTCGGACAGTAACCTTACGGCCGGTTCAGAGCGGATGTCCAAGGACTTCATGAGAGACACCGTGAAGGTAGTCAGGAACTAAATCAATGAGTGTGAACATGATGTCCTAGAATACAGCGCACGGGAAAACCGGCGACTAACCTCTACGTCCAACCCTGTCCATACCCTCAGCTCCCGGCGTATGAATATAGTTGCCCTGGAGATATAGTCCTGAGATGCAGAAAATTGCGCGGGGGTAGGAAATGGGCGGTAACGGGTGTACGGATTGGAAGCGACATGCTACAGCAGGAGTAAGGTTATGGTTAGGCTGATGAACGGGTACACAACTTGGACGTGGAATGGATGTGGCGCCTCAATTGATGGGGCTACAATGGCGGAAACTACTCGAATATAAGATCCTCTAAGGGGCTTCGACTCACCATAGCATAGAACTCATGCCGGTAAACCCACCTCCGCTTCTCGATAGCTCGTTCGAGCTCGTCAAGCTCTTCAAGTTCTCGTTGTCGCCTACGCCCCCATTCAACCTCTCTGCGGCGTACAGCACGCTGCCGTGCATGCTGACGAGCGGCGGCAACGGCCTGGGGTTCGTCGGCGGAGCGCAATGGGGCCAAGTAATGCTTTTGATAATCATATTTTGACCGAATATGGTGCATGAGGTATTTACCGATGTCCTGCGAGCATAATGGGCAGCGGCGAGACTGCTCTATACGGTCATAAGTACTTGCGGGGGTATTGAAGAGATGACAAGGAGTAGTGTCGTTCCTTCACGAACATGTACGACACTCACCGGTCCAGATGAGGAGACACTCAAAGCAGAACTCGTGCGAGCAGGTTGGTATCACGGTCCTGTCTGCATAAGGCTGCAAGCATATGCTGCAGTTCTCTCCGTCGGTGTCCTCAAGCTCATCGGGTTCGATTGCTTCCGGGGGATTTGGGGATTCCGAAGGAGGGTCGAGTTTCAAGCGCTTCGCAGGCGGGCTTTCCATTCAAGCTGGTAGCACGCAGCAGGGTATATAACGCAGAATACGTCGGTCTAGTCCTCACAACAGGGATGAGAGCACACAGGCGGGGTGGTGAGGGCAGGAAGCAAGAGGTGCGATCGCGTCCAGTGGTCGGAGGAGCGTTACGGGGAGTTACGGGCTCACGCTGTGATGTGATGTTGTACCTTGTCACAATATAGCGTCACGCACTTCCTGCTGGCGAGCCGGCTTCTTGGTCTGAATCCGCGACCATTGATCTGCGCTCTGCTTGCTATCTACTTTGCTCGTGCGGAGCCGCGTATGGGGGTGCGACGCACAGCCAAGAAAGCCAATCGACGAGTAGCGCGGATGCGACCAAAGATGACCAACACCTGGCACCGCTCAAGCAAAATCATAACCTCATACTCAGTACATTCACGCCGCTGAGCCTACACCATCTGCGCCCACTGAACACTGAACTAGTATTGACTTGCAATCTTGGACGAGGACGTCGGACATAGCCTGAATTTGAGATTTTAGCGACCATCCCAACGCTCTGGGATGCCGCGCCTGGTTTGGATTAAACCTGATTAAACCCGCGCCATGTGTTACGATCAGGCTACTAACGAGTAATTCCACTGCATGCGCCATGCAGATTGCTATCATGAAGTGCCTGCAGTACGTTGTGCTCAACAATGTGATGGAATACATGTCCGACGATGGAGGTGATTCGTATAACCTACGTGAGTACTTCTCGCACGTAAGTCCGAAGCTAGGTGCTAACACGGCGCGCATGTATAGTCTGGAGCAACTTCGAGATCGTCGGCGTGGACTTCTAGTGCGACGAGGCGTACATGAAGCTCTTCGAGCTCCTCAACCACACCTACGACGTTTACCTCAAGGTACCTTCCGGCCCCGGTTCCTCTATTTTCTGCATTCATAGTGCTCATACTGACGCCACCGTTTGCGACTGTAGCGTTGGGGCGATGCACCAGTGCACAACATCGCTGTATCTCCGTCTGCGAACAAGGACCAGATCCACTTCTTTGACAAGATCGGATACGATCACAACCCATAAATCCACTGCCGGCGCGGCGAGGGTTCCGCTCAAGTTCCGCTAGTGGGCAGGGGGGAAATGCGACTTTGGTTCGTCCTCGATATCTTCCAAGTTTTTTTTGTTTTTTGTTTGTATCCTCGTTTATTGCCCTCGAGGGCCTGGCCCTATGGTAGGCAATACAAAACTGGTGTCTACGAGAGCGTGAGCGAGCGATCGTCTGACATACGTAAGGGGGAGGGAAGGTGCAGCAGCCGAAGCCGCCGCGGGCACAATAGTATGGATGGAGAGAGGCAGAGAGAACACGGAACCGAGTCAAGAGAGGTGACAATAAGCTACTAAGTCTTGATTGATGTATGGCTTTCCGCCTCTCTGCATCCTTTGTGGTGTACTGTCTGGCTCGGCTGCACCCGGGTAGCATAAGTCAGAAGGCGCGGAACCGAGAGGAACCAGGGAACGTCATAGCGCGATGCTCTGCGCGCGATCGTCCGAGTATGGAGACGGCCTTACTGGATGTGGATCGTGACGTCTAAGCCGACTCTGTGAAGAGCAGGTTGACAGGTGGGGCTTGTCGAGGACGGTCGATATATATACCTTGAAGGTTGGCCGATCGTCTTGATTCGCGCCTCCATCTCTCCTTTCATTTCCTACGAACATACTGCATCACCATGGCCGACAAGCTTGAGGAAGGACAGCACGTATCGTACGTCGTCGCCATTAACGGTCTCTTACATGACGTCCCTCATGCAGTGCGCAACGCGACGCAGGTGGCGCTGGGGCAACGGGAATGTCGAGGGCGATATCGCGGAGATCGTCGAGGAGGGAAAGGCACAGGTGACCAGCAACAAGGTGAATGCACACAATATTCCTCTCTCAGAGTCTGTATTGACTTGGCGTCGTCGCTCCGTAGAGGAACACGATCACTCGCACTGCGCGAGAGGGAGACCCCGCTGTGAAGATAACACGGAAGGGGGTGCGTAGCGTGTTCAAACTCGTCCAAGCTTAATGTTGTCGTCTGACGTGTACGGATGTGCCCCTAGAACGATGTGGTGAAGCTTGCGCACGAGCTGAACGAGGTAAAGGAAGCCGAATGATGGTTGAACACGATTTGTGCGTGCTCGCGACGCAAGACGGACGTGATTAGGTTGAAAGTATAGTGGCCAAGTCACGGATTGATGATACGAGCTTTCAGGCTGTACCAGTATCGATAGCACGACTGCAGAAAGATAGGTGGCGGGGTGAATAGATATCAGATTCGAATGTAGATTGCCTTCGCGACTCTCATGCCATGCAATGGGAGCAGATGATCTCCGCGACGCGGCATAGATTAAGCAGCCATAAAAAGTTAGACTAAAAAGCAAAGTACACTACGTACAATACAGCATCCTCGACGGACCTACCAACTGGCCTCCCCTGTATGGAAGTCCAGGACCCCAACGAGCGGCGCCAACCGCTCCGAGAAAGCGAGGTGCTGCTCTTGGAAGGCCAATTCATCGGGATGGTCCACCAGGCCCAACACAAGATCGTCGAGCGCGTGCTCGCCCGGCTTCCCCAGCTTGCGACGTCGGTTCTCCAGGCTTGCTGACACGGTATCCAAGAGCGTGGCTGGGGTCGCGGACAGCCCGTACAAACGCAAGGACCGTAGCTTCGGACAGAGCACCATGTCCGCGCTGGGGCCTGCGTCGGCCCCTGCGCCGTGGGCTGCAGGCGCCGGCGCATCTCCGGGGTCCAGCGCCGAGAAGATCACGTCGAAGGAGACGAGCAGGGTGTCTTCGGATACAACGAGATCCAGGACGCGCAACGTCGGGTTCGCCGCGAAGAAGTCTCGCCAGTTCACCTGGGAGACGACCGCGGAGCTGACCTCGATGGTGACGTACTCCAGCGGCGAGTCGCGGAGGACCTCGATGACGTCCTCGGGGCCGACGTTTAAGTCATCGCCGAAGCCGTCGTCGGGCACATCGAGCCTCAAGTCGAGAGAAGCGCCGTCACTCGTAATTGGAGCTGGTGTGGTCGTGTATCCTTCGACACAATGGACGTCGGAGAACATGACAATGTGCGCCTCTACGATGGTGGTGAGGATGGGTAGACAGCGTCTATCCTTGGGAAGGAACGCGTTGATGTTCGCGGTGTTCCCCGCGAGTGTTTCGCCCTGTTGGGGGGCACTCAAAGAGATGGTGGCGCTGGCGGGGAGAGTGATCATGGAGAGCAATTGCTTGATGAGCGGTCCTTCTGTATTAGTCACGGCAAACTTCTGCAATTTGCTTAGCACCACACTGTCCATGCCCGCGAATGGCGATGCGCTGCCGAGGTCGCAGACCCGTATGTTGGACAACACGAGTTCTTCGATGTTCTCCATGCGGCGCAGGGCGTCCAGGAAGGTCGCAGTCTTCAACATGGGGGTGCTGCGGACGCAGCCGGTGAGACTGAGAATTCGCAGCTGCGCGAAGACAGAGAGGTCGCCAAAGATGTGGATGCGCGAGACCCTGAGCTCCTCCAGCCGAGGAAAGCGTGCGGGAGAAAAGTCAAGGATCAATTCAGCAGCTTGCGGATCGATATGGGCAAAGAAGCACCGCAGCGCGGGCATGTCATTGTCCATGAACTGGACTAGTGCAGGCACGGTATCGGCTGGGATCTTCCAGAGCCTGAGGCGACGCACACGATGAAGGTGGGGCGCGACGAAGGGGGCGGCTTCGGGAAGGGGATGAGTGAAAAGATTCATCATCTCTATGGTGACCTCCGCGCCTCTTGAGCGCGCTAGACCGGTGCGCAATAGGTTCGTGCTGCCCGTGACTTTGAGGTTCTTCCAGAGCTTCGCGGCCGTCGAACCGACAACGAACCAATGCCTGCAGACGCGAAGGATATCGGTCCAGAAAAACGCGCGCGAGAGGTCCATTCCCTGAATATGGTTGAAGATCTCGACGAGCAGTTCGACGGGTAGTCGGTTGATAGGTGCCCCAGCGTTCAACAGCGCGTACATAGCCTGTAGTTCGAGCTCTTTCTCGCGTGCTTGTGCAAGAAGCGCACCGCGTCCATTTGCATCTAAGGCTATGGTCGTAGACATGTGCTCAAGCGCCTGAACCCCGTAGTACGGTGGATGGAGCTCCGTAGTCCTCAGGGGGTCCAAGAGGGGTGTGGTGTCCGTGCTATACGGTTGAGTGACGCATCCGCCACGCATTAGAACACAGCACGTACTTGACATGTTGCTCTCCGAGCACCCGACGCTGATTCCGCGGACGCATGAAGGGCTCCATCTTGTTGAGGCGTGTGACGTCCAACTTGCACCGGTATACAGCGCAGAAAGCTAGACAAAATCCGTGCAGACAGAGTGAAGTAGCGAAAAGCGAGGATGTGGAACACACCCAAGAGGCGCAGCGCAGACTGCGGGCCGAGAATCTAGATCCTACTCGTTCGAGAGCATCTGACCCACTGGGAGACAATCCTCCGCCGGAGTCCGCCAGACTGTGATGGCAGACTCACGTGAGTGATAATCAGGGAGATAACAGGAGATACCTACCTTTTGAGGCAGGTACGTGGAGATTAACCCCTAATCAAGCGCCCTCTCACAGGGCGCTACTAAACTCACTATAGGGCCTACTACGGGTGGTGGTAATGCGAGTAAATAAGAATTGGAGAGATCTTACACATGCGCGCGAGTATATAATTTCCATCTGAGCGTTCAGGTAAGCAAGCGCGACGTGCGCGTGGCTCGCGCGAGGTCGCGCGTGGTTTACGAGGCAATCGCGACCTCGCGGCGCGTGGCGCGACTTCGTGAGCAACGGCCCGCCCCCTTAAGCATTTCTATCGCCCCCGCGTTGCTTAAAAATTGCTTCAGAACAACATGTAAAGTGTTATCCCGCTCAGATAAAAGTTATACGAGTTTGTGGGGCTTTATAGCATCCCTTCCAAGTTCATAAGATCAGTAATAAACTACTAAGAACTTACTCCTCCGACTAATATCTCTCTATCACTTGGAACTTGTGTTAAGCACTCAAGAAGAGTACATTGATACTATAGCATGAGTTTTCGAGGCGGCACTGTGTTTGTTCTACGGAAGCCAACTATCCAGTAACGTACTACAGTGTTCTCGCGTGGTATAACAGCGAGGCGCCCAGCGGAGGCATTACCATATAGGGGGGTTTATGGCGCTTACATTACTATTTGGGCACCGGCTTATACGAGGCGCCGAGAGCCGTCCGTCAGAGTCCGCCGGAAAGTCGCAGTCCCAGCGGGTCGGATGGTTTGACTCGTTCAGATCTCAGATCTCGGGGAGTGCCGTGGCCCGCGCGCCCGTGGCCAGCCGTGGCCCTTCAAGTTGCCGGGCTACGGTCGCCAGCAGTGCCGAAACCGCTGCTTACCTTCTACCTGCAGGTGAACGTACGGAGATGGGCAGAGCCATATATCATTAGCCAGGTTGCCAACTTCAATGGCTCGCAATCAAGGCCCTGTTCAATGGGTTGTAGCGAGTGAGTGCAGCAGATTTCACGAAACTGCAAATAAAATGTACCAAGAAATCTAACAAATATGTACTTACCTATATCGCAACACCCTCAGCGACGAGCTTAGATAAATTGAGAGTTACGGCATGCGAAGGTCCCCACCAGCGGCACCATCCGCTCTACAAACGCAGCCCTGGCGACAAGGAAGGCCGCATGGTTAGGCTGATCTACCACGTTCAGCACCAGCTCCTCGAGCGCGTGCTCGCCCGCGTTCCCCAGCCTCCGCCGCCGATTCTCCAAGCACGTTTCCACTGTATCCAGAAGCGCGTTCAGGTCGGCCGGAAAGCGATGCAATCGCATGCGCCGCAGACTCGGACAGAGGACGACGTCGCCAGCGGCAGTGCCAAGACCTGCATCCTCCTCTACCGTGCTGGAGGGAGGCAACGTGTCCCCAGGCCCAGGATCCAGCGCCGCGAACATCAAGTCTGGGGTGAAGGCCAGTGCGTCCGGGATGGTGGTGAAGTCCAGGCGGCGCAGAGTCGGCAGCGCAGCGAAAAAATCCCGCCACTCCACCTGCGCAACTATCGAAGAGCTCGTCTCGACGGTGACGGACTCTAGCGGCGAGTCACGGAAGACTTCGACAAGGCCCGCAAGGCCGATTCCAGCACCGGCTGCGCCTCCCAAGTCGTTGGCTTCGGGGAGCTCGAGGATGAAGAGCACAGGGGGGACCGCGCCCCTGGTCGAAGCTGGCACCGCCGCCGTATATCCTGCTACGATGTGCTTGGTGGCGGACGTGTTGATCCACGCCTCGGTGATGCAGGCAAGCACAGGGAGGCCGGCGCGTCTGTCCTCTGGCAGCATCCCCGCCATATTAGCGGAGTTCCCCGCCGCTGTTGTGCCTCGTACAGGAGAGCTGAAGTGGACGGTAGCTTCGGGAGGGATTGTGATGACGGAGAGCATCTGCTTGATGAGCGGCCCTTCCATGTTCACGACGAGCTTGCGCAGTTTCCTCAGCACTACGCGATCTTTGCTCGCGAACGACGGAGACCCGCCGAGGTCGGATACCAGTACACCGGACAGGACAAGGTCCTCGATATTCTCCATGCGACGCAGTGATTCCAGCAACGTCGCGGTCTTCAGTGTGGGCGCACCGACAGAGCGACCGGAGATATGGAGAGTTCGTAATTGCGGGAAGATGGGCAGGTTACTCCAGACGCAGATGTGTGAGACCCGGAGGTCTTCCAAACGGGGAAAACACTCCGGAGAAAGGCGAAGGGTAAGGTTGCGACCGCGTTCATCCCCGGTCGCGTGAAAGTGACGCAGGGCAGGCATCGCGTTGTCCATAAACTCGACGAGAGCAGGGACACTCGTAGATGGGATCCTTCCTAGCCGGAGGCCACGAAGGCGATGCATGTGGGGCGCAACGAAAGCAGCGGCTTCCGTGAGAGGGTGGGTCCGGGCACACACCATCTCCACACTGAACTCTGCTGCACTTGAGCGGAAGAGGCCAGTGCGCAACAGGTTAGTGCTATCGCTGACTTTGAGGTTCGTCCAAAGATTGCCCGCCGTAGAGCCGACGACGAACCAGTGTCTGCAAACGCGAAGGACGTTGGCCCAGTAGTGTGAGGGGTCATCTACACTCTGGAAACGGGCAAAGATTTCGACAAGGAGCTCGACGGGAAGTTGGTTGATGGGTACGCCGGCATTCAGGAGAGCGTAAACGCCCTGGAGTTCGAGCTCCTTCTCTCGTGCTTGAGCGAGGAGCATGTCGCGCCCGTCTGGGTACAATGCTGTAGTCGTGGACGTGTGCTGGAACGCCTGTGCGCCGTAATACGGCGGACGTAGCTGCCTCGTCCTCAAGGGGTCCAAGAGAGGCGTAGTGTCCGCACTGCAGGACTGAGAACATATTTGTGAGACAGCCGAGGAGAAGTGCCCACTTTGTAGATTGGCGTACTTGCTGTCGCTGAGGACGCCGTCTCGGATTCATCACCTGCTCCGAATTCACTGCGCGATATCGTCGCACGCAAGCACTGTGAGTGCTAGAGCAATCAAGAGATCGTCGTGGTACGGATGCGCGAGTCGGCTAGACGCTCATCGATCATCAGCGTTAGACATAAGTATATTTGGCTCTATTTGGCTTCCAGTGGTACCCGCAAAAAAGCGCTCTTAGCGCTCTGCTAGCATCCATCGTCTTCCAAAAGCCCTCGATCCCAGAGACGTAGGTAGGCATATCTACACGACACAACTGCACGCTCAAATAGCGCTGATAATGATATTTTTGTCGCAGAAAGCATGACGGACCACCCTAACTCGTGGCCGCCATACTACGGGCTGCCGCCTATTAAAGGTGTTGCAATGTCTACGCCCTTCGCTGCTGCAAAACAGGAGGAAGAACTGCTTCAAGAGAGAAGGAAATGGCTGGAACTCGAACTTCTGGGGACCAACGCTCTCATCAACGCCTGCGCGCCGATCAATAAGCTCCCAGCCGAAATACTCGTCCTTGTCATGCAGTCCGTCCAAGAAAGCTATGGTGCAGATCCCATAGGTCAGACTGAGTGGCTTCCTATGCTACAGGTTTGTCGCCATTGGCTTGCGCTCGCTTCAACTACCCCGGTACTGTGGCGGACACTTGTTGCCGGGACCAGTTTGAACTACCTGCGCACGGGGCTCGCTCGATCCAGAAATGCAACTGTCACTATCTCCCACACCTACCCCCTGCTAGCTGGCGAAGTGATACAGCTTCTTACTCCACACATACGCCGCCTCCGCCAACTAACTCTGGTCACGATGCTCAAGGAAGACACGGCGCACGTCGCTGCTTTACTGCGTCATCCTCTGCCTGCCTTGGAACGCTTCGATTTCAGCGTCGTCGGGCTTCCCCTTGAAGATCAGGATGCGGACATCGAGCTAGCATCCCATTGTCTTCCTGCGCTTCGCCATGCCATCATCAAAGGCATCGATATCCGTCCCTCGTCAATCCTTCAGCAACTGACGACCCTCCACCTGTGTAACTGGACCGAAGAAGACCGCATGCCGACGTTGGACACGTTCACGAGGATCCTGCATTCCTGTATCAACATAGAGGAGCTCCACATCAAGAACGTGTGTTGTCGGGATGTAGATTCTCCTGCCGCCACAGACATCGTGCGGACCGCGGTCTCTAAACTGCGGTGGCTTCACATAGACACCGATACCAGGACTGCCAAGCACACGCTGTCGGTTCTCTCTCTCCCGCCCACCGCGCATGTCACGATACGTTGGTACATCACAGACCAGACACCGGCTGCGGACTTCACGCTCGGGTTTCTCGCTGTCATGCCCGACGACCGGACTGGCCTGCTCTCCCTCCTCTCCGGTCTCAACACTGCGAGGGTGCAGCTCTACCACGATGAACGCAAACTCGTGACGTACGCCGATGCTCCGCCGGACTCCGAAGACAGCCCCGGGCCTACTTTCACGCTCTCGATCACGAATCCCGATCTAACGCGACGAGCAACACCGCTTCTCTTCCAGGACGTCCTGAGCATCTGCGCCCTCGCGCCGCTCGAGGACCTGCGCATCGATACGGAATCGTACAAAATTCCGCTCATAGACTGGCGCGCCGCCCTCGCACCGTTCGCGCAGCTGCGCAAGCTCGCGATACTCGGACTTGGGAGGGGGAGGCCGGGGGATCCGCCGTGCCCCGTCATCTCCAGCCTGAACCCGGAGTTTGCGCCTACTGGGACCAGCGACGAGGACCGTCTCGTTTGCCCTGAGCTGCGCACTCTGCGGGTAGAGGGATTCGATGTTCACCTGCAGGGAATCTTGCCAGGGTTGCTGTCGATGCTTGCGGCGCGGAAGGAAGTGCTCGGGTGGAAGAAAGCCCTTGGAGAGCTGTCGTTGGAGCTGGACTACCATCGGACGGATGAGTACTTCGAGCAGTGCAAAACGCTGTACACCGAATTTCTCGGCTCGCTCGTGGAGAACTTGGTGTACGAACGCAACCTGACATAGATGGCGGTACGTACTTGTCCATGCCACCTTGTTTGCTCGCATGCTGACATGTTATTGTGGTCGCAAGGGAGTGTCGATTCCGTTTGGTCGATATGGCTATCGTTACTAGGTGCAGTGGCGTCAGCCTACTCTCTTCGGTTGTGATCATCCTCTGAAATTTGAACTTTCAGAGTAATCGCTATACGTTATGCCCCTTCTTTTCAAACACGATCAGTCTCGTGCGCATGATGGAAGGGATTCGACCGTCTTTTGGGCCACGCCGCTTACAGAGACAGTTGTTTGCAGTTGTGAAATGTAAGGACAATGCGGTGGGCACCGGCGTGAACAATCAGTACGCCCGGGCCGATCAGGGGCATGGTATGCAGTGTTGGGTCAATGCGGATGTGGCTTATAAGGAGCAAGATTCTATTGACACCTCACCTACAGCCTCCTGCCCTCCAACCACAACTTTCTGCGAAACTTGTGAGCCACTAACTCCTCCGTCCCCGCGCTCTCTGACTGATGAGCAATTTCGCTAGATTAATTCTAGCCACACTTGACGAACAGCACCTCCATGGCAGCCTCTGATCACGTAGGGCGCTCCGTGTCGAACTGGCCCGTACCACGCCCGTGGATGAGGTATGTGTTCGAACATCCGCGTAAAGTCTCACTTCTTTACATATGAGGTAGCACAACTACCACCCCTCGCTTGGACCCGCTGCGGAGTTCAAGCCTGCATCCACCCTACTACGGGGCCCCTGCGCTCGAGAACATGCACCTGGTCACCGTACTGGACGAAGACGTTCGCGCGGAACTCACCGCAACAGTCCGAGCACGGGAGCAGGAGCTGCAGAGCATGTACGCTATCCTGAACATCGGCGTCTCCATCAACCGACTGCCAGTAGAACTGCTCGTCGAAGTTTTCACGCATCTACAGCAGGGCGATCTAAAGCTCGGGTGGCTCGACACTCTCCGGGTCTGCAGACACTGGTTCGTGGCCGGGTCGACGGCTGCGAAGCTCTGGAAGAACCTCAGCGTCAGCGGCAGCACCAACCTCTTGCGGACGGGCCTCGCCCGCTCTCGGGCCGCGGAACTGAGCATCTCAATCACACCCTACATGAACAATCTACTCGACGTCACCGGTCTCATCAACCCCCACCTACATCGGTTGCGTACGCTGAGGCTCGGAATGATACCCCCGACGGACGTTCCCTCTTTCGCTGCCTTCATGGAAAACGACATGCCCGCATTGCAATCTCTCCAGGTGTTCGTCAACCGTATCTCTGGTTTGGAAATGGCCCTGGACCTTTCGCCGACTCGTTTCCCTCAGTTACAAGATGTTTACGTCTCCGGCGTCCAGGTACTCCGCAATCTCGCGGTCGCTTCGCAGCTGCGCAAGGTCAACATCAACGATTGCCTCGGGAAGAACCCTGAGCTCCAAACTTCGGCGCTCCTGGACGCCGTGCGCAACATGCGAAACGTCAAAGAGCTCCTGATGCAGCACATGTACGTATGTGACGTCAGCAAGGCCCTGACGGTCTCGGTTCAGAACAGAGTCGTACTGGAGCAGCTCGAAAACGTTATAATCTACACAGACGGGCCGCTTTTGAAAGCGATTCTCTCCACGATCGTCATACCTCCTACGGCGACCGTCTCCTTACTCTGCTCGTTCGCTGCGGACACCCCGGAGGGAAATGCGCCGAGTTTCCATGCGGTAATCCCGGAAGACCGACGCGGCCTCCCCATCCTCTCGAAGATCGTCGCTGTGCGCGTGACTGCTATGGATGGCGAGCACACGTTGGAGGGTTACGACGATGACTCTGAGTTCTGCGACACAGGGATGCCTTGCGGCGCTCCCCAACTCGAACTCTCCATTGTCATGCCCGAAGAGGACGCCGACTTCTCCGTCCCAATCGGCCTCGACGACCTCGTCCACGTCTTCCGGGGTGCACCGCTCGAGCACTTGATCATCGACACGACGCTCATAGTCGCTGCCACGTCCGATTGGCGCAAGATTTTCGAGGCCTTTCCGAAGCTGCGCACATTCAGCATCACCGTAGAACAAGACGACGAGATATCCAACGTCTCTGTGCAGCTCCTCTCTGCGCTGGATCCCGGGGACACGCCGCCGGCAGCGCTCGCTCGCGGGGACGACGGAGAGCGCCTGCTCGGTGCAAAAATCCTGGACATAGTTCCGTGCCCGGCCCTGCGGCGTGTGCACATCATTGGATTGGGGACGCCAGCGAACACGGGCTGGCTCCTGGACACCGCCGCCGCGTGCTTGGAGAATAGGAGAAAGGTGCTGGACAGGCCGGACGAAGGCATTCGGGAACTCAAGCTGGAGTTGGATTGCCACAACGATGATGCGCATTTTCTCCGGGTGAAGGCCGCTGTTGAGAAACGCCTGGCGCCGTTAGTCGATGTTGTATCGTATGAGACTGGCGATATGTGGTAGATTTGTAACGCGTGTAGATTGCATGAACATTCTTTGGGACTTTCTTCTTGTGTCGAAAATATTGGAGGCGATGCCGGCTCAATGTCTTGAAGTTGTATCAGCTTGTACTACTGTGGTGCACCACCGCAGTCACGCCGGCGCTTGGCCTGAGAGACCGACTCGGCTCGGGTCTGTTCAAACTTCGACTCATCCCCACTCATCTCAGGCTGCGAGTCCCAACCTCCTCTTTCCGGACACCCACCTTTATCTGCATAAACGGCTAGTCTAGAACGTATACCGGTGCCAAAGTTCGTCGAAAGTACGGTATGTGTGACAGTGTCCTGTTTTTGTTGGTCTTCCTGCAGTCTCTAAGGCTACATTGCTCATAGCTTTCCAATGTCCAAGTCAGAGGATTTGTCGGTCAGGCTACGCGCTGACGCCCTGCATTCACCATACTACGGCCTTCCGTCTTCCGAATCAGAGTCCGATGTAGACGCTCTGGCACCGATAGACGAGACTCTCTGCCACGCTACTCTACTGGAAGGGAAGAGGAAACAAGAGGTGAAACTCCTGCGGACCAACGCTCTCCTCAATACCCACGCGCCGATTAACTCCCTCCCCGTCGAGATGCTTGCCGCGATCCTGTGGGCTCTTCAAGACAGTTATTCAAATTCGAAGACACCGGCGAGTCGGCTGCAGTGGCTTTCCACCTTGCGGGTTTGTCGTCACTGGTTTGTCGTCGCAGCTACCACTCCCAGGTTGTGGTGCGACCTAGTCGTTACGGGGCGCTGCCTGGACTACTTCCGCACTGCTCTCGCGCGCTCAAAGAGCGTCCCTATCTTCGTCTCGGTCACTGGCAGGTTCCACCGAGCCGATGAAGCCTTGAAGCTCCTCACCCCACACGTACACCGCATCTCTGGGCTCCTTTTGCAAGTATTTGGTCGAAACAGCGTATCGCCGCTCATCGCGTTTCTGCAACATCGCATGCCTACCCTGAGCTCGATTTCAATCGCCATACCTAATCAACATCCCAATCGTGACGAGGTGGTGATCGACTTTTCTCCTCAACGATTCCCCAAACTTCAGGCTGTTTCCGTCCACGGCATATACCTTTGTCCTTCGACCATCTTCGCACAGTTGACCTGCCTAGAGCTGAACGGCTGGGAGCGTTTGATGCAGCCCGAACTCACGTTGGACATGCTCACCATGATTGTGCAGGCCTGCGCCAGTAGCATTCAGGAGCTCAGCCTCGTCAAAATGGCCTGTCATAGTCCGACTACTCAGCATTCAAATCTCACCGCGAGAGTCGAGCGCGTCGCCATGCCATGTCTTCGACGGCTTTCCTTCAGGAAAATGGAGAGTTCGACGGTGAAACACATCCTCTCCGTCCTCTCCCTCCCATCTACGGCACACCTCGCGATTCAATGCCGGGGTTTCGAGAACCATACTGCAGAGCTCGTCCAAGGGTTTCGAGTCCTGATGCCGGAGGACAGGAGCGGCTTGCCTCTCCTTTCGCACCTCACGCACGCAGAGGCATACCTCTACGACGGCAAGCGCAAACTCGCGGCGGGTTCTTCCACTCCTTGCGGCGACTCTCATTCAAGCCTCACCCTCGATCTGGAGATTTCGGACTACAACACGGCACGCGTAAGAGAGCCCCCTCTCTCCGACGATGTCCTCGACATCCTCCGCACCGCGCCCCTCGAGCATCTGCGCATCGAGCTGCCGGCGCACAAGATCCGCCGCGTCGACTGGACTGCCATGTTCCTGCCCTTCTCCCAGCTTCGGCATCTCGCCATTCGTGGGATCGGGACTCACGACGACGCGGTGCCCATTTACAAGAGCCTCACTCCGTGCCTCATGCCTGAACCTGGCGCGAGCCCCGAGGAGCGCCTCCTGCTGCCGAAGTTGCGGTCGCTGCGGATCGAGGGCTTCGACGCAGACAACTACCTCCCCATTGCGCTGAAGGTGGTGCTGGAGGATAGGATATCTTGTCTAGGCAGGGCCGGGGCCCTGGACGAGCTCTACTTTCAGTTGGACAACCATCGGTCCGGGGAGCATTTCGAGGACAGAAGAGCGGCGTATTCGGAGTTCTTCGGGTCGTCTGTACAAACATTGGTGTACGTGCCCGGAAAGCCTGACTGGTAGGTCGTTCAAGGTGAACAACCAAATGGGCGAGTACAATGTCTTAGTACGGTACGGAAAATATTCCACCTTATGCGTATACATGACTGGATACATCAAGCTGAACAATCATAAATAATAGAGATCGTCGGGGACATCAACATGCATCATTGACCAACGTGACCGCAGTGTCCAGACGCAGCGGGATGTGTCTGACTTGACGACGCATCATCCGTGAACGACACTGAAGGCATTGACTCGGCGATATCCTTCTCTGCGGGGTCAGCCCTCGTTTGGGGGACCTTCTTCTCAGATGTCCTCGGCGGCCGCGCTTCTAGGCTCTTAGGCACCTGCGCCTTGTTGGTGGCCGCCTTCCTCTGCTCCCAATACGCCTTCTCCTCCGCGCGCAAATCTCCGGGGAAGTAAAGCGGAAGCAGGGCGAGTCCCACACCCGCTTCCCTTTCCTCTGCACTCTGCAGCGTCGACATCACCTTTTTGTCCGTGAGGTCCGTGACGACGTCGTCCTTCGTCGTACGCTCGAAGTGGAAGCCGAGGGCGGCTGCGCTGCGCCGTGCGCCCGCCGCGACGACATTCTGCACCATCCCGAGGCCGCCCACAGCAAGCAGGTACCACGCATCTCCCTGAATACCCTCCACCGCCAAAAGCAGGACGACCCAGAGCACGCAGAGTACCGCGGACATGATTGAGGTGAACACCGTGCGCTGGAACCGCCCGCCCGCGAGGTCTTCAAGCCGGATTCCTCCGCTGTCGGTGATGACGACCATCGCAAACGCGCTCCCGTTCCCGCGCGTGATGCACACTACCTCGCGGCTGCCCTCCTTTACTTTGCGCGCTGCGCGAAATTTCTCCTCGCGCCACTGTGGCAAGCCACTAGCGGTCAGCGCAAGCACAGTCCCGCCCGCGGTCACCATCAGCGGGATCCAGTTCCCGTTCAGCGCCCCGGGGATGGCCGCGATCGCGAGCTGCGCGAGGATCACGAGCACACCACTCCAGTACACCCAGTCGCGCGCGGGGAAGCCCGCGCTCCCATTGCGGCGCGTGCGGAAGAACACAATGGTGAGTGGGCTGTCCTTGACCGCGTGCTTCTCACTGTCCCGCAGGAGGCGACTGAGCACCCAGCTGGCGTTTTCCCGTCCGTACCCCGAATGCGCATTCACAACTTGCGCCGTAATGTCCGGGGGAGGAAGGAGACGTCCGTCGCCAACCGCTGAGGTGAGCGCGGAGACGGAGTACGCGAGCCAGCCGAAGGAGAATGCGACGGGCGCGAAGTGCGACGGGCCACTGCCTGCGAGCTGCGCCACCGCGCGCTGGACGATGTCGCCGCCTATGATCATGAGAATCGAGAGTATGTCGTCCGGGCTCTTCCAGGAGCTGCTCTCCGCGGAAAAGTAGGGTTCGGTGTTGGCGGGTCCAGCGCCGCCCGAGCGAACCTGGTGCTCGTGTCCGAGGAGGCGTCGTAGCTGTGGTGGTGGCATCGAGAACGCAGTGAGGAGATGCTGGATTAGGCCCGGAGGACGCTGTTATCATATAGCTGGCAAGGTAAGACGTTCAGTCCTGCGGTCGACACGTAGTAGTATCCGCAAACGCTGTGCATGTTCATTACCTGTGCGAGCAAAGGATTCTAAGTACGATCGAGTCCACCAGCCCATCGTGTGACAGGCAGAGAACTTCATAACTCCCCCGGCCAGGTCCACCACGTTGAAAGAACACAAGCTTTGACCAGGTTCGGATTCGACGGCTCTGAAGTTACAAGCTAATGCATCAGTAGACCTTGCCATCACATGCAGCACATAGCGTAAGCTGCTCGCGCTGGAGGCACGACATGCTGTCAAGTACAACGACAAACAAGCACCTCTTCCTCCTGTCGCAGCAGCACGTGTTGCTTCCGGGCCGCTACCGTCCACCTCATGTGTAGAGGGCAGCAGCCTGCACTCTGACAAGCAGTGCGAACATACTGCATGGAACGTTAATACACTGTATAGAGTATCTCTCTGATCGCTGGTCGGCTTTCTAGTATGCAGTACTGGTGGTGGGATCTGCTGTGCACTTCTTCTCCTACTACGTCATACTAAGGGTAATGGCATTCCAATTATAATCGTGAAATAGGAATCCTGGTAGAATCGACGCCGCCCCCTAGTATAGACTTATACTCTGGGACGCAGGGTAGGCGTGCTCATGGTAGGGATCTGAGGGTTACCATAGTAGGAATGTTAGGTCGCCGCAGTACACAGGCGGCTACATCTTCAAGCCCTTCGTGGCCTTGAGGGCTTGCTTCCTCTCCGTCCACCACAGCTCTTCCTCGGGCCTCAGCGCTCCAGGGAAGAAGACGGGAAGGAGCGCGGACCCGACTCCCGTCTCCAGCTCCTCCGCTTTCATCAGCACCTCCATCACCTTGTCCGCCCGCACCACTGTCTTCCTCTCCTCCGCGAACTTGAATCCGAGCGCCGCTCCGCCCCGCCACTTCCTCGCGGCATATGTCGTGTACGTAGTACCCGCGCCACACAAAGCGAGCACGCACCACGCGTCGACAGACTCCAGCGCGGTGAGCGCGAGGAGCACCGCCGCCCACAGGACGACGAGTACCCCCAGGCCAAGGCTCCCGGCGATGCCGAGCTGGCCAGCGCGGCCGGCGGCGAGGTCCTCGATCCGCACGCCACCGCCTTCATTGACGACCACGATCGCTTCGGCGCTGCCATTGCCGCTGGTAATGCACACGACGTCGCGGCGTGATGCTGGCACCTCCCGCGCAGTGCAAAGCTCGCGCTGTTGCTGGCGGCGAAGCAAGAGTCCCGCGGCCGTCGAGAGGATAGTCCCGGAGGCGGTGATGGTGAGGATGTGGTCGGAACCAATACCCAGGATAGGGAGGACGCCGGCGGCGGCGAGTTGGAGAAACACGGTGGCGAGCGCAGTGTAGGAGACAATATCATTACCAGGGATACCGGGACGCTGGGAAGTGTAGAGGAAAGTGAGAGTGAGGCCTCCGCGCGTAGGGGTGGTGTTGTGGCTGCGAAGGAGGTGCTCGAGGACGGCGGAGCGGTTCGTACGCGCGTAGCCGGACCTGGCATTGATAACTGTGCAGGGCGACTCTACAGGAAGGGTAGAGCGGCCGCGGGCCAAGAGGTCGAGCAGGAATTCCGGCCAACCGATGGAGAATGGCGCGACACCTGGGACCGATTGGGACCGACGGAGCACGTCCGCGCCGAGCACCATGAGGATGGGCAGGATGGTACTGGGGTTCCATGCGCTGATTTGAAAGAAGAGAGTACTCATCATGAAGATGTGCTGCGTTTGCGCTGCGGGGCTCGAGAGAGGGTTGGGTGGGTTGTAGAGCTCAACAAGCAGCAAGTAACGCGGATTATATGTTCGAGCGACTCAAGAGGCTGTGCGACGTGTTGAGGGCTAGATAATGCGATGAGTATGGAATGTCAGAAACCTCATGCCTGACTTTTGTGGACAGACCCGTCGTTGGGGAGATCTCAGCACAAAGGCGAGGTGTGATACTAGTCATCTGATCAACGAAAGGAGGAAGCCTCGCACGACCAAGCGCCGGCCCATGTCAGCGCCGGAGCATCGCCACGGTGTATTGAACATCCGCTCTAAGCGCGTGCGGTGTCCGTCGAAGAGACTATTCTTGCGGCGTATCGATGCAACAGTGTGCTCATAATGTCAAGCAGGCGGTGTATAACCGATGCGCGAGACAGTAACAGCGGGCCGATCGGAGGTAACAGTGCGTTGTTCCTTGAGCCGAATATAATCGCGAAGCACAGCTACACCCATCGACCACAAGTCGTATTCGTGTTCCGTATACAATTTACCTGATAGAGGCGGAGGGGCGTTAGCGAAGAGTCAGGAGACGGGCATCAATGTCCGACGTATGCACGCATAAAAACGTACCTGAAGCTTCGCGACATTGCCCCCAGCACGAGGCATGCTTTCGGTCTCTCTCGGCGTAATAGCGCTCACATAGTAGCGCCTTTCTGTGAGTCTTCGAAGGACGCCTTGACCTATGGAATCCGAGGTAAATGTTTCTGATGACAAGTTCACGGGAAACGACGTAACGAGCGGAGATACGGACCTTCTGCGCGAATTCCGCATCCGCAAGGACCCTTATACCTGTGGCTGCTAAGCCCACGGCGACCTTCAACGTAGCATCGTGGGCTTCTGGGGTGCCCGCTGACTTTGTGAACTGAGGCGTGTGGTTGGAGCCGTTCGGCTCGGTAGGGATCGAATAAGCTGGATGAAGAGCAGGGAGCGCTGAGGGGAGGCGGTGAGTTCGATCAGACACTTTACGAGGACGTGCATGTACGTCTACTTGCCAAATGTGACGTTTCCCTGGAAGGGGAAGTATCAGAAAAGTACGGTGCGCGCAGGAAGTAAAACATGGCCTTACAAAGTCCGTCGAAAACTTCGCGCCGTCGCTCGAGCTTACGGTGTTTATCCCGTACTTCTCGCCCACGACGCTCGCGTATTCTTGACCTATAATAATGCACGTTGAATATGGCATCGCCTGATACTGCAGGGGGTTGTGACCTACCGAGTACGCTGTTGTTGCGGAGCTCAAAGTACCCCACTCCGAGTTCGACTTTGATCTTGCACGCAGTGGCAAGCGCAGCAGCACTGAGCCGAAGGCGCGGTCAGACTCAAATTTACTGCCGAGGCACCGATCGGTCAAAGTTCGGCACGCACTCAAAGCAGTCCCGCACGCGCCCGCGGAGGACTTCCAGCTCGGCCCAGGTCGGCGCGCGCACGATATACCGCAGCTTGGCATAATCGGGAATCACTGCCTCACCGTCAGCCTTGAACACGACGCCCTGCTACGAGCCCCCGACTCGCATAACGCACCGTTCGGCGCCCAGTCGCGGCCGACTATGATGCCGTGCACGCGATGGTCGGGCTTGATCTGCTGGCGCAATGCAGAGATGCTGGCGTAGGCCACGAATGCAGCGTCGAGCGCGTTCTGCGCCTCCCATGGCGCGCTTGCAGCGTGCGCGCTGTTCGAACGTCGTAAATGACCGGTCAACGTCCTTGGGGGTACTGTACACACCCGTGTCCGAAGAACTCGACATCGATCGGCTGGCACGCAACGCCAGGCCAGATCGCAGAGAAGTTGTCGGGGCCGGAACTTGGGTGACTCCTAAGGAAGACGTTGATTCTTCTCCAGCGGCTCGACAACTGGCTCGGCACTTACATGATGCAAGCGTCCATATCGTCGTAGCCGCCTCGCTCGAGAAGAGTAATCTTACCTCCACCGCCTTCCTCAGCTGGCGTGCCGAGCAGGACGACCGTCCCAGGGATGTCGTGCTCTTCCAGCGCGGCCTTGATGGCCAGAGACACCGCTACACCAGAGATGGCTATGAGGTTGTGGCCGCACCCGTGCCCGATCCCAGGGAGTGCGTCCATTTCCGAGTTCACACCGATCACGCGCGCTCCCTTGTGCGCTTTGCCGCCTGTCGACGGGTGGGCATACACGGCACGAAAGGCAGTGTCGACGCCCAGGTAATGGGGCGTGACAGAGAAGCCGTGCGCGGACATGAACGCTGTCAACCTGTCGTGAGCGTATCTATGCACCGGACTCAGTACTTGTGGTGGATATGGAGCCTGGACCCGCTCACTTCTCCTCCCACATGATCTCCGGGTTGTCTGTGCGAATGCGATGCAGTCAATTCAGCGTGCCAGAGGCGCAGCACAGTCAGATGAAAAGAACGTACTCCATATGTCAAGGCTGAGCTTGCGTAGCTCTGGGGAGAGCTCCTTCACCTTGCGTTCGATGGTCGACACGACCTCGGGCATGAACAGGTCCTGTTCGTAGGATGGAGGTTCGTCCTGCTGCGACGCTACGGAAGGTTTCTGGCCCTCAATTGAGCCATACCATCCGTGCGTGAACTGGACATAAGGTGGCTGCGGCGCGAAAGGCATGCATAAGTCTAGTATCCCAAGAATATTCGAGAGCATCTACCAGTTCAGACCCGGGAGCCTTGATAAGCTTGATACTTGGCCGGGCAGTGGGAACCGCTTCTTCCTCGATGTCATGTTTGTGGGCGTCGCGACGGGGCTTGAAAAGGGCAGAAAAGCACCCAGCCTGAGGATCCTGCAAGGCAAAAATCGACAACTTTACCATGTTTGGTGGCCTTTCACTGGGCTGGTGAAATTGTCAATGTGGTTCAACGACTCTGGCAAGTTGGACATTACATAGCGTTATCATCAGAAAAAGCATCACGGGAATCACTCTAACCTAGATGACCAATATCCCGAGGGGATCGCAGGAACTTGAAAGCGGCACCAATTTGATCATGACTGGTGAGGTTGTAGCCTGAATGAAATGTCCACGCCATTTAGGGGAGTTTGAACTTGATTTAAACCAGCCCGGCACGGAACGTTGAACTTTTGTGAAACCAATATATTTGCCGTTATACCGCAAGCGTCCCGGGTTTTGACGTCGTGGCATCCGGCGGGCCAGGCACAGGCACAGCATCAAGCAAGCAAGTGCGAGCTTCTTTTACTCGTTCTCCAAGTGACATCGTAGGCCATGGCGGAAAATATAGGTATCGGTACCGACGAAAGAGTTCGCATGAGTCAAAATCTCGGAAAGCCTCAAGTGAGCGAGAAAGGAGGAGGAAAGGTTTGGGCGCTAGACGGAAGTCTTGCGGAATCGTTTAGCGCTTGAGTCAGCCGCTGTACTTGAAGATTCCCCGAATCCGACATACCTCTTCTTTCCTCCCCACCACCATCGTCAAAGTCCTTCTCGAAGGTCGTTCGTATATTCCGAGAACATAGCATTATGGCTGCTAAGAAAGTGTTGGTACTTCACGGGTAGGTCTCATAGCTATCAACCGTAGCGGAACTTTCAGTCTGACAAGCTCGGGCCACAGTTACGCTCAAAGCGCTACGATCTTCAGCAAACGAGTGAGCTCGGATTTACCCGTCCGCGTCTGACGTATAAATATATACTAAGGGTGTTCAAAGCTCGGTGCTCTTCGCAAGTCCTGTGGCAAGGATGTCGACCTTGGTAGATTTGATATACTCTGATATCCGGCGAACACGCAAACTGAGCATTTCTCTCAGTCTTCGTAGATGCACCGCATGTTCTTAGCCCCGCAGACCTCGCTGAGGCGTTCCAAACGTCATCTGAGGCGAAGTCGCTGGACGATTTTGGTGCCGGGGAAGCGGCAGCCGAGACCGACCCAGCGCTGGCGCCCAGAGGTTGGTGGAGCGTCGACGGATCGCGGACGAAGACCGACGGCCTGGAGGACTCCATCCTGCTGCTGCGTGACTATCTCGTCAAGGATCATTACGATGTTCGTACTGGAGGAAAATGCGCTATTTATATGAGTGCTGATTGTCGTCGCATACGCAGGGCATCTTCGGATTCAGGTAAGGGCCGTTAGGAAGTTTTCTACACTCGGTGGCATCTCGCACAGGCCTAATCTCGCTTTATTTCCAGCCAGGGAGCAGGAATGGCAGCCATCATGACGGCTTTGGTATGTCAATCTCGGATCCATGCTGTCCTGGCCTGACCCTGGGCATCGCATAGCTGGAGAGACCCGAGGTGTTTCCGCCCGTCCTTGTGGACGGCAAGCCCCCTCACCCGCCTTTGTTCGTATTTATATCTTCCTTCTTACCTACGACTCTATCTAACTCACCATAGTACTTTCTGCATAGCGGCTGCTGGGTTCAGGCCTAGGAGTCCTCTCTGCGACGCGATCTTCGAGCCATCCTTCTCGACGCCGATACTGCACATCCTCGGAAAGAACGACGTCCTCGTCGTGGAGGAGCGCACGAAGCTGCTAATAGACATCTCAACGAACAGTCGCGTGGAGTATCACGACGGAGGTGCGTCATGGCTGTGAGCCAGTGCTGCGCGTCTCGTATGCTCATTACTGTGCGATGTGCAGGCCACTTTGTGCCTTCGAAAGCGAACTGGAGGAATTTTTTGAAGGCGTACATGAAAGACCCTCTTGGCGATGTGCCGTCGCCGTCTGCCGCTGGCTCACAGCCTGCATCAGGTGTTGCTACGCCTGTGACACCCGCACCCTAGAACCGTAGACAGAAGGTATGTATATACCTCGGACGTAGAAGTGCTGTCGCTGAAGAGAACTGCCACAGTGTACACCAGTGTAGATGCCCGCTAATATCAATATCGCGGCGCCGGTCATTAGCGCGAAGGCCGGGCAAGTCTAATCTCAACACCCACTCGGAGTTTTCTTAGAACTTCGTTCATATGATGGCGAAGCACCGAAGTCCAGCTACAGAAAGGAAAACTTGGTTCTAGCGAATAACGTCGGCGACTTTCCGTCGCAGAGGTACCGACTCCCCAGGCTCGGACACGAGTCTAGGTGCTATTTAGAAAGTTAAGAGTACAACAAATGATCTCATTGATCTACAGAATGCCTTGCATGGGGAATTACAGTCGTGGGTGTGAGTTCCAGGGTACACTACACTACAATAACACGACGTGCACGGAAACTTCAAGCTGAACGATCATCAACTACACAGATCTGAGCTATACGAGCTATGGACGATATGGTCAGCATTGTGAGACTTCATCGTGAATCATCCACCAACGTAGCGGCGGTATCCGCTCTCCGCCTGCTCGGCCGGGATGTGATGGGGACCAGTGGTGTGGGAGGGACCTCTGCGACGAACGACACAATCGGGGTGCCCTTCGGGTCCTTCTCGGGCAAGTTCCCGCCGGGGGTCTTCTCCGGAAGCCTTTGCTTTGCCTCCTTCGCTTTCTTTGCTGCCACCTCCCGCGCAGCCTTTTCCGCCTTCTTGACGTCCCAGTACTTCTTCTCGTCCTCGCGCAGGTCTCCAGGGAAAAACAATGGCAGCATAGCAAGTCCTACACCAGGCTCCTTCTCTTCCGCTTTCATGAGGGTCTGTATGACCTTCTTCTCTTTCAGGACGTCTTCCTTGGTAGCCGGCTCAAAGTGGAAGCCGAGCGCGTCCGCGCGGCGCGGCGCGCCTGCCGCGACGACATTCTGCACCATCCCGAGACCGCCCACCGCGAGCAGGTACCACGCATCTCCCTGGAGCCCCTCCACCGTCAGAAGCAGGACGACCCAGAGCACACAGAGCACCGCGGACATGACCGATGTGACCGTCCTGCGCTTGTCGCGTCCGCCCGCGAGGTCTTCCAGCCGGATGCCCGTCCGGTCGCTGATCACGACCATCGCGAACGTACTCCCGTTCCCGCGCGTGATGCACACGACTTCGCGGCCCTTGACCGGATCGACCACGCGCGCCGCATACTTCTCCTCGCGCCACTGCGGCAGCCGGTCGCGGTCAGCGCGAGCGCCGTCCCGCCGGCCGTCACGATCAGCGGGATCCAATTCCCGTCCAGCGCCCCAGGGATGACCGCGATCGCGAGTTGCGCGAGGATGACGAGCACGCCTGACCAGTACACCCAGTCGCGCGCGGGGACTCCGGCTTTGCCATTCGGCTTTGTGCGGAAGAACGCGACGGTGAGCGAGCCGCCCTTGAACGTGCGCTTCTCGTGGTCGCGCAGGAGTCGGCCGAGCACCCAGCTCGCGTTGTCGCGCACATACCCCGTGCCCGCGTTCACGACGTACGCCGCCATGTCGGGAGGTGGCAGCAGGCGGCCGTCGCCGACCGCGGAGGTGAGCGCGGAGACGGAGTACGCGAGCCAGCCGAAGGAGAACGCGACGGGCGCGAAATGGCCCGGGCCGCTGCCCGCGAGTTGCGCGACCGCGCGCTGGACGATGTCGCCGCCGATGATCATCAGGATCGAGAGGATGTCGTCCGGGCTCCGCCAGGAGCTGCTCTCCGCGGAGAAGTAGGGCTCGGTGCTGGTGGGCCCAGCGCCGCCGGAGCGAGCCTGGTGCCCACGCCCTAGGAGGTGTCGTAGTCGTGGTGGTGGCATGAGGACATGGGGCGTGCATGAGGCGCGGGATCAAAGTCTGGGGGTTATATGGCAAGGACGCCTATCCCGGCATTCCTGTGCACGTCCACCGCCTGCGCAAAAGAAGAAGGCAGCGTGGTGGAGGGCGATCTCGGAGTTGAAATTGACATTACCAAGACAAGTAGCGCTCTCGAAATGAATTCACCCTTGAACATCTAGAACCACGCGATAACAGGTGTTGAAATACGAAGCAAAATGATACAGATCGAGGTATCATCATCATAACATGGTCGTGTCAAAAGTATACAGAACAAGAGAGCGACAGTCCGAGGAGCGTTCAAGAAGGTCCATGATATCCGTGAATGGGCGTGAGAATCTCAGAAAAACAGTCCGAGGTCGTGATGTTCCGGCATCGTGGTAACGTGCACCGTTCGCAAGCGACCACGATCAGGCGTTGTCCAAGCCTTCTGCGCAAAGCCCACATCCGATACACTCCAGACACGCTGAAAGACGGATGAGTTGATGTCGATGGACTGTAAATGGAAATTCGGACATACCAAGGCCGCCGCAGCAAGCGCACAGGTAGCACGGGCAGCAGAGCGGATTCTCGAAGGAGCCTGCGAAATCGTTAGATGACGACACGATCCGGACAGAATGAAAGACATACCACGGCAGCACCACGCGCTGAGACAGATTGCGGCCAAGACGACGAGGAAGAGTCCGACGAACACGACGATGAGGTAATCTGTTCAAATGGTGTGAGCGAATCTCCTGCGCCAGCATGAATGTCACATACATTTGCGGTTTATGAACGTGTTCTGTCCGCTACCGCTGTCGGTCGCCTGTCTCTTCACGAAGCCGGTCATAGCGGACCACGCACTCCATGAGCCATCCTCAGTCAGGCCGAGCGAGCCCAGCCATGACCCCTCATTGAAGACCGCATTCCAGAGGAACGAGGCCAGCAGGAAGAGCGCGAACGAAAAGACGGCTAGCAGGAGTGCGGTAACAACGCGGCGGGATCGCGCACGATCACAGCGGCACCGCCGAGCAACAGGGGGCGTGCCGTCATGCTGGTGGGAGCACCCCTTCTGGTCGCTCTCGCAAGAGGTGGGGCTCGGGGCGATGATTGCGTAGGGCTGCGCCGTGATGGTCATGACTGAAAGTGGATATAACTCATCAGCAGCTGTACACAACAACGACGACCATGTAGGTGAAGGACAAAACATATCATTCTGACGTCGCACCCTTCCTCTTGCCGCCTTGGTCGATGCAACCGAGCTGCTCTCGCGGTCACGGCTGTATCTGCAAGGGAGAAGGCCCATCTCGTACTTGATGATCAACTTGTAACCCCACTTGCATCGCGCTGCCCTGCCATTACTCGTCATGCAACCGCCGCGGGCTACTCGCGGGGTGGCGGAGTGAGACGGGGTGACACGACAATGGAGTCGGAGCTTTGCTTGGCAAGACTACTGACTTCCATCGACATACCTATATTTCGCATCTGGACTTGGAGCATCGATGGTCGTCTCGTTGTTCTGCAGAACAACTCGGACAAGAACGAGCACCTTCTCCATGTAGCGAGAAAAACAGACTATGAGGCCCCGTTCGGCAGCACAGAGGAGACAAGGGTTACGCGCCAAATCCTTAATTTGCAGATAGGCCGCTGACAGACCGCATGAGGCCTCAAATACGCCGGTGCGCCAAAGCTTGGCTGACGGACTTCAGCGCCGTCTCCCGGAGACTGTCACTTCCTCGTAGGTTCTGTGGCACTCCGATGTCCGTACAATCCATATTTCGCCTCTGCATCGTCGGAAAATTGGGGATGGCGTGTCAATAACTCACTGAGCATTTTGCTCAGCAGTTATAACGAGACACGAATGTCAATCGTCAACTGGACACGAATCACCGTTCTCTCCCCTTGTAACAACCCGGACGTCACAGTCGGTGACTGGATATTGTGTCCGTCTCGATAGTCCTTGTCCGGGCGCTGCTCCACAGACTTGATGTGTTCCACAAGTCTGTGATATGTAACCCGACCCTTGTCTTCCCTGCGCAACCGAACGGGGCCTAAGAGTGAACGGTCGCTGTGGCGATACAATGATCATGACGTCATTACGGAAGCTCACATTCGCATCTTCAAAATGGCCGCAGTGATAGTGATGTTTTTACGCGGGTCGGGGGTTCTGGAGCGCTATGGAGAGGAGCTTATGGAGAGTCACCGTACATGGTCGGCTTCTGCGCTCTAGACTTTCTGTGTTGGATGCATGTGCGATACAAGAACGCCTGAGCTATACACGGGGTCTATACTTGACCTCATGCAGAGTTCAGACGACGTGCTGATGATAACAATGTCTCAAAAGTCATGCACTCACCTGTTGAGGAGGATATAATGGTACCGGTGGGCACTGTAGAGATGGTGGAAGGAAGCGAGGAGGGAAAAGGCGAGGCGAGGCAACTAAGGTATATGGTGACTTTAAGTGAGGCTGCGCGGACGCGTGGGAAAAACGAGGGAAGAGCCTCTTAGTCTTGGCGCTGCGCCGCTTGTTCTGGGGCGGTGCGGCCGGTAAGACGGCCCTGTGTCGCCGGCATGCCGGACAACAGGCTGCAAGCCACTCGGAGTCACGGCCGGAAAGCGTCCGCTGCGCCGACACATGCCGAGAATGACCCCGCCCTCGTTCCCTGCACACGGCGACCACGCAGACTCCCCCAGCTATCCGAACAAGCCCTCCCCAGGCCTTACCCTCGTTCTCCTACCTCTCAGTGCACCCAACGTCCAGATGAGCAAAAGAGCTGAAGCTTATCTACAAGGAGCGGCTCAAGAAACCACTGAGGCCGCTCAAGCTCAAACCTCTCAAGGTCCCTTACGGCGGTGTGTATATATTTGAATACGTGCGTAGCCTCGCGGAATTCCTCGCCTCCTCAGACTTGGAACCGATCGTACGTGATTTCTGTACGATGTCGAGATTCGCTGCTGAACGACCTGCTAAGGAGCGCGACGGGGAGTCGCCCACGCACGCGGAACTGGGCATGAGGGCCGAGCAACACACCATCCACCCGCTCCCGGACGGCGGTCGTCCGATGCTCTGCGAGGCTGCGCGTATCTTGCGCTCGCTTCCGCCCCCGTAGCCCTCTTCCCCTGGTCTGCTCCACATCTTCATGCCCGCCGGCTCATCATCCTCCAACTCAATCCGCAACCCGCTCAAGCTCTCACTACACACATAATCCACAGTCGTGCCTTGACTGCAATGTCTACGGGCCATTGCACGCGCAGATTGACCCCCGCGCGCTCATCCCGCGCCCCCGACGAACTGTGCCGCGTAGGAGGTGTGTGAGTGTTAGGAGAAGCGCTAGCGGACGGTGTACGAAGCGCTCGCATACGGCCTGGAGAAGAACGCAGCGGTATACTGGGTGACCGAGGAGCATCGCGAGGCGGCGGCGGACGCTGGCACTGCAGCTCGTGCCTTGGCGGATGCGGGGGCGAATGCGTCGATGGCGGAGGACGCGGGCATGCTGGATAATGCCGCGGACGAGATCGCACGGGGTGAGCAGCCGAGCAGAGAAAGCGAGCAGGAGGTGAAGACCGAGGACGCAGCGAGGGTGAGGCGAGCGGCCGCACTTAGGGACCGATGTGCGCGCGGCAGAGACAAGCATTGCAAAGCCTAGCTAGGGTCTGTCGGGTATAAAGGTATCATCTCTGAATGGTTGGGTATTGTGAGGTGACTGGATTACGATGGGTAGACTGTAGAGGGCAGGCGGTAGGGACTACTACGTACAATAGGTAGATACCTAGAACAATATATTTCGTTTCGTGCATACGCCGCTTCGACCACCCACATGCAGTTAGTAGCATGTTGCACTATCCCATCCTGTCATGTACACGAACAGCGTCTCCGGGTTTTATTTTGTCGGGTCCCCTCTAGAGAAATCAAGGACTTCATACATATGCATTGACGCTCTATCGCTACATCTCTTCATTACAGGGAAAACATACCGCTCATACGAACCCGAAGTCCTCCCACCAACACAGCCAAGTGAAGGAGAAGGGCTACGCATCGGCGGTGGGCACAATGTGTCGCAAGTGCGCCGGGACGAGCTCGGCTGGCAACTTCATGATTTGGTCGAGGGGGGCACGCTTCGCGAGCGCGAGCAGATTCAGCCTGAGCTTCTTGAGTGTCGGATCTTCTTCGCCTTCCCCGCCAGGCTCGTCCTTGCTCTCCGCGCCTTCGGTGGCCCCGTTCGGCACTGGAGCGCCGACCGCAATATCGTCTTCGGCTTTCATCTCCACGTCGCCATCGGGGTCAGCTTTGGAAAAGGGCTTCTCATCGCCGTCTTCGCTCGGCTGCTTGTCTCGCGCAAGCCGCGCGATCTCGTCCGCCGCATACTCCAGCGCGAACGCCAGCATGCCCGCATCCTCCACCACCGCCGCGTTCACCCCCGCACCCGCCGAGCCAGGAGCTGCAGCGCCAGCGCCAGCGCCCGCCTCCGCCTCCCGGTGCTCCTCGATCGCCCACTGCAGGTACGCCGCCGCATTCTTCTCCGGGTCCCGTGCCAACGCTTCGTCCATCTCCCGCCGGCGCTTCTCCCGGTACTCTCGCCCCGCCCACACGTCCTCCGCGCGGAACAGTTCATCGGGGGTGTGGATGAGCGCAGGGAGGTCGATCTGCGCACGGGCGATGGCCTGCAGAGACTGCAGTGCGCGTGCCGCTGCGGGGTACGTGCGCAGGGAGAGCTCCAATTGGTGGTGAATTGGGTCGGAGGAGGGCGAGCTGGTGGGCATCGGGATGGAATGCGGCACAGGGGAGGAGGGCTCGGGCGGCGGGGTCGGGGGAAGCTCGCGCAGGATCCGCGCAGCTTCGCAAAGCACGGCGTGGTGGCCGTCGGTGAGCGGATCGACGATGTGTTGCTCGACCCATTTCGCCACTGGCATGCCCAGTTCTGCGTGCGTCGGCGGCTCACCATCGCGCTCCTTGACAGTGGTTCAGCCGCGAGTCTTGATACGATTGAAACGAAACACGTACGATTCGTTCCGACGGAGTAAGGAACTCCGCCAAGCTGCGCACGTATGCGAATCCGTCGACGCCGCCGTAGACCACGTCTCGGATGTACGCTTCCGCTTCTGCGGTCTTCCCCTCCCAATAGTCCTCCGTCTTGACGTCCTCGGATGACTTGTTTTGACTTGAGCCAGCAACAGGCGGCTGGCAGCTCTGTCGCAGCGCATCGAACATCTTCGCTTCCGACCCCAGCTCGGCGCCCATGTCTCTCACTCGCCGTTCCTCGGCAAGCACACTGGGGAGTATCGCGAACGTCGCAAAGTCTGGCGCGGCGGGCTCGCGTGCATTGCTCCAAGCCAGTGCTGGTTCCTCCTCAGCAGCGTCCCTCGCTCGCCCCCGCGACGGGGCATTCCGCACGATCGTCCAGTGCCGCCGTTTCGCGGGCTTGGTGCGACCGGGATGTTTGAAGGCCGAGTGCGAAGCAGCAAGGGTGGAGGGCTCCGGAATATCGTCGACGGGGATGATATTGACGGGCCCGGGTAGCGGCGCCCGGGAGGGATCCGACGGTTCGAGCGACGGATACAGCGCACTGAGCTGCGGCCGCTCCAGAGGATCCGGCACAAGCGGCGCGAACACCGTAAATGGGTCTTCCACTGCGACGATATAAGCACGGTATGTGTATATGTATCGCAATACGCACTTTCCCAATAGTCCAGGCTGCCTTCCGCGGTCAACGGCGGGCCGCCCTTCTCGATACGCATCCGCTCCTTCTTTGTTTTGTATCGCTTGCCTGTGTGCCGTGGTCGGTTTTCGGCGCGGGAAAAGAGAGAACGGTGGACGCACCTTTCAGTTTCAACGCGAGCATGAGTTCTGCCCAGTCCGAGCACGGCGGGAACGCTCCTAGCCCGTCTTTCGCCCCAGGTAACCCGCCGTCCGCCTCGATGCTCTCTGACAGCGGCCCGGGGAGCCTCTTGCCCTTCACGCGCTTCCCCCCTGCTTGCGCGGGGAACGGCGAGCCTGCGCGACTCTCATCGACGTCCATGGGCGTGCCCCGCGTCCTGTCTACCGGCGTGCCCGCCATGCCCGATGCGTCGTCGTCGTCGACATTGACCGGGTCTTCGTCCTTCTCGATCTCGATGTTCCAGTCCGTCTCGTACTCGATCACCGTCGCGGCCGCCTTCGCGATGTGCTCGAGCGCGAACGCCTCTATGCGGTCCGCTTCCGTGTGGTATATCGTCCCAGGGGGGTTGAAGGTCTTTGCGTTCGTAGTGACGAGGCGCAGGTCGGACTGTGGTGTGGTGGTTAGTACCTCGTAGCACGAAGATGTAGCAGGACGAAGCTAGCTGCGCGACCGACACGGTGGCCGAGCGAATTTACAATCGCGAGGGCGACGCCCACTATGAAGCATGAGGTTTTCTATTGTAGTCAATCACCCATGGTGCAGATAGCGGCGCAAGCAATCGGTTTATCATGTCAATGGGAGTGTATACTCTAACAGCAGGAGAGCGTCCCGGGGGCTACGGGATGTATTTTGCGGAACATGTTCTGCGTTCCGGGTGACAAAGTGTATCACAGTTTTCATAGCCAGACCACGCCAGTTCAGAGACTCTGGGAAAAGTGCCTTCGCGCGTCGCTGAACTCGGTGTGCACTTGAAGTGCACCCTGAGTACACCTTACCAGTGTAACGTCCCTCGCGACTACGTTCTTACATGGCACACCGATGAGAGTAGCGGGTACAATGTGTTCAACGTTGGCTATAGCGGCAGAGACCACATTGTACCCGTGCCCAGCATACACTGAGGTCAAGGTGTGAAGCGCAAGGCCGCTACTCCCCGTGCGCAGCGCGCACTACGTCGCACGTCGCACGTCGCACGATATCGGTCCACCTCTGGTCGCCTCTGTCACCGGCACGCGGAACATATTTCGTCCTACGGGACAGCCCTCGCGCCCGTCAGGACTTTCTAGACAGCAGGTACTTCCGTGCGACGCGATGTTTTGTTGCACGACGACCGACGCGCTCGCGGGCATGCGGATTAACTTGCGCTTTTCGTGTAGCCGGATATCTTCGCAGACTCGCCGCCTGAACAGGAGAGGTACCGCTCCTGTTCGGGTTACGAGCCATAGCAGAGTTCTGCTTCCTTTCTGTATAGCGACAGGCGAAGGCTGGATGTGACATTCTCTACGCCCGTCTGCAAGTCTGTCTTATAGACAGCAGGGTGGATGTTTACTCTATCGCTCGAGCAGCTTCAAGACAATGCACCTATTCTGCGGCAACCTCTCATGGCGAACAAGGTGCGGAGCCAACTGCGTATTATAGCTTGAAAAACCGTGCGATAGGCTTACGACAGTTAAACGTTTTGTCAGATGTAAGGCTATCGCATGGCTATGGCAGCAGGTGGACTTCGCACTTTGTTTGCCGTGTCTGGAGCACGACGACGCGGGAGACCATGGTGGGTGATCGGGGATATTGGGGTTCGGGAATGAGTCTACAGATAAAATGGACTCACTGCAAACTCTTCTAGCGACCTGTATTTTCCCTTGTCCACCTTTGTTGACATCGTCCCGAGATCCATGGGCCGCGAGACGACATCAGAGTACCCCGGGACCTGTGCGAGGTCCACCGGGTGGAGGAAGAAGGCGTAGTCATCCTTTCTGTACATACCCGTCAGTAGAGCTTTGTGACGACGCAGACACGTATCTACACACTTCTTGATCTGCGAAATGAGCTTGGAGAGGACCTCCTTGAGAGGTTTGAGCTTGAGCGGCCTCGGTGTTTTCTTGACGGGCTCTTCGTAGGTAAGCTTGAGCTTTTTCTTGCTCTTCTGGGCCTTGAGCGCGCTCAGCGGTGGGAGAACGAGAGTGAGACCCGAGGAGGACCTGTTTGGCTGGCTTGGGGTGTCTGCGTGGTCGCCGTGTGCAGGGAACGAGGACGGGCTCATTCTCGGCGTGTGCGTCGTTGAGGTTTGCGGTTCGGCGCAACGGACACTCTCCGGCCGTGATTGGCTCGCATGAGTCCGGAGCGGCCGGAGGAGGGGCAGGCGCTACGCCGGGGAACCCGGGCCGCCGGCGACGCTCGCCGCTCTTCGCCGGTCTCTCTGTGTCTCTCTCTGAGTCTCGCTCTCGTGATACTTACGATTTCAAAATTCCCTCGCACCCGCACTCCAACGCCCCTTCTTCAGACGGTAGGAGGGCTTGGACAGCGTCTCAACGCCGATAAATTCCGACGCGTGAAGACAGCGCACAAGTGGTCCGTCCGCAGTCTCCTGACTCCTGCGTCGCACGCGCCGAAACATATCGAAGGTGGACCCTGAGGTCCACACTTTCTCCCGCTCGTAGTGTGTGTTTTCCCAGTCAGTGTAAATGCAGCCGCTCATACATATCGGTAGTTACACGGCGCGCACCTCAGCGCGAATGAAGGTGAGATCTCAGCGCATGACGCCTACCCGAGACCGTTCAAGACGATGCTAGCGCCGACGCCGTGCGACGAAACCCCTACTGCGCGCGCCAAGCTATGCCTTTTACCGTGGTGCCACCGACGCGTCTCGGGCCTTCGTAGGCACGACATCTGGCTCCCAAGAACCACGGCGCATCCACCCACATGCATCGGCACGAACGGAGAGTATCAACATCGCGTCGCCCTTGGCCGCTTTTAAGTGCGGCACCTGTGCAACCACCCCACCGGTCTCCGCAGCTCACGACCTACCGCCCGGCTCTACACGCCACAGAGCGCCCGCACCTGGCGTACATATAAGGTATCTCCGTAGCCCGCACGCGTACCAATTCACCGCTCTCACCGCATCCTTTCTCAGGCGGCCTCGGCACAGCTCCGCGAAGTGCTAACCCCCTCGCGCACGCACGCTGCGCCGCAGGCCTCCAAGACTCAAACGGTGGGGTCCATGCACCAGGACACACCCGCCTCGCAAGTTACGGCGCGATCTGAGCAGAGAATATCTGCGTCCATTCGACTGATCTCATGGATCGAATGACCGCGAAGTGTCCGAATAGCACGTCGCGCATCTGTCCCGTGCCGGAACGAGACGCACAAGGTCTTCCACGCGGTTCAAGCAGCCCGAACGGGCGGTTTTGCAGACATCTCTCAGCGGACAACCACGGGCTGCAAGGCCACAGACGCGTCGCCCGTTGTGTCTCTTGTCATGGCAATGTTCGCCGCGGAGAAACTGATTTTTCGCCGCCACACCGTGACCGGTCCGCCGCAAGGGCCCCGAGGTATGCGTACGCACTCCTATCTTTGGTCTCAGTCGCGCAACAAGCAGGTCTTCCCTGACTACTACCTCTATCCGCACGACGACCAGGTCGCACCACTGTCGACGCTCTACTTCGAGACAGCGAAGAGGCATCTCCCCTGTTCTCCATATGTGCCCACAGCGTGACGAAATACTCAGTCGGGTCAGAATAAAAATATGACTCTGACAGGAGGGTGCTCCCCCTGCGTCCATTCCGCTCTGGACGCTCTGTCTACAGTACACTGACGCCTGATATCCGGCCGCCTACATAGACACTCAACGCGAAAGTAGGCTCGTACCATCGTATCATCTCGGCCACGGGGAACTTCAGATAAGTCACTCTGTCGATGCAAGTTTTTTTTAACTGAGACTTGGAAAACTTGTGGGCTTCTCAGGCTTGTTGTACGTGTCCTGGCTGGGGGTGGCGTTGTGCACGGAAATGAAGCTATGCCGCGCTCCATGAAGTCGTCCACTAATAGCGCGCCGATGTGTCGAGTCATCGACGCTTCACCGCGGGAAGCTGTCAATTGAACGACCGATTGCACCACTAGCGGAGTCGCTCTGCGAGGTTACAGCTCTAGTCTACGGCAGGTCCTTCTCTTCCTGCCCTCTTTAGCGCTTCTACCTCGCCGGAGCGTCTAGTGCGGAGCGCTACGGGTGTGACCGCGACTTCCATGCAATGAATTTCGGCAGGAGGAACGGTGAAGCTACTGAAACGATGCCTACGGCGCCTCTTGAGCTGAGCTGTTACGTTGCATTCCAGCTCCTACTAGTTCACGCACAACAAGAACATTATGAAAAATGTGTCGCAGAGAGAAAGTTAACGACAGTGGTTCAGATATAAGGGTAGGTCGTACAGTCTTCAGACTTGAACTGAAGATCTCCTTGCATGATAGGTACGCCGCCGGGGGAGCGTCGTGCGAGGCGCGGGGATTCTCAAACCCAAAGCGCTCTGTACGCGTAGGTTCCGCCACGCTGCCTGGCGCGCTAGCATGTTAGATTCTCGAGACTCAAACGTCACCCGGAATTTCCAGTCGACATGGAACCCATGCTGCAACTCCCGAGTCATGACTCGCGGGTGTAGATGACGGTATGCATCCTCACCCTTTTCACTCCCAGGCAGTGTCTGACGGTGTATATAACGGTCAAGTTGAACAGATCCCAGTTCCAACCAAGTACTCTCCCCTTCATCGCCGCTATAAAGTCTCTCCGTGGAGGTAAGATATAAAAGGCGTGTATATAAACGAGTTGCTTACTTCGCTATGATAGCTATGGAAACTCTCTGTCTGCTCTTCTATCTTCTCCTCACATCATCGATTGTCGCCGCATCCCCTGTCCTGTCGCAGACACGAGACTTGAAGATCACGCCAAAAGTCTTCATCATAGATGCAGTGGGTCTCTTGATGCATGCACTCTACCGCAACGTGGTCAGTAACTGATAGTCCCGCCCAGTTCGAGCCAGAGGAGGCCTCATGGCACGGCATTCCAGAGTTCAACGTCCTAGAGCACAACATCACGGTCTCTGGCTTCTCGCCGCTCTTCCCCAAGGCCCACTGCACCCGAGACGGCACTATCTGCCAGGCTGTGACCGGAGAGGCCGAAATCAACGCCGCGTCGACTATCACCGCGCTCGTCCATTCACCCGCCTTCGACTTGAGGCGTACGTACTTCCTCATTGCCGGCATCGGGGGCATCAGCCCCAAACAGGGCACGCTCGGCAGTGTGGCCTTCGCGCGCTTTGCAGTCCAGGTCGCGCTCCAGCGCGAGTTCGACGCGCGCGACAAGCCCGCAGACTTCCCGAGCGGCTACTTCCCGCAGGGCACCACTTCTCCGGGCGTGTACCCACACTCGATCTACGGCACGGAGGTCTTCGAGCTCAACGACGACCTCCGCCAGCTTGCGATCGGGCTCGCCAAGACGGGCACGCTCGTCGACGACGCCCGCTCCCAGCAGTACCGCGCGAACTACGCCACCGACCCCGATTTCGCCCCCGCCGCGGCACCCCCGTCCGTCATCGCCTGCGACACCGCGACGTCCGACGTGTACTGGTCGGGCCCGCTGCTCGCCGCGGCGTTCGAGAACACGACGGCACTCTTCACGAACGGGACCGCGACGTACTGCACGACGCAGCAGGAGGACAACGCGATCTTCGAGGCGCTCGTCCGCGGGGCGCGCGCGGGCCTGGTCGACTTTGCGCGCGTCATGATCATGCGCACCGGGAGCGACTTCGAGCGGCCGTACCCCGGGCAGACCGCGGCGGAGAATCTGTTTGCGCACTCGCCTGGGTTCGACATCTCGATCAGTAACATACCGGCGGCGGGGGTGCCCGTAGTGACGGGGATTGTGGCGGAGTGGGATGCGAGGTTCGAGAAGGGGATCAAACCTAGCAACTATGTTGGAGACATTCTCGGGTCGCTGGGTGGGACACCGGACTTTGGGCCGGGGAGTATCTTCGTCGGTGGGGACGGCGTAGCAGCGAGGCGTTCTCTGCGTGGTCGCGTGAACCGTTTCTGAGGAATGAGATCATGTATTTTGAGTGTTCATCTCCGTTTCTTGGATCTTCTAAATGGAATCAAATGTTCTTTATTCACCGCTCTGAAAGGAAATACAGCAGTGGGTGATTCTGTCAAGTAAGGCTATAGGAGTACTACTGTATTTTCTTCTATTATCTTGACGACTACGCTAAACGGGAGCACAGTGTCCGACAGTCTAGCGGCCCGTTAGTCCTCGTCGTCCAACTAGTATAAATGGCGTCAGCACAATCACTAAACACATGTTCACAGTCAGACAGCCTTACTGGTCTTTCCTTCGGGTAGAAGTCATTGACAAGTTCAAGCTTCAGGTGTTTGACGAGATGCTTCAGCGCCTTCGAGTACATCCGCACGCGCCACTTGTTCTTCTTCTTGCACTCGTTCTCCGCGTCGGGCCGCGCGATGTACTCTAGCTTGATGTGGAGCCGGTGGAGCGGGAAGCCCGCGTCCTTGCGCTCCTTCAGGCAGCTCGCGAGCGCCTCCGCGAGCTCAACGTCCTCCTGACGAAACGCAAGCGACGTGATGGTGAGTATCTTCAGCCACGGCACGGGCATCGTGTCCTCCGGGTCCTCGCCCTCTGCGAACTCGGGCGGCAGCAGCGCATCGAGGAGAGAGAGGCGCGCGTCAAACCTGGTGAGCGAGTCCGTCTGCGCGATCGTGATGCGTTCGAGGCCCGGCCAGGTGCTCAACGCCTCCTCCCAGTCGTCCGCGTCGATCTCGGTGCAGTTGTTCCCGTTCAGAAAGAGCGTGCAGATGTCGGCGTCTCCAAAGACCTCGACCAGTTCGAGAAAGCTGTGGAGGTCCTTGTATTCCCGCGGCCAGTCCTCCATGAGGTGCCCGGTGAGCCGCACAGTGTGGCCGGCGGGCGTCGCCCCACGGAGGCTGTAAGTGCTCATCATGTAGTGGCGGACCTCGAGCGAGGTCACGTCCTTGATGATTGGCAATGTGCCGACGTCGGAAGGTAGTGCGTCGTGGACGAACGGTGTTAACTCCCACCCGTTCTCCGGGAAGTCCCCGAGATCCATGTAGTCCCGCAGGCGCGCGATCTTGAGGTCGACGTGCGCCGGGATGTGGAAGGACGCAAGGAACGGCGCCGTGTAGTACGCGTTATCTTGCACGGACAGCTTCCTGAGAGACGGCGGAAGCGTCATGGGAGACTGGACATTCGTGATGGTCGGGCGGAATCTGTAGATGCAGAGTTCCTCGAGCTCGGTGAGCTGTGCCAAGAGACGAGCGAATTGGACGATATCCATGGACCCGTGGCGAAGTTCTACAAGCTCAAGACGCTTCAGCGCAGGGAAGATCGGAAACGAGTCCAGGAGCATGATTCCTGTGCCGAGATAGAGCTCGCGCAGGGCAGGGAATTGCTCAGGGCGCAGGTCCCAGACGAACGCCTCCTCTGGTGTGTGCAATCCATCAATCCGAGTGTGTGCCGGGACGTTGTATGGGCCCATCGGTCGCGATTTTGTCTTGATGTTGGCCGAAATCTTGTCCAAAATCGGCATCTTCTGGCTGAGGAGTTGTCTCAGGGCCATGTCGTCCGCGTCGCCCATCCCGCTAGTGTACAGAATGTGGATTCGCGCGACGTGCGGAAGGAGCAGGCCAATGACGACTGCGTTCTGCGCGGGGGTCGTTCCTTGGATAGACACGTCGATAGGAGAGTCTTTGGAGTACTTCAGGCTCGCCTCGAGATAGCTCTGTGAAAAGTCCTTGGAAACTTTGATGTCGTTCCAAAGCGCCGGGAAGTCGCAGACGATGGCGCGCCAGGCCTGGCACACCCAAAGGAGCCTATACCACTGATAGCATTCCTCCCAGTCATCTCGCAGAGCGTGGACGTCACGGAATATTTGCACCAGTACGTCCTCAGGGAGGCGGCCAATTGGAGAGCCAGCGACGTTGCCCCATGTTTCGGGCATAGTTCTATTGATGAAGAAAATTTTAGCCCGTGCATATTCATTATAACTGAGTAAGTACCTGCCCTGTCTGCGGGTTGATTTGAAGCTTGCACGGATCCGGATCACCGCCGGACACGAGCAACTATGTACTCTGCTAGATTATAAATTCCGCTGAATATGTTCAATGATCAGTGATATCATACGTGAAAGCAGCTTACAATGCGCCAGCGATGCGGGAAGGAGGAGTCTTGGAGACGCGAAGACTAGTCCAATCAATGTCCGTCTCGAGACAGCGACACGCGACTCGGACAACTTGAAGTCGCGACAGCCTCGGACGCGACGCGACGCGCGTCTAAAAACAGGAAATTCATCGGTACCGTGTGGCTGTGCAAACAGAATATCAACGAATATTGAGATAAGATAGACGCGTGTGTTCTCTGTGTCTGCCAGGATTCCTGAACGTCACCCGGTGCTGTACGACAATGCAGCGTGCAACACAAGCTTTTACTACGACGGGCCAGTGTGGCACGAAGACACCAGATACTCGACAGATGTACGCTGTGTTCACCTCCGCTCGTGAAATTACTAAATGGGGAAAGGAAATTACTCACCCCGATCGTCTGAAGCTGCGCAGTTTGGGCAGGGCGCCTCGGAAAAACTCTATTTGCTGCATCCGCTGGCGGTGTACGCTACGAGACTTCCGGTATGTTGAATTTAACAGTAGTCGTGGCTTTGAATGCGCTGAATCCCTCTACAGGAACAACGCGTGCGCTAGTGCCCGCTGGAAGACTTAAACGCCCTCGAGTTCACATGGGCGCGCTTCTCGTCGCTTCTATGGTGATGAAGGTGAACCGCAGTGAGTCTGATGCCATCCACATCTAAGGTCCATGATATCGCGTACTAGTGGACACCTGCCTCATGACAGATATCCTCGTTGCGTTGATAACGAACGCGTCAAAGACCATACTCCCGCCAGCAATGTGTCGCAGAGTCGACTTTGTACAATGTACGGAGGACCGGGCAATCCTTTATGAAATGAATGGAGAACTCTCGATCGGGACCAGTACGGATAAGGACTAGAACCACGGTACTTTCCACGCCGGGAGCGCGGAACCGCGCGCCAGCGATCTATACTGCGCCGCCGACTGCGGGCGAGGGCCGGACAGCCCTGGGAGCTGGATGCTGCGGTGGCAGTGTTTCGTTTTCCTCGCTGTCGCCGCCGCAATGGCTCTCTGCACACTATCAGCATGTCCCCCTGGCTCCCCGTCTACACCCAGGAGTACTACCCCCGCTCCCTGCGAAGCCGGGCTTGCAAGGTCAGCCGGACAGCAGTCATCCTGGTCGCTGTCGCCCTCGCTGCTATCGTGAGTGCTCGTGCTTGTCCCGCTTCCTCGCTTGCGCTCAATCCGAGCGCAGATCTCCCTGCACTCCCTGCTTCGGCACTCGTACACCGAATATGCGCAAATCACTGCCCCCTCTAACATCACCAACTACTTTCACTGGCCTACGCATGAGATGACGACGATAGTGGACGTACCGACGCACGAAACCTGGGTCAATGGCACAAAACGAGCGAACGCGGTGCTCCTCATGCTCGTGCGCAACTCCGAGCAGGAGATGGCGATGAACAGCATCAAGGAGCTCGAGCACCGGTTCAACAAACGCTACGGGTATCCCTGGGTGTTGCTGAACGAAGTCCCGTTCACCCAAGAGTTCAAAGAGTGAGTGCATGTTCGCGTGATCGGGCGTGCCCTGCGACTAACGTCTCTGTGCAGGCGAATAAGCAGCGTGGTTGCAGGACCGGTCACGTTTGGACGAATCCCCCACGAACACTGGTATCAACCAGACTGGATAGACGAGGAGGCGGCGACGGCGTCTCGCGAGAAGATGGCTGCTGACGGCGTGATCTATGGAGGTACGCAGCGCTGTATACGTGTCTCCTGATCGCGAGAAACTCATCACAGCATCTTTGCAGGCAGTCTCTCGTACGTGAGGGTCATCGAGACGCGTCGAGTGTAATGCTAAGCCGCCTTCGCAGATATCGCAATATGTGCAGATTCAACTCAGGCGTAAGTATTCGCTTGGTGACCTCCGCGCCCACAATTGAACCCTTGTCTCCAGTTCTTCTACAAACACCCTCTCATGCAACCATACAAGTGGTACTGGCGCGTAGAGTACGTAGCCTCACCGGTTCCGGTTCCCCTTCTCTAACACACCATGCAGGCCAAACGTCCACTTCCATTGCGACCTCGATTATGATCCCTTCCTCTTCATGGAGCAAAACAACAAGGTCTACGGTGAGCGCCAATCTGTCCTCCGTTTCCGCCGCAGTGTGTTTGACTGATCGTCTCGTCGCGCAGGGTTCACCATTCAACTGACCGAATGGCCAATGACGATCCCCACACTGTGGGATGCCGTAAAAGGCGAGCCCGCCTCTTGCAACCCAACGCATACCAATACTCATTCGCGACGCGTCGTTTTGCAGAGTTTATGCACGAGAACCCGCAGTACCTCCATAAGAACAATGCGCTGGAGTTCATTTCGGACGACAAGGGGGAGTCCTACAACACCTGTCACTGTGCGTCTGGCGTTTCCCTTTCCCATCGATCGTGTGCTGACCGCGCCCGCATTGCGCCTGCACGTGCGCAGTCTGGAGCAATTTCGAGATCGCGAACATGGACTTCTGGCGCGGCGAGGCGTATAGCAAGTTCTTCGACCACCTCGAGTCTAAAGGCGGTTTCTACTACGAGGTGCGTCTGACGTTCGCGTACTCTCCGCACCATCCCCAATGGACTTGTGCTCATGCCTTGTATAGCGGTGGGGCGACGCACCCGTGCACAGCATCGGCGCGGCGCTGTTCGCACGCAAGGACCAAATACACTGGTTCAAGGACATCGGATACGAGCACGAGCCATTCCAGCACTGCCCGCTCGACGCCGATGTGTACAAGGCGCAGAACTGCGATTGCAATCCGCCCTCGAGCTTCAGTAAGCCTCCTTGTCTTTTCTGCAACCCATGCTCGCGTGCGCCTGGCGCCTCCTTGTTTAGTGGGCCTGCCGTGAGAGGCGGCTCAGTCAGGGCGGACGCTGACGTTCGCGTGCAATTGGTGGATCATGACACGGTGCTCATCTGCGTTAACAGTCTACGGCTCGCAATGCTTCCCGAAGTGGGAGAACATGTTCAAGTCATGACACGTTCCTCTGGGCGTGGCCAGGATGTACGACGACGTGGAGTGCGACGGCAGCGCGCGGAGCGCGTGAGCGCAGGACCGGCAGCGCGCTCTCCTTGCTCTAGGGTGCTATCATTTACCCGCGATGGCGGTCTCTCGCCCAGGGCCCGGGGCGAGGGGAGGTGCGTATCTACAATTTTAGGTGTTTGTTATTGTAGCTTGGACTGTGCAGTGTAATAGCGTGGACGGCCGACTGCGGGGGTACGATATCTTGTGTCCGGCGTTGCGTGTAGATATACCCATGTGTAGATGCTGATCGCAACATGCGCGTGCCTGTCGACGACACTCGTGTATATACGTCGGCCTGTCCGTCCGGGTCCTAATGTGATGGTAATGTGCTGTAGACGTCGGCCGATGCGTGCGGAAGCTGGTAGTACATTGTAAGCTGCGGGACTTCTCGACGTCTATGGGGATGCGCTACAGCCCAACCTGGAATACACGAAGCGAGACACGAACGGGGTCACGGCATGCGCGAACGTCTCCTTCGCCTGTTCAAACGCCTCGTCGGACTCATGGCCGCCCAAGTCCAGTGACAGCTCCTCCAGCACTACCTCCCTACCCAGCATGTGTCTCCTGTTCTCCAGAACAGACACCACCCGGGAAAGAAGCCCACCGTACCCACCAGCCGGGAGAGGGCCCGAAAGCTTGAGGCTCTGGAGCTCAGGGAGAACTGTGTTGTCCTCCAATGAGGCCTGCGCAGGCGGCGAATGGAGGGCGTCGAATATCTGCTCGAGATGTGCCGTCTCCGTCTCCATCGTCCCGGACAGTGCAACCGAGAGGGACCGGAGCACGGAGAAGCTCGTGAGCGCACTGCGCCAGTCGAGGTCTTTGACGGCCGCGGGCGAACATTCGATGCGTAACTCCTCCAGCGGGGGTTTTACGCGGAGTTCACTGAGAATGCGCAGAGCGCCGTCGAGGTTAGGCGTGTTGCCGCCGTCCGGGCTCCGTCCGACCTCGAGTTTGACGTGTCCGCGCATTTCTTCATTAGATGGAGGCTCCTCGGACGTATACGAAGTGTAGCCCTCGATGGAACAGGAGGATGGGAGGACGCGGACATTCGCGCGTACCAAGTTGGTGAGGGCGGGCAGGCAGATTGGTGGGTCGTTTGGGATGAGCCGCTGGAAGCACTCCTCGTCATCCTGGGTGCCCGGTCTGTACAGGGAGGCGACGGAGACGTCCGGTGCGGGGTGCCACAGAGCGATATTCGAGAGCAGCTGCTTGATGATGCGTGCGTCCAGGAGGAAACGCAGTTTGCGCAACCTCCAGAGGATGATGCGGTCTTCCTGGGGGACACTGGCTTCTGGGTCGACGACGTTCACATCGGCCAGGGTGAGCACTTCGACGTTCTCGAGGGCGCGAATGGAGTAGATAAGGTAGTCAAGAATGAAATTCATCCGAGGCCCGGAGTAGCCCGACACCTCGAAGACCCTGAGGCCCGTGAACGTCGGTGTCGGGTTGAAGATGAAGATGTTCGAGCAGCGCAGCTCTGTAAGACTGGGGAACTGGTCTGAGAAGAGGGCAATTGGAGGTTCGGTGTCTTTACTACTTCTGTCTTCGCTGTGGGCTTCGAGACATTGGAGAGCGGGCAGCGCGTTCTCCATCACAAACCTGGCAAGCCAGAAGACGAGATCGGCAGACATCCTGCGGAGCTCCAGACTTCGCAGGCGATGGGCGTGCGGGGCGAGGGCGTTCAGGACCTCCATTGTGAGGTGTGCCGCGCTTTCCAACACCTCCACGTCCACAAGGGGACTTTTCGAGCGCGCGAGGCCTACGTGTAGCAGGTTCGTTCGTCCCCCGATTTGCAGGTGTGTCCAGAGCGCCCCCGTCGTCGCTGCAATGTAGAACCATCGCCTGCACACCAAGAGCACGGCTTCCCAGCCAGCGGACGGTGGTGTTTTGAGATACAGGAAAATCTCGATGAGAATCTCCGGTGGGAGCTGGCCGACAGGCGTTGCTGCATTGATGAGAGCGTAGAGGCCCGGCGAGTCCCTTCCGCCCGCCCGAGCTCGAACTACAAGCTGGGCGCGCTGCAGCGGGTCTGCGCAGTCAACGTCGCTGGATATGCCCTCCGGTGTTTGGGCTCCATAGTAAGGTACGGAGAACATATCCGCTCTCAGTGGATCTGCCATGATCCTGCTCGCGTTGCGGTCAGTCAACCATTGCCTCGTGATTAGCATGTCGATCGACGGATCAGAGAGCCCACCGTTTTCGATTGAGTACATTGCGGGGTCCAATGTGCTCGAATTTGAAGGAGCCTAATGCACTCATGGTACATAAGACGAGCTGTGGTGGAGTCGGAGTACTGGTGGCAAACTTGATCTGCCCTGTTGCAGATGGTGGAGGACGATGAAGGGTACTAGGAGCGGCTGCCTCCAGGTGCCAGCGCGACAGTCCGTTTTGAAGGAAATTTGCCGCTTCCTAAGCGTACGGTTCAGGGTTGGCTTCGACGGGGGTGAGCCTGAGTGAGTGGGTGGCGGGTGGCGGGCAAGATCTGAATCGGGGACACGGACCTCAAGGATTTTCCCGATTTTAGACGCTCGAGTCGCGTCGCGTCGCGAGAGGCCGCAAGTCTCCTCCTCTCAAGACGGTCATTCGCGACCGTTTTTCGCGACTTCAAGATTACTCCTTCTCGCAAGAGTGGCAAATTGTAAGCTGAATATGCACACGCATAGTATCTCTGGTCACTGAAAATAGTCTCAGCGAAATTAATCCAGCAGAGGACCTAATTGATTGTGTCGGGAGGTCCGGATCCGTGTAACCAGCAGGCACGGCAGGTACTCCTCACTCAAGCGTTAATTTAATGTATGTGCACGCGCTAAGTTTTTCTTCATCCCTAGAACTATGCTCGAAACACAAGGCAGCGTCGCGGGCTCTCCCATTGGCCGCCTCCCTGAGGACGTACTGGTGCAAGTATTTCGTGATGTCCACGCTCTGCGAGATGACTGGGAGGAATGCTACCGGTGGTATAGACTCCTTTGGGTGTGCCAGGCCTGGCGCGCTATCGCCTGCGACTTTCCGGCGCTTTGGAACGACATCAAAGTCTCCAAGGACTTTTCACAAAGCTATCTCGAGGCGAGCCTGGAGTACTCCAAGGACTCTCCTATCGACGTGTCTATCCAAGGGACGACCCCCGCGCAGAACGCAGTCGTCGTTGGCCTACTCCTTCCGCACGTCGCGCGAATCCATATTCTGCACGCTCGCGGGATGGGTGATGCGGACGACAAAGCCCTGAGACAACTCCTCAGCCAGAAGATGCCGATCTTGGACGAGATATCGGTCAACATCAACACCAAATCACGGCCGATGGGTCCATACGAAATCGACGAATACGACCGGATGCCCGGACTGCACTCGCCCGAGGAGTCGTTTGTCTGGGACCTGCGCCTCGAGCAATTTCCCGCCCTGCGCAAGCTCTATCTTGGTACTGGACTCATGATCAAGGGCCCACTTCCCGTCTTCCATGGCCTGAAGCGTCTCGAACTCGTAGAACTCCGCCATGGGTCGATGACCATCGTCCAGTTCGGCCGCTTCCTGGCGCAGCTCACGGAACTCGAGGAGCTCTGCATCTACAGATTCCGCCCGACCATCGCGGGCGTCCAGTCTCCGATGGCCTTCCCGCCGTCGCTGTGCAAGCTCGCGGTCGAGGATAACGCGTACTACACGGCGCCGTTCTTCGAGTCCTTCCACATCCCTGCCCACGTCGACCTTAAAATCGCGCGCCTACGTGACTACATGGATCTCGGGGACTTCTCCGACGACGATGCACTGGTACGCGCTCCGTTCGTTCAAGATGCACTGCCGTCCGACCCCGACACGCTACCAATTCTCAAGGACGTGACCTCGCTCGAGGTCCGTCACTACATGATGAGCAGCTACAGCCTGCGTGGAACGACGTGTGCCGGCCACACCGTGCGACTCATAGGAAAACTCCCGGAAGACTGGCCGCGAGAATACAAGGACCTGAACAGCTTCCTAGAGCTGGTCGAGGTCTTCGGGGACGCCAACGTCAGCTCTCTCTTCCTGAATGGGAACGACAGCACGGTGATCGACCTGGACGACTGGGAGGAGGCGCTGAACACCTGGCCGTGCCTCGAGCGCATCGAGATCGCGCAGACGGACTCGCTCACCAGGTTTGACGCGCGCCTCTCTCTCCTCGATGCGCTGCTGCCGCCCGAGTTCGCAGAGGGCGAGGACCCGGAGGACACGATGCCCGTGCCGTGGCTGAAGACGCTCACCATTACGTCCACCGCGCTTTACAAGGAGGACGTTGAGCTCGCAGAGGCGCTCGCGAGCTGCCTGAAGGAGCGCAAGGATGCAGGCTTCGAGCTTCATCGGCTTCACATCAAGCTGGAGTACATTACGCGGCCCGAGAGGGAGCACGAGTGCGCGAAGGACAACAAGCAGCGCGTGCGGGTGTATTCGAAGGCGCTCAAGCATCTCGTCAAGCACCTGAAGCTGGAGGTCGTCAACGACTTCTACCCGAAGAACAGAGAGGTAAGACTGCGGCACTGCGAGCGTGATTGGCCTGGGTTTTCTGACTGTATGACTACCAGCTGGACGATGAAGACTAGGGGACGTTATGCGCTCCCGTTTAGCGTAGTAATCTTGATGAATAGTAGAAAACATAGTAGTATTCCTAGTGGCGAAGCCCATGTAGCCTTACTTGATAGAATCATCTCTGCTGTATCTGCCCTCGAAGCGACGAAGAAGAAATTTTACATCTGGACTGTCTGACAAACGCTAGGATGTACGAGCTTATACGAGCTCCCACCGCTCAGCGCTCAGATCTCAGACGCGGTTCATGCGACCACGCAGAGAACGCCTCCCTGCTACGCCGTCCCCGCCAACAAAGACACTCCCCGGCCCAAAGTCCGGTGTCCCACCCAGCGACCCGAGAATGTCTCCAATTAGCGGCCTCAGCAACGCGTCGTAGCGTCATGTAGTACGCAACTCATGATACCACACCACTCGACACATACTTTCGAGGTATAAAATTCGGCACACATGTCATGGCCTCCTCAAAACACGCTGAAGGAGTGCGCCAAAGTAGTGCAAATATGTGCGTCTCACGCTGCTTCCACGCCCACTTCCATGTTGTAAGCTATTCCGAGTCTGAGAACTTTTCACATTGCTCGAGACAGTTCTTAACTTTGCGACCCAAGATACAATCTTCAGCTCATTTCGTTCCTTCCGCTGAGCTCATATATCCTGTTTATGCGTCGCCCGTCGGGCCAATCGGCGCTTCAAGCCCCAGTTCGGAAATATCCGACGCTAGTCCTCCGCCGTCATCTCGATGTGCCACTCGCCTTTGTTCTCCAAACCCCTTGTTCTACTCGCATCTCGACGGATTCCCGTCTCAGCTCACACTCACGAGAAACCATCCGGGGGAGAGTAAGGCATGTACTCAACTACTCGCTCAATTTCTGCTGATTTACTCATGATTTTGAGACAGCATGGACATCAGTCTCGCAAGTTGCTTGGACCCCCTTCGAGGAGCCCGCCTTCGACCGCCCTTCTATGGGCTGGCCCCGCCGGACCACCTGTCCATGGCCAGTTCCTTACTGCTCCATAACAAAGACGCGCGATTGCAGTTTCGAGCGATACTTCACAAACGAGAACGGGAGCTGCAAGCGCTCCGCGTACTCCTGAATTCAAGTGCTGCTATCAACAAACTCCCGCAGGAGTTGCTCGTCGCGATCTTCCGGGAGCTACAAATCCAGCACACGGACTGGTTCGACGTCCTCCGAGTCTGCAGGCATTGGTTCGTGGTCGGGTCGACGGCTGCCACTCTCTGGCAGACCCTTTGGGTCAGCGACAGCACCAATCTCTTGCGCACGGGGCTCGCTCGCTCTCGAGCCGCTGAAGTGGAGATAGTGATCACCAAATTCCTCTCCCACCACTTCCCCGAAGTCACTGCCCTCATTACAAGCCACCTACACCGCGTGCACAACCTCGAGCTTGGGTCAGTACCCAGGAGTTGTATGCCCGCCTTTACCGACATCATGCGACGCGATATGCCCGCCCTCCGTACTCTCCAAGTGTACTTTGACACGCTAGAAGGCGAGGACATAGCCCTCGAACTTCCCCCAGCGCGTTTCCCCCGCCTTACGGGCGTTCTCATCGCGAATATCCAGATTCTCGCCACCCCCGCCATTGTCTCACAGCTGCGCGAGATCGTGATCCTCGTCTGCCGCGGTAGTAGTACACCTATCACGACAGCAACGTTCGTCCACGCCATACGCGCGATGCGGAATGTCAAGGTGCTTCACTTGAGAGACGTATACGCATGCGACGCCGGGAGCGCTCCGACCCTTCCAGCCATGGACAAGGTTGGCTTGGACCAGCTCCACAAGCTCGTCGTCCGCACACACGCGTCGCTGGTCCAGGCGATGCTTTCGGCGGTCATTATCCCTGTGACGGCGAACGTATCCTTCACCTGTCTGGTTTCCGACGCACCCCAGGCAGACGGTTCAAATACCCTGCAAGCGGTCATCCCGGACGACACAGAGTGCCTTCCTATCCTCTCCGAAGTAGTAGAAGTGTTCGTCACCTCCGCTTTGGACAACAGGGACTGCGAGCTAGCAGGATACACTACACCCGACAATCGATCAGAATACGAAAGGAGCGAAGGTCGACGCCCGTCCTCCGACATCGATTTCCGCCTCCGCAGGCGCGAAGATGTGAACGAGAGCGACTTCTGGCTCCCGCTAGGCCTGCGCCACCTTACCTACATCTTCCCCCGCGGGCGTGCGCCACTACAGTCTCTGATCATACACACTGCGCCCGCGGTCATCCTCGCCACCGACTGGCCGGCCCTCTTCTCCACGTACCCGGCGTTGCGCACGCTGCAGCTGATCGTGTCCGACGAAGAGGACGCGCCCTGTGCCAGCATGATCTTCGCTGCGCTGTCCCCCCGGAGCGCGGCGGACTCGGAGACGGACGCGCACGGTGTACTCCAGATCGGCGGCGCAGAGGATGCGGACACGATTCCCTGCCCGAATCTGCGGCGTCTGACCCTCGTCGGGCTGTCCGTCTCGGACCCGGATCTGCTTGTGGCCACCGCGGGGGCGTACCTGGAGAGTCGGAAGCGCGTGCTGGGCGCGTCGGAGGGACGGATGGATAGGGTCGTGGTGATTTTGAAGGACCACAATGACGAGGCCCATTTTGACGCGGTGCAGGCGTCCTTCGAGGAGAGGCTGGCGCCGCTGGTTGACTGTGTGGCTTATCGGACAAGCGATACACATTATTGGGATTAGATGGTATATATATGTTTGTATGCACCTGGTACATGCGGAAGCTCTTCCGAGCTGCGCAGCCTCAAATTGGAGTCCATATCGACCCCGATTCTGCCTGCGTTTGCGGCCTTCATGAATAACCTCATGCCTGCGCTATGCTCTCTTCATGTAGCTGCTGAACAACCGGAGCGCTCTGGGCTTATACCCCTCAATCTCTCCCGGGCACTGTTCCCTCAGCTGCGGAGGCTTGACGTCAGCTACATGAACGTGTTCGGCGACCTGGAGATATTCTCGCAGCTGATGAAAATCAAGATCAAGGGTTGCGAAGGTGTGAACCCTGAACTAGAGGCTACAACAATCGTGGAAGCGGTGCGCAGGATGCAGCTCGTCGAGGAGCTCGAGCTGGACCAGGTCAACGTACCCGACATTCCAGCGGACACTCCAGGTAGGTCGGAGACAGATACAATCGAACTACGCCACCTTCGGAACGTCGTCCTCAGCATCGACGGACCTCTCCGAATCAAGACGATCCTCAGCGCAGTCACCATTCCCGCCACAACCACCATCTCTTGCACCTCCCTCTTTCTTAGCGAGTACGACGAGGCCAGCTCGCCGGACCTACAGGCGGTCGTGCCCGAGAATCAAAAAGGGCTGCCCGTCCTCTCCCAGATCGTCGCAGCAACCATCGCTACGGACGAGGAGTCGCACCATCTGGGGGGATATGCGACGCTCAAAGACTCCCTATTGCCATGCGGGGCCGGGGCGCGCGTCGAGTTCTACATCGACATACGCAGTATGGCCGTATTGAACATAGACGTCGTCCCCGTCGGTCTCAACGATCTCGTGTATGTGTTCGGCGACGCGCCGCTCGAGCATCTCAAAGTCCAAACCACCGCCGCGATCTTCGAGCGCACGGACTTGCCGAAGATCCTCGCGGCCTTCCCTGCGCTCCGCTCAATACAGCTCGAGGTGCTGCATTCTGACGAAAGCGACGACGAGGACTACTCAACTCGCGCATGCACTCAATCATTCCTCCGTGCGCTGAAACCCGCCAACGCGGGCGCTGCCCACGACGTCGACGGTGGCGAGACACCCGGAAGCAGCATGCGCGGGGACGCGGTTCCCTGTCCGGACCTCCGCCATCTGGAAATTTCCGGCGAACAGCTCAATGATGGTACGGCGCTGCTTAATCTGTTGTTATGTTTGAGCCGCCGGCAGCGAGCTCTCGGACCAGACGCGCACCGGGAGGGGCGGCTTCAGCGGCTCGTGTTGCGTGTGGACGACCTTCACGACGAGGCGCACTTCCTCGCGAGCCGAGCCACATTTTTGAAGGCGTTATCTCCGCTGGTGGATGAGGTGATATACGAGGAGGACGACTCTGACTCGGGGGGCTCTGACTCGGAGGACTCTGACTCGGAGGACTTTCACTCGGTGGACTCTGACTAGTAGACGCGGAGTACTAGTGCGCAGGTCGATGTGCGCCGCTGTTCACTCACATGTATACTAAAATCCGCTACCCTATCATGCCTTACGATACTTACGAACCTCGACTATGACAAGCACTTTCTCGTCACTCCACGCGCATGAGATCAGTCATGGCTACAAGTAAGGATACAGGCCGGCCATTGCTGAATCTCGGAGGTTCCGGCCAATCATGACACCTGTGCTCTCGTCTATGTACATCGTGGATCCATACTTCGCAATTTCATCCACCAGTTCAACACATACTATACTGTCTCACATCGCGCATCATTTTACATACCTCCTAAGGTCGACAGTGGAGAGACGTGTCCATGTACTACCCGGAGTACGACCATGAAGATGAAGATGAACCACACTTCTAAATCAAGCTCTCAGTTCCGCCACAGAGCTCCCAATCCCGACCTGCTTAGACGTGGTCCCTGCAGGACGCGGGTGTTCGGTGTGACATCAGCTGTAGGGGATAAGTGATCCACTAACAAGTACACTCTTCGGAACGCGCGGTACGGCCAGGTTTTGTCTCATATAGAGAAACAAGGCACGAACCTTCTTGAGCACACTGCCGGCGCGTGGATGCGAACGCCGTCTTCGTGACGTTGCCAGATGGAATACTGCCCAGCGGGTCTGACAGCAGCCCAGGTTTCAGCACGCCAAGGCGCGCAGCTTCGAGTTATCCCGGACGGCACTCGACGCCCTCTACCTACGGCTCTTCCAGTGGGGCGCAGCGGATCGTGAAGGTCAGCTGGTGACACGGTGGTTCGAGTGGGCATAGGCGACGCCCAGCCTGAGGTAAGAGATCGTGGCCTGTCGTGAAGCCTTGAGGTGGTCGGGCGAGGCGTAGCCACAGGAGCGCGCGGATGAGGGGCTAGAAGACGGGTAGGAGCTACCGCGCGCCTGAATACCTTCCGGATAGAGGATAACAGGCCGGAGATACAGATAGCAGCTCGAGCGGGAGGCGATGGACGGGCGGAAGAGGGACGCGCCGAGATTCATAAACATATGGAAGGCTATAGCTCCATCTCGCGCGCGGCGTCTGGGCGGGTGTTCGCATCCATCACGGAAGTCCCGGGGCAGAAGCTGAGGGAACGCCGCTCGCGGCGAGGGGCTCCATTTAAAAGTGCGGTCCGTGATGCACTTCCGCTGTGGTCGGGTCAGGGAGCGGCGACGGTGGCCTGCACCATCATCGGAACGAACGCGGGGTTCAGCCATCGCCACACCGCCCTTGTAGGTAAGGGACGTACCTCCTTGGTTTTACGGATACTAACGTATGTGTCCGGTTATCGTCTGCAACGGTGAGCGAGGGAGACTTTCGAAATCAAAACTTGCGGCACTCGTCGCGATGCTGAACATGCTTCAACACCGGGCGCCGCCTCGAACTCGACCGCGACTCAAAGTCTGACATATCTGAGGTTCGAAGCGGCACGACATGCTATAAGCTCTGATTCATGTAGTGTCGGGGGCGGATGAGACAGAGGCGGGATGTTTCGCCGCACCGCACGCCGACAAACCGGACCGCCTTGTTGGAGTCCGGCGACGGCGGTGTGGCTGAGCCCAACCGTGTATGACACCTCAACCACTATATCCGTCTGCGCACCTCATCTACAAGGAACCGAGCAATCCTATCATGCGGCGTGAGGATAGAAGGCGGGAACTCACCTAACGTTCAGACACCGCGCGCCACCGGAAACACAGGATTTCCCGAGTGTGCCCCCTGCCGCAACTGAGGCGACCGCCGCCGGTAGGGTATGAATGATCTCGTCATTTTCGTGAGGGGATCGTGAGGGTCGTGAGGGTGCCTACGCGTACGAAATAGAAGTCCGTAGTAAGCTGTAAACGCAGTAACGTAGTAATGTAAGGGCTGGATACCGGTAGTAGTAGTCCGAGTTCCTCCAGGGAAGTAAACATATCAGGTGAGATGAGAGCACAGAAACCGAAAGCAACGAAGAGACATAACGATACAGCAAGCAGAGACAGCAGACTGGGGACCCACCAACCAACCGAGGAATACGCACTCTAAAGGACGAAGGACGGGGGGACTCATAAGCACACTAATAAACCCATGCGACGGGACGGCGGAAGCCCGGGTGATCCTGGGGCTGGGGGAACGGCGGCTGGGGGAACGGCTGCGAGAAGACGGGTTGCGTGAACGCGGGCTGTTGAAAGACGGGTTGGGGCTGCGGCTTAGGCTGGGGGAACGCAAGGCCAATCGCGTGACGCATCTTCTGCCGCGTCGCCTCGACCTGCCATGGGGAGTACAGGCTGGGCGACATCGGGCTGCAGTTGGACATGATCCACGACTCGAGCAGCGAGCGCGTCCAGTGCACCTTGCGCAGCCGGTGCCCGAGCCGCAGGATGTTCGCAATGTCCTGCGGGTCGTGCTTTTGGTAGCGCACGAGCTTGAGGGCGACCGCCCACGAGAAGCTCACGCCGATGAGCACCAGCCCGGGCGCGGTGAAGATCGTGTTCATGCGCAGGTTGTCCTCGCTCGTCGCATCGACGTAGACGGGGTCGTACGGCCTGTGGTAGACACTGCGGAGATGGGGATAGAACGAATCAGAGTCAGTGGCGCGCTCCGTAATCTAGAATCACGTGCGCCCGAAGATGGTGCGCAGTGCAAAATTTTCGGAGCGGGGCAGGGCAAGGGGCACTTACGAGTCGACAGACATGGGCAGCGCGACGTCCGCGCAGGCGTTCATCCAGTCCGCGCCGAGCTTGAAGGCTCGCGCGGTCCCGCGGATGCATTTTCGGAGGCGGGCGCCCGCATCGAGCACGCCGCGGGACATCCACTCGGTCTCGAACGCGCGGTGGAGGTAGTCGACGTCACGGGTCGAGTCGCGGCATGCGAGCTGCGGGTGGAGGACCATGACGGCACCGCCGTGCACGACGAGACGTACAGGGGCGCCAAAGTAGCGGAGAAGGCGGGTGGAGAGGTCGTGCAGGACATTGAGGAGGGTGTCGCGCGTCAGAAGCACGTCGTTGCACTCGGGCAGAGGAGGCGATGCTCTGAGCGACTGGGCCATGACAAATGCGATATACGGCTTGAAGGGCAGCTGGAGGACAGTGTGGCGGCAGCAGAAAAGTCGAGAGGTCGTCCGGAGGTCATTAAAGGGTATCGAGGGCTTAAAGCCTTTTGTATGAGGTGGTGGTGGGAGCGAGAGAAGCGATGGGCGAGCGATGGCAGCTTTGTTGTCGCTGGTAGGCGCCACTGCCTAGCTAGCCGCGTATCAGCCTCGTGTCATCTTCGCCGGCGCTGTGATCCAGCGCGCTTAGCCCAGGATGGAGTGCGCAGTTAACTCGGTATACCTGTGCCGTCTATCCAAGCTCACCCACTTCCTCCTGAGGAACGGCCTCAACGGCCTCTCGATGACAATTGCTATGCGCGGGCCCCAAGTCCCCTATACCCGCGGGCTGCGCGCTCGACCTGTGCGATTCAAAGCGTGCTGAGCGCAGCCAGTTCGCTGCTATGCTGGGATGACCGGCATCTTCGCTCCCACGTCCGGTCATGCGCAGGAATGCAGCAGGCACCCGACGCCGCGCACGATAACTTACGTCCTGTTGACATATCCCACTATATCGCACGGGCCAAGTGGCGTGGTGCGGGCCGCGACAATAAGGCGCGGCGGTGGCGCACTCCGTGGACACGCCGTCTGCTAAAGCAAGCGCTGCGGGTAACACGAAGGTCAGCGGGTGGACCACTCAGCCGCAGAAGACGCGGTGCCAGTGAAGAGGAATTGTGGGCGTCGTGGGTGACCCGAGCGGGACGGCTGATGCACGAGGTCCGCCCGCCGCTTCCTTACCCAAGTACGGCGCCTCGAGGCGCACTTCGTAGCGGGCCCATGCGGTGTACGATATTGACTGCAAGTGGGCAAGGGTGAGCGATGACTCGTCTAGGGTGCTTCGGGAACCCACAACACGGCGTAGGCACACTGCACTGCAACACTAGACGATTAGAGGATGAGGCAGGCAATATGCCTGTGTAAGGCGCGCCTTGACCCGACGTTCTGCTCCCGCGTGCATTCCAGGCCACGAGCCCCTGCTTCGCGGCCACGAGGTTATCGAGCAGAACCATGCCCGGTACCCTTCGACGCCTTTTGAGGATATTCGATACCAGAACGCCGCTCGGCAAAGGTACGGCTCTCGCGTGCATGCAGTGAGAAGTGTGGAGGGGAACACGTAGAAGAGGATTCTGGCTTCCTTGGGACATAGCGTGGGCGGTGAGACGTAACCCTCAGAACCACGGCCTCGTCGTATCAAATCGTCATCGAATCGTGCTGTCCAGCGCGAACCCCTCAAAAACTTACGAACGACGAATGCACTCACCAGTCGTACCTGGGATGCCTCGACGTCTCGCCATCGTATGTTGTCAGTCGGGCGGCGACAATCTTCGAATGATGTCGGACAGTCGGCGCGCCTCCAGACCGCCACTGACAGACAGTTCCGTCATTGATCCCACGCGCGCCGATAGCACCCACAATCCGAAGCTGATATGCAATACAACCACACATCGCGCGTGCCGTACTGTACCTCCCAACGTCGCTGCGCGTCGGCGCTCAGCCCTCGCTGGCGCCTTCCCCATCACCGGCGGCGTCTTCGGCGACTTCGACGGGATGCCGCTTGCGCCACTCCGTGAGGCCGCTTTCGAACGCGCGGTCGTTCACACCGCTCGGGACGAGGCAGAACGTGACTCCTGTGAGTGAATGCGCATCAGTATCGAGGCCAGCGTCCGCGGCGCATTCGAAGTGCGTGTGGGCGAGGCGCGCACCCAAGGACTCGACCTCCTTATTCCTGTGCTCGTCATCGAAGAAGAGCTGGGGCGCAGGGCAGATGATGAGATTCATCCTGTGTATACAGAATCGATGGCGCTCACCATCTCGGAGTACGGGATTCCGGTCTTCTTGTGTAGCTGCTTGAAATGCTTGATCTTGGACCCTGTGCGTGCGATGGCGTCAGGGCTGTTCAGGGAGCTCATAAAGGGGAGAGCATGTACCCGGGTAGATCTCCATCTGGTCGAAGAACTGCACGGCCGGAGTGGGAGATGCGCCCTTATGCCCCGCTGGCGGAGGCACGAGCAGGAGGTTCAGCGCTCGCCGGGCCCTTCAAAATGTTGTAGGCGTGAGTGAGTGTATGCGTGTGGGCGGATGCGGAGAGCGCTACGCACAGGTCTGGAGCTGAAGTGCGGGAACACGCAGCGATCAGGACGCCGGCCTCCCTGAGACGATGGAAGATCTCTGGAACGTGGCGGTAAAAGGATATTCTTTGCTCGTGTCTAGTCCCAGATATCATGCAGGTTAGCACATTAGCTCTATCTCACAAAAACCTATTTCTCACCTATCGCGAACCTCGTTGATCGCGTCGCCGACGCGGCGAAGAGGGGCTGGGCCAAGAAAAACATCAGATCGTTCCCTCAGTACCAGAGGAATGGGCCACTGAATCTACATACGATCGACATGGGTGTCTATCCACAGATCCCAAAGGGTGTAACTGCGCTAGTTCAAAAGAATACAGACTTCATCAGCATACCCAGTATAAAATGACACGCATACGTACTCTAAATCAAATGCTATGAGCTTCGGCAATCTGCTTGACATGGTTGACGGTTGTGAGGACACCTGGCGAAGAGTGAGTGGGTGAGTGAGAGAAAGAGAAGGAGAGTGAGTGGGCTGCAGCTTGACGTACGGTAATAGACGCCCAGTGCGACACTGTCCGGAAAAGTCCGCGTAGACTCCGCGCTGGCACTCAGGTTCCTACTACGCGCCGGTCTCTCTCTCACTAGTTACTCCCACCTCGTATACTCGAAAGCCTTCCCGTACTACACATCAAGTACCCCAACTACATCACCGGAAATATGGCGTCCTCCAAATGGTGAGTAGAGTCGTGATACTTACGTTGTGCTAATCCAAAGTTGTTGGTGAAGAAGACAGGAGCGTGCTGCTGATTGACGTGCCAGCATCGCTCTCCTCGCGACGTTGCAGTTCTGAGGGAGCCTTTCCGTGTCTTTTTGGGCTGGCCGAATCTTCATCCCGCAAACTAAAAATTTACCATGGGTTGTGGGTGAATTTACTGAATACTTGGCTCCTTCGGCGTGCGAATGGATTCCTCTTGTACCACCAATCGACTAAGCTAATACCGCAGACCGCTAGTCACTTCCGATCTCTGAACAGTGCCTACAATCGCCTCGTCTACGTCTTTGACGGCCACTCCTCCCCCGGCCATCTTGGTGCTCCTTGAAAAGTTGCGCGCGTCTGCAAGCGGCGACTCCGGCTGGAAATGTAATCCCAACGTCGTTGACGCGGCGGACTACTTACTATTGACTAACGTCGCCACGCAATAATTTGTCGGCCGAAGCTACACTGGCATAGCGATGAAGTGGGGTATAACCAGGGTGAGCCGTATTACTATCATAATCTTGCACCAATGCCGCTTACGTGATGCGTAAACCACTCGTCAAGTCGTGCGAGAGGCGCGTCTTGATTCCAGCCACCACGATAGCGCTCAAAGTGAGCCACTCGTAACACAATCAAATCTTGTCCGGACGTGCTATATGTATGTAGGCCCTTTCTCCGTTCTTAACGCTGTCGAGATACTAATACAGGATACATGGTAGTAGCGAGTGGCTGACGACGGAGTTTGGGCTGAAAGCACGATTATGGACACGCGACGGTACGTCGTTGAGAAGGCGATATCTATGTCGTACTTATTGTGCTCTAGCTCGGCCGTGAAGCCAGCCATAGCGGACACAGATCCGGAATATCCCTCTCTCGCGCAAATTTTGAGAGCAGATAGGTGGGGTCGACCCTTTTATGGCCTACCTCCCGTCGCAAGCGGGGCTGCTCCTTCAGACAAACCAGCCGGAGAAGCCGGCCGGCCTCCGTCGAAGCAAAGCCCAGAGCCCGAGAGCGAATATTGCGACCTCGCCCGTCTGGCTCTGTTCAACGCACGTATCCCAATCAACACACTCCCCGTCGAGCTGCTTGCTATGATCTTCGAAATGGAGCTGAAAGCCGAAATATACCCCGGAATCTTCGAGACTGACTGTCCACGGCTCGACTACCTGCTGGTCTGCCGCCACTGGTTTGCTGTTGCCGCCACCGCCCCAAGGCTATGGACTCGTGTGTACGCGGGGCCAAGTCTGAATTATGTCCGCACCTGTCTCGCACGCTCAAAGGCTGTCAAGATCGACATCTCTGGCGGCGATTATCCCTGGTTGAATGTTCCCCGCGGGGTCTTGCACCTCATCACCCCGCATCTCCACAGAATCCGAAAGCTCGAGTTAGGGGGCATTCCGCCAGGGGATGCTGCCCATCTCAACACGCTCCTTCAGAATACGTTGCCAGCACTGGAAGTGTTGGGCTTTGGGCTCTCGTACAAGGCAGCCGATTCAATCGCACAGGCGATAGAGCTTTCCCCCGAACGCTTGCCGAAGCTGGTCCATGTCTGGGTTCACGGCATCCGCCTGGTGCCTACCGCGGCTCTTCGTCGCCTGAAGGTCCTACGGATCACCGATTGGCCCGGTCCGAGCCCCGCGATGACTCTGGACATGCTCACTGCTTTGCTGCAGGAACTCGTCGCCGTAGAGGGGCTTGGAATCTATAACGTGCCATGCCGCGATGCTGCGACCCCGCCCCGCCACTCGTGCACTTCACCAACGGCTCTTTCGAACCTCAGGCACCTCGATTTGTTCAACACAGATCTGCGAGTCACAAGACACATCCTTTCCGTGATCTCTGTTCCCCTGTCCGCAGTTGTGCAGATTATTGGCCAGACGGACCTAACGGCTGCACCGGACGCAGTCGAGGCCGCCGTTCTACAAGGAACCCGTATCGTCATCCCCGCCGATACATCCAGTCTGCCGATGCTCTCCCGCGCTACACATGCGTCTATCGTGATAGGCGGTTGCAATCATCTTGTGTTTTTGTCAACGAGCTGGCCGCGGGCACACAGGGAGGAAGGAAGCCTCTATTTCTACATGGCGGCCCCTTTCGACTACTGCGGAACGAACCCCTCATTCGCCGACTTCGTGGGCATCTGCGGCCGCGCGGCCCTCGAAGCTCTGCACATCGAAACGGAGACAGACTTATGCCCGCACCTCAGGTGGCGTGACGCGCTCGCGTACTTCAATGGTACGCTGCGCGAGCTCACCGTCCGCGGAACCCAGGCCGAGCCGGGCGCTGCGTATCTCTTTGCTGCCTTGGACCCGGACACCGCGCCCGTCGGCACGCGCGCGGCGGAGGCTGTGGTGGTCCCACATCTCCGGAAGCTTCGCGTGGCGGGTTTCGCGGCGCATGATGAGACGCTGCTTCCCGCGGTGCTCGAGTGCTTGGAGCAGCGGCGGGACGTGCTAGGTCGACCCTTGGCGCTGGAGACGCTGGAGTTCCAACTCGAGGCGTTCGGAACGCGGGAGTTCTTCGAGGAGCAACGGGTGCTGTACATGGACACGCTGTCGGAGTACGTGGAGGTCCTCTCGTATGACTTCGAGCTAGAGTCGGATCAACCACTCTTGTATTAATCACTAGTGCGAACCTGTGCTACGTGCGTCCAAGTCCCTTTCACCTCGAAGCTATCCAATGCGCCTCTTACGTCGCGTGTTTCATCGCCTTTCTATGTGCCACTGAGTACATCTTGCCTCTTGACCATCACGAAGCCACTCGACGAGAGCCACTCACACGGAATATTCTGTAAGTCGGCGTACGTTCGGCATACTTAGCTTTCGAAGATGTTAACAAAGCTATAGTGACGAGCGGTGGTCGATTTGGACTGGTGATCATGGACGTGATCATGGACACACTGTATGAGATTCGTTTTGACGGGAGCCGTCTTTGTCCTCATAACTTGATAGCACAACCGAGGCATCCGCTGCGGACGGCCTGCCGGAAACACAAGTATTGAGAGCAGATAGCTGGCACTGTCCATACTACGGCCTATCTCCCGTTGCATCCGTCCCAGCTTCCGGAAACAGACCCATCGGAGAAGCCCGAGGGCCCTTGTTGGAACGAAAACAGGAGCTCGAGAACGAACTGCGAAGCGTGCATGCTCTCCTCAACACGGGTGTCCCTATCAACGCGCTCCCCGTTGAGCTGCTGGCCGAAGTTTTCAAAGCGACGCAGCCAAAGCTCGGACGTGAAAGTGGGGAGCGTCCCTGGCTCGCTTACCTGCTCGTCTGCCGCCACTGGTTCACCGTCGGTGCCACCACCCCTAGGTTATGGGATTTTGTGTACGCGACGCCGAGCTTGAACTACGCTCGTACCTGCCTCGCTCGCTCCAAGGGAGTGAAAATCGACGTCATCGTTGTACCCGATATGCCAGTGGCCCCGGTCCTCTCCCAGTACCTACAGCTTGTCAGCCCGCATGTTCATAGGATCCGCACGCTCGTGTTAGGCACCTTTGATCCCGCGGATGCTCCTTACCTGAGGGCCCTTGTTCAGCATCCGATGCCTGCGCTGGAGCTGTTCACCGTTGGAGTAGGCAAGACGACGACCGACCCACGCGACGAAGTAATGGAGTTTACCCCCGAACGTTTTCCCAAGTTAGTCCACCTCTCGCTCAGCGGAATTCACCTGGTGCCAACGGCAGCTCTTCGAAACCTGAAGGTCCTGCATATCGACAATTTGCTCGGCCTGGTTCCTGGGATCACTATGGGCATGCTCACCGACCTGCTACAGGAGCTTGCTTGCATCGAAGAGCTTCGTGTCCACAGTATGTCTTGCCGTCAAGGCCTCGACCCTTCCCGCCCTATGCGCACCCCACGGGCGGCATTAAGGAGCCTCAAGGGGCTAAGCATGCAAGACTGGCCATGGGGTATGGAGGTCACAAAGCATATCCTCTCCGTAATCTCTGTTCCGCCGTCATCGACTATCATGATCCGTGGTTGTATCGACGATCACTGCGCGCCCGAAAGGTGGTGGCCGCTACGACTATGTCGGGTGATTAGCTCCGATCACTAGACAAGGTGTGGATTAATTAGTGGGTAGTGAAAGTGGTGGTGAGCAGGGGCTTTCGGAGTTTTACTACATATAACAGTGATAATTACTTGTGATTCTTTCAAGACTTAGCGCTCGAAAGAAATGAGGTTGGGCCAAATATGAGCAAATAATGGGAGACCGTTCCGAGGGCTCTGTGGCTGCTTGACAACCGCCGTCGCTCTTGTCCTCAACGTCCTCGAGCCTGTTCTCAACGTCTCCTTCTTTGTTCCGCCTCCTCTCACGCGCTCTCCCTGGTCGTCTTCATATGTTCTCTCTCGGCTCCTCCTCGCCGCGCTCTCGTCTCCCTGGTGCCGGATTCACGGTCTGATTGAATCGCTCCTGCTCGTCACGTCGGCCTCCCATCGCTATCAGTCCGCCCTTGCAGAAGTCGTCCTGTTTACTTAGCAGTGCAAGTTTTGTTCCTCACAAGTACGTCAATGTCAGTGCTGCTACTGTTCTGAATCTGCGTCCTAGGTCATCATACTTGTGCTGCTTTCAAGTGAGTCTATAGCTGCTTGTCTCGTCGCCGTCCTGCAGCTGCTCTTCGCCCCGCGCTCTTTCAAATACGCTCCCCTTGCCAACCACCCACCCCTCATGCACTTGTGTCTCTGGGCACCTTTCGCTGCGCCCATATCTTGCCCGCGTCTTGCTTGTGTCCCGCCTATGTTTGGGCCTACTCCGTGTGCTTCGCACCCTCTCGCGCTTTGTGCCTCTGCTATCTGGCCCCTGGTACGCTCTGCCTGCGTCTCTGAGCCCTCTGCATTCTGCTTGCGTCTACGCTTCCGCGCCGCGTCTGCACTGATGTCTTGTCCGCACCCCGTCCACGCTTGTGCATGCCCTACGCGCATCCGGTCTCTGCGTCGCGATGTCCTGTCTCCACTCCGCGCATGTCATGTGCCTTCTGGGTGACCGCGACCCGCCTACGCTCACATCGACACTATGGCTTGCGTACGCTCGCGCATACCCCGCGTCCCGCCCGCGCACGCTTGTGCACACGTCTGGCTCGCATCTGTCTTACCTCATGCCCGCGCACATCTCGCGTACTCTGTCTGTGCCTCCCTCGTGCCTCATCTGTGTTCGCGCACGTTGTGCCCGCCTGCCCGCCCCCATAGTGTCCCGTACACGCTCGCGCTCATGCCATGTCCCCCGCATGCCTGTTTATTACTTGTGTCGGCATCACGGTGTACCTTATTACTGTATGATAGCTGCCTGTATATATCACCACGATCCAATCCAATATCATTCATCGGAGGTGAATGTGTACTCTGCACGTCATAGTAAAGAACACAATGCGATACAGCGTAAATCACCAACTATCAGTGTTCACCTGGAAAGCGGTATGCAATCACCGGCACCGGCGCTTGGACGAGGGTGTTGAACGGGAAGATTTAATAGCTCACAAGTCCGACTTATTCCACCCGGGAGAGTGGCGATTTTATGCCAGCGCCAAAAGGGCTAAACGGGCGCAAACACCCAGTTTACATAGCTATTTACTCTACTTTGCGCATGGTGAATAAGCTGGTGGTTTTCACAACATGTCAGTCATACAGAGGATGGAGCGAGAGCCATCAGAGCGCTGGTTAACCCACAAGGCAACGGTGGCTGGATCCTACCCGCGGATAGAACAGGCCTGCCCATTCTCTCACGCGCTACTGAGGCGTTTGTGGACTCAACTGAGACCTCTGAGCATGGCTACGTCATACGATTGACCTCGCCTCCGGTGCCCGACGGAGGTGGCTGCCTCAAGGTCGTCATGGAGGCCCCTCCCGCCCACCGTCAAGCCTATCCCTTACCGTCCCCATACCTCACGGCCATCTGTCGCGACGCCCCAATTGAGACGCTGCGCATCGAGATGTCAGCGTTTACGTACTGCCCAAACACCACCTGGCGCAATGCACTCGCGCCCTTTTCCAGGCTGCGCGAGCTCGCCGTCTTTGGACATGGGAACGGGCCGTCGGCATCGAACCTCTTCGCTGGCCTCAACCCGGACTGCGCGCCCCCGGACACGCCGGCGGCGGCGCGTGTGGTTCTCCCTGAGCTCCGGACGCTGTGTATCGAGGGCTTTACGGTATTGGACGAATATTTGTTTGCGACGGCGATGGTTTGCCTGCAAAAGAGGCGGGCCGCACTTGGGCTCTCGAAGCCGCTCGAGACGCTGTCCTTTCAGCTCGGAGATGAAGACCGGCCGGAATTCAACCTGCAGCTCAGAACGCTATACACCGAGGAGTTGTCTGTGTACGCGGATGTATTCTCTCTTGAAGGCTATACAAGACAGGACCATTAGCTGCAACTCGATCACTGGCACTGTCATCCAAAGTGAGTTGGAACTTTCTTTGTGGGTCGTGGTCGTGGCCGGTGTACGTGTTAATTCGTGTATATTAATACCTTAATCACAGGCTGCGCTTACTGCTAGTGCATACCTTGTTCCCGAGGAGTCATTGCCCGTGGTGCGTAATGTAATACTTTCCGTTCAGCACCGGAAATACGATGGCATCCTCCCCCGCTCGCTCCGCCGTGCATGCCTTTCCGATGGCGGGTATACTGTCACAAATCACCACCAATATATCGTGGACAGACCGCGACTAGAACATGTCTTACATCTGAAGCATCTTTAGAAATATTTAATTCACGAGTAACTTGAAATTAGTCACTGGGAATGGTGAGATCGTTGATTCGGAGAGAGTACAGCGTCACGGTCTCGACCGGATCTTCTGTTAGATGTCTTCTTTGGCCGTATGTGAGTGGCGAAGCGTTGCCTGTGTCTGCAGCGGCGCTTCCCCTCGAGGTTTTCCGAGCACAACGCCGGTTTTGCCCTCTTATCATACGAGGTTTTCACATGCGGCCTGTCGATGTGCTGAAGAACGACTAGGTCTACAGGAGGTCTGGCCAGCAGTTGGGTATAGTCTACGAAGGGGTCGAATGTATTGTGCACTCGGCGCTATCTATGTTGGATTCGAAGTCTACGAGTTACGTACAATTAGCTAGATCAGGGCAGGCTTTAGCGTAGCACGATGTCAATGGACCACACCCTTTAGCTCTCTCGAGTGACCCGGCGCTGTCCGCTGCCCGATACTTAGAACTGATGAACCCCACATTGTTTCCCCAGCAATACTAGAGGCTACACCTTCTTGACAGATGCACGAACGGCCTGGCTTTCGCGTCCACACGCCGCTGCGGCCGAGGCCTGCTTCATAACATCAATATCATGCGGCGGCACTCCTGCGCATTTATTATTGTTCATGGTTCGGTGCGCGCATGCCACCAATGGTCTTTCTTGAAACTCGAGTGCACGATGGTCGAGTCTCTGCCCAGACCGCCGCAGGCGAAAGCAGCCCTGCGGGGAAGCAGGCCTCGGTTGAACGTTGAAGCCTAGAAGGCACCGACAGCCCGCCGAGGCCGACAGAAGGTGGCCTGACTTCTCGATGTGTCCTACGTATATTCCTGTCCTGAAGCATCATCATCATCATGCAATGGAACGTTCCGCGCCCGGGGCCAGCGCCCCATGCGTTGCAAAGGCTAATTCTACCCAATCTTAACTACGCCGCGTGCGGCACGCCCACCATCAGCCGGCGGCGAGACCTTGCGCTCGGAAGCGGCAAGGAATGCGGCGGGAAGCACGCATCGGAGCGGTGCCTCGATCTGCGTGAGTGGCGGCAAAGGTGTGGGGAAGTGTCGGGCGGCGAAGCGCACGTTGTGTTGAACATTCAGTGAACGGGCGATACGTATGCTTGCATGGCGTGAATGGGACAGGTGGGCTATTGCCTCAAAAGGCTGAGGTGCACAACCCCGCGTCACATGAGTACTCAATCAGCGAAGAGACGTTGGGTCATCGCAATAGGAGACCGTACTCTTACCAGTAACGTCCGAGTGGATGAGTATGTTCGACCGTAGCCCGCGTGGCGCCCGCTGGGGCTGGATGAGGTGGGCCAGGACCCCGGATAATACTGCCAGAGGCCTTATCCAGGAGGGGTGGAAATTTCGTGTTTTGGTCCGGGCCAAAAATTGGCCGTTTTGGTCCGCGCGGCGGATGTGGCATCCTCAGAGGGGTCATTTTGGTCCGTGAAATGGCGAAAGCCTCGACAAAAAGCCCCATTTTTTCTCTAATTGCAGGCCAAAGTCGTGTTTTGTCCTACGCCTATATATTACGGCCATGGCGAAAGCTGCTTGCCGCATGACGTCTGTGAGTGATTTCATTGTGCAAAAGCTTACGGATGTCTGAAATAGGTAGACCCACCCCAAGCTTACCTGAGTCGACCCCATTGTGGTCCGGCCAGGTGCAAGGCCTGGCTCGTCCCGCCCGCCGTTGGTCCGACAATTCGTAAGGCTTTCCCGGCCTCTGACCCCCAATTTGGTCCGCCCGGTGTAAGGCATACCTCTGGACCAAGTCGCGTTTTGGTCCGAACTGCGGATAAGGCATCCGTGAGGATTATCCGGGGTCCTGGTGGGCCGACGTCTTGATTGTCGTGGTACAATATTAATGAACGGCTGGTGCCGGCTAAGGCAACCCTGGCGCTCAATATGTTGCACTGCAAGCGACCAGGAAAACGTTAGAGAGCCGCCGAGAGGAGACTTGAATTGGATCTAGATCTCATGAGTGCCGACCAACGCGAGAAGGCGGGTGGGCCTGCAGAGTGCTGCCGAGCGGTGTGCGGGGTAACCTGACACGGCATACCCCTTGCAAGATAAGTGTTGAATTGCCCCCAAAGTAGATGCAAGATCCCTGGTGATGATGCGAACTCACTGACGCCGTATGAGGGCCCTGCACTGACTTCCAGCAATGAACACCGGTCTTCAGCCATGCAGCGTCGGGCTTGCACAGAGCTGGGACCGTTTACCGGCCTCGCCGTATGCGCTAGCACTTTGGTTTCGCATCGAGGAGGCTGGTGACGGGAAGCGCGACGTGGCTGGGGATGAAGGTCAAGGCCTCCTCAACCAAGCCACACGATTGCTACCCTGGGGCGACCCACTCGCGCGCTGGATATAGACGCGCGAGTTGTAGTACGCCCCGAGTGCGCACAGAGCGTATCATCGTGTCTGAGTGCGTCATGTCGGAAGCAGCAAGGAAAGCGGCAGGGCTTCGCGAATCACCAAGTAGGGAGACTCACTTGGATTGAACTGGAGAGCGGTGGCAAAGGTGAGGAAAAGAATCGGAGTTGCCGATTTGAGTGCGGGGTAACCTACAACGGCAGATGCGACGGCATATGAGTGTGCAATCGCATGTACCATCCTCGTGATGACGAGGATCCACAAACGCCGTACGAGGGAACGTTGAACTGACGCTCATCGATGGACACACCTGTTCAAACAGAGAATCATCGCCCCGCACGCGCGTCCGAGCTATGTCGCAGACCTGATGCAGTGGCTGAAACGTACCGCCGGCGTGCAGCATTGCAGCGCGCCCTCTGCGGGCGGGCCGCCCATGCCTGTAGGCATGTCTGATGACTGGCCATCGCGATGGCTGGAGGAAAGAAGCACTAGATGAGCACGGATATGAACGGCTCAAGGTTCGGACGGTTCGACCTACATAGTCCGCTGAGCAATTCGTGAACCTTGCGAACCTTGGCATGCACGCCATTCACGCATACCGAGCTTCAGATCTGACGTCAGCGCGCGCGATGAGAGGCCCACGCGCGCATCGCAAAGCCAGAAGCATCCGTTCGAACTGCGCGAGGCATACGCCTGTCCAGCAGACACCAGTTGGTCACTGTATCATGTCAAGTGTCAGGGCTGGAGTGCGTCTCACCAAGCACGGCCTCTGCGATGATCACTGCGGAGTCAGCGCACCGATTCCCTTCGGAACGATCTTCTCGAGTAGGGAATCTGCTCTCCGCCCGGGCTGGGGGCAATAATGCGGACGGTGCCATTCCTCCGAGCGTCCGGGCAGGTACGGCGGCGGGCGTAAGGATGGCGAGGCTATTCGCGCGGCCGGACGCGCTGGGGGCGGGTGGGAAATGGAGACTCTCACCGGTCGTCAACGGGCGGTGTGCCTGCGAGCGGGCCACGTCTGCGGTCGCACGCGCCGCGCCGGGTCGCGCCCTGCCGCGCAGCGTTTCGTCGTGCTGGGCGAGGACCGGGGTGCTCGCGGCGGACAGAGAGTGGACGGCGGGGAGAGCAGCGCGGCCGAAAGCGTGGAGGGGTCATATTGCGGAGAGACGCGAGGCGCCGGGCCAATGGGGCGGCGAGTTATCTGATATGATGGGGCACGGGGGTTATCTGATAAGATTTAGCCGGGGCTGAGGTCCCACCCGACTCCAGCTCCAGACTCGTCCCCCACGGTGAGTGTCGAACGGGATGCGGAATATTCGCTCGACCCGCCCTTATAACCGTCTCCCTCCTTCCTTCTCGCGGTAGATCGCGCCCCGGCCTTTCCTCTTCTTACTCTACCTTTACCGGCTTAATACGTACTATGGCCTCTGCGTCCTCCGCTCGGAACGCCACCAACGCCCTCAAGACCGTCGCCGTCCTCGGGGCCTCCTATGGCGGCGCCCGCGCCGCCCAACTCCTCGCCAACGGCCTCCCCCAGGACTGGCGCGTCGTCCTCGTCGACCGGAACAGCCACATGAACCACCTCTACGTCCTCCCCCGCTACGCCGTCCTCCCCGGGCACGAGCACAAGGCCTTCATCCCCTACCGCACCGTCTTCGACCTCCCGCCCGCACACGATGCGCCGCCAGACGCTCCGAAGCCCCAGGTGGACCTCGCGCGGCACACGATGCTCCACGCGAGCGTCGTGTCGCTCGGCGCGCACGAGCTCACGCTCGACAGGGCGTTCCCGGAGCACGGGCTCTCCGACGGCGTGCTCCGCTTCGACTACCTCGTCTATGCGCTCGGCAGCCACCTGCCGTCGCCCATCAACCTCTGGGGCGCCGTCGCGGACGAGGTCGAGAAGGACGGGGTCGTGGACATCGTGCGGGGGACGAAGGCGGGCGGGATGGCGTGGCTGAAGAAGTTTCAGGCCCGGGTCGCGCGCGCGTCGAGCGTGCTCGTCGTCGGCGGAGGGGCTCTCGGCATCCGTGAGTGTTTTTATCTGATTACGCCCGCTTCGCCCTCGCCGCTGTGTATCTTTTCCCTGGACGGGTGTTGATGAGGAGAGTACCCGGGCTGCCGGTGTGTGCACGGTGTCAGCGTGCGGACCATCTAGGCGCCCGTGTCCTCCGCCCCTCCGAGATCATCGTTCTAAACGAGGATACCTGCCGTGCCCTGTGCCGCCTTCGCATCCTTCCTTCACTCAATAATAGCGGAATGCTGACGATGAAAACACACAGAATATGCGACCGACATCGCGGAAATTTACCCTGCAACTCAGGTCACCCTACTCCATTCTCGGCACCGCCTCCTCCCACGGTTCGATGAAGACATGCACACAGAAAGTGAGTATCTCCGCCGAGCTTTACACGCCCTTGTCCTCGTCGTTGTCTCCAAATACGGTGTGGTATCGTCGTGCCTCCGGTTCAACTGCAAGGGTGTGTCAGGCACATCGTAGCCGATCTCGATCTGGCTCTACGCCAAAGAAGAAGCTGTCGGCGACAGTGATCGGCGCGTATGACACCGCGCTATGCCAAATGCTTATTCGCTTCTCGACTTGGCCTGCTCGTATATAAAGCGAGCATCGTCGGGGACAGGGTCCTCGTCTTCTGACCCCTTGCCATCACTCCCTGCGCGACCCTGCAGTACGCGCTGGGATCGAGATATCGCATCCTGTCCCGGGCGGAAGACGCATCTCTTGCTTGGCGCGAGATGCAGGAGCCCACATTATACAGCTCCCGAAGTAGCATGCTCACTATGCCCACATAGTTCTCTCCACCATGTCCTCACTCAACGTATGCACCATCCTCGGCGACCGCCTCGACCTCTCCTCGCTGCAAGACAAGAGCACTGGCGCCGAGCGCGTCGTCCGCACACAGAGCGGCCGCGAGATCCGCGCCGAGCTCGTGGTAAGCCCCACCCCACTTTCACTCTCGCGGGAGCGACGCACGCTCACACGGCCTCTCCACAGCTGCTGTGCACGGGCCAGACGCCGAACACGACCCTCCTGGGCGAGTCGTTCCCCGATGTGGTCGTCCAGGACGGCCCGAACAAGGGCATGGCGCGCGTGCGGCGCACGCTGCAGCTCGCCGCACCCCTCGCTGGGTCCCACGAGGAGCCGACACTTCCTGCGGAGGTCTTCGCTGCACCCGAGCCCGCGTCTGAGGCGCCCACGACGCCCGCCGTAGAGCGGGAGCTCGCTGAGCCTTCCTCGTCTCAGGTCGCGGAGGCTTTGGCAGAGGCTGAAGAGGAGGAGCTCGAGGGAGAGGAGGAGGAAGAGCCGGAGCCGATCGAAGAAGACCCGTACACGCGCGTCGCGGCGGAGCACATCTTCGCTATCGGCGATGCCGCCGACGCGTTCGGCGCGGTCAACGCAGGCCACAACGCCTTCTTCCAGGTGCGTTTCTTCTGAACCGCCCAACCGCCCGAAACAGCGATGCTGACCCCGCGGCTTGTAGGGCGAAGTGGCCGCACGTAATATTTTGAAGCTCGTTAAGCGTGCGGAGCACGAGAGCGAGTCCCGCGAACGCCTACTACAGCAACTGCCATTCGCCCCATATGCCCCCCACGCCCCGTCCGCGCCCACAGAGGCCGCTGCGGACGAGGACCTGGAGCTGCAAAAGTACGTCCCCGGCGCGCCCGCGATCAAGGTCTCCCTCGGCCTCGTAAGTCCCCCCACCATCTCCCCCTTGGGAACGCGAACGCTGACGCTGACGGCGGGACACAGACGAAGAGCGTGTACCAGTTCCAGGGCATGATCGGCATCCGGGACAAGGAGCCCGCGGACCTCGACGTGCACCTCATCTGGCGGTACTTTGGGCACAACGTCACGCGCGAGGACCTCGAGGCCGACCCGGACGTCGGCGCTGCGGAGCCGAAGGCCGTCACTGCGTGATCGCGAGCCGTCTCGAGAGTCGAGGCTTGAGGCTGGGTGGGTATGTGTGCGCCGGCCGGGGCTGGAGGGATGGATAGAGTCTGTAGCTAGCTTTGTTGTCTGACAATTTATGGTGCGCTCGCGGCTCTAGATTTTTACATCAGGATGCAATTGCGGGATCAAGCGAGTATAAACACGTAATACAAGAGTACTGTACATATCAGCAGAAAACCCCATTCGCCCGCTGTTCGCGGAGACGTCGTACTAAGCACACGCTGGCCACACGCATAATCAATGAGAACTGCTAAGTACTCACCTTCGACGATAGTCGGCTTCTCATTCTTCCTGCCCACTTGTCCAGCTTTCAAACGAGAGGAGGTCCACGTACTCCGACAGCGCCTGCGTGTACATCTCCCTCAGCTGCCGGGAGAACTGCGGCTGGCGTTGGTCTCCCAGCTTGAAGCATAGCGCCTCGAGCGCCTTCGGGCGCCCGAGCGCGGCCCGCCTGTGTTCGAGGAAATTCAGCACCGTTGGAAGCAGCGCCCCGTCCATCGCAGAGAAGCCCTCGACCCGCAGCGCTCGGAGTTCCGGGAGCACCAAACGAGCCCCCACGGGCGTGTCCGCGGGCGCGGCGTCTGGGTCGAGCCCGGCGAAGACGGGCGCGGCGGAGGGCGAGCCGCCCTTGAATACTATGACGCCATGCGCGCGCAGCCTGCCCTCGCCCCCGCAGACGGCGAGCGAGCGCAGCGCGGCGAAGGGCGCGAGCGCGGCGCGCCAGTTGACGCACCCGCAGGACTCCGCGTCCAGCTGGATGCGCATGGTCTGGAGTGGGGCGTCGCGGCAGACGTCCATGAGGTCGTAGGGGAAGGGGTGCGCTCGCAGGTAGTCGAGAACGTCGGATTGGATCAGCCTGACGACCTTCAGGGAGCCGCGCCCGCTGGGGGTTGGAGGCCCGGAGAGTTTTACGACGTGCCCGCTCTCGGACGTCTCGGTCAGGTCGATGAACGCCTCGGTAGCGCTGGAGAGGATGGGTAGGCCAGTTCTGTCGGCGGGTAGGAGGCTACGGGCACCATCAGCGCTGATCAGCGCTCCGCCAACTCCTGGCCGCATGTAGGCCAGAGCATAGATATGAACAGTTGATGACCGGGGGATGGAGATCACAGAGAGGACGTGTTCGGTGACCGGCGAGTCCCAGTTGCGCAGGCTTAGTGTCTTGAGGTTCGGCAGTATCGCCCGTGCGGTAGGTGTAGGGCGGGGATTGGAGGGGTCATCGCGGTCACGGTGGCACATCATGTGGCTGATACGAAGCTCCTCGATGCTAGTGAGCTCCCGTAGTAGATCGGTGAGCATGTTCAGAGTCATCATTGGCAGGCTGGGAACATCGCCGATTTGCAGAACCTTTAGGCGTCGAAAAGCGGCCGTACGCAACAGGTAGATTCCGCTGACCGAAAGATTGACCAGCTTCGGGAAATGTTCTGGGGTCAACTCCATCTCCGTATCATGGGGGTCACGGTACGTCGTGCTGTCTAATGCAGCGCTAAACAGCTCTAACGCAGGCATAGTTTCCTGCATGAAGCGCTTCAGGTGAGGACCATTCGCGGCCGAGACGGCGCCGAACTTGAGCGTCCGGACCCTGTGGAGGTGCGGGTGGATATGGAACATAACTTTGGGCACCATCGGGGCCACATCGGGAACGACGACGTCGATCTTGAGTTCCTTGGAGCGAGCGAGACAGGTGCGCAGGTAGTTCAGGCTCGACTTCGCGTACAGATAGGTCCATAACATCGGGGTGGTGGTGCCGACGGTGAACCAGTAGCGGCAGACACGCAGGTAACCGAGCGAGGGCTGCGCCGCTCCACCTTCACACCCGAGTTCCGGCTGTGTCGCTTTGAAGATCTCGGCCAGCAGCTCGACGGGGAGGGTGTGGATGGGGACACCTGCGTTGAGGAGAAAATGGACGCTTCGCAGCTCGTTCTCGAGCTCCTGTTTTCGTTTCAACAAAGACGACCGGGCTTCTCCGATAGAGCTGTCTTGAAGAGCTGCGACGGATGCAACAGGTGATAGGCCGTCGTAATATGGACCGCGCCAGCCATCTGCTCTCAACACTTGTGTTTCGGGGGGATCGTCGGAAGCGGAGGCCCCAGCTGTGCTGTAGCAATACACAGCATGTTATGAAGACAAAGACATCTCCCGTCAAATCAAACCTCCTACCGTGTGTCTATAGTCGCGTTCATCATCACCAGCCGAAGTCGACAACCGTTCACCTACCACAACTATGTTAACATCCCGATTGCTATATATATTGGAGTTAAGCGTACTCACAGGATATCTCCCCAATAAACGCGCTTAGGCAGCTCTCGTCGAGTGGCGTGGTGGGGATCAAGAGGTAAGATGTGCTCAGTGGCACACCGGCCGCGTGGTAGCACGTCTCGGACTCGGAAGTTTCCGCCGCTCCGAGCTGGCCGCGACTTAGTACAGGTTGAAATTCCTCCTTCCTCGTGCACTACATTGAGTTGCCAGAGTGCGATACTGAGTACGACGCAAGAGTTGCCGCAGTTCTTCAAGGCGGAATGATGACTGTATTTGTTTTATCCGTGGCGTGAATTGGAAAAACCCTGCGTGATTCATTTCCTGGTAGCGATCCAACCCACAAGCAGTACGACAACAGTGCTCGACGCCCATGCGCGCGCGCCCCGCGCCAGGGGTGCCCCCAACGCAGACTCTGGCCTGTCCCGCAACGCCGCGAGAAACGGCGCACTGGACAGCATGCCGACCTCAACAGATTGCGTGAGGTTGGTATTATCATACATCTCAAGCACAGGCGGCGCGGGGGACTTGATGTGCGGTGGTGGGGCATCGAGGTGCGCTGGCGGGGGCAGGAGGACTTCGGCTTGCGCGACGCCACCGAAGAAGTCGGTGACGAGCGTGTTGCGAAGTGAACGGGGGAAGAGGTCCTCGCGCACGCCGGGGTGTGAATTGATCTTGACCGGGTCGTAGGTATCGAACTGTGCGGCAAAGTCCAGGGCAGATTAATAACTACGACGGTATGATGGGTATGTGTGGGACGTACGAGATCCTGCATTGTCGCCTGGCTCGTCTTGTTGATGCCTTCCATGTACTCGAGGATGTAATGCGTGTAGGTGTCGATGACCGCTACGCCGATATCCCGGTCATTCTCGTACTGCAAGGGACTAATCAGTGGGATTGGACGGACGGCGCACGCACACACCGTACCGAATACGAGTTTTCGTGAATAACGGACGAGCCGGTCGCGAGTACGTTCGGGGAATAGAACTTAGAGTACATCGTGTTCGCCTGACACGTGTCAATCATGAAGAACAGCTCGTTATACCTGTCGCAGCACGATGATGATGATGAGCGGAGCGGCGGACATGGGCGAATGGGAGTGCCCATACCGTTTCTTCTCCCACATCTGCGCGACGGCGTCCGCAATGTCGAACGCGCTGATCTCTTCGTTGTCCTGGAATTTGAGGAACTCGTTACCGCCGTGCCCGGTCATGTAGATGAACACATTCGAGCGGTCGTCTGTGAGCAGCCGTTTCGAGCGGGGCACCGATGGATCCACGCGCCCTACGGAGACCGAGCGGTTACTTCATACACGCACGCTGACAGCAGGAACACATGAAGGTGGCGTACCTGTGAGGACACGGAGGAAGTTCTCGACGGTGACCTCGTACCCGCGGTAGTCGACCTCGATGTTGTCGCCATACAGGTCGAGTGTCTTCGCGGAGCTCGAGTACACGCACCCGGGGAACTTGTTGCGCGCGTTGCACGCCGCGTCGTCCGCGAGCATGAGGATGATGTTCGAGTCCGGGATCCCCAGCCGCTTTACCGTGCGGTACCTGCAGGCCACGCCCAGCTCAATCCTCCACCCTTCCCGCTCTCTCGTGATAGACACGACTCACATTCCGAGCGCGTTGGACATGTGCTGTGGGCGCGTTCAGGGCGGGGTCGCACACGGAGCGGGGGCGCGACGCACTCTGTAGTTGAACCAGTACCGCGACGCGCAGACCAGCACGGCCCAGTTGTTGGTGTGCGAGGAGCCATGTCGTTCAAAGAACTCAGTGACAGGGGCGTCCTGCGCAGCTACGAGGAAGACGAGACACAAGACCGAGAGGACTAATCTGGAGAAGAGCAGGCCGAGCATGACGCTCTTCCCAGCCCGGTTGCGGAGATATTACAGAGTAAGGGCCACTCGTCAGGCTTGGGGAGTGCTCAGATTATGCCGCCAGGCTCGTTATTCGTAGCAGTGCGGTAGCCAAGCCGTAGCGGGACAGTCTGCGAGAGATGGTGATGGGAGAGCCGAAGTGGCTGCGAGCACGTCGTACTAGGCGGCGGTCCTCAGCGCTTCCAAGGAGCGCCCATTACATGACGGCGCCCTACTTCAAGCCGTCATGTTACATGTACAGTTTACAAGTTGAGGGGGGTCATACGTTATATGAGAAGGCTTCTATGTACGTTACACTGGGAGGCAAAAGATAGACCAAAGGCACACGAAGCGACTCATACTATGGTGCCTATGCGGCAAAGCGTACTGCATTTCGGTGGCATGCACTCGCAGACACGCACAGCGATATAGAGCGCGCAGATGCGCATGGGTCGTCACCGAAACAGAGGGGTGGAGATGTACGAGAATATGTAGTGCGCCAGAAGCTCACGGTGCACTTGCAGCCTACATATTGAGCCAAGGGTGGGAGAGCAGCTCGCCGCACGTCGCGCGCTCAGCGGGTTCCAAAGCGAAGGTGCGCTCCAGGAAGTCGATGAAGGCAGCCGCGTCCGGCGCGTTCCGCTTGCGGATAAGATTTGCATAGGACGCCGTTCCCTCGACAGCAATCTTCAAGGTGCCTGTGTAGCAGTGATGAGTACGTGTCGGACCAGCCAACACGGGGACTCGGAGGAGGGGGTGTATGAATGCTGACCGTCTGGTTTAAAGAACATGTCCCGATGCTTTGCACGCTGCACAAGCTGGGGCGGATACTGTCCAAAGGCAATAGCGTGCACAGTCGGCACGGCCAGATCACTAATGGTCGGTGCGAAGAGGGAACGGCCCATGTACAGCTCGTACAGCTATCTCGTGTGAGCACGGTGGCGATCGACGGTGGGCCAAAGAATGCACATACCGTACATCCCAGACTCCAGACGTCGGCGGGTTTGCCCCAGCCAGAACCGAGGGCAACCTCCGGGGCGCGCATTGCTGGGGTTTGAATTATCTCTGTGAAATGTTCGGAGACTTTGTCCGCCCAGCAGGCTGTCAAAGGGCATAATGGTTTCAGCCTGGGGAATGACAAGGATCCCAGAGCACGTACCGACCCCTACGTCGCCAATCTGGGCCTGAACTGCCCGCCACGACTCGACGGACTCCGGCTTCTGGGCCCAGTCAGACATGGGATATGGGATGGGCGTGCTGCGGACGCGAGTGACTACGGCACCGTTCGGGCCCTTGGCGTCTGAAGTCTCAACGTCAGCGTCAAGGCCCACGTTGGCGAAGAACGATGACTGGTCGCCCGGTGGAGCGAGTAGGACATTGGCAGGTTTGATGTCTACCAATGTACGCGTCAGAACGATCAAGCCTGCCTCTGTACAGCAACTGCTTTACCTGTGTGTATGATGTTGCATTCATCGTGGAGGTATCGCAAGCCCAAGATAATTTGACGAGCGAAGCACCTGACTGCGGGCAATGGCATGAGGCGATGCCTCCAACGCAGGGAAAACACGCGCAGATCCTCTAGCAATGGGTCCATGACCAGGCAGAGGTGACGCCCGGAGAGACCATCTTGATAGAAATGGTCTTTAAGATGGACAACATGCGCATATCCAGGATGCTGCGGGGATTCGATATGCATTTTCTGCAGGAAATCAAGCTCGTGAAGCTTGCTCTGGGCTTCTGTAGCGACTCCTGCAGCGCTGGCGCTAAGTATGTTTGTTTGCAGTGAGGCAATAGATAAAGTAGCGACGTACTGGTCATAACTTTGAGCGCATGGAAGGTCGGGTATTCGTGCCAGTGGCTGACGTTCCCAGCAAAAGTGAATGATACGTTCAACAGTGGTTGAAGAATGCGCACCGTTGGTCCTTGGCAAGCCACACGGTCGAGTACACACCCCATCCTAACTTTTGGACGATGGTGTAGTGTCCTCCAAGTACATCCCCAAGCTTGAGTGGGTAGTACCCGTTCACGGAAGGGTCATAGTCTGCTATGAGTTCCTCGCTGTCTTCCCAACGTTGGATCGAGGAGCTCTGTGGCGACTGAGGAGGCGCCTGCGAAGTAGCAGAAAGAGAAAATCGGCGAACGCTAGGCAAGTTCTTGAAGAATTGCTTCATCTGTAAGGAGAGTAGACGAGGGGATCGTATGAAGGGGTGCATGGCCAAACCGACCCGTATTAAAGCTAGACAGCGAGAGACCAGCACAATTGTTCAAGCTCAAGCTAGAAAGCTGAGCTCGAGGCTATATCGAAGCACACTGCTCGTCCTCCACACCTCCAAGAGGGCGTGAAAGGTCTGCCTGTGGGAGACTGCTGCAGCTGCAGAGCGACACGGACGTTCAACTTGAAGCTGTGGTCCAATAAGCGCCCATGGTGGCGAACTTGCTCTTCCAGAGCGCTAACCATATCTGGAGCTACTTGCAACGTGAACCGGTAGTTTGAAGACATCGAGACAGGCCAAAATGCGAGGAGAATATAATGGATTGGGGGAATCATGCATGAGCGTACACACGAGACTATCATACGGTTGTACCCTTCCAAGAGGGCCCAAAGTGTACGGCGCAAGGTGCTAACATACGACAAGACAGAACAATACAAAGATGCGACGTGAATGCGGGGGACTGAAGTGTGAGCGAGGGAGACAGAGAGGCGTGGGACGGAGACAGGGACAGAGACAGAGACACAGGACTGTACGAGCGAGCGAAGGATAAGAGGAAACATAGCAGGAGATGGTGGTAATACATGCGGAGCGAAATCAGGGCGATATACGGGGCGCAGCGCGGGCGGGGACAGGTATCATCAGGATGCAGGTGTGCGGGGGTGCGGCGAGCCGAGTCATCGGAACTCGCGCAGGAGGGCCTGCATGGGGAACGACGAGCGGTGCTGCACCCGGTTCCGCGCCAACGCCATCTTCCTCTCGCCCGCGAGCTTGTTGATGGAGTTCATGAGATCGCTGCGACGCAGTGGCTCTGCGAGGGGAAGGGCGGTCAGTTACCAGAAGCAACGACTCGTGTGCGATAGCAGTACGTACTCGTGATGTGGTCGTCCATGCCTGCTTGCAAGCAGCGCTCACGATCACCGATCACTAGAAGAGAGGAAGGTCAGCATGAGGCAGCATGCCAAGCTGGCTTTGGTTACTCACTTGCGTGCGCCGTTAGTGCGATGATGGGTGTGGGCTCTAGACCGTGAGTCTGCTCGTACGTGCGAATGAGCTCCGTGGCCTCCATACCACCCATGAACGGCATAGACACATCCATCTGCCCAGCTCTCGTTAGCAAGCACTTCATTTGTCGACATCCAAAGCACTTACGAGGATGACATCGAACGGCCTATTCCTCTGGACTCGTGCCTTGAACGCATCGACCGCCAGCTGGCCGTTCTCGGCGATCTCGACCTGGTGACCGTACTTCTCGAGGATCTTCACCGCGAGCTTCTGGTTGACCAGGTTGTCCTCGGCGATCAGGATGTCGTACGGCACGTCGTTCTCCGCCACGACTGGCGTGACGGTGTTCGACTCGAGAGCGGATATGAGCGCAGACGCGAGGTCCTGCTCGGACACGGGGGTGGTGATTTGAGAGGAGATACCGTTGTCGAGACACCATTTGACTGTAGCACTGTTCAACATCTGGATTTGATGCGCGAACGTAAGCCACTCACGGTTCAGACGGGGGCTCGATTCCTATTATGTGAGAAGTGTGATCAGATGGACGGCCGAAACGGAGAGTTAGAAAGACGTACGGGGGACAACAAGACAATGGGTATATAACGCAAGTGCTCATGCTCGCGCAGACTCTCGGTCTAACATCCGTATATGAGCATAGGACGATGAAAGAAGAGGATAGAAAAGACGTACGACGAGCAGAGAGTCCACGACGATGGTATCTATGTGTGGGCATGTCGTCTTGTCCGCGACCTCCGCGACGCTGTGCACGACATACGGCCTCAAGCCGAGCTCGAGGACGCGCTGCACGACGCCGGTGCGGTCGAAGAGGGTATCCACGAACAGAATGCTACGCTTCTGGAACGGCGACATCTTCGTGAGCGTCGCCTCCATCGACAGCGGGCTGATTTGCGAGGTGATGGTGAAGAAGAACTTGGACCCGTTCGCGACTTCGGACTCGACCCACATATTACCCATCATGAGCGTGACGAGACGCTTCGAGATGGATAACCCGAGACCAGTACCACCGTACTCCTGGAAGTCGACGAGGCGCTGATCAGCTCACCGGATCTCCCAGATGAAAAGGATAACGGCATACCCTAGTTGTGGAGCCGTCTGCCTGACAGAAGGTGTCGAAGATCATGGTGAGCTTGTCCTTGGCGATACCGATACCCGTGTCGGATACGCAGAACTCCAGAGTGACGTGCATGTCGTCCTTCGCTAGTAGTCGACAGCTGAGGGCGACGTGACCCTTGCGGGAGACCTTCGATGGAGTGAACTTGATGGCATTGCCGACCAAGTTGGTGATAACCTGGCGCAGGCGCAGCGAGTCACCGATGAGCTGATCGGGAATATCGGGATCGACGTCGTAGGTGAGGTCGAGCTGGTTCTGAGAGGCCCGCACGACTAACGTCTTGAGAATACCGAAGACGGTCTGTCGGATGGAGTAGGACACCTGTTCCATCGTCATCCGTCCAGCTTCGACTGCAGAGAGGTCAGATAATGCCTCGTCATAGTCAGATATGGTCTTACTCTTCGAGATATCCAAGATGTCGTCGATGATCAATAATAAGGAGCGGGCCAAGCTGTGGACTAAGAGCAGGTTCTCGCGCTGCGACCTGTTCAGGTCGCTGTCGAGCGTGAGCTCCGTCATACCGATGATACCGTTCATCGGCGTCCTGCAACGTTATAAGCTCGCTGTTTCCATGCATGTCGGGCTCCACGTACCTGATCTCGTGAGACATGTTCGCCAAGAACTCCGACTTGCTACGGTTGGCCAACTCGGCAGCCTCCCTCGCCGCGGTGTTCTTCTGGATACTGTCGCGCAAGTTGGACACCATCTGGTTGATCTGGGTCTTCAACGAGTCCATCTCTCCGCTTGCCTCGACCGTGATGAATCGACTGAAGTCACCGTCCATGGCTGCCGCTGAGATCTGCGCGAAACCTCTGACTTGTGTCGTCAAATTGCTTGCCATCGTGTTCACGGACATGCTGCAGGGACGGTGTCAGCGCAGCCCGCTTCTGTGACGTAGTGATCGACGTACGTGATTTCCTGCCAAATACCCTCGACGTTGCCGACCTCGGCCTGGCCCCCGAGCTTTCCTTCGGTACCGACTTCGCGCGCGACCTTCTTCACCTCGGCAGCGAAGATGGCCAACTGGTCAATCATGCTGTTGATCGTGTTGACGAGATCGAGGATCTCTCCAGAGACCGGGACGCCGGTGACCTTCTGCGTCAAATCGCCCTTCGCTACCGCACGCTGGAACGTCCCAAAACGGATGAGCAAAGGACATGATCGTGCAGCGAGAGCAGCTTACCGTGGCCTGCGCGATGGTTCGCACTTGTAAGGTCAACTACGGCGAAGCACGATTAGCAACACGTTATGTATGCCACCTGTGGCACATACGTTGGACGCCATCACGTTGACATTGTCCGTCAAGTCCTGTGGGGAACCTAAGTCAGCCAGTATCCCGGTAGCATCGCGCATATACTCTTACCTTCCAGGTACCGCCGACGTTGTTAACCTGCGCCTGGCCGCCCAACAGACCTTCCGTTCCGACTTCCTTCGCGACACGCGTCACCTCGTCGGCGAACAGGCTCAAACTCTCCGTCATGCCGTTGACGGTCTCCTTCAAGTCCAGCATCTCTCCGCGGACGTCGACGGTGATGCGCTTGGTCAAGTCACCGCCAGCGACGGCCTTCGTCACCTCCGCGATCGATCGCACCTGGTTCGTCAAGTTCATGGCCATCAAGTTGACATTGTCCGTCAAGCCCTACGGACAAGAATGATCGTCAGTCTCGTAAATGACTGCCCAGATGCACTGATACGCACCTTCCAGACCCCTTGGACATCCGGGACGGAGGCTTGGCCACCCATGATACCCTCGGTTCCGACCTCCAAGGATACACGTGTGACTTCGCTAGCAAGAGTGGAGAGACGGGCCACCATCTGGTTGACGGTCGTCTTAAGGTCCAGCATCTCACCCTGCACGTCGACGTTGACGGTCCGGCTCAAGTCTCCGTTCGCGACGGCCTTGGTGACCTCGGAGATAGACCGCACTTGATCCGTCAAATTGGTGGCCATTTTCTGTGGGCGTTTCGTCACGATAAACGCCTAGGCCCTCTCAAAATCAAAGGGGATCTACGCACGTTGACGTTCCTGGTCAAGTCGGCCCAGGTACCCTGCACGCCCTCGACTCGCGCCTGGCCTCCCAAGATACCCTGCGTTCCGACCTCCAATGCGACACGTGTGACCTCGGATGCGAAGGCGCTCAACTGGTCCACCATGGAGTTGACCGTCCGTTTCAAGGTGAGCATCTCGCCCTCGACCTCTATGTCGATCTTCTGCGTCAAGTCTCCGCGAGCGACAGCAGTTGTGACTTTGGCGATGGACCGCACTTGATCTGTCAAACTTGAACACATTCGATTGACCTACAGCGGAGTCGTATCAGTAGCGATCACGGAAGATCTGCGACCGCACTCACGTTTCGAGTCAACTCTAACCATACTCCCTCGACGTCCGGTACGTGCGCTTGACCTCCCAATTGACCTTTAGAACCGACTTCCATAGTGACCCGTGTGACTTCTGCCGCTAACGCTCTTAGTCTGACGACCATTCCGTTGACTGTATTCTTTAGTTCCAGTATTTCTCCGCGTGCGTCGACTTCGATTTGTTTCGACAAATCTCCCAATGCGACAGCTTTCGTGACCTTTGCGATTGACCGTACCTGGTTCGTCAAGTTTGCCGCCAATTTGTTGACAACGCCCGTGAGTTCCCGCCATGTGCCTTCGACGTCGAGTACCAGTGCCTGACCGCCCAATTTGCTGCGACGGATGTGAGCTTACGGGAGATCAAGAACGGGAAGTCGGCTACGTACCCTTCCGTTCCGACTTCCTGACTGACCCGAGTGACTTCCTTTGCGAATTGACCAAGTTTGTCGACCTGTGCAAGGCGGATCAGCGCGCGCTCCATAAGCGAAAGCTAATCAGCACACCATAGCGTTGATGACGTCTTTGAGCTGGATCATAACCACACCCTGCACCGGCACGGTGATCTTCTGAGACAAATCGCCGCGAGCGACAGCGTTGCAAACGCGCGCGACGTCCTGGACCTGGGTCTTGAGTAGTTTGAGTTCGTCCACGGCGCTCATGCCGCTTTCGAACGCTGCCGCTGCGAGGGGACCGGGGGGTACGACGAGGGGGGAGGTGACGTCGCCCGAAGACATGTTCACAATCTTCGAGATGGTCGCGGTGTCCGTGATAATTCTGCCACAGCCGGGGCACGACACATGGTCGGCCTGGACGGAGGGGGGTGCCGAAGAGACGTTTGCCGGGTTGCTGCCAGGGCGGCGGACGTGGTCCAGAGGGTTCACTACGCCGTCCAAGTTAATAGTCATGCCGTTGGGGGTGCGTCCGTGAGGAGCAGAGGCCGGGTGCGGGGTGGGCTCGCTGACGTCGCTCGAGCTGTCGGACATCTCGACGTCCTTGACGCTTCCATCGTCGAAGCTCTCGACGGAGCTGGTGGGGGTGAAGAAGGGGGAAGTCGACGAACCGTTCGGGTAGCTGCTCGTCTCCGCGCAGGTGCTGTCGCTGTGAGACGAGCCGGAGGTGGACATAGGAGGGCTGTCTCCGACGCTCCGCCGTTTCTTCGACTCTGGCCCGCAGGAGTCGGCGGCGCGAATCGAGTTCAAGGCCTCCTCTGCGGTGTACATCCGGCGAGCCATCGCGCTCAGAGAGCGCATGATGCTCTCGATCTGCCAATCGCTCGGACCGTCATATTTCGGAATGGGCGTCGGGAGCGAGGGGCCGAGCTCGTAGACGGATAAGAGAGCGACCAGATGGGTGAAAAACGGATGTTGGGGTGGTGTTGTAGCCATCGTCGCGGGCTGCGACGACGACGGGGATGAGGAGGGTGGAGGGAGGGGTGGGAGGAGGGGGAAGGAGCCAAAGTTGGTGGATGATTATTATTCTCATTTCTCATAAAGTTCGCACGGTCCGCGCACGCTTTGGGACATGATTGCACCGTTTCAATTTACATCCCCTTCACTCATACACTCCTAGTTGCTTCCCGCTCAGCTAGAAATCGACTACGTCGTCTCCATACATTTAATTCCACATCACCGTTGGAACATTTACGCCAGCGTGAGGTTGAATCTCATGCATCCTGTCCCGGACGGAGATGGGACCCCGGTCACTGCTCCAGTAACAGAATACCGCCGAACGATGCCGTACCGCTGCAAAGCGATGCAGACGCATGCACAACAAAAAACCGGACGACCTGTTCCATTTTAGCGGCGAGTTCAATATGCGAAACCATGCCGGATGATACTGTAGGTCGGTAGAACGTACGCTTAGATACACGATTGATCGCCAGTGGCAATCGACGCTCAATCCTCATGTTTTGTGAACAACCCTCAAGTACTACACCAGTACTACACCGGAAGGACGATACGCAAAAGTTGAGCCTTCGACAGACGAGCAGAACCGACAAAACTCATGTTCTATGTTCCACCAACGTTGTAAGAGTAGGTGCGATTGTCGTATTAGAGGGTGTTGAAGATGGGCTCGTAAATCAACTCTACTTCTGCGGAAGACAGTCGTTCCTTCATAAGAATTAGTACTGGTCGTTGCTGGGCGATGTACAAGCGCTAGCCCTCAGGAACATTGAACTTTAAAGTCTTCCAGAGTTTCAAGGGAGCACGCACCGGGCATGAACAAGACACGAGGAACTTCGCGATGATCATTCGCTTGCACCGGGCATATGTAGGTGTACCTCAAGATTACCCAATACGGAGATGGTGAAGCTCCGTCGCATAATATGCGCTCACGATACGCGAGGACTTCCAGTCCCAGCTCAACTTGTACACCATCTGCCTGTAAGCGTATCGTTCAGCCAAAACACACATACGCTGACGGTAACAGCTATAACACCTACCGAAGGGAACTGTACACAACAAATGTCGTGGTTGGTACTTGTCATCGCCCGCCGCCACGCGCGTTGACATCCGGCTTTTGAGCGGCACTGTCGTGCTAAACACGGTTTTCGGGGTCATCATCCTCGGAACGGATGCTCCGCAACTTAGCACGGAGAGATCAGGATTGGCCGAGACGGGCGCGCCCATCTCGGTTCTCACAGGTCAGCCTGGGTCAGCAGGCTTGCCGAAGGAGTGGATAGCCCCGCGGCAGGGCACGATGCATACAAAGCTGGCGCGTCGAGCTGGACTTTGCGCCGAGAGCCTGATACTTGGACGAGCGAGGATGCGCGTGGTGGGAAATCGACGGGCTGGACGAGGGGATCTGCGAGCGATGGGAGGGGGAAAGACATCTTGGCTGCCGTGTGTGGAACGGAGGTGCGGCTGGATCTCTTCGCCGCTGGCAGCTCGGCCGCTCGTGTCGTCCACATGTCGCGCCCGCAGTCCTGGAAGACGAACACGAGGAAACGGCCTTTCGAGAGGAAGCGCGGCTTTCCGCGAAGTTGGGAGAGATGTAGTCCCACTCGGCTCACATACCTGGGTCGTAGGTGTAGGGAGAGTTTCAGGATTCTCACATCCTGTCCTGCAAGGGCGGGGGAATACGGGGTGGCAGAACTTCCTCCGCTTCGCAAGCCCGTATAGAACGCTGAAGGAGGGCGCAAGGAGCGCATGCGATCACGGATGAGTCAAAATTAAGCTTACTGTCGAATACAACTCTTCGATGGCATCCCATCAGCACGCGACCTGTGAGAGAGGATCACAAGGCACGGTGGAACATCTAGTGAGTTGTAGTGGGTCAACTCTCTACAACGTGAGCTCGCAGATAACGGGATTTGGGTTCACTTACTATCGAATGGGCTTCAAACTGCGGCCATTCACTCTGTAGAGTGATCGGATACTCGTTTCTCCGTCAGCTGGCTTGCCCCATCTCATCCGAGAGACTCGTGATGCCGCTGTTGCGTCACTGTAATGTTGGCGGCGGCGCGTGTAAGAGAAAACGGCGAGGGAGCTAGCTATAGAGCTGGCTTGAGTTTCAACCTCGCTGTGATGGATCCGACGCACTCTCCATATGTCCTGCCCCTGCCTCTCTGGTGCTCTGGCGGTGGCCCTGTTCTGTCGAGCTTGATGATACTAGTCGCAGCTGTGCACTGATCAGCTCGAAAAAGCAAGCAACAAACATGCAGAGGCGAACCAGGTGGCACGAGCGATACGTGCAAAAAAACTCTTCAGGTGTGCTGGCGGCTTGCAAGTTGGTTTCTACCATAGGTTGTCGAGGAAATCGATTTTCCCAAACCAAGGTGAGAGTGACAGCGGCGTACGGTAGATGCAGCTGGAATCTTCGAACTTGATGGTCGAACGACAACGTATTCGTGTGTTCCTCGAAACGACGACTGTCGAGCTGTCGGCCTGGGAAAACAACCCAACCACGCCCTCCACCTGCAGCTGCTGGGTCGACATGTGCCAGATTGGTCAGATTGAAGAGGAGAAGAGAAGCGTCTACTCGCCGCGAAACCCATGCCGGCTGGCGGCTGGGTGCGGAAAGCCTGCCTGAGACACGCGTGGACGCAAGGAGAGCGGTTTTGCAGTGCGCTCCTTCTCCCTGCTATCCCTTTTTCGGGTGCGTTAACCCTCTTGAAAGCCGCCTGTGCCGTGATTCCTCGAGGTATGAGTTGTCGCGGGGCGTCTGTATGACGCCGCCGAATACCATACACATTGACGGGGCCATCGGGAACTGCGGGATCACTGGTGAGTCGCCTCGCATTTTCAGCGGATGTTTCGATGCTTACCTCGGATGAGGAGAAGGAGCGCACGCGTTCGTCTACCAGCCGTCGACTGACATGCCGCTGGTCATCGGACAGCATACTTGACCTTGACGGTCTGGTGGCAAGCCATGCGCCCGACCCCACTCCACCTTCCCGACATCCCCGCTCACTTCCTGGATGGACGTGGAAGGGAGCTTTCCAGACGAAAACAGCGAGGATGCTGACGTGCACAGTCCATTGCAGCGGAGACTGCGGGGCGTGCGAGCGTTCATTTGAGGCGCGAGTATCATGCCGCCTCGGCGTGCCGTCGCGACGCTGCTCTTCGAACGCCACAATGCCTCTGGAGAAGCTTCCTTCGCTATTTCCGGCGACCCACCTGCAATTGCCAGCGACGACATACAGCGCCGACATACGCCGACAAATGAACCCTGATTCTGCACGGGAGAGTTGGTGGAGTACGAAGCCTAACAGCGTGGAAGGAGAATCCGGTACGTGGTCATACGTTGCTACCTTTAGAGCTCACCTCTCACTTCGATGCTCTTCGTCCGCTTCGTCGATGTTGTCCACAGGTAAATCGTACGTAGTCAGGCGTTAGGAAGCAAGGCGTAAGTCCGATGTTGCGCTGCGCTGCGTGAGCATGGGACCGACGACTCCTCCGCGGACGAGGAGGGCGCGCAGGGAGCAATGCGGGTGTAGACACGCGAGGAGCTGGAGGAACATCGCGCGGCAGGGGTCCGGCAACGGCCCCGGACACTCCCCGGCTCCACGATCGCCTTGTGTCGGGCTTATCAGCTGGAGTCGCGGACCGATGATGGTTGGGCGAGAACGCAATTCGCCAGCGTTGCTGAGGAAGAGAGAAATTTTCAAATGAGCAAGGCGCGACAACGCAACCAGGTCCGCAAGCATGGCGAACAGGATTTGCAACATCCGCCCCCTGTCCGCAGTGCCCAGAACGGGGGAGCGCGCGGCGGGCGCGAAAATGCGCGGGCGGACCAGGCGGGCATATACCCGATTAGGGGTGCGGGGCGGGGAGTACTATCGGGCCGGCGATGAGGTCGGGGCGGGGTCTTTCGAAATGGACTGACGTCAAAGAGAGGCCTGTCGGGTTCTCGCCTTCGCGCGCCGCTGCCGAGGGCAATCAAGCTTGGGCGCACCGGCAAATTTACCTTCCTGGACCAATCGAGGGCCGCTTCTCGAAATGGCTCGGAGTCTGCATCGCTCTCCTCAGCCGTCTTCGTGGGTCTGGCGTATTTACTCCGACCCGCTCCTCCGCAGCAAGCTCACACATAACGCTGTCGCCGGCCAATCCCATCCTGACCACGAACCGTTGCTTCCCTACACATCAAGGCGTCCAGACGACATCCCAGTCCCATCTTCCTTTGAGACCGTGCGCATCCTTCTTCCTCGCGTTTAGCCTCGAATCAGTTTCAGACCCGAAGTATTTCACGCCCTGGTGAGTCCGGACTGCTCTCGGTAGCTCCCCCCGACTGCTGCTCACAGTCATGCCCTCTCCGCCGCATCATGTTCCGTCCATAGCGAGCATCCTCCTTTCTCCTACCCCTTCCTCGTCAAATGATTCAGCCATGGACTCTCCTCCACACATGAACCCCTCCGATCCCACCGCCCCCGCCGACAACAGGCCGCCCGGGGGCACGCGCCGCTCCGGCCACAAGACACCTCGCAAGGTCCAATGGGTATTCGACGAGACCGACGGCTCCCCATCGTCGAGGGCATTGGACGAACACGCCTTGGATGTACGTTTCTTTTGCACCTTCTTTGTTTCATCGCTATAATGGTTGTCATTGTAGCCCGACGCTTTTGAGACGCTCGCCTCAGCTCTAGAACGCCACCGGTCCTCTTCGATGTCTGAAGGCAACAGCAGCCGCCCCATGATCGTGACAGCCGCGCCTACAGCTATTTCGCCGGAGCCATCACTCCCTACCTCCCCAGAACTGAGCCCTCAACCTACTCCACACGAGGTTCCTGGTGAGAACTTCATCGACCGACACGAAACAGCCGGTCTTCCCGGGGTCGACATCGAGGAGTACTCGCAAGAACAGGCCAAGAAGGTAGTGCGCGCACACAAGTACGGGTTCCTAAGAGGCCTCGGTGGCGGCGGCAAGCGCCACAAACGTTCCCGGTCGCAAGAGCCACTCGCCAACTCGGAGCGCCGCGGCAGGCAGACACGCAAGGGCTTCTTCACCGAGCGCCACACACCCGGAGGCGACGTGGAGAAGAGCGCGGAGGTGCGCAACGAGAACAAAAGGGACGCGCCCAAGGGTGTCCTGTCGACGTTGCTCTCGTTCTACGAGCCCTCAAACGGCTTCCAGTCGGGGATGTCGACACCCGGACGCTCCTCGCTGGACGAGTCGCGCCCCTCGTCCGTGTACAGCGGGAAGACGGCGAATCTCACCGAGAGCGGGTCGACGACGTCCTCGGCGGTGCTGATGCCTCCCCCGCCCGTCCCGAACCGCGCGGAGGGCAGTGGTTACGCACCTTCCATGCCGAACCCTTCGACCAACTCCCTCCGACCGCCGTCGCACCCCTGGACACGCACGCTGGGGCTTCCTGATGCCCGGCCTTCCGCTGCACGGAGCGGAGCAGGGGTGTTCGGCCCTCTGATAGCGAGTGCTGGGAACATCGCAGGCGTGGCCGCGCCAGCGCCCGCCACTGTCGCACCCAACTGCAAGCGTCCTGGTTATCATCTCTCTCGGTACGTGATAGGATCTGCAATTTTTACGTGCTTTGATTAACAATAGCACAGCTATTCGCTCGAGAGCAGCCTGCCCAAGGCTTCCCAGAGCCAGCGCTCGTTGACGCTGTCGCGCTCACGCAGCATGCATTTTGATCCGCAGAGCCGGTCGCCTACGCTGCTATCGGTACCGCCTTCTCCCGCCGACGAGTCTCCGCCGCTCTTGCATCCTTCGAACGGTAGCCCCGGTCATGGGCGACAAAAATGGACGGGCGTCCTCAAGGATCTCCCAAAGTGGGTGCCCAGTCGGGCGGCGACGCCGAGCACCGCTCCTGGCACACCAGCGACGGACCTCGGGACGGACGAGTGGCTGAGTGAGAAGGAGTTCAGCGGCGCTGAAGACAGGAAAAGAGAGAAGCGACAGAAGCGCAAGAAGGCGGAGATTTGGGTGCGTGCCTTTTACTTACGACACATCACCGCGCGCTCGACCGGACGTTGCTCACCGACCGCGGCTGTCCCCAGATAACGCGCCACGTTGCGGAAATCGTGGCGAGGCAGGAATTCATCTTGAAGCTCGCGCGCGCGATGATGATGTTCGGCGGGCCGACGCACCGGCTGCAGGCGCAGATCCAGGCGACAGGGAAGGTGCTCGACACCCCGCTGTCGTGCATGTACCTGCCGGACATGATGCTCATCTCGTTCGAGGACCCGTCCACGAGCACCAGTAGCATCAAGTTCATTCGGCAGGGCAGCTCGCTAGATATAGGAAAGCTGCAAGAGGCGCACAAGCTGTACTGGACGGTATGTCCCGTGCCGCGTCCAGTTGTGCCGCGACCGCCACTAATAATCATCGTCCTTGTAGGTCATCCACGACGAAATATCCGTGAAGGATGCGTCGAGCGAGCTCGACAAGCTCATGTTGCGGAAGCCGATTTACAAGAACTGGCAAATTATTCTCATCGGTGGTGCTTGCTCAGCCTCAATCTGCAGTGTCAGCTTCAACGGCTCTTTCATCGACTCGCTCATGTCCTTCCCCCTCGGCTGTCTCCTCATCGTCATTCAACTGTTTGCTGGTCGTAACGAACTGTACTCCAACGTCTTCGAGTACGTTTGTTCGTTCTCGCAAGCTGTGAGCCTGAAGCTAACACAACACCTCTAGAATCACCGTCGCTACCATATTCAGCTTTATAGCTGCTGCTCTCTCGTCTTCCAGATACTTCTGCTACTCCGCTATTGCTTCCAGTTCTGTTGTTCTCATTCTACCCGTGAGTCTCGCACCAGCTATTCGTATATCGCATCCACTTATCTGATAATTTCAGGGTTTCATCGTCCTTTGCGGCAGTCTCGAACTCTCATCGCGCAACATTGTTTCCGGCGCTGTTCGAGTCTGTTTTTCTTGCATATATTCGCTGTTCCTCGGCTTCGGTCTTGCTATAGGCGCCACCGCCTACTCCAAGATATCGCACCACAGCCTTGCTGGTTCTGACGACCTTACGTGCGGCTTGAGCCATGACCCCGACGGGCCCTGGTGGCAACGAACTCCTTCATTGTGGTGGGGTAGGTTACACGGTTGCTTTTGTTTCGAACTTGCGCTCACTCCATCTCGCCACAGCCTTCTTGACGGTGCCGCTGTACTCCTTGTTCCTGAGTCTGAGGAACTACGCGCCGTGGAAACATCGCGAACTGGTGCGTCCCACACACGACTCCACATTAGAGAGCGTTCCTGACCGTCGCTTGCAGTACTTGTTGGTGGCAATCTCGTGCATTGGTTGGGTCACCAACCACTTCACCGGCACGCGCTTCCGCAACCAAAGCGACATCTCGGCTGCCGCCGGAGCACTTGCGGTCGGCTTCGTCGCGAACCTCTATGGCCGATTCTTCAACGGGAACGCTTTCGTCATCATGGTGCGTCGGGCCCGAGTCCCTTGTTGCCTTACAGCGAAGCTTAACGCAAATTTTCACTCGCGCAGATCACTGGCATCCTATTCCAGCTGCCTTCCGGACTGGCGAACGGCGGTCTGTTCACCTTCGTGCAGCAGCAGGAGTCCGGCTCGTCGTCGAACGAAGCTTATCTGTCAGGCTTCCAGACAGCGCTGCAGCTCATCTCGGTCGCGATCGGCCTCACCGTTGGGCTCGGCATCTCGCTCGTGCTCGTCCATCCTATTCCTTCGCGGCGGCGCGGCACGGGCATGTTTACGCTATAAGGCCCAGAGACGGTCCGGTCATACACCCATCAAAAGCTTTTCTTCTTGTACGTACCAAGTCTTCCTCATTCCGCGGGCCTGTCACCCCGCGGCACAGTACACCTCTCCGAACATTTTGCTCGCTCCCCCCTCCCCTCGTTTCCTTCTCGGCCTGCTCCTTTTGCCTACATCATGGACTTTACGATAAGCGATGCGCACCACGAACATGACTCGTGCCCCCCGATAGATACTCAGACCCTTGCAATTGTCTTTAGAGAATTCCCACATCTCCTGGCGTCTTGTACAAATTTCCCTGCTCTCCACTGCTTTCCCCCCATAGACCCCCCCGCCCCCCGCCTTTTGTCCACCGATGTATCATACGTAGAAGCCTTCCGGAAGACTATCGTTATTTCGGGTTTAGTACCTTTCTAATCCGCCGTTGTGATCCAACAAGTGAGATGTGGCCTCGCAATTGAATCATTTGGGGACGGCAGTCTTTCACCGGTGAAGACAAAGCGATATGACAGTAAGAAGTGCTTCCATCTCCGGTTCGGGATATCCATAGAGTATAGCAGATTGGACGTGATCATGACGTGGAATGATTTGGGCATTGAGAAACAGCCTCCGGACGTTGACTCGAGGGCGTCGCGCCAGCTCACGGCGGGAATTTCCCTTTATGGTAATAGGCGCGCACACCAATCCCGGTTCCGGATGCACCGCTCTGCTAGGTTTGGCTTTAATTCCCGCCCACCATGATCGAATTTGTGCGCGGACTCGTCAGGAGTCATTCGACCACGCCACCACCGCGAGATCGCTTGGTTTCGGGGCTTCCACACAAGCGATGTGACGTCCATACGCGCTGAGGTTGGCCTGACGGCATAAAAGGCACGTTGTCGACACTCGGGGATCGCAGTCGCTTTCCCCGCAACGCTCTCCTCATCGCTCGAGACCACGGACACTGACCGGCATCTATCACTGTGCAGACATGCCACAGACACCTGAAGCCCAAGCTTTCATCGCGCGTATAGAGCGGCTTCCTCGCGGTGCTGGCTCGAACGATGCTCTTGTCCAAGCACTTCAGCCGTCTTTGAACGATGAAGCAGAGCTCCGCAAGCTGTTCACTGCCGACAAGGGCAACGCACGCCTCAAAGGCCCCTATGTTGGCCTAGTCGATGTCTTCGACGCACCTAGCGATGTCCGAACGACTCGGGCACGGGTTGTTGCGAACGAAGACGATCTGTCAGCCCGCTATATCCTACCTCTGTCCACTAAGCAGCGCCGCAAAGAGGGTGAAGCCGCGATGGTGCCCGACCTAGACGATTTCAAGAAGAACTGGGCGATCTTCTCTGAGGGCTCTCTTTCCCAGCTCAACGACTGGAGCAACGTCGTCGTGGCCGGAGGCTCCGTTCTGGCGTGCCTCCTGCCCTTGCCTGACTCCGCGAAGACCTCCAAGCGCGCCATGCGCAAGCACTTCCACACCAACGCGTTCCCGACGTCCGACATCGACATCTTTCTCTACGGGCTCACGCCAGCACAGGCCGAGGCGAAGATGCAGGTCATCTACGAGGCCGTGCGCGACTCAGTCCCATGGGACGTGACATGCATCCGCACTACGCATACGGTCTCGATCCATTCGCAGTACCCGTACCGGTCGGTTCAGATCGTCTTGCGCCTGTACGCCTCTCCGGCGGAAATCCTGGCTGGCTTCGACGTCGATGCGCCGTGCTGCCTGTTCGACGGCGAGCGCGTCTGGGCAAGTCCGCGCGCGATCGTAGCGATGATGCGGCAGTGCAACACCATCGACACGACGCGCCGCTCGCCTTCCTATGAAGTCCGCTTGACAAAGTACGCAGCGCGCGGATTCGAAGTGGAGGTTCCCAGCCTCCGCAGGGGCGACATCGACCCAACCGTGAGTCTTTGAATACATGACGAGATCCCTGGATCTAATATTACTTGCACCAGATATTCGAACGATCAATCGTTCGTGTTCTAGGCTTGGGGCGGCTACTTGTGCTCGAACGCCTCGCGGACACGAACGCCAAGACAGAGTACCTTTCGGACCGACGCTCTCTTCGCGCCCGCCCTGCGGCGGTTGGAGTTTGGAGGGCCCGCCGGAAGCAGGAGAAGGGTAACCTGAAGGCCAACATCGACCTCGGGGGTTTGCAGATGAACGATTATGACGTCCAGGTCCTTCACATCCCGTATGGCCCTGGCTGGGACGCGAGACGTATTGACAAGCTGGTATACCAAACAGTGAGTGCTACTTTGTCGTGTCCTGGATCATGTTCTGATATTCTGATTGTGCTCTGAAGGATCTAGGCATGAACTGTGAGCCGTATACTGTACCCCTCGTTGCGAGTAAGGCGCTGACGGATGTTTTAGCCCCGTACAACCCCAAGAACAAGGATCGACGTCTTCATCGTCACCCTGCATTCTTTGGTACTATGGCAGAGTGTCTGGAGGACTGCTGCGAGGTACGTACTTCAATCTTTAGCGCATACAGTCATCTAAACTAGGCTCAGTGCTGTGTCGAGCCCAAGAACGATGAAGAGAAGAAGATACAAGAGACCGAGGACGATACTTACGTCCGCGGACGTATTCAGTACGCCCTAATCATGTTTTGTGGTATTCTGTCTCATTCCCTTGTAGATTCATCGAAGAGAACCCTGGGCGCCAGAGCCTCTCGGGTAGCTTCAATCCGATAGACGATGGCGAATGGTCCGAGCAGGCCTACATGGGTGCCACTGAGAGGCTCTTCAACAGCATCGTCATGGGAGATCGTTCAGCAGTCGCAAAAATCCTCGCCGAAGAGGACATGACTGTTGACCGGCGCGACCATGTCGGCCGCACACCCCTGCAGGTCGCTATCCTCTCTAAGGAAGAGGATATCGCGTGCGACTTGGTCGACGCTGGGGCGCGCATGACCCTGCGCCTCGTCGATGGTCGCACGGCGCTGCACCTCGCTGCCCAGGCCGACCTACCTGTCGTCGTTCGCAGGTTACTCGAGCGTAGTGCGATGAATGCGGAGAAGGCTAAGGAGGAGGAGGCGGCAAAGAAGGCGCAGGAGGAGGCTCAAAAGACGCAGAAGGAAGAGACGATGTCCGAAGATAACTCTGGAGTAACGGGGGGAAACGAGGACGACGAGGATGATGAACATGAGAGCAGTGAAGACGACTGGTCTTCCGAGGACGACTCAAACAAGGACAAGGGTGCAACGGCGCTGAAGACCGATCACGATGCGAGCCTGATTCCGGAGGATGAGGAGGACGTTCCCGACGTCGTCGACGTCAACCTCCCCGACTGGGACTACGGGTTGACGCCTCTGCACTACGCGGTCGTCTTCGGGTCGCTGTCTGTGATGGACGAGCTGCTCGCCGCCGGGGCAGACCCGAAGCTCGCAACTCAAGCCGATCGCCACTCAGAACCCCTCCACCCTCTCACTATAACTACCTTCACGCGAGACGTCGATGTCGCGTGCGCCGCTGCGAAAAAGCTGATCGCAAGCGGCGCCATATCATCCGAGGCGGACGACAACCTGTTCACAATCTTCCACAAGATCGTCTGCGCTAGTCGACCTGCCCTCGTTGAGACGCTCCTGAACCATGATCCCAATGCCAAAGCCGTCCTGGACTCTCCCCACATGGTGACGTATCAGTGGCAGGCGATGTTCCCAATCGTCTCTGCTATTGCGAAGGGCGACCATACGTCCGCGGCCATCCTCCTTGCGTACGGCGCCAAGATCTCCCTCTCGGAGGATCATTTCCAGCGTGCTCGTGAGCTCAAGTAAGCAACTTCGGCACCATCAGTCCTTCAACTAACGGAGCGTCCGTTCTAAACAGGAAATACACGTGGGTGCTCACGAACGCCGACTGGAGAGGGGACGTGTACTTCCCGGTCGAGGTGTCTCTCGCATGCCTCGACGGGATCCTGGGTCTACTCCTCGACATCGGGGCGGAGTATAATGTCGACATCCAGACGGAATGCAACAACTCGGACTCCAACACGCACATCGCTATTCTCGACTACGTCCGGGCAGTCATCCCCGCTCTAGAAAGAGAAGCAGACACGTATTTCAAAAGAGCCGAAGAGAAAGCGGAGCGCGTGAGGTTTCGCGAGCTTGCTGCCCTCCCCGGCTGGCAGGGCGCGCGGGGCACAGAGCTGCTCAAGTGGTCGGCGACGCTGCAGACGTACAAGGACGACGTCAAGGAGTTCTCGAAGAAGGCGGAGAAGTACCTCAGCATGGTTCCGTACTTCCGCGAGGCGGAAGAGATCCTGGTGGCCCATGGCGCGAAGTCGACGAAGGAGATATTTGGGCCCGATACCCAAGTCAATACCAGCTTCCATCCAAGCAATATGTGGGGCATTCCGCAGTATCCCGCTATCGTGTCATACCAGAAGATGACGGGCCCTCGATCGTTCGACGATATCCCCAATCAGCTAACTAGCTCGTACGACGACCTCTTCGAGGCGTGCCGCGTTGGCGACAATGCGAAGGTTCAAGCACTGTGCCTCCCAAAGGAGGGGAAGGGAAAGTCCAATACAAAGCTCCTTCAGATAACGTCTACTTTCTTGAACAATCAGCGTGGTACGTGCCGATCATGCTCTGCTGGATGCCGTCAGCGTTTCCAACCGGTTTCTTTACAAACAGGTCCGAGTCCGCTGTCTATCGCTTTGAACAACCGCCAATGGGATACCGCTCGTCTCGTCCTCGCCATTGCCGTCGCCCAGTATAAGCCGAAGGCTGAGAATCAGTCGAAGTTCGTCGTGAGGAGCGTAGTTTTGGGTAAGTTCCTGCGCCCGACCTCCATCAACTCATCCTGACTTGGTCAACAGAGATCGACGATTCTGACCACGATTCCGAGTGTGACAGCGATGAGGAAGAATCCGCACGCGAGATCAATTTCGTCGATATCGCTCACAGGCCGTCAGAGGTGCAAACCGATGCGCCCCCCTCACGACTGCTCGAGTTAGATGACTGGGTATACCATGCTAAGGATGACAGCTGGCACTCAGGCCCCCCTCCGCTCAAGGCCGTGGTAGAGGACGACTTTGAGATGTTTGTGCAGATCGTCGATCTTTACAAAGCCCTCCCCAAACCGCTCGATATTCCCGCCGACGCCATCACCTGGGTCTGCAAGTTCGATAGGCGGGCCATGTTGGATGAGCTCATTCGCCGCCTAGGAGCCGGGATCGAGCTCCCGGAGTCGCTCAACGAGTCGGAAGCCGAGGACGTCTCGCACTCGCGGCATACACCTTCCTCAGCGAGGATTTACATGGGTCTCAACGTGCACGGAAAAAAGCGCAAGGACCTTGCGGAGAAGGCTAATCCTCATGCACCTAAATCCACGAAGCGCTCGGAGGTCCCACTCTTGTGGATAGCCGCGCACGCAAATGCGGTGGGCGTCATGCAGTACCTCGCGTCGGACCGTCCGCTTGCCGCATATGACTACTTTACGTCGACGAACAACGAGGAGAAGGCCAAGTACCTCCGCCGAATTCGTGGCCAAATTCGCGATCGGCTTGGCTGGGCCAACAACGAGCTGAATGAATCTGCGGTCACCGCGGCGGTCATCGGCGGCCACCTCAGCGCCGTCAAGGAGGTGCTTGCACTTCAGCCGGCGACGATGCAGAACGCGCTAATGTCCCGGTACGTGTCCGTTCATGTGAAAATGCAATATCGACACTGATGACTGGAGCATACAGCATTCACTTCGTCGGTTTCAATCACATCCTTGTGGCGGCGAACTGGGGTTGCCCCCCGGAGATGTTCGATTATCTCCTGTCCAATGGTGTCCCATATACGGAGACTGATATGCGCGGGTGAGTGCTCTGGAACCCGGCTTCGTTCTAGATTACTCACATACGCCAAGGTGGAACATCTACCACATCCTTTGTGTCCGCAACTTTGGTGGCACTTCCAAGGCTCACCTGACGCTCCTCAAGCATGTTCTGCAGAAGCTACCCCGAGACGTCACCGCAGGCATGCTCCTGCAGCAGTCCAAAGGCGCTCTCAACACTGTAAGTGCCGCTTTTATCAACCCAACTTCGCCCGCCAATATCATTCCGTCAGCCTCTTCACATCGCTGTCAAACGGAAGTGTCTTCCGGCGGTCCGACTGCTTGTCGAGTTCGACGCTCCCATGTTCGCGCTTCGCGACAAGTCCGGCTCGACTCCTCTACACTTTGCAGTCAAGGCCGGCCTCCATGAGATCGCGCGCCCCGTCGGCGACGCCGGCCCCGCGGAGGTGCTGCATCTCGAAGACGGGGTCGGCAACACCCCCTTGGAGACCGCCACCCAGCTGTGGCTCCAGCATCAGACTCGCACGACGTATTCGGAGTTCCCGTACATGGCGCCGACCGTGGACCCATTGACGCGGGTGATCAGGGACTATGAGTGGGACCGCAAGCGTGTCAGGAAATCATCCGCAGCGGATGTGGCGCAGCTGAAGGACACGATCGAACGTCTCGTCGCGAACGGCCGTCTGCGGAGGGGAACGAAGCTCGCCACTGCGCTCGACGCGTTCGCTGAGACGATGGACGACAAGGCCAAGCTGCGCGCGAAGGAGGAAGAGGAGGCGAAGAAGACTGAGAGTCTGAGCGATCCTGAGTCGGAGGAGTTGACACCTGCCAACTGGATGAGCGACGTCTTCAAGACGTTCGAGTACATCGTCGGCGCGGTTGCCGCACGGCCGGCGCGTCGTGGGTTGGTCCACCTGGACGACGTCTTGCGATCTGTGAAAGCTAGCTTGGACCGGTCCGAGATTCAAGGCAAGAAATACAAGAATCACGACAATGACGGGCTGGAGCTCGAAGCGGAGGTCGTGGAAGACGAGAACACAAAGAGACAGAAACACAGTCTCGTAGCTCACTTCCATTTGGAGCCGACTATGTCCCTGTTCGAGGCGGATTGTCTGTAGGCAAGTGTATACCTCTGAGGGCATTCTTGATCGCATCCTTGTAGTAATACCTTTATGCCTTGTACGATATATGAATATTGGCTTGTTCATGGACACCCAGGTCGCAGAAAGCCGCGAAGTGCCGCAGTCGCGTACGTCCACCGCGATTCAGGCCGCGCGCTCGCATACAGCCATATCCAAGCGAATTTCTCTATACATTGCGAGTACAAATGCGCGTCTCCGACTCGTATACATTCCGCATGCGTGATTCCTTCAAGCTCCGTCTACCGAAACCACCGTGCGGGAAGCAGGCGCAGGCATCCACCCTCCGCCCACGCCCCGTCCGACGACCGCTGGGCGGCTGCGACTCCTAGGCCTTGGGGGCCTTGGCGCCAGCCTTGGGGGGCGCAGGACCGCTGCCGTTGGCAGCGGTGCGCTGGGGGCGTGCGGGGGAGGGGTCCTTGGCGGCGTTATTGCCCGCCTTGGCCTGTCGGGGAAGAAGAGTACGCGTTGAGGCGCGGTCAGACAGGCGTTGGGAGGCGGGGCGCGCTCACCTGCGTAGTGGGGACGCGGCCGGTGTCTGCGGGGGCCTTGTTGCCGCTGGCTGTGGGGGAGAGGTGCGGTCAGCGAGGGGGGTTAGGGAGAGCGAGTGGAGGGGGCTTACCGGCACCACCACGGGATCCCTTTGCCGGAGGCATTGCGATGAGTGTTGTGGGGGGAGGTGGTGAAGAGAAAGGTGTGTTGGAGTGGAGAGTCTGTGAAGCCTGGAGAGAGACGATGAGAGGCGGGCATGCTTTATACCTTTCGTTGGCTGCGCGGCGGGGCGAAACGCGCGCTGCACGGCGCGATTTCCGCGCCTGGACGGAATGGGTCGTTCCAGTGGATGGCGCGATGGATGAGCCATAATCTCCGTTGGCTACCGACGAGCACCCCTCATTCAGCGCATCGTCGTGTGACAGTAGGGTTCGCGCGGCGGGGATTGAGCCATATACGTATAAGCCGTTGCCAGCGGGACACGATGCGCGCAGCTGAAGGCAGCGAGAAGTGTCGCGACTGTAAGTAGAAGCCGGACACGGGTACGTCGCGCCGCTGCTCTTGTGCGGGAGTTGTGCAAATAGAAGTCGATCGTCGGCTTCGTGGCTGGGCCTAGAGACGGTACGAGGATCCGTGTACTCACATTTCTAGGAGATCGGAGTCCAGGGACGGCACGGCCGCTTCCATGTTCGTAGCCAGGATCAAAGAGGCAACCGTCGGCTTATGGACAAAGCGATGAGCGTGTCGCGCATGGTCGGACCGCAGACTCGGAGGTGGCGGTTCGCAGGTCTGGGTACTAGTCATTTTAGTATTACACGTAAGGGTCATGCGATGCTTCGGGAAGATGGATCCTACAACTTGGCCCAGCGATGGGAAATGCCTCCTGATTATAGTCTTGAACGTCTTCTTAAAGCTTGTAGAGTGGTCGTCCGGCCGTCTGTTGGGTGGCTTGTGCATTAGGCAATGTGTCAGGGTGCCTGTGCTGTTATTGAGGGCCGAAAGAGCGGGCATCACCGCAACTTGAGAGTTGTCGTTTTCCGGGTGAAAGCGTACTGCCAGTGCGTGCATCTATGCTCGCCGCGAAGCACCCGTCGGAAGAACCTCGCGCAAATATCGCGGCCCACCGATTTGACGTGGTACGGTAAGAAGGTATGCGTGTCTAGACCTTTGCGCCAGGGCTTGAAGATATGGCGACGCACTTCGAGGCGTCCGTTCAGAACTCGACGTCACGGTATTGGGCACTGTTATGAGGGCCACACGACCTGTTGTACAAGATTAGACCTGCCAGGATGAAGAAGGGTTCCGACGGGCCGCCCCCGGAGCTTCGCCGGTGATAGATTCCCAGTCAGTCCTTTTTCTGCTACGAGTAGCAGCGAACGTGCGTGCGGTTCGTCCAGTCGCAATTAGCCTACACGGATGGGGTTTGATGGTTTCAAGTTGTTTACCCTCTATGCCCGTAGGATAGAGACATATCTGACATTTTATATGCAAACTGCCAAAGTTTCGCAGACTGCAGGTAGCGGTATCCTATGAGGGTGCTGGCAGCGCCGTTTTCGCGATGCCTACTGAGTAGCATGATGCACAGAACTTCGGCGGACGATCATATTCATAGCTCACCGAGATTCTGATATATTTTCGGGGTCATACCCACGGTTTTAGATGGTAAAAAGCATGCCAATATGATTTCAACAAGATGCAAGTCGTCGTTGACGATGAGGAACGGTGCCAGCCGCTCTGGTGCCGCCGCGCAGCGGCCATGCAAGTACAAATAGATGCAAATAGCGGCGAACTCGGAATCCTGCAGACAGCCACTAGGCAACTTTCACCCAGCAAATGCCATGACTGCATTTTTACCGCAGAGGCTTGTCACGGTAATTTTTTCTCCATACACAAGAACAAGGTAGATAATGGAAATTTCGATTATTTTGCTGCAGTGAGTGCACCGGTCGCCGCGTTCGCCGTCCGCCGAATCCGAAGGCGCTAAGCCTGAGCCGGGAGTCGCCGTCGGCGTCAACTCCGTGTTCGCTGCTTGGACCAAGACCCTCACCATGTCCTTCGCGCTTCCCCAGCTTCAAACCCGAACCTATATAACATTTGCTGCGACATCGCTCGTGTTGCTTGATAGGCTCAAGAACTTTGAAGAGAACCGTCCTTCCGCGACAGGCCACGTACCAGCCTCCAGGCCCCCTTCGGTCGACCACGCGGTACTACATCGCTAGCGCATCGGCTCTTGTCAAGTACATAGCGTTCTGTTGCGCCATCCCCACTGCGTCAAACTCAACTTACGTGGCGTCTGAGATTACCATCTAACCTTACGATTTACATCTAGTCATGGAGAGTCCCTCGACGTAAGGTGCGATGCGCCGTATCCTCATCACGGATGCAGATGAACTCATTTGTTATCTAGGCTATGTCAATTCCGCACGCGGGCCCGGAGCACGACTTGCTGCGTCACGCCGTGGAGCCCCGGGCGTAGACTCTTCTGTTGTAAGTGGAATCTGGTGGACCCTGCCGTCGGCATCTCTGATCTAACATGAGGGATACGAACAAGCACACCACTGTCGTCCGACTGGGGTTGTGTCAGACACACGCCAGACAGTTGTTTATAGCGAGCCACTCAACGTGAAGTCCTGATCGACTGCAACGACAGACTGCAGAACCATGCGGTACTATGTCGTATTCTCACACAAGCCCCCTTACGTTGTCCCTGGGGCACCTGCACGCTGGCCGCAGATATGGAGGGGGATGGGTCTAGATGGAAACCAGCTACACGTCGGCCAGCCGACCGCGTGTTGCAACATCGCCTCGGTGTGAGCTGTTGTACTCGGTCAAGGCCAACCAGCGCCGCGTATGTGGGGCACGAGGTGCGCAAACGACGGGCTGTCCGAGCCTCCTGCGCCATCTCTTGTTCGCGAGGGTTCAAGAATGCTTCTTGACGTCAGCAGAGGTAAGTCCGATTCCATGCAAGTGATGCTTCTGTGCGTAGCGGAACCATACAGTCTTATCGACGGACCCTGAGGAGTGGCCAATGTTGATATCTCAACCTTGGTTGCAGCATGGCACAGAGTTCGTGTTATCTGCCGACGCCCGATTCTTCGTGCAGAGGGCAAGGCCGGACGGCAAAGGTACACAAGCATCGGTGAGTGAATGACGTTCGGCGAGCAATGCGGTGCCGACCACGTCTAGTTCGTGCAGTCCGCGTGCGCAGTCGTGCGCGTCCGCCGTCCTGATCAGAGGCAGACAGCGCTTATTGGCCAAAGCGCCATATGTTCTCATTGAAGAACTCCCACAGCGCCGGGTCTTCTCTGTAGCCCTTCTCCCGGTATCTGATCGTTCGTCTTATCCGAACCTTGGAGCGTCGTATGTCGCCTACGCAGAGTAGGTGCGCTGTGCTATTTTTGCAATCGAGTCCGAGAGCCATGAGTTCGTCGTGTGCGTAGGTCATGAGTATCATGTCTCTTTCCCCCTTTGCCGTTCTAGACAACCAGCTCATGAGAACACAACCTCTTAGGTAATCACGAGACGCATGCATCTTCGCCGTCAAGTGACAATCGAAGCATCGAACCATGTGCGTTGCCCATTCGGAGCGGGTGGAACCTCAGTCCCGCACAGTACCGAGCGCTGTCTGGGTCCCGGAGGAAGCCCCTCGCAAATCACTCCACGGCACAAGCCAAGAGCATCGACACCGCACTCTGGGATGGCGATATCGGGACAAGCCCCGTCCGGGTATAAAAGCAAGCTCCAAACCATGCCTCTACTCGTCAAGCCGGGCAACACCCAGTTCAGACAACCCAATCGAGTCGCCTCACCTCGCCTCCTTTGCTTGCTGCCATGTACGCCTCCGCCCTCTTCTTCCAGGTGCTCCTCGCCACCGCGGCCTTCGCCGTCCCCACCTCGCGCGAGCGCTTTGCGCAGCGCCTCGCCCGCCGCTCCGCAGGCGCGCACTTGTCGCACCCCAGGGTCCCCAGCACCCTTGCGGTGTCCGAGCTCTCCGGGACCTCCAACGTCACTAACGCCGAGTTCAGTACCAACTGGTCCGGCGCCGTCATGAGTGCTGGAGCCGTAAGTCCCTTCACAGCCAAACAAAGTGCTATGTGACTGACTGACGCCGACATCCCCTTCCGCAGAACACCTTCAAGAGTGTGACGGGCACCTTCACGATTCCGACCCCGAGGGAGCCCTCTGGCCAGACCAGCGAGCACTCCGCGTCCGCCTGGGTCGGCATCGACGGTGACACCTGCGGCACCGCCATCCTCCAGACCGGTATCGACTTCACGGTCACCAACGGCCGCACGTCCTTCGATGGTGCGTATCTAGCGTGTCTTCTCGCCCAATTCTCGCATTGATTGCCCGCCCTTCACAGCGTGGTTCGAGTGGTTCCCCGACTTCGCGCACGACTTCACGGGCATCTCGCTCGCCGCGGGCAACTCCATCACCGTCTCCGTGACCGCGACCTCGCGCACGGGCGGCACCGCGACGATCGTGAACCACTCGACCGGCCAGACCGTCTCGCACACGTTCTCGGGCCAGCCCGCACTTTGCGAGCAGGACGCGGAGTGGATCGTCGAGGACTTCGAGGAGGGCAACTCGCTCGTGCCGCTCGCGAACTGGGGCACCGTCACCTTCACGGGCGCGACCGCCAACGGCGCGGCCCCGTCGGGCGCGACGATCATCAACATGGAGCAGAACGGGCGCGTGCTCACGTCCGCGTCGACGAGCGGCAGCACCGTCACCGTCGCGTACACCGGCCCGTGAGCGGACCGCGCGGTCTTCTAGCGCGACTCGCGACGCCTCTGGCTTCTGGACTCGGACTCGGACGGACTGTGGGGAAATGGGGCGAAGGGCGGACAAAGGCGGGTTTCTAGGGCGCGCGTGCGCGCTGCCGCAGGACCCGCGTGTATGATCTCGAGCAGTGTATTTTGGCATGTCTTGCACGCACGAAAGTAACGAATGGAAGATGATGGATGACCACTACTTGCGTGAACCAGCGTTCGAGACGGGTTTGATCCGCCGGGATGAGAGTAGTGCGGATGTCGGGGGGTATTAAGTTGATGGTGGGATTTGCGAACCTGGGCCCACATGCGCTCACTTCTGTGGGCATGTGGAGGAGACGAGCGAGCGGAAGCGCCTTCGCATGTCGGGAGAAGCGCCGTATACGGCATTGAGCTGAGAGTGAGCTGAGGCAGGAGTTGACGTCAGTGGAACAGAAATTGACCGGTGGTGCGTGTGCCTGTCCGACTGAGAAGACATGGTGCGCGCCGTGCGTATACGGTTATAGCAGCGGTACCGGTAGTACGTACATGTAGAATATATTATTGTGGTACGTGTGACGACATAGGCAGAGAGCGCGTGAGAACGGTCGGAGAAGGTCATCGTGTGTCCGTGCAAAACAAGCGTCCAGCAGTCCGAATACGCCGAGATGGTGCAGGGGTGAGAGGCGTGGTAGCGAGGAAGGCGTCCGGGGTATGGGTAATGGTATCGTGTATCTATCACGGGTTGAGCCACGGGTGCGTTAGCAGCTCCCGACAGGTCGCGCGCCCGTCGGGGTTGAGCACGAATATATGTCGGAGGAAGTCCGCGAACAACGCGGCGTCGGGTGCGTCTCGTTCTCTGATGACGTTTTCATACGGGATCGCGCAACCGGGAGGGCGCTTCAGCGAGTCTGAGCGTGCAGCCATGTCAGCAAGAGAGTAATCACGACTGAATATGTATACTGACTATCGGGGTTAAAGAACGCATCGCGGCGCCTGCCACGTTCGATCAGGTCTGGTGGATACTCGCCGACTGCGAGGGTATGCAGGGTAGGCACAGTCTCATCGTCAACGTCAGTCCTGAAGAGCGGTTTCCCCATGTAGAGTTCGTACAGCTGCATCGAACAGCGCCCGATGTCAATCTGGGTGCTTTGCGCCCGCTAGTGATGCCCCACGCACCATACATCCCAGGCTCCAGACGTCGGCCGGTCTGCCCCATCCCGCTCCAACTGCCACTTCAGGCGCCCGTACAGATGGGGCTTGGATGAGGTCGTCGACGTAGTTGGAGGTCTTATCTGCCCAGCAAGCTTGAGACATGAGGGACGGTGAGTGATTTGCAACCATTGGATCATGATGACTGGGGTTCGAACTTACCAACACCAACGTCACCGATCTTGACTTTGACACCGCTCCATGTGTCGAAGGAGTACATGTCGTAATGGTCGGGGAGTGGGTAGGGTAGGGGGCGACTGGGGACTCGAGAGATTGGCGTTCCTCCAGGTCCAGTAACGACGGATGTCTCGGCTTCCTGAAGTTTGGGGATAGTCAACGCAAGGAATGCCGCTGGGTCTCCTGGGGGCACCATCATGATGTTCCCTAGCTTAAGGTCTGCATAATATGTCAGTTCGCCCAAAAGGTTGTCAAGCAAAACGAAATGCATCGGACCTGTGTGTACCATGTTGCATTCGTCGTGCAGGTACTGCAAGCCCAGGACGATCTGACGAGCTACGAGGCGCACGAAGTAAGGCGGCGCCGAACGCTCCTTGAAGCACTGCATGAGCGAGCGGAGATCTTGGAGCAACGGCTCCATGGCCAGACACAGATGTCGTCCCTGCGGACCTTTCTGGTAGAAGTGGTCGTGGAGATGGATGACATAGGGATAGCCGGGGTGGGCAGGAGACTGTTCTCGCATTCGCTGCATGAATTCAAGCTCCAACAGTTTGTCCTGGGCATCGGTTGCCATTCCTGCTGAAGCGTTCAGAGACACTTCCTAGGAAAAAGTCGAAGGACGCACTTGTCAAGACCTTCAGGGCGGAATATACCGTAGATTGACTGCAGGTTGCGCTGAATGAATTCATTAGTGTGGCGCATGTGGTTACTGAAGAGTGGAAACCAACCGTGTATCTTCGGCAATCCACACAGTGGAATACACGCCCCATCCTATCTTTCGTACAGCTTTGTAGCGAAAGCCCAAGGTGTCCGCGATCCCAATAGGCAAGTAGCCGTTAGTTGCGAGATCGTAACCACTCAATGGCTCCTCCGCATCCCAGTTCTGCAGGGAGTCAGTGTGCGGCTGCGAAGACGTCCGAGTAGAATATACACGAGAGAACCGTGCATTTGCCGACGCTGGGAGAGGAACCAGGAACCTGTGGCGAGTGATATTTTGCCACGTCTTCGGAATCATGGACCAGTAAGCCCGCGTCGAGTCGACTTGATACAGAGTGGCGAGCCCCGATTTGAGTCTCAGCAGCACCCGCAAGGTAGAGGTATGTCTAGATATATCGCATCCAAGATCTGAGCAGACTTCTCCGCATAGTCATGGACGTCATCAACGTAGAAATATTCTCACTCCTTGCGCGCTCAGGCTGGAGCACCAATCATCTGGATGTGGAGAATGTCCATATATAGGATCCGGAGTTTTCCGCGGTTCCTGGACGCCGGCGCTTCTCCTCACTCGAGCGGACGGTCCTGCTTGCCTTCATACTCCTTCCACGAAAACGCCTGGCATTATTTCTCACTTTGCTACCTCTAGAGACACCTCACTGTTGACTTATTGACACCCCCGCCTTGGATCTGCCACGTTCGGCTGTGACCATGTTTCGGTAGACTTCAAGACACGATCGACTGGCATCCTAGTGCTCAGTTCTAGCCCCATTGTGTGCCACCAGTGTGTATAGCAACTTTGGAGTCGGAGTTGGACATCCAACTAGATCTAGATCTACGACAAACTTTCAGGTAAACGCGCGCCAGACAACTCCCATGGCCGTCCGATTGCGAGTGGCACACCTCGAGTCAAGTCGCGCGTAAGACGAGAGGCCCGGTTTTCCGTACCGGGGCATCCACGCATGAAGCATATTAAATAACGGATCTTGCTTACCGTAGATCCTACAATTTAGGCGTACGGAAATTAAAGGCTCGTGGATGCTGCTGCACACGTGAAGTGAGTGGCACACGCGCTGCTCGTCTTTGCATAGCTTGACATTGTTCTTTATACCTCGAGTGGCACCTACGACGGACTATAACTACTCCAAAGAACTGGAATTGAAGGGACAGGCCTTTTGCTCTCTCCTTGGAAGACATCCACTCTACTCCCTGTGATCACCTGCTCTTGCCATGTCGCTGGCGCCTGCCGAGGCCAAAGGACCCATCTTCCCTGGAGAAATCACCGACGCCATCATCGACCATCTTTATAACGACCGTGTCACACTCCGCAACTGCGCTCGCGTATGCAGCGCTTGGCTTCCGGCTAGCCGACACCACTTGTTCGAAGTCTTTGTTGCCCGGCCTGAGAAGAGTGGCCTCACCGACCTCCTCGACTTCCTCACGTCGACCCCAGACGTGGGCAGCCACATCCGACACTTCGTCCTCGACGGGTACCGCGGGATCAGCCTGAAGAATGTAGCTACCCTGATACATGCGGTCCCCAACGTGCGCGTCGTCGAACTCGAGAATTTGTTCATCTCGTTTCCCCGGAGCCGCGACGCAGACCCCGTCCCCGCCATCCAGCTTTCCGCGCTCCGGATCGCGTCATCGAACGTCACGGAGCACGAATTCCACGATCTCTTCCGCCTCCTCGGCCTCTTCACCGTCGTACGCACCCTGCGCATGGAGGAGAACTCGAACCGGCACTTCCTTACGAACGAGAACCTCGGCCCCCACGAAGGCAACGCGCCCCAAGCCTTGCAGGTCACCGAGCTCTCCTTCGCGTGCATGCCGTCCACCCTGATTGGCCAGCTCATCCGCCCTACTCGCATGGCGCATTGGGAGACGCTGCGCGGGCTCGAGCTGGACGAGTGCATCGAGCGCTGGGAGCAGGTGAACGAGATCGGCAAGCTGCTCGCTGAGATCGGGCCGCGTCTGCGCCGCCTCGCGCTGAAGCCGTCGCACCGCCTGCTGCCGCGCAACAACTTCGACATACCGGCCGCGATTCCGGCCGCGGGTGGTCTGGGCGCGATGTGGAACCAGATGGCGCCTATGCACGGTGGTGGTAAGTCCATTCAACGCCCGTGTCCTTCTCTTGGAGATCTTACTCTAGTCTCGCAGGGGATATGGAGGACACTCGGTCGCGCTGGGCACCGCTCAACTTGGCGAAGTGCACGAACCTCGACGAGTTCCTGCTCGACCTCCACTACGGCTCCCAGTCGCCCCTGTACGACATCCACGCGTTCTTCAAGCTGAACGTGGACCTCCTCACGACCATCGCGGCGACCGTGCGCTGCGTCAAGCCCCGCATCGTGCCCGTGTACCCGTTCCGGGGCCACGGCCTGAACGCCACCCTGGCCGCGTCTGGGGGCCCGCTGCAGGCCTTGGACTGGCCGCTGCTCGACGAGACGCTCAGCGACGGACGGTTCGCGAGCCCGCGCGTGGTGCTCGACGTGACGGAGCTGGAGAAGCAGTACGCGCGGTCGGCGTTTGACGCGCTGAAGGCGTTCTTGACAGGTTGCTTGTACCGAACTCGTCGTCGCGGCACTCTGACGTTCGAAGTGCGCCAGGACCATGTGTGGCGTGGTACGTGACCCAAAAATCTCATCGCAAGAGATATCTGCTGATTATGTCGTCTATGTAGGGCCGGATATCTTCGACCGCTTCTAATTGCTCTCTGGCGCTCCCTTTTCTTCAAAATTTCTCTTTGCATAATCATGTGCTGAGCCTGCTGGTGACGAGATTTCTTCTAAGAAATGGCTGATAGTTTGAGATATCTCGCAATATACATACGTCTACCTCCTGCGCTCTTGCATTTTGTTTTCTCCTTTGTATTTGCGTCCTTGCCTGCCTATCGTGATATTCAACATACGGGCGCTTAATGACACTTTGCCGACATAAATGTTGATGCACCGGGCGTTTAATCGACGTGTCGTTCTTTCATCATACCACCACCAGCCGTCAAATTGTCCGTTTTTCTCCACCCAAACACTTCAAGACAGCCACATCATTTCGTGCACACTACCAGTAGTCGAGAGAGCGTCCACCCAAACATATCCTGTCCTTCAGTCTCAGCGCCTAGCTGTCATCATTTTTCTGGTGACACTTGGATCGTCGGTGTCCGTGTACACTGAAGAACCGCCTCGAAACAGACGGGATTCGAGGCCCAGCGTACACGAGGTGCGCACGAGACCGAGCGCTACGCAGTTGATAGAAGCCCACAAACGTGGATTGTGGTTGCGCCGCTGCGGCAAGTGAAGCCACGAGTCAAGTGCCACTGCTGCAGGACACTTTGCATGCCGCCTAAACGTACGCACGACCACGATCACGCCGCTGAGCACACTGGCAAGATGGCGACGAACAACGTACCTACCAGAGGCCGCAAGCGGTTTCTGTTCGACCTGCAGAACGCCACACAGACTGTCGCACAAGGCGTGCAGGTCCAGGGCCTCCGTTTGTCAGGTAAGGTTACCCGAAGGACGCGTTGCGCTCGCGGAGAAGCTCAACAAGGTTGTCTGATATAGCCATTACTCCTGGAGACGAAGATGGCTCCTTCGATTGTGTGATCTCTCAAGTGGACGGCGGGCTGAACGCCACACTGACTGTCCTCATATCTGGTTTGCCGTTCGCTCGTGATACTGCGCCCTCGTTCGCTCATGCACCGTTTCTGCAGATGCCTCTGAGTATCCTTCCGACCACACTTTTTTCTGCTCGTCTGAACATGATCTCCCTCCGGAAGTTTCGGCGGTCACGGAGACTGTCCATGAGGACGGCTCACTGTCGATCCAGGACCTCCTGATGCGCGTGCTTGAGCGAATCGCCAAAAGAATGGCTGCAACTCGACGCAAGCAAAGCACACCGGGCGATAATGAGAGTGACGACGAAGCACAGTCTGAAATGTCCGAAGACGACGACGAAGACGCGTACGGCGTAGAAGACTACGACATGGAGGACGCCGAGATCTTTGGCGTGCAATCGATGGCCCAAACGCTCGACCAGTCTGTTCTTCGAAGGTTGGTACCATGACCTCTCGATCTCGCACGATGCGCTTATGAACATCTTAGAGAGTTCAACGAGATTGTGGCGCACGGCTACCAGCCCGGCTTCATCCGGTTGGGTGTGGACGACTTTGCCCTATCAGTTGCCCTGCCTGCGAAGTCACTGGCTGACACGATCTCCCCGCGCGCACTCGTGGCGTGGGATAAACGCCTCCTATCAGGCCCCCATTATCTCACTCTGCTGATCTCAGGACTTCGAGGGGTCCATCCAGCGGTCGAACCAGACGGAACGCTTACTCGGGTTGCAGTGGCCCGTAGCGCTGCGCCTCATTTCCGCGTAGGCCTCACGCCCAACTACAAGCCAAACAATGAAGATACTGCAGAGCTTCTACGCAAGTACGGCTTGAAGGAAGACTATGGCGCGTCTTCCGACGATCCTGCGAAGGAAGAACAAGAGCCGCAAAACGCGCACGGCCAGGAAGAGGAAGGGCAACTCCTCGACCCTGACTTTGACTTTGCAGACCCCATTGAGCTGCCGGAGATCGAGGAAACGACTCAGGGATTCCGCCCTTTCAGCTTGAGTTCGTCGCTTGAGAGTTTGCTGAACGGCCACTTCCTGGCACTGCTGCAGCTGAGAATCGAGTACCACCTCGGATGGGCCGGAGCTGAGGTCCTGCGTTGCGAAATCGAGGCAACGCAGAGGTCGGCCGCGGATATACTACGCGACAAAGCAGAGGTCTGTTTGTTCATAATTACCTACGAGGTTTTCTCATTATGTTGTGATTTTAGGAAATCGCCATGGCGGATAGTGCTGATGTGACGCTGTCAGAGAGCTACCGTCTTCCTATCGACTGTCTCCTCGATCGAAGCCCGCAGGATCCAGTCAACCTCCCGCTTGTCGCTTTCTCCTACTTGATGCGCCGCCTTACGGTAGGCAATATCCTCTACGTTGTTTTCAAATACGCTAGTACTCACCCGAGTGCCACCAGCTATGCCCTCGTTACTGCCTCGTTTGTCATCAGCAGCTCAAGGACGATTTGGGGGCGCTCAAGCCGTACGTGTGCAGCTCCCCCTTGTGCACCTACCAATACTACAACCTGAACCGAGGACCATCACTGGAGGTTTGTATCGTTCGATTACCCCGCATGTCTCACTAACCAATGGGTTCTCAGTACGAGATCTGCTCGAACCCAGTCGTTGTGGACCTTTTGGTCTCTCTCGCCTACATCGCGGCAGCAGAGGGTGCGCTGGACGCGCCTCTGCCTATAGGCATGGGCCTCCGCGTGAAGTGCCGATCCTTAACACCTGAGGACCCGGACGGGCTGCACGACTTTGACCAGCTCGATCTTCCCAACGTACGCAAATAGAGCTCATCTTATGTACACGTATTCACACTTGATTTAGATGCGCGGCGTCATCCGCAACCTCATCGACCAGATACCTCCCGTGAGGCACCTTCTGTTGAAACTGCGATAAATATTGATCTTCGCCTTCAGATCGCCGAGTTGAAGCGGCATCTAGAGCAGCCACGCAGGCCAGGACATGCGAAACCCCGTCTGCAAGATATCGACCGCGTTGTTCCAGAGGCGGCGTGGCTGGTCCTGCGGTGGTGCGTCGCTTCGTGTACTGCGCATCTGGAGGAGCTGCATTCGGAAGACGAGAAAGTCAAGAACATGGGTGCGCATCACACTTGTGCCTTACAAAGAATGGAGCTAATCTCACGAACCTAGATCCAACGTGGCGCCAGTTCCGCTTCAGCGTGGGCGCGCCGGACGCCGAGGCGAAGTTCCGTAAAGCGGTCCAGCTTGCGAAGGAAGAGAACCCGAGAGCTCATGAATTTCCGTCTCTTTATGTACGGCATTCCCGCAGTGCTCATCGATGGTTATTGACGTTATCACATCCAGGCTTTCCATGGCTCTGGCGCCAAGAACTGGCATTCGGTAAGTATTTTGATACCGTGTAGGAGAAGCACGAGCTCAATCGTTCCTGCAGATCATCCGTCACGGCTTGTGGTTCAAGACGGTAATTAACGGCAGAGCATTTGGGCACGGTGCGTTCAGATCATCCAGGTCGTTCCTCTTCAGCGTCTCACTAGATGCTTCCCAGGGGTCTATTTCGCGAAGGACGGCGCAATATCGCTCGGGACCTACTCAGCTGGGGCCGCGTCATGCTGGCGGAACAGCGCTGTAAGAGCAACCTCTTGCGTTGCTCTGGCGGAGATTGTCAATCTGCCGAGCAAATTCATAAGCACTTCGCCGTACTTCGTGGTGGACAAGACCGAGTGGATCGTCTGGTACGTGTCATGTCCGCGCGCGAAATATCGCTTCTGAAGCCTCTTCTTTAGCCGCTACCTCATGGTTAGAGGCCCAGCGCAACAGAGTGCGGTTCCTCTAGCGGGGACCATCCCCTTCCTCAATGGCCTCCCTCAAGCACCCGCTCCAGTTGCAGCGCCGGACGCTGATGGCGTTGCTGAGGAAGAAGAGATCGACTACGTGCCGCTCGACCCGCAGCACCCATTGACTCTGTCCAACGTTCTTATTCGCATCCCGCAACCAGGATATGCTCTCGAGAAGCTGCTCAACGCCCGCCGAGAGGAGTTCATCCCGATGGACTACGACGAGGACGATCTTCGGATCTTCTCAGGAGACGTTGGCGACGGCTCAGGAGCGACCTCCGCGAGTATCGAAGGTGCGTATGGCACCGCCGCGGACGACTGGAAGCACAATCGCGAGTGGGTCGACAAGTCCATCGAGCAACTCATGCCGCCCCCCGCGGAGTCCTCGCCCATGGCTTCGACATCCTTGCAGAAAGAACTCCGCGCGATGCTCAAGGAGCAGAACGGCGCGAGGAGCTTGCGCGAGCTCGGGTGGTACATGCCGGAGGAGGTCATAGGCGACAACCTGTACCAGTGGATTGTGGAGCTGCATTCGTTCGAGGGCACTTTGCCAGTGGCGCAGGATATGGAGAGGCAGTGAGTCGCCGGCTGTTTCGCCTCCATGCAGTGACTTACGCTTCGGCAGTGGCATCAATTCGCTCGTCTTCGAGATTCGGTTTCCGCTCACGTTCCCGCACTCTCCGCCATTTTTCCGGATCCTCAAGCCGCGGTTCCTCCCGTTCATTCATGTACGCTGAGGGTGTCTTAAAGCTAAATTTGACGCTGATAGCTCGCCACTTGTAGGGCGGCGGCGGCCACATCACGGGCGGTGCGATTCTGTCTACCTAGGTCAGCGCCTGATTGACTAACTGTACATATGACATAGGTGGTTCCATGTGTATGGACCTCTTGACGGCCGACGGTGCGTAATCTCTACGAACTGATACCGAGCGCTGATACGAACGTGGTGACACGACGTAGGGTGGCTTCCCAGCTATAGCATCTCTGCTGTTCTGCTCCAGATCAAACTGGCGATCTCAAACCTCGAACCTCGGCCCGCTCGTCTTGCACACAACTGGGATACGTGAGTATTCTTGGCCAATTTTCGAACACCATTACTCAACTAGTATTTCTGCGATTATTGCACACGCAGTCCATACGGCATGTTCGAAGCCCTCGAAGGGTACAAGAGGGCTGCGGCGACGCATGGATGGAAGGTGAAGTGTCATCTCCTTACGGACCACCGTCGTATCGCACGGTAGCTTACTAGAGTTCTTTGGGTCGATGTAGGTTCCGGACGGCCTTGATAGACTGACGCGATGATGAGGGGACTTTGAAAGAGGATGATCTCGTAGCTTTGACGAAGTCTTTGTATGTTACACGATCCGCGTTTACTACTGCTGCTTTCATGATCGCGGCCACGGCGATTAGTTGAGACGGTGAGACCCTGATACCCCCGATGATGCCGACACGCTCCCAGTGCGACTGTGCCGCCACAAGCAATGCGTTTAATGTCGTCACTTCACAAACCGAGTGGCAGGCTGGATAGATACAGAAAGCCAGTGATTTCACTAGCTCTAGCTACAGATCTACGTGCCCCACTGACTGACCGGTGACTGTCATGCCGACCGCCACGTCTGTGAAAGTGGTCACGGTTCTTCATGCCATCGACCATGCCGCACGAGTGCATATGGCCTCTACCGGAGAATCGGAGGCCCAGTCCGAGAAAAATCGAACCTCAAGCATATGCCGCACGATGGGAAACTAGTCCCTAGTGCTCGCACATGTTGAACTCGACCTCGTACACGTTTTCGTTGTGCGACATCACGAACATCTGGCGTTCATCCATGATGCGTTCCCGATGCTCCTCCGCCTCCTTCCGCGATATAGTTGCCTCCGTCGCATGATCGACGATCATCTTGAACAACTCCCCCGAAAGAATTTGAAGCCCAGGAGCACGCAGCATTTCATCAGTGAGCCACTCCTCCTGCTGTGGAGGGATGTCGCTCGTGGAATGAATCCTCGTGAGCGGATCCACAAGGAAGAAGCACAAAATCTTCCGGTGCCCGGGCTTCTTCCGGTCAGCCAGTTCGAAAGGGTCCACGCGGTGCTGGTAGAGGTTGGGAAACGCGATGCATTTGCCCTCCTCCGCGACGATATGCCCGAGCCTCTGGTTGAGGGGATCGCCTCCACCGAAACCGTAGGCGGTGTAGTACCCTGTGGCGTCGTCTTGCTCATAGGGAAGCTGATCGCGGTCCTCCGGCTCGTGACCGTTGCCGACCACCGTACGGAAACCGAGCTGAGACTGGGTGATGTTGTCGCATGCGTAGTAGTAGATGCCCGTCGCGACGATCTTCTCGTTCGCCATGCCCTCGACGTGCCACGACCCGCCCGAGTACTTCGGCTTCTTCGGAGTGAGGACGATGTTGGCGAGCTTGACGATGACCTGGACTGTCCGTCCACAGAGCTTGAAGTGCACTCGATCGTCAGAGCTCGGTGGGGAGAAACGCGGAGGGTCGGGGATTAACGGCCAGTACTTCTTATTGAGATCGTGGTCGTCGTCCTCATCATCGTCCGCGGATTCCTCGCCATCTTCATCTTCTTCGTCCAAGTGATCGTACCATGCGAGAGGGTCGACGCTCACAACGAGAGGTGTAGGTGGGGCGAGCACGTCCGAGAGTACGGCTTCAAAGAGTGGTACGAATCGCGAGAGGATGGAGGAGAGGGCAGCGTAGCCAGCGCGGTGCTGACCTGGATGAAGGTTGTTGATGTAGCCCAGAGCGGTGGCAACCCCTGTCTCGGAGAGCTCAAAGTCCGTCGGAAGCCACTGGTAGTGCTTCGAAATCGCGTCGTCTTGGTGCCTGTAAATCTCGAAGTCTGCTCGTTGGGAGAAGTACTCCTCCGTGCTCAGGACATGCACACCCAGTATCTCCCCCGTACTAGCGCTCTTCTCGCGAACATACGAGTGACCGATCCGGAGAGGGTAGAGCGAAGGATGCACGAGATCCAGGACCTGCTTGTCCGAGCCGGGGTGCCAGTCCTGCTTGGACTTCGGGACGTCCTCAAGAACAGAGACGAGGGACAGGAGGGCCGATTTGGCCTCAGCAGGAATTAGGCTCCGAGACTCGTAGACGTATGGGACCATAGTTGCCTGTTGCACGGCACGTGTTTCAATACAAGCTGCGACAAGCAACGTAAACGCAACTCACGAAGATTCCTTGCGCGGTGGTATCGAGCCTCGCTTCATATTTGAGCTGGTCAAAGATGTAGTCCAGCTGGGCGTCTGTGATAGGGTCGCGCGGCCACTGCTTCTCGCCGCTTCCGTGATCGTACCGCTCACGACCGCCCCAGAACTGCTCGACAGCAGCGCTGTCCTGCTGGACCATTTCGGCCCTCCATTTGACGACGAGCGCGGCGTCCTGAACCTTCTTCCACCATTCGGGTTTCGCGCGAATGAGCCCGGCGAACCGTCGCATGCGGAGCTCGACCAGAGTGACTGGTTCGCGCGGGATGAACACGAATGGAGAAGGAAAAGACTGTTCGTATGTTTCTTGACCGTAAGGCATGATGGATTGGATGAGCCGTGAAGCAGCGCTGAGGAACGGTTTACGAGGGGATACTCACCGTGATGCCTCGTTATAAACCGTGCGGCGCCACAGCGCCATGCTTGAGAGCGAGGCGTTCATAAGTCCTATCAGTGGGAAGATCTGTTCTCGAGGCGCATCTTCCGCGACACTCTGCTCAATCGCACAGCCGATATGCACATCTGACCGGGCTAAGTGTCAAAACCAGACTGTGACTCGGACATGCAGCAAAGCTGTTGCGATTACGGAGCGCGTTCTAGCCTCGTCGGAAGCGAAGTGAGTCGTACTGGTGACGAGTTGAAACGTAATGCGGCTACTCATTCTCCGCCTCGCAGAAGCCACTTAATGCCCGTCTGAACATCCGCCCAGAGCTTCGTCGCAATAGGAATCGCCGGAAACTGCCCGTGGAAGCCGTGGTGGACGCCGGGATACCTGGGTGGAAGCCAGAGTTCAGCATCTCGCGCGCCGCACGATGACGCCGCGCAGTGGAAACGTACACATCGAGCTTCGTCTTCACCCCAGCTGCTTTCAGCTCCTGCTCGTAGACGACGCCGTCATCCCGGAGGATGTCTAGTCCCATGACTTGGAAATATGCCGGCGGGAGGCCCTCATGGGACGGGTAGAGCAACGGAGAAAATCGCGGGTCCGTCAGAGGTGCCTTGTATACCACTGCAACATCATGAGTACTCAAGTTACATAACGCGAGCCTGACCTGGAACAGAGTGACGTACACATCAGGCCATCGAGCCCCACGCGCGTCGGAGCCATCGGCAAGTCGTGCTTCGCGTTCTCTTCCATGGAGCGATAGTGCGGCTTAAGTCTGTCGCCGATGGCCGCTCAGCGATGTCCCTAGATGGACCACTCTTCCAACGACTTGTCGCGCACATACCTCTCAGGAATGCTATCAGAGTGGGCAAGCCAGGGCTCGCGCAGGAACTGCCCAGTCGGTTGTCTCCCGCTGAAGAACGGGTCGTCGTGCGCCTCGTGCGCAAGAACCGCAGCGAGGTTGCCTCCAGCCGAATCGCCCATGAGGATAAGACCTTTAGTCAAATCGGCCTTGAGGTCAGACGTGTTCTCGACGACCTGTGCGAGTAAGTGAGCGCGAGGAATCATGTGTGATGTTTCAGAGACGTACCCATTTCAGCGCCGCAATGCAGTCGTTGAGTGGGGTCGGGAAGGTGTAGTCGGGCACTAAGCTGAGCGAGTCATGACGTATGAGTGCGAAAGCTGCGAGAGAACACGCGTGACAAGGTTGCGCACCGGTACTCAACATTGACGACAGATATCTTCAGGTCTACGGCTAGACGGCGGAGGGAGTAATCGTCTAAGTTGATATCGCCAAATATGAACCCTGAGTTCGATGGTAGAAGCTGTCAACCGAGTGTGATGTAAGAGCTGTATGTGTTAGAGATGTACCTCCACCGTGCATGTGGAAGAGGACGGGAAACGTCGCGTTCTCGTCCTCAACGATAGGGACGACGCATCGCACAGGTATGCCTCCGCCATCTACAGGTACAATCCTGTCTCTCACGGTATACGTAGATTCTGCGCGTGCATTTATCAGTTATTCGTCGAATCTCATGATCCTGATTGCTCACCATCCGGAAGTTGCGTCTTCTGCCAGTTTCTAAACGGCAGTGCGATGACGCTGTTGAATACGGCTTTGGATTCTTCGAGCGTAGGCGTCCCCTCTTGTGGAGTCGGGGTAGGCAGTGCAGCGATTGCTGCTGCAAGCTCGGGGTCGACCATGGTGCGGTGGGTGAGAGATCGATGGTCTCACACAGAGAGGCTACTTATGGACCCGGCACCTTCCACCAACTCTCCACAATAGCAGACCGCAGCTTCTGTAGCGTCTAAAGTTAACATGGCAGTCAGGACGCCGGGTTTGCTTCATCGCAGTAAACGAAGCTGTCAATGGAGACGTGGTGGGAATCATGGGGCTCAAGTAGACGTCATGTGGAAGGCACGCAATATCTTTTGAGTTAGACGCGATGTCATCGAGCATGTGTAGGAATCGTGATCACCATTATTGTGCAAGAAATATCAGTAGGTTGTATGCTTGCGGACGCGAGCCTCGAGCTAATCGTGGGTGGGTATCGAAGGACGCCGAGTGCCGTGAGACGCGTGGTGATCGTTCAGGCGACATGAGTAAGGAGAGCTGTGTTAGGATCGTCCGTAAGCCGCAGTACGCTGACGTGTAGCTGTTTACTGACGCTTAGAATTCAACCTGCTGAGCCAGTTGGAGCTTTTGGGTATACATATACGACATCGACGTACACACGGCAGTGCAAGAAGAGGTTAGATGAGCTTGAACGGGCATCAGTATATCATTACCACAGACGTTCAGCGTCACTCACCGTGTCATGCAGGACAGCTCCCTCAAAACGAAGCACAGTTGGACGCGCTCGCGCAGATATCCGACCTGGTCATCCGGATGTGCTTGTCTTCGTAATCGGAGCTCCTCCAAAACTCAACGTTCACGTTCACGTTCTGAAGAGATTCCGACGCCTGGCGAAACCGATGCGCCAACGCGTACACGTCCAGCGTGCTCATGTAGACCTCCGTGGCGCATGGGGGGGTTGTTGGGCTTCGGGCCCGAGCAGGACGTTTTGTCCTGTCGCCGGCGGAGTCTTCGTCCGACGAGCACTCAGTGAGGTAGAGGCCGGCGGAATAGTTTTCAAGTCTGATATGCAAGGAGAGGGACTCGAGGCGTAGCGATGGGAGAGCGCCACCGAGGCAGGTCTGGTAGATGGTTAGATACCGCGCAAACGATGGTCCATTGTGACACGTACGAGGAAATCTGGGATATCAGCGGTGCTGGGCATGTGAAGCCAAATTCTGAGAATGAGTACCCGGACTGTGCTCAGAGAAGGATTCCGCAGATGTTTGAGCAACCAGCTGTTGTCGCCTCCCGTGAACATTGTTGTTGAGATGTCGAGATCGAGCGTCGTCGGGCGTGCATCCGAGAGAGCAGCAGCGAGGAAGCGTAGCTCCTTCCTGGATATACCGAGCTCTAGATGTCGTATGGGGCATGGTATCCCGACAAGGTACAGGTCCAACGCGGCGCCCTTGAACATCGCCAGCTCGTTCCAGGTGCCCCGCGATAAGTGTTCTTCTCGGTTCTCCTCCTGTGTGTCCAGGTGCGCCTCGAGATTCTCCTCTGAGAAATCCGAGCATGCATGCTCGATCGTCGATACCTCCAGGTATGAAAGGTTGGGGAAAGCTGTCGCCCAAGGAGCGGTAGGGGGGCAGTAGCAGCCGGTGACTGTGAGCGAGTCCAACTTCGGGTATACTGGCACGCTCGGAGAACGGAAATCCCAGACAAGCCAGCGGTCGAGGTCGAGACTTTTCAGGGTATCGCAAGCGTTTTTGCACAGTTCAACGGGGTGTATCGCCTCGTTATCGTCCCAGTCACTCTCCTCCCATGAGGTATCGATGGACGTTCGCTCTATAATGGCAGTCTCGAGCGGCCAGCGCATTTCCTCGAACATTCGGCAGGTAAGCCCATTGGCTCCAGCTATCCCCACGTACTTGACTTTCGGAAGGGAGGCAAACGCAGGACCAAGATCGGGATGGGAGCCTAAAATTACTTCGGCGGGTACGAGCTCGAGGTCCTCGAGGTTCGTCGCCTGTCGAATGGAGGAGGCGAGCGCTTTGGCAATGTCCGGCCTTCCCAGGAGCTTTGTTTGGATCGTGAGTGTTTGGAGTAGTTTCCAGCGTTCTCCATTTTGTGGGCGCATGAACCGAAGGAAGAGCTCTACCGCTCGGTCGGAGTCGAGGGAGACCGCTCTTTCGCTGAGGGCGTACCGAGCTGCGGTGCGATAGAGAGTTTTGCATGTCCCGGTCAGCATGCATAGCGTTGACTGGTCGCAGAAGATCGCGATGACCAGCAAGATGTCAATGTTCAGTGCTTTCATGTTCTGAGCAACAAATATAACGAAGCCCATGGTTATTAGCGACTATACGTGTAGAAGAGATATTGAGCTGTAGCACACCGTCATCTTATCAACCCTCGCATCTTTTCGTTTGGAGGTCGCGATTGTACAAGTTCACTGGCCAGGAGAGTGAATGAGTGAGTCGGAGCGAGTGAGTGAGTGAGTGAGTGAGTGAGTGGTGAGTGAGTAGCGAGTGATTATTCGAACCTACTATGTATGCAGGCGTCAGGCAGCTCTCGGCGGCGCTTTAATCTACGACAACCATTCTACCCTAATACGAATCGCGCAAACAGGCCGCCCCGAACGAGGCGTCACGCTACAAAATCTCGAGTAATTTTTGAATGAGAAAGAGGAAGAGAGAAGGAGAAAGGAATATCGGCCCAGTGCCCTGGAGGCTGACCAAACTTGAGGGTGAACGGCGATGCTTCGCACGCCAAATCCGATTCCACTGGTGTAGATAGTACTGGACATTATATTTGTCACTCATAACATGATTAACTATGTGTTATAGTATGAATAAGAGGACAACAAACACACTGCCAATCGGGACACTGGCAAAATTGTAACACGGTGATAGAGGCAGCGCGGGCCGCCGACGTCGATGATGCCTACTACTGTCAGCTTCGTACAGTCTTTGTACACACGATGAGAGTGGCCTGAAGCCCACTGGTGCGAGCATCGAACCGAGTCCCTGAAACTAGAGGACTGCCACCACAAGCCTCACGCACTCGCTGGGGGGTCCTCATCTCATGTATGTGTTGTCGTTACAACACGCACGCTGGTTTGATGGTACACACGGAGATGACTTTGCATGCTACGCCTGGAACATACCTGCAGTACGGCGCCATGCTCGTCAGCACGGGGGGTGCTGTTCCACACGCGTTAGCGTTGACATCGCGGAATGCCACACCCCAAATGTAGGTCAGAGCTCGTAAAGCTCGTGCCCCATCAAACAAAATGCAGCTGTATACAGCTCGCAAAATAAGGGAACTAATCGCACAGCGGAATGAAGTCCGCGGCCACGTATAGCTCTCCACACGATCGATGATCTGCCGTGCCGCGGGCAGTATACCTGACTGGCAGCGTGCGGGGTGAGACACCACTTGCTATGACGGGGGAATATCGCCGGAAGACACGCACCGAGAGTTATCATGCCTTCCAACCCCTTGCTGGTCAGAGCAAGGCTCTCACTCGCGTTGATCAAACCGTGCACGACACTGGCGCTGACGAGCAAGGACACGCGCCGCTGTAGGCGCCATTCCAGTAGCTGGTAGACGTTCAAGGGAAATCGTGGACAGAGACGATGGGAGGCGGACACGATGATACGTATCACCGAGGAGGGCAGTCTAGTTATAGTGGTAGGGCCGCCCGAAATTTATGAATATTTATTAATTAATCCCCGCCGAAGGCGGGCATCTCCTCTAGCCTTGAGCGCTTCGGTGCCGCACCTCGAAACTATACCAGTCCAGTGGCCCGGCAGTACACATAGAGAGCGCTGAATACAGCTACGAGGATGGTCGAAATTCTTGAGATATCAAACTGCTCTCACCGTTGCGCCATGGTACCAGGATCCCTCTCACCGCCGTGTCCAGATAGAGATGCCGGCACCGTCAGCGAATCCGAAGATGCAGCAGTGGCCGCTGTCCATGACCCTTCGTGTATGCTCTGGAGCGACCCGGAAATGAGCCCCGGAGCATGCGCAGAGGAAGTCGAAGCCTCTAAGTCTTGAGCGATGTGTG